CTGGGTGGGAGGGAGGTGGGGAAGGGTGGGAAGCCCTTAGGATGCAACCGTAGGGTGATGCGGGGGATGGAGGGCCGCTTACTAACGTGATCTAACACATTCGCCTCCGAAACCGACCGTCTATGTGTTAGTGCCGTACACCGCCGTCCGCACACTATGTTGTGCTGCGGGTGGTTCCCTGCGCGCATGGCAGGCTTGCAGGCCTGGCTGCCTCTGGATCTGCTGCGGTTTAGTGACCCGCGGGTCGCTCCCGCACTGCTGCGGGCATTCGGTCGCCAAATGGTCGCGGCGGACGACGCGGCGGCGGCGGCGCTGGCGACTCGGTTCGGGCTGTCTAGCGTTACTCTGGCCGGCAGCGTTAGCCACAGGTACGGATTGTACGGAGTGTGAGATTTTCGCGCGATCTTCCATGAACGGACTGAATGTACGGAATGCACTTCTCGGCCCAGCACATATCACACTCACGGGGTCCAGGACATTCATTCAGCTGCAGAACTTGCAAAATCGCGGATGTACGTGCACACTTCTTACGCGTGCTTCTCTACCATTGCCGCTTTAAAGGGGAATGCTGACTGGCGGCTGGGATGGCGGCGGCGGCGGCGGCGGCGCTGCGGCCCGGGGTCGTCAGCTTTGGGAGCGGTTGTGGGAGCTGAGCGAGCTCATCCGCTTGGAGGGTCGTCTGGCGGTGAGGCCGCTGCACTTCCCGTGGTTTCGGAGGGGGAGCAACGGGGGGATGGAGGAGGGGAAGCCCCGGCTCTCCCGCCTAATAATCCACGGACCCCTCCTTCCCCCGCCTGAGCCCTCTGTGCGCCATTTGTGCTCTGGGCTTTGGGTTCCAGGCGCCGTTGAGCTTCAGACCCGCTAATTGCATTGCCTGATTGGCTGATGGGGTGAAACCCGGCTGGCTGGTGTTGCTACAGGTGTTGCTGTCGCAGCAGCAGGGAGCTTTGGCGGCGGCGGAGCGGCGGCGGGGGGAAGCGGAGGCGGCGGCACTTGAGGCCGTGGCGGCGGAGGAGCAGGCCCGGGTGGGTGGTGACCCGCAGTTCGGTGTGGCAGCTAGGTGTGGGGGCGGGGAGGGGGGGGGGCCGGGTGGAGAGCAGCGAGATGAGATGGAATGCGGGCAGGTGAGCTGTTGCAGCCGGCGGAGGCCTCCTATTAGCGGTATCGGTATCGGGGCTGTGTCCATATGGGCGTTTTACCTCTGCTTACCTTTGCCGTGTGGTGTGGTGTGGTGTGGTCCTTAACGGGAGGGGAAAGGTGGGGCCCGGAAAAGGAGGGGAAGAAGGAAGGAAAGAAGGGGAGGGGAGGGGAGGGGAGAGGGGAGGTTTGGAGAAAAAGGACGGGAGGGGAAGAGCTCAGCGGGCGTGTTGATGCGTGTGTTTTGCGTGTGTGTGGCCCTTTGGCGGGGTGACCCGTGCCGGTGTTTTCGCTCGGTGTGTGAGTGTGTGTGACCATAATGATGGACAATAACAGGCCGTACAGCACCGGATTCAAAATCTGGACGAGCAACTGTCAGCGGCTCAGCAGGCGCAGCACACCGCGGCTGCCGCCGCGACGGCGGCGGAGCTTGAAGAGGCGCAGCACCGGGAGGCGCTAATGCACCACTGCGGTAGCGGCACCGCCGCCGCTAGCGGCGGAGGTGTCGTACAATCGGGTGTACGGGATGGCCTTGTGGCGGAGGTAACGGCACTACGGGCGCGTGTGGAGGAGCTGGAGGCGGCGCGGTCCGCGGCGCTGCTATCGGTGGAGGCGGCGGAGGCGGAAGAGGAGGCGGCGGAGGCGCGGGCGGCGGGCGTGTTGGCGGAGGAGGTGGCGGAGGCCAGGCTGCGAGAGCGCAGGCGGCTTGTGCAGGTCGGGTTTGCGCTCGTGTTGCCTGCTTGGCCTGACCCACCCAGCTTGATTTCCACCCCACCCCTCACTCCCCCTCACCTCACCCACCAAAACCCACCCAAACCCACAAGGGGAAAAACGGTTGGCTGGTGGTTTGGAGGTTTCGGAACCGCCATCTAAACCCATGGAAAACTAGCAATGCACGTTAACCTTTAATGGGATTGGAATTTTACGCCATTTTGCCGTACATTGCCGTGCACATAGGACCTGGAGCGCAGTCTGCAGGAGGCCAAGGAGGCGGTGGCGGCCGCCGCCCTGTGGGTCGTGGGAGACGGCTTGGGGGAGGGGGGCTGGGGGAGGTAACCGGTCTACCGCCATCATGTAAAACACCGTGCTGCTGTTAGGAGTCGTCTTCCAAGAAGTAGTAGTAGTTGTTGTTGTTGTGTCGGGCCAGGTCAGCTCAGGAAGGGTCGGGAAGGGAAGGGAAGGGTTGTGACCGTATTTTTCTTACCGAGGTGCCTCTTTTTCAGGGCACCTCCCCCGCGTTCCCACGTCCTCAACCTCGCGGGAGGCAGTCCGTCTGCCGCACCGCGATGAAGTGCGGTGAAGTCAAAAACTGTCTGTCGTTATGTCCGCGCTCTCCGCTTTCGCCACCCGGGCTGCTCTTTTCCCCCCATTGCCCAGTTTGTGTTTTTACACATATACGATACCCATCGCGCGTGTATGTATGTGTGTGTGCATGCCGTGCGCGTGTTCTTGTTGGGGGGCCCCAGACGTCGTCAGGAACTCGAGGCGAGCGCCGCCATCGCCGCGGTTCGAACCGCGGACCTGCAGGCGCAGCTACGCGGTCGCCGGGGGGCGCTGCGGGCCGAGCGCGAGTCGCTGGCGGCCGGCCGGGCAGCGCTCAAGCGTGTCGGCCAGGAGCGCGATGCTATACGGCGCGAGTACGGCAGTATGTACGCTGGCGGCGACGATGGTGGTTCTGGGGGGGAACGTGCCGCCGGCGGTGCGGCGGTGGCAGCAGCGAGCGAGGTGGCGACAAAGCGACAAGTTGACCCGGGTCAGCGAAAGCAGCAGGATAAGGATGATGATCCGGAGAGGGCGAAGGACGGCAAAGCGAAGGGGGAAGAGGAGAAGAAGGCGGAGAAAGGAGCGGAGGAGGATTGCGAGAAGGCCGCGGCGGTGCTCCGAAACCAGTTGCGGACCCTCCGTTTGGAACGTGGCCGCTTGGGGGGAAGCCATGTAGGTAGCTGGGGTGGTTGGGGACTTCCGTCATGAGCATGCCGTACCCACGCGTGTCGGCGACCGGGCGCACGCTTGGTCTCTACCAGACCTCCCTCCCCCCTCCCTCCCACCCCTCCTCTATAAACACAAACGCATACACAAAACGCATACACACACACGGTCCCCCCTGGCCTGGTACACTCTTGCCCTGGCAGCAGCTTAACTCGTTCGTGGTTCGTCATTCATCCCCCCCTCCCCCCCCCCTTCCCTCCCCAGGTATCTCCGGCGCAGCTGTTGCAATTCCAGGAGCGCGTGGCGGCAGTAGCGGTGCTGAGGGAGAGAGCCAACAGCCTCGCGACGGCGGCCGACATGCTCCAGGTACGCCAAATGCCGTACTGGCGGCTTTCTTTATACGGTAAACAGTAAGCCGTACTCCTCATGCGTCTTGGTACATGTGCGATAGCGAAGTACTGCAGTGTATGCCAGTTTTGGTCCCACCCCAACGAGGGAGCATCCGCATAGTTAGTGACCCCCTAAGGGGGTCAGGCCCTGCCGCCAGCACCACTGCCGCGGGGAGCAATTACCTGCAAAACCTGGATCCCTTCACATCGCTACTAAAACACGGGGGGGTTGCAAATATGGAGTTTGCGGCGCTATGGGGGTTTCATAACAATCGATTATGATTTATAATATAACGTTTTGTTCCGCCTGCCGCCCTCATGCCTTCCTCGCCTCGCCTCCAGGCGGCTATAGAGCAATCCGCGGACCAGGCAGGTTAAAGGGGACCAGTACGGGCGTGTTTTTGTCGGGCCGGTAACTAGCCGTACGCTGCTCAATGGCGCTAAATGTACGACATGTCGTGCACACCTCGGTCGCGGGATGAGGGACCGTCGGCACCCTAAAATCCTCTTCCCTTCTGCGCAGGTGCTCGCAGCCAACACTGCCGTATTTAATGCCGTACGGCGGCGTTTCGTATCGCTCTGCGGCCGCCTGTTGCCCTCCTTGGATCTGGATTTAACCGCGCCGTACGGCTGCGCGAGCCGTGGCGTTGTCGTACGCTTCCGGCGCCACAACCGCCCGGACCGCGACCCCGACGGCGGCGATGCTGATGGGACGGAGGCCGACGGAGGCAGTCGAGGCGGTTGGACCGAAGAGCTGGGACAGTTGTCCGGTAAGCCAGCTAACGGTCAACGACTTGAACGGTCGTTTAGTACGTTGGGTTTTATATGAGCTTCTTGCACACTGGCTGAGGACTCGGCCCCTGTTGCCTGCCGCCGCGGATACGGTATAAAACGTTCGATATGCTATTCTGTATCAAACTGTGAAGCTGTCAAATTGTCAAATAATCAAATTATCAAATCGTCGTCTGCTCTGTCGACTACACCGCTTCAGGTGGCCAGCGTACGTTGGTGTCAGTGGCCTTGCTGCTGGGCCTGGCACTGGCCCTTAGCGGCGGCGGCGGTGGCGGCAATAGTGATGGCGGCGGTGGGTTGTTCCTGTTGGACGAGGTGGATGCGGCGTTGGACGAGCACAACCAGGCGGCGGTGGCGGCGCTGCTGCGCTACCTGTCGCATCGCGGCGGTGGCTGCCAGGTGGGGGAAGCGGGAGAGAAATGGGAAGAGGGGGAGCGGACGGATATAGACGGATGCGGAGGGGGACGTTTTCCCCGACTGGGCGGGAGGAGTGGAGGAGGGGCTTTGCGACATAGGCGACACGCATCTCAGCACGTCCCAGCATATGGCCCAGGACGCAAGGCAGCTGGGGGGAATGAGGCGGCAAAGGAGGCGGCATATGTAGCAGTGATCGCGCACACGGCAAGCTTGAGCGAGTGAGTGAGTGTGTGTGTGAGAGAGAGAGAGAGAGTGTGTATGTGTATGTATGTATGTACGGCTGGTTGCCTTGGCGACGGAGAGCGGGGGATGCCGACCCTCAACAGCTGAGCTAGTGCGAACCCGAGTACTACCATAACGGGACAGCGATCCTTGCTCATATTCGCCGGTTCTGCTCATATTCATACCGGTTGGTACGACCCGTACACTCCGTACAGGTCCTGGCGGTGACCCACAACGCTGCCTTCCAGACGGCCTGCAACGGCTTCGTGCGCCTGACCCGGGGGCCGGCGGGAACTCAGGTACGGCTGCTTAGGGGTAAGGGAGGGGTAATGCGCTGGGGAGGGAACGCAGCGGTGAGACCCACGCAGTGGTGGTTCTACCAAGGGGGGAGGGGCGACAGGTCACATAACAGGGAAGGACCGGGAATTTAGTGCACATGGTGAGCGCTTACTTTCCTACTCTTACCTCCTGACTGCTTTTTAACACCCAAAAATATACGGAAAAGGACGTCGTGTTGCGAGCTATCTGCGCAGTTCTGTAGCATCATCCTTGCAACCTTGTGCGTCCGTTGTTGTATCCTGGGCTTTCTCCCCGCACCCTACATGTACATCACCACACGGCTGGTCCGGTCTGGGCCCGTAGCTGGAGATGCCAGGTGCGGCGGGCGCCATAGCGGCGCCGCACCTAGCCGCTGCTGGCCCGGGGAACGGTGCCGCCGCGGGCTGGGGTATTGGAGGTTCACGTGGGGGCGGCAGCGGCGGTGGTGATTGTGGGACGGGCGGGGCTGGCGGCGTGGCGGGTGTACCGGCGGCGAAAAAGCTTAGGACTGCAAGGCCGCGACGGGTGTGAATGTGGCGGCGTAGTGAAAGGTTGGGGTTGCGACTTGAAGAAGGTAAGGGGGAGAGGTGTATTCTCCCCTATAGTGTCCATCATTGAACGATTGGCATTAGTTGGCTTAACGGGCATTTCCCACTTTGTACGAGGTGTATAACTGAATGTTGGAGAGATGTAAAACTGTTGATGTACATTTTAAGGGCTGAGAGCCTATTCACGATAGACAATTGGCCATAATACACGGTTGCCAGTTAGGAGATTTTTCAGTTAGGATGATACCTTGCAAATCGTGACTTCGAGGGAGTCTGCACACAGTATTGTCGACAATTGTCGACAAAGAGGTAGGTCCTTTAGACGTCCTCGTTTCATGCCGGCGCTGCCATGAAACGCACGTGCGTCAAGGCACGCCGCGGGATACGAGGGCAAGCTTGCTTAGCACCGGTTTCTTTCCCAAGTACGAAATAATTTGACATAACGTACATGCCAAGCATACCACAGTACCCAAACCCGGTTTTACCTGCCGGCCAAAGCAAACACTCACGGTATTAAACTACAACACCGGAAACAATTAAGTTGCACAGTTCCGCCATACTCAACCGCGTAACCAGCTTCTGGATAAAATTTTACAGGTAGAGGGCCTAGATACAGTGCGTGCAGCACTTTTGCGGAAAACGCTGTGGCCAAACCACAGCGGTAAATTCCCACTACCCCATGATTGTTGAAGAAACATAGAATGTGCACAGTGCAATGTCCAGCAAACATCCCCAACGCAATGCTTCGCCACCGCATTTGCCCTTTAAAAAATCTCGATGCATCCGTCCCCTTTCCCCCAAGCCGCAAAATCCCTCCTTATCAGCACCCTGGTTTTTAGTTTGAACAGGACCAAGCTCACATTAAGCCCTATACCTGAACCTCCCTTGCAAACCCCACCCGTACAATTTTCATTTCTACGATTCAGGGGCAGCTGCCGTTTCTTACACGATCCTCGATGAGAAATCGGCGCATTTGGCAGTACTGCCAAATGCGGCAGTACCATTCAGATGATCATAGCTGGCAAGACAGATCAAAGAACCAATTTGTTAGTTTTGTAGTGCCGCACAAGGCCACAAGCAAAAGCCCTTTTGTAATAAGACCCCACGGATTTTCCCCTCAAAGCACATTTCCACCTCAGCGCGTGAAGCCCGGCAGCGGCGCCACCGAAGGCAGCCACTCTCCTGCCTGTGCCCGGAAAAAGTCCGTCTCCGTCGTAAACGTCGCCTTGACCTTGTTGTCATCAAACATGCGCCCCTCCATCGTCTGCTGGCAGCGTTGTGCGTCAGCGGGATTGGTGTATTTGAGATAGACACGGCAGGGCTCGCCATCCGGTACGTGCAGTGGCGGCACAGGGATCGTAATTCCCGTCAGCGTACCGAACTTGGACGCCTCCTGGTACACGTCCGTTTGAAGTTCCCGTCGCTCCTGGTCGATTCGAATCGCTCCCACGTTCATTACGTTCTCCAGCACGACTACTGTTGTAGGGCCGCCAGGGACGGGGGGCACAGCCACTGGCGTGGGGACTGCAGAGACGGGCATGGCACCGTGGATACCGGCAACAGTGGGGAGAGCGGTGGGCAGGGCTGCAGCCGGAACTGCGGCAGGGACGCCAGGAAGGGTGGCGCCACCAGTAAGCTGCTGCGCGAAGACCTGCATTAGGTGCCGCGGGAAGCACGGGTAGAGAGGGAACAGAATTAGACAGTGTTCAGTAATAATTGAGCCTGAGTTGGGTCCCAGCCAAATCAATCAATGGAGGGAGCGTGGTTAACACACGTCAGCAATACATGGAGCTACACGGACAGAAAAATCGCCAAAGAAAACTCTGCGCTTGCAGTCAATCACAACACCGTGCCTACACAAAAATCTCGATAAAACCAACTCCCATCCCCGGCAGCATCCTTCCGGATAGGAGAGGTACTATGAGGTTTGCGACTGCATAAAGTAACTCTTTGTCACCGGCCATGTCAGAGAAACATAATCACTTCGCCACGCACACGCTACTGTCGTTGTGGACCCAAGTCATTTGCCTTCCAATCTCAGAAACAACGCCTCTCACGAACCTGAAATATGCCCCGAGTCAAACACATATCCTTATCCTCTGCGCATCCTGCCAATTCTTCCCACCCACATACCTGCGCTAGTTGCATTTTCTGGGCCGCAGCGTTGAGGTGTGCCTGGCTGTCCGTGTAACCCTTGGCGCGCTCCACCGTCATGGGCTTGCCGCACAGCTCCATCTTGTGAAGCTGCGTGGCAGCAGAGGCTAGCTCAGGGGACCGCAGCTCCACGAAGCCGTACTTGCCGGACGAGTCGAGGCGCGCGGTGATGACAGGAGGGTTAACGAGGGGGTCGGGCACCATATTCGCCAGTACCGCGTTGAACAGCTCGCGAAGCATTTCCGCAGAGACTAGGCCGCGATTAAGGTTGCCGACAAAAATTTCCCTCGCGCGCCGGTCGCCCAGCATGGCCGCAGAATTCGCTTGTGCTGTAAGCAGCTGAACCTGCGCCTGGAGGGCTTGCTGGGCTTGCTGCGCCTGGAGCTGAGCTTGTAGCGCCTGTTGTGCTTGAAGGGCTTGTTGGGCTTGGAGAGCGGCAATGTTTGGAGGGATGGTCGGCGGGGCGGGGAGAGCAGGCGGACCGGGCAAGGGCAAACTGTTGTGGTGATGTTGGTGCTCAGGAAGGGGGTTAGGGGGTGGTAGCGGACCGCCAAGGCCGGGAATAGTTGGAGCTGCGGGGGGGGCGCGCTCACTACTGCGGCTGTCACGCCGGCTGCGCTCGCGAGAGCGAGATCGACGGCGGTCGCGAGAGCGGGACCGCCTAACCACGGCTGTGCGGTCGCGAGACCGAGATCGAGACCTTGCACTGCGCTCACGGCTGCTGCGCCTGCGGCGCTCGCGAGATTTAGAACGGTCCTTGTTAGCACGATCTCGCGAGCGTGAACGGTCCTTGCCGCGCCGGCGTTCCCTGGACGCGCTGCGAGATCGAGATCGTCGTTTCTCATTCTTTTCCCGAGAGCGACTGCGGCTGCTGCGGCGCTTCCTTTCGCGTGAACTGCCACGACTACGCTCTTTGGAGCTTTCAACTGCGGGCTTCGGTGGAGGCGGAGGCAAAGCCGTGACATCAGCTGAACCGTCATTCACGCTGGGAGCCGCGTCGTGGCTCTGATGCTGCTGGTCGTCATGGTGCTTGTCCACATTCTCAGCTGCTGTACCAACGTCAATGTCCGACATTATTAACTGACCAAGTGCTGACCGACTGCTTGGAGCGTTGAATCCAAGAAATGCGCTGTCTAGAACCGCTCAACGCCAAATAACCAGCGCAGCCCTCAAGAGCTGGTCTGCTTGGGAGGGTACGAAGCGTGGGACGGGACGGACAGGAAGGGTAGGGCGGGGCGGGCGGGATGGGGAGGGCGGGATGGGAAGGGGAGGGTGGGAAGGGAAGGGCGGGAGGGGAGCTCAGGCCTCGCGCCAAAAAGTAGGAGACAAATTGATTGTAGGCTATGGAAAGGCGTTGTTCAGTGAAGAAGAGATCAGTCGGCTATGTAACCGTCCAGGCCCTATCCAGCCTTCTAGCCTACTAGCATTTACTTGTGAGGGAGAACAATATAGTAACAAGTCGCGCAAAATCGATTCCAAAGGGGCGGCTCGTCAGAAACGGTCCCCTGGAGCCCGAGTAAGGCCCTTTTTACGCCCAAAGCGGGAGATAGAGCGAAAATGTCACTGCTGCAACAATGGAATGAAGTCACGAAGCTGTCCAGGTTCATTTTCGCGTGGTTCACTTTTGAGTATTGCATTAACCGATAGGAGTGTTGACAGCCAGGCTGAAGGACAGAAATATAGTGCATAGAGCCTCGTGTGCGGTCCCACAAACATGGCCATGAACAATTTAGATGACGAGCTTTCAAGCTTGAAGATAGTTACGAAAGATGACGAGGTGGGCTTCAAGTAGGCATTGCATACTGAGGTTTACCTTTGTGCCAGCCCAGAGATTTGCATGTAGACAGGCATCAGTCTGGGTGACTGCTTTGGGAACGATGGCAGCCCAGCACTTGGCACCTGGCAATGTCTTTGTTCCATCCGTTCGGCAAGGTTGGGAACTTGCAGGACAGGGCATATGCTACACGTAGATGATTAGTTGAGAATAATGTTTTCTGGCCTTAAAGGCCTCAGAAAATGATCTGCAAAGACTTAGCGCCCAACTGACCCATGGTTCACGGAAAAGGCACCCTTCCCACCCACATCACACAGTCCCCCCGCCTCCCACATGTTCCATGTCATCCCCTTCCTCCCAAACTCTTTTCCACCAATCAAACACACCTCTTCACCTCCACACCTCCCCCCTGCTTCCCCAACTCAAACCCTAAGCCTTCCACACACACACACACAAACGCACACTTCCCGGGAAGCCTCCAACCTCTACAACACAACACAAAAACAAAAGCAACAACCTCTCCACCCCCAATCATTCCCTGCTAGGCAAAAGAACGAACGAATGGATAAACGAACGAACGATTGAATAAACGACGTTGCCAAGGTGGATCTGAATAGACCACCACGGCCGTACGGTACCTCAGCCAGCCACATAAAAACACCCGACAACAAAGGGCAACACTGTTACGCTGCCACCAGCTTCACTACCTTATTCCCTCCATCTCCGCCTTGCTCGCTGTCTACTCTCCCTCGCCTATGCTTACCCCCTTATCTCCCCCTATTTGCACGCACCCCCCTCCGCCCTCCCTCTCTTCCCTCCTCCTTCCGTCGCTCTCTCACACACACCGTCAGAAGCTGGTGGGCCCTGCCCGCTGGCTACCCCGCGTGGAGCTCCGCTGCGAGGACAAGCACTGCCTGCTCCTGGGGGGTGAGAAGGAGGGGGGAGGAGGAGGGGAGGAGGAGGAGGGGAGGAGGAGGGAAGGCGGGATGAGATAGGGGGATGTGTATGTGTGTAAGGCGAGGAGTTAAGGTTTCCGCGGAGGCTTGGAAGCGACAGGAGCCGATAGCGATAGTGATTTGTTTCCTCTCTGATACCCACTCCAACATAACTCCGACCCCCCGGTGCTCTCCCCCCCCTTCGACCCGCCCCACCTTCCCGCCCTCGACCCGCCCCGGACGCCGACAGCTTATATTCTTTTCATTTCTTGCGTCGCCATCATCATCATCATCATTATCATCCCCCCTCCTCCACCTCCACCTCCCCCCCACACACACCCTCCCCTCAGGCCACCAGTCCGCCACCAACACCATAATGGTGTGGTGCACCTGCCCGCTGGGGGACACGCAACATCCGGAGGGCACTCGGCTCATGGCGCTGGATGCATGGGTGGTAGAACATTGCAAGTAAGGGAGGGCCCGGCCCCCACCCGGGGGAGGGGGGGGGGGCCTGAGGAGGGAACACCCCCTGCTGCAGGTTACCTTTCGAACTTACAGGTTTCGATGTGACTACTGGTTGTGGTCGTTGGTAACAACGGGGGGTAACGGTATGGCGGTTGGTGCAAACGGAAAAGAACAACTGCCGGTGTTGGGGAGGGGAGGGGAGGGGAGGGGCCGCGATTTGGGTGGTCGGGAGGGTTTTGCGGAAGGGTTGAGACATACATGCATACATGCATACAGACAGACAGACAGACAGACAGACAGACAAATATATAAACAGATATACGCGCGAACATATGATTGTTTACGGGCCAACGTAACATTGTCAGGGGTGAGAACCTGGACGACTACAATGACGAGGATGATGAGGATGAGGACGAGAAGGAAGATGAATCGTCGGCCCGAGTGGACGAGCTGTGTATGGAGCAGGCACTAGTGGTGCGAGCTGGGCCCAACGTGTTGCCTAAACAGGTAGCGCCCCGGGGGGGAGTGGGACGTGGGGATGGGGTCGGGTGGGGTTTCGGAGCCCGGGAACTGGAGGGGGAAAGGGGGTCGCAAACAGGACAGGCAGTTTGGGGGACGTGGGATGGTGTGAGGTGGTGGAGTGGATGGGCCCACGGCTACCCCGCGGATTTCCAAACGGCACATGCGGATAGGGTATGGACCCACATCGCCATCCCTCCAGCCTAGTAACCCTTTTGCCTTATCGCAACACCAGCAGCACCACCAGCAGCACCACTCTGCTGGGTATCCCCCTGAAAGCTCTCACTCACTCACGCACACGTACACACACTCGCGCCCGCACACACACATTCTCCCCGCACCCAACCATTTTCTCCCCCCCCCCTCTCTCTCTCTCCCTCTCCCACTCTCTTCCCCTTTCCCCTCGCTCCTCCCTCCCTTTCTCCGCGGGGTGGTTATGTTGGTTATGTTGGCGGTTGTGCCCCCCCAGATGCCCCTCCGTCAGCTGCTCAGCAGCACGCTGGTGGCGCAGGGGGGTAACAAGGAGCTCAAGGGGGCCACGTTCTGGGTAAGGGGGCGTGTGTGTGTTTTGTGTGTGCGTGTGTCTCATGGAGAGGGGGGAGGCCTGGGCGGGCGGAGTCGGGTTACATAATTGGGGGAGGGGGGGAAATGACTGGGTGGGTGGGTGGGTAGGTGGGGCGTTCAAGGCGACCTTGGATATGGGGATATGATTCTAGCGGGGGCTCTCTCTCTCTCATCTGTTTTATCTATTGGGCGGGGAAGGGGGGAAGGGGAGGGGGCTTTACGTGGGTCAGGATCCTTCAGTTTTGTTAATAAAATTCGATGGTTCGGGATATGTTGATTGTTTAGTTTCGACTGCATTCCTCCTCCCCGGCTTTGTGACCTGTCCTGTCTAGTGCCTCGTGGCCACCTGTGTAAGTGTTTCGTCGCGATGTGTCCGGGGCACCACAACCACCTGTCGGTGAGACGCTATCTCACTGCTTTAGGGGATGGGATGATATCCCCTAAAGAGGGAGAACAGAGGGGGATAGAGGATAAACTTTGGTTCATTATCCCCTTCGCCTCCCCCTTCGTCTTCCCGAAGGGCCTATAGCAGACACGGCTAAGAGTCATTGGCCGTTACACGTGCTCGGGAGGTCCGCGACCTGCCTGGGGGCGTAAACGTCTGAGGTACTGTTACCGGTAATCTGAGGTACTGTTACCGGTAAACAACAGAGCCTTTTAAAGGCTTGGGTAGCCTATCCTGATGGACGAGCTGGCAGTACTTTAGGACCTGCCAGCCGTTGCTCACAACACCCTCACGGGCGGTCTTCCATATGCCACAACCGCCACTCACAGCAGTCTGACGGGCTGCCTTAAACAGGCCACAACCATTACCTAAACAGGCCACGGTGCGACACGGCATCCCTTCGCATCAACACCACCACAACCACCACCACCACAACCACCACAACCACCTCCAGACAGCGAATCCGGCAATCCCTCCTCCACCCCACACACAAACACACACACCCCACAACCACACCGCCACACTACCACCGCAGCCACAACCACCGAACTGCTCCAGGGGGTGGCGCCCGCGTGTCGTCATATCCCGCAGGTGTATTGGTACGACCAGCCCATCCCCACTAAAAACTCCTCCGCGTACGGCGGTCTGGGTCGTACTTGGGCTCCGGGACCACTTTCCCGTAACGATCTAGGTGTTTGGTACCGGGCCAGGATTATCAAGTGCGAGACGTCCACCGGGGTTGTCAAGGTGGGGAAGGAGAATTGTGTGTGTATGTATGTATGTATGTATGTATGTATGTATGTAAGGGGACGAGAGGGTGCTGTGGTATGTATGTATGTATGTGAGGGTTATTATCGAGGGGATGGGTGATCATATTCTGGCTTAAGAGGCCGATCTCAGGAAAGGGTGTCAGTGTACGACACCGTAAACTGCTATTTGGAGCACCTGTCCAAAGCGATGACGCAACTGCGCGCGAACCGTACGGACATTACCTGTGCCGTATCGTGTACCCGTAGCCGCCCTCCGCGTGTTGTTCGCCGTGTTTGGGGGGAGGGTGGGCTTGAGGGCTGGGAGGTGGTGGCGGTAACTTTGTTTCCTGGAAAATGGAGTCTTAGCGAACAAGATCTGACACACACGATTATAGATACACATACACACACAGCGTGTCGCCATCCCCCTCGCCCCCCTCCCCCTCCGCTGCAGCTTCGAACGCCGGCAGTCGCCGTCTTCTTCCTTTGCCTCCACACCCCCACACTCCCCGGCAACTTCTAATGCTTAAGTGTATATATATGTCTGGTATCTGCTTCACTCATCCGTGGTTTGCCGTACCCCCACCTCCCCTCCCACCACCACGGCCACCACCCACCCCGGCTTGACAACCCCCGGGGGCAAACCCCCTCTGCTGGCCACCGCTTCCGTCCGACAAACCTTATAAAACCCCTCCCCAGATCAAGTACGACGTTGACAATAGCGAGGACACAATGTACTTGTTGGTGGCGTTCGTACACTTCGGTGCGACGCCACCTGCCCGGGGCTCCCGACCTGCCGTACTGCCGTACATGGATCTGGTGGGGCCCTTTTTGGTGTTGTTGTGGTTGAGGTTCAAAAGTGATGAGCGTGTGTGTATGTGTGTATGTATGTGCTCGATGGTGGTTGTGGTGGTTGTGAGCTTGTCGTAGTGGGAGGGGTTGGGAGGAGGGAGGGCACGGATGTGAGTGAAGATGAGGGTGGGGGGGGTGGGGGGGAAGGCAGGGCCCGGGTGTGGGGTTCAGCTCGCCAGGGCGCAATGGGGGGACACGTGCACCCTGGGAGGGGACTGGGTGGGGAGATGTGTGTGTGTATATTGCGTGTGTACGTGTGTATGTGTATATGTGTGTATGTGTGTGTACTGGCTAGGGGAGATGTTCCCCGAACCCCACGCACCCAACCCGGGTGTTGGGCAAAAGGAGTTGCCTCGGCGTGCCACGTCCTAAGTGTACGGCGTTTTCCGTGCATACGGCATGATTCGTACGTATTGTGCCAACTAACACGCAGGTGAAAGACCTGGGCCTCCCCAAGTCCGCCACCTCGGGCGGCGGCGGAATGGGCAAGGGCTGCGGCGGGAGGGGCAGTGGTGGCGGTGCTGCCGCTGACCCGCCCAAAAAGCCCTCTGCCGCTGCCGCTGCCGCCAAGCCCTCTCCAGATGCCGCCGCCTCTCCCGTCAAGTCAAAGCCGGCTGGAAATCAGCCCAAGGCGCAGGGCCGTACGGCAACGGCCGCCGTGCCGCCGGCGGTCACTGGCACGGCAGCGGTGCCGCCGCCTGCGTCCGCAGGTTTGGGGGTGCCGCCACCGCCGCCACCGGCGACCGCCGCCGCTGCCGCTGCGGCCGAGCCCGCCGACAAGACCAAATGCCCCGCGCTCAAAATCAGACAGCTGGCGAGTGTCAACCCTAAGGGCTCCTTCTCGACCCCCAAGGCGGCCCCGAAACCGCCGCCGTTGCAGACGCTCGCCGCTGCCAAATTGCCGACGGCGGCGGCAACGGCAGCGGCGGCGCCTCGGGGAGACCCCCAGCCTCCGCAAAGCAAAAAGGCCAAGTTGCATCACCATCAGCAACATCAACAACAGCCGCCAGGCAGTAGCAGTTGCCCAGTGCCGAAGGCGGCGGCGGTGGCGGCGGCGGCGGCGGCGGCTCCGCTGCTGCCAGCGGTTCCCTGTCCCGCAGGGTTGCGGCCCGCAGCCCCTGCGCGGGGGCCCCGTCACGAGTTCGACATGGTGCCGCTGGCGGTACGTGGCGGCGGCGGGGGGGGAGTAGGGGCGCTGGGTAGGGGGGAGCTGAGCCGGTGCTTTGCCTGGGGTTTTAGGGTTTTTAGGGTTTTTTACAACTTTACAACCTTAAGGTGAATATTGGTTAAGGTTGAAATCTAATCCTCCTGTGCTCTGATCTGAGTGTGCTCCTCCAACCCCAGGGATCGGGGAGGGGGAGGGGTTTCATGCCGCATTCCGCACGTCCGCCGTACCCCACCTTCATCCTGTACGTCATCTGGATCGGCCAACTGTCGTCAACCACTGCCAACCGCCGTGAACTGCCTCCAACTGTCTCTCGCTCCGGCCCCCTCTGCCCCGACAGTCCTTAGATCCCCAGCCCAAGGGCTCCAGGGGGGAGGTCAGCGGCGGCAGCTGGCCCCCTCCCCCCCTCAGCACCGCCGCCTGGTCCGAGTACGAGGGCAGGGTGCGGCGGAGCGGCAGGTCGGGACTCGTGGGGCTGCTGTGCGGGAGACAAGAGCAGGTGCGTGTGTGTGTGTGCGTGTGCGTATGTGTGTCTGTCTGTGTATCGGTGTGGGAGGTGGTCGTAATGGGATGAAATTTCTTTTCTTTTTTCTCCCCCAACGAACCCGCCCACTCCCCTTCAGCCGCTTTACTCCATCCCATCTTTTCTCCCCCCCCTTTGTTTGACCCCTCCCCTTCCATCTCCATGCAACTTTGCCCCCCACCCCCCCCAACCCCCCAACCCCAACCCCCCAACCCCCCCCCAACCCCCCCCCCCACACACACACAACCACCCTCCGTCAGATTCCCATACCTGTCTTCAACGAAGTCGACCAGGCGCCGCCGCCCCTGCTCGGGGAGTACCTTTCCGTGGCGGCCTTCGAAAGCCGGCTGGCGGCGGACCTGGCGGCGGCGCGGCGGCAGCAGCCGGCAGTAGCTGCGGCGCTACAGGAGCTACAGGTGCTGGCGGACGCAGCGCAGCCGCGCTGGGGACAGGAGTGCGGCCTTGGTTATCACGACGCTGTACGGCAGCGGGAGTTGCTGGACGAGCAGCGGAAGGTGGAGCGGAGCGGCGGTGGCGGTGGCGGCGGAGTGTTGGTGACGGCTGAGGCCATGAGCTACGGGGCCGACGGGAGGCTGCTGTCTACCCGGCCTCTGGGTAGGGGTGGGGGAGGGGTGCACGGCCCCTGGATGAGAGATGGGGGGGTGTACGGCAGTTGGTTTGGGGCCAGAGCGGGGAGGAGAGGAGAGTCTTGTTGCTTGTGGTAGTGGTAGTGCTGCTGTCCGCCTGCCTGCCCCTATCTGGAGTTGTGTGCTCCCCTGCCCGCCGTGGTGTGCTTGCTGAGGATACTGCATGGCTTTGTTTCGTAACGCCTGGCTGCTACTGCTATTGCTGCGGCTCTGCGGCTACTACTACTGCTGTTGCTAATGTTGCTACTGCCGCTGCTACTGCTACTGCTGCTGTCAATTACTCACTGCCAACTGCTAACGGCCATTGCCGCAGGCATCCACGAATGCGGTCCCTCTTGCAGCCGCCCGGGTTGCAGGGCGAACATGCAGGTGAGGGGGCCGGGGGCGGGGGGGGCCGGGGGCGGGGGAAACCGGGGGAAGGAGGAGAGGAGTTGGGTCTGGGTGGGGGAGCACATCCCGATAACCATGGAGAGAGACCTTCCCTCCCCTCCCTCCCCCCCCCCCCGCGGGGGAGGTCCAGGACAAGGAAATGTCGTACGGCGCCCCCGGCAGCTCCAAGCGGTGCGCGAGGTAGCGGCACTGGGGCCGTTGGGACCATCCCGACGTTTACGGAACGCACCCTCCCCTCACTCCCCCCCCCCACACACATGCACTTGTGACCATTGTGAATTGAATATTAGCCCCGCCAATAAAACTGGCGGGATGGCGTCCCTTCTCCCTCCCCTCAACATCTCGGCCACCAGTGGTCCTCCGACCTCCGTCCCCCTCTGCTTCCACCTGAAACCTCACACGTGATACCGTAACCTTATGTACAAAAAATATTTTTTTAATCTGTCGTACACGTTCCGTACCTATGCCGTACGTGGCGTTTTTGCGGGGATCGGCGGCAGCTTTCCCTCGGTGTACGCCGTCCCCTTGAGGTGTTTCGAAGCCGCAACCGATCTAACGGTGATAACGGTAATAACGGCTGCGGGCGGTGGTCCCTCCGTTGCTCCGAGCCCTTGGAGCCCGGGGACTTCGTTGCCCCACTGCTGGGTCGAGTGGTGGCTGCACAGCAGCTGATGGACGAGCTGCTGTTGGGTTCCGGAGCAGCTGTCCGGGCCTCAGAGGAGCGGCGGCTGCCTGACCCCCCCGAGGTGCTGCTGCTGAACCACTTCTTTGGGCTGTGGGAGGTGGGTGGTTTCGGTCGGGCTGGGTGATGGTTGACGGGTTGGGTTTGTGGGCGTGTGTGTTTGTGGGTTTTGAGCAGCGTGCGTGTGTGTGTGTGTGTGTAGTTGTTTGTGTTTTAGAACATCTCAACTCAAACAGATGTTTGTAAAAAGAGACCTGTTTTCAGAATCGTACTTAGTCTTAGGCTCATGACTTCGGGAGAAGCATTATTCTATACCAAACCAAACTGCAAATAAGAGGTCACATCAGATATTTAAGCCCCAAGGGTGTTTGTGACTCCTGCCCGTGATTTCATGCCCTCCCCCTGTGCTGTGTGGCCTGCGTTCAAACGTTCGTCTAGAGCAGCTTCTGTGCGCCCTGGCGTCCGTGGCAAAAGCAAAAAGGAGGAAGACAAAACCCAAGCAGGCATGCAGGCAGGCAGGGGAAGGCCTCAACCCGGGCGGGCCTCCCGTCCGCATCCAACTCCCACCACTTCCCCTCCCCTCCCTCACCGCCTGGCACCCCCTCCCGACCTGCGGGCGGGGGGGGAGAGGGAAGAGCAGTTCATGTGTTACTGCCGCTGCCGCTGCCGCTACCCCCGATCTCAACCTTCCCCCCTTTCCCACCCCCCTCCTGCCCCTCCCTGCTCATCAAAACCCTAAAACACCCAAACCGACACGCTCATCGCCAACCACGGAAAAGGCGGTATTCACTCGGGGGCTGATCTGGTGCGATCAACACATGAGGCTGTGGCAGCTGCCGCCCAACCCCCTCTCCTGCGCGCTACGTAACGCCAGCTGTAGCAACAGCGATGACACTGCTACAGCCGCCGCCGGATCCGACCCAGCTCGTCCCGCCGTACGGCGCCTCGCCTGCATGCTCGCGCTGGATACGCGCAATGTTGGCAACGTTGCGCGGTTTGTACGGCAATGGACGCAGCCGACAGCGGCGGCGTCAGCAGCGGTGTCGCCGTCGGCGGGTCCGTCGTTGGTCGCGCAGCCGGTGCTGGCGGGCGGCTGTCGTAGTCCGTTGTTGTACTACGTGGGGTTGTTTGCAGCCCGGCGGGTGGAGGCTGGGGAGGAGCTCACATGCGACTTTTCGGCGATGGCGGTGGGGGGTAGGGGACCCGGGGGTTTAGAGGGCCCTGCACGGTGACCGCACGTGTGTGTGTGTATGTATGTATGAGTGTGTGGGGAGAGCCAGGGGGTTGCAGCTGCGGATGTGTCGTGCATTAAGGGGACGACGACGATGATGGTGATGGTGATGATGATGATGATGATGATGATGGTGGTGATGAGGACGAGGAGGTGATTGGGGGTTTGGGGGGAAAGTGTTTTTCGGATCCTTTCCTGATCCCGGGGTTTGCCTTGACTGTTGGTTGACTCCGCCGACTCAGGGAGCCCCAATCGCGTTTATCCAGGGTTTACTTGGGAGGAGAGGTCAGGAGATACTGGGGGTAGCATTTAGCTCTAAATGCCTTACCTTTTTTTGCAGTTTGTGTGGCTGGCTGGCTGGCTGGCTGGCTGGCTGGCTGGCTGGCTGGCTGGCTGGCTGGCTGGCTGGCTTAGACAGGAACGAACGGACCGACCGGAACCAAGGATGAGGCGAGAGCCGCAGAAAAATACTGCGTTATGCGAATAATCGGGTACGAATGATGGGGTACGATTGATCAGGTACGAATGATGTGTTAATGATAACGGGGCTGGACATTCAGGCATGGGTGGAAAGGCCACCGTTGCTGCTGCTGCTGCTGTTGTGGCAAAAAGCTGTAGCAGCTGCGACTTAATAACCGGTCAGCCGGATGTGGCATCTTGTACAGGCAGCAGGTACAGCATGCCTTGGGGCGTTCGCGGGGCTTAAACGTGCTGAAATGTGCCCTTGTTTCGTCAGCCAGGCAAAGACAAAGGCTGAGACAATCAAGTCTGGAATACATTGACGATAACTTCAGATGTACGTCTAGTTATGCCGCAGAAAGATACAGCCTGCAAAAAAAACAGCCTTGGGCAGGTGTATTCATAAAAAGTCCAACAATAAAAAGCTACTTCGAGGAGCGCATGTCGGAAAAGCCGCTGCTGCTGCTGCTGCTGCGGAGGAGGAGGAGGAGGAGGGAGCCACGAGGGAGCTCTGCAGCGCCTGCCTAGCGGGTATATCTGCGTGCGCCATGTGCCTGCAGGAGACCCCGCCCTTTGCCATTGAGCTGCATCAGCCAGCAGATCGGCCAGGCGCGGCCATTAGAGTCGCAGACACACCTGATCTAACTGAGGATAGAGTTGCACCCAGATGTGTGTAGTGTGTGTGTGTGTGTGCTGGATGAAGTTGTCGGCGTGGTGAACACCTCCACTCACCCCAAACACCAGCATGTAAGAAGGGTTCGGTTCCCATGGCATCTTGTTGAGTACTCTTGGCCTCTGGTGATACACAAGACCCGTGAACTGGGCGACATGCAGGTGCGGGTGGTGAGGGTCGACAGCAGCAGCAGCAGCAGCAGTGCAAAGCTCTGGGCCAGAGCACTGGGTGTTTTTTCAGCTGCAGACTGCCACCGTGACGTTGAGGACAACGGCATTGGACAGGTTGGGTAGGCGGCAACAACTCCATGAACAGCAGAGATTGTGGCTGTGAAGCTGCTGTGTGCTTTCAGAAAGTGCCTCGCTGCCATGTGGGTCACCTGCCGAGATGTTTGTGTTGTTATGGCCCCGCAGTTCAGGAATGGGGGCCGGTTGCGTGTGGGTTCCATTTAAGGGTCAATTCTGATCGTATGCTGGATTGCCCTGCCCATGGGACGGGGGGTGAGTTAAACTATCCATCTGGTCCACATTTTAGTTATGTTTCCAAGCGAGTGCCGACGACTTAACTGGCATCATTGTCAGTTTGGTAGTCCAACCAGTGCTCCGTGATGCCATGTGTTCGGGTGAGGTGACGCGCCTCACAAGTGTGCCCACCACCGGGTGAATTCATGTTGACGTCTACGTCAGCCTGCCGTGCGTTAGTTATGCGTCTGGCCGCCACGGTGGCGCGGGATAAGGACGCTGCGCTTTGTAGCAAATGGGCATATGCACGGTGTGCAGGTTTGTTTGGCATCATATGTTCCTGGGCTTAACACGGTTGTTGGAGGCGTGTGCACGGCTTCAACCCATCAGCGCGCCATGGGTATAGTTTCGCGTTAAGTTTCTTCCAGCGGTACAACGGACTTTTCCTGTTTCAAAAGTCACATTTTAGAGCCTGGAGCCATGCTTCTATGTCCTCTCCTCTGTACTTTGTGGTTAAGCATTTTTCATACGGTGGTAAAACGTTGACGAACAGCAACCGGTCCAGGTGCAAATTAAAACAACGAATACGTCTATTGAGGCCCCCAAATGTATCAAGTTATTTAACCAGCTTAGTGTCGCTCCGATACAATCTTGTGTTACTAGCCAACCAAGGATTGGCCAGCCATTCGTGACTCCTGCCATTAAGCTGTTGTTCGTATACATAAAAGGGCTATATCTATGCCATAGTCCGTTAGATGGACCATTTCTGGATTCATGTACCGGTACTCATAGGTAAGGGGGGGCAGGGCATGTTTTCGCACTGCGGTACGGCATGATGGCCGTCTGACTGAAGCGGTTGGTGGATTTGCCCGAGGCCAGAAGGCCCACAAGACATGCTAATAGTTCACTGCTTTCAGCATTTTAACGATATTGATTTTGTTATTGCTTACGTCTGGTGGCGTATAGGACTGCCCATCTATACAGGCAAGGAAACTTTGAGATGGCAGAGACAATAGTTGCGCCTGAGCTTCCGCGAGTAAAGCCAGCAGAGGTAGCTGAGCGATTAAAGGCTCATGAGATTGTGGTTGTGGATGTTCGGGATGCCAAGGTACGCGCAGCAAAGCCGAGCCGTAGCTCAGTCGTATTGGTTCAGAGGCCAACGGGTTTTCCCACATAGTATCTGATACATCGCAACATTGTGACTAGCAGGAGGTGGCTGAAGGACGTATTAAGGGTTCTTTGAACGTGCCATCGTCGGTCTTTAAGTCCGATGATACCACTGCGCTGGACGAAATCATTAAAGGCCAGCTGAACGGCGCAAAGGAGGTAGGCTGGCATTACGGCAATATCAGGAAAGGGACTTCCTCTAAATCCGGGGCGCTTTTTCATACTTTGCAACATGGCGAAACGCCGTAGCCTTTACTAAGGCCACCCGCTTGGCCTCTCAGGTGTCTAGAACACAGTTGCATAGGCAGTGTTCTGTTGATATTCGGTCACAACCGGGCGGCTGTTTGCCGGGCTGGGCGCGCGTACTGCAGGAAATGGTTACAAGACAACCCGGGTCTCGCCCACCCGGATGCGCCCTAATGCACATCCTGAGCATGTACCACAAAACTATCCCTTTCAGTCCCTTGCACATCCCTTTTAGTTGGAAATCCTCAGTCGCGAGCTGCACACTTTAGGTTCAGGTTTCAAGCCAGCTTATTCATAATTCCTCTCTACGCTTCCAGCCGCTGTGCTTATTCATTACCGCCTAAAGTTCCAGTACGGCGACGGCGCCATGCTCATATCAATCTGTGCATGGTTTTCCAATTCTTAACTCTCACTCTGCATCTCAGGTGGTGGTTCACTGTCACTTCAGCAAGGTCCGGGGACCCACATGCGCCCAGGCGCTTAGCAAGCAGCTGAAGGCGCTGGGGTTGGAGGCTGGAACTGAGGTGCGCACGGCCTCTGCTCGTATAAGGGCCTAAGGTGCCTAAGGTTCAATCGATGCGCGGCGATCTAGGTCGCTTGTTGGCGCATTTGCGCTTGTTTCAGCTCGTTTAAGATCTTCCCTAAGACGATACGCACATATGGTTCACACTTACTGCGCAGATAGGCCATGGATCATCTGACTCATCGCAAAAACACGAACGATAAAAAAATAAAGACGCCTGAAATTGGGCTCTTTACCAACCCACATCTTCCGCCTCACCGCCAGCCAACGCGCTCTCATGCGCGCTGCACAACCCTGCAAAATCGACGTCTGCATACAGGTCAAGGTGCTTGAAGGCGGCGTTGCCGCCTTCATGGAGCAGTTCAAGGAGGACCCATCGGTGGTCGAGCTTCCAGATGGTGGCTGGAACCCCGCTCAGAAGCACTAGAGGACGAGTGGTTGAGTGCTCACCGGATCTCCGCGTGGAACACCGGGGCAGGGCAGGGCAGGGCGCACGACAGTGCATGGCCGGGCAGCGCAGACTCCCACAGCCTAGGATGGCAAGTGCTCTAAAGGCATATGTGGCTTCCCGCTGTCAGGGCAGACGCCTTGGTCCTGGTCCTGGCTTGGCGTGTTAAGAAACGACTCGAGACCGTCTGACGCGGACTCATGCTGCTCGGGGCCAGTGGTGCCGCGCATGTGATGTGCCTAGAGGCCAGGAGAGGAGAGAGCAACAGCGAGAGAAGGTATTGCGCTTAGCAAGTATGGGCATGTATGATGTTTGCTGGCATGCCCGGCATGCACATGCGCACACGCATGTGCGCATGCCGGGGGCACACGCATGTGCGCATGGCTTCGGATGCATCCAGCGTTGCGAATGTGGCTGATGATACTGACCTCTGCCGCCGAAATGCTGTTCATGAAAATCGCACCGAAGTGTGGAGTCCGTGGAAGTGATCCGTCTTCAACGCTCTTACGCTCTTAGATTTGAGTCGTCTAATCCATGACCCTTGGACGTCCTCTGGAAAAGGGTATTTGTTTCTCTTGCGGGGAAGTGATGTGGCTGCCCAGAGGAATGAGGGTTTGACATGATGGTGATGATGATGGTGATGATGGCTGGAATTTGTTTTCCGTTTTGAAATTTCTGACATGTAATATGATTACGCGCGCAGGGAATGTTCTAGGGCACAGTGGAGCGAGTATATTTCACTTTGTACGTAGAAGCCCGAACTCGCGTAAAAACGAGTAATGAACACAACTGTGCATACCCTTCGTCTTGTCACACTCTCGCACACATGCCATTGGACATGAATTCACACCTCTGACCGAGAGCCGCTATTTTCACCACCCCAGACATCGCTTCCGAGCAGCCAATGATGCAGAGCAGTCGCCACCTCTTTTCCTTCATAGCATCTCTTCCGGGATCGGAAAAACGCTTCGCGCCCTCGCCTCAATCACAACTTAAATTCGATTAAAGAATTGCTCGTTCATAGCAGACAGCTTTTGTACAGCTGCACTGTTAGCATAAAACAAGTACACAACCACAACAAGAAGCCGGCGGTCGTATCGGATGCGACTGCGACGAGGTTCATTCATTTAAATATACACAGACAGACACACAGACAGACACACACACACACACACATACACACACACTCACGCATACGGGTGAAATAGACCGGGCTGCCGAATGCTGATATGAGACACTGGGTTCCTCCGGTGCGCTGGGCGGCTGGAGGGGGAGCTCTCACCATGAAGGTGGAGGAATAATCCTGCATAGAGCCTGGACCAGGGGCTGTATTCCAGGTGGTGGTTGGATAACGAAACCGGGCGGCGGCAGGATTCGCAAGGATTTGGCTCCGGTGTGAGTGCATGGGTAGATCGTACAGCTGTAGAGGATGCACTTTCGGTGGGACGGAGGTTGCTTGGCCATGAGCTGGTGTATATAGCTGGCCAGAGGATTCGAACAGGTGACGGCGCCTTGCGTTGATGATAAGGGAGAACGGTTCGAACCGATATAACGCCGCTCCAATTCTGGAGTGCTCCGGCGGTCGATCCCGTTGGGGTACGGCTATGTAACACATACACACATACAGACAGACACACACGCAAACATACATACAGATATACACGCGCGGCTAAGATCATTAAAAAAACACGCCCGCGAATTCCCGAAAGCGCTCCCGCAAATCGCCACTCGCGTACCGTGCAGTGTGCCCGTCTCCTCGCGACCAACCCCCCGAGTTTTGGCCGTGCCCGTCCCAACCCTCCACACCCCCGACCATTTTCTCCCCTCCCCATTCTCTATCCCTGCGTAGCGCCTGCCCCTTTGGACGAGCAAACGTGCAAAAGGCCGGGAAGCTCACATGGTCCAAGTGTGACTGCCTCCAAGCGGCCCAATTGAATGAAGCTTCTATAACTGCTAGCCACTTCAACCGCCGCTTTAACAGCTCCTAAGGAAAGTTAAGTCCTTAACGCCTGAAGGCCCCGCCCGCACCGCTGCCCCGCGTAATGCCGCTGCCGCCGTCGCCGCTGACGCTTTCGATTGTGCGCGCCGCCGCTGCTGCTGCTGATGCCGCCGCGGCCGCTGCTGCTGCTGCAGCCCTCATGCGCTGGACTTCCGCCAAGATGGCGTCAAAGGAGGGTCTGGCCGTTGTATTTGCGTTTGTGCGTTTTGTGTGGGGTGGGATTTGTGTGGGGTGGGGTGGGTGGGGTGTATTGTATATTTAAAAATTGTGTTTGGCCCGGTGGTTGAAAAGCATCCAGAACCGCGACAAGGGGGCCCGGCTGGAGCCGCTCCACTCCACTCCACCCCACTCGGCTGCGTGGGCGACAAGCGCAACACACACAAGGACATGCACATGCACATGCACATGCACATGCACATGCACATGCACATGCACATGCACATGCACATGCACATGCACATGCACATGCACATGCACATGCACATGCACATGCACATGCACATGCACATGCACATGCACATGCACATGCACATGCACATGCACATGCACATGCACATGCACATGCACATGCACATGCACATGCACATGCACATGCACATGCACATGCACATGCACATGCACATGCACATGCACATGCACATGCACATGCACATGCACATGCACATGCACATGCACATGCACATGCACATGCACATGCACATGCACATGCACATGCACATGCACACGTCAACTACGCGAGCCACCATCGGCACCACCACTTACCGCTTCCGAGGATCAGCTTGCCAGCAGCTCTCAGCGAGGCTCCGGTAGTCGGGCGGCGTGTGGGGCGGCAGCACCGGCCGCAACCCCTGGAAAGCCACTTGGTGCGGAAGCAACGCCCGGTTTATACCCTTGTACGGCCGGTCCCCCGTAAAAAGCTCGTACAGGAGGATGCCGTACGCGTACGTGTCGCAGCTCTTGCTGATGTGGCCGTGCAGCAGCAGCTCCGGTGCCGTGTGCGTCAAAGTACCCTGCCAGGGGGGGGGAGACGGCAGGGGTGGTGATGTACGGCAGAGCGATGCTCGATCTGTACGGATGTGTGATGCAGGGACCGGCAGTAGCTTACAGAGGACCGAGTACGGCAGGGTACGGCATAGCTGCCACCCTGCGGAACTACAACAAGTTATAATCAGTGTATTCTCAGGGTCCCTAAAACCCTAAAGTAAAACCCCCTAAGAACTTCCCCTCCCCCAGCTCCGCAAAACATCCGAGAACCCCAACCACCACCCGGCTCACCTGCGCCGCAGATGCCGAGACGTGGGTGCCGTGCGCCGACTCGTCAACGTGTGTCGCCAAACCAAAGTCACCCACCTGGACATCGCGGATGGGGAAAACACGGCGGGTGCCACCAAAAGCCGTTAACTGCTTCAGGCCGCCCCCGCCTTCCCCCCCCCCGACGGGAAGGGGCGCCGGCGGACAACTGAAGAGGTGCAACTGCTGATAAATACAGGATCCAAATACAGGATTCAAATACAGGATCCAAATACAGGATTCAAATACAGGATTCAAATACAGGATCCAAATACAGGATTCAAATACAGGATCCAAATACAGGATTCAAATACAGGATCCAAATGCAGGATCCAAGTAATGGATCCAAATACAGGATCCAAATACAGGATCCAAATACAGATTCAAATATAGGATCCAAATACAGGATCCAAGTAATGGATCCAAGAGACACATACATGACATACACGCAAGCAAATGGGCAGGCAGGCACAGAGCAAGCACAAGGGAGGAAAGGCAGTCCGCAAAGCAGGACCGTTTCATACCAAAGCAAAACGCGGCAAACCTACTTACACCCTACCTACACCGATGGCCTCCCAGGGCTGTGTACGCCACGGAGTCACCACATGTGTGCGTGTGTATGTATGTGTGTATGTGTGTATGTGTGTATGTGTGTATGTGTGTATGTGTGTATGTGTGTATGTGTGTATGTGTGTATGTGTGTATGTGTGTATGTGTGTATGTGTGTATGTGTGTATGTGTGTATGTGTGTATGTGTGTATGTGTGTATGTGTGTATGTGTGTATGTGTGTATGTGTGTATGTGTGTATGTGTGTATGTGTGTATGTGTGTATGTGTGTATGTGTGTATGTGTGTATGTGTGTATGTGTGTATGTGTGTATGTGTGTATGTGTGTATGTGTGTATGTGTGTATGTGTGTATGTGTGTATGTGTGTATGTGTGTATGTGTGTATGTGTGTATGTGTGTATGTGTGTATGTGTGTATGTGTGTATGTGTGTATGTGTGTATGTGTGTATGTGTGTATGTGTGTATGTGTGTATGTGTGTGTCGCATCACAAACATAACACAGCAAATAGAGCGCGGCCAGGCCAAACAGAGCGCGAAACTGAAAGGACGGACGAGCTCCATGGTTCCATACTCGTGCACACTGCAAACGCGCACACGGACCTCGTACCGCCGCACCGCACCTTGGCCACGACCCCCGGCGGGAGCTCCGCTGCCAAGACTGAAGACGGATTGGAGCCATGGACAGAACTGCCGCCGCCGCCGCCGCCGCCGTACCCGCCAGCGCCGCCACCACTTCCGCCGGCAGCTGCTGCCGCACTGCCGTAGCGGGTCCCGGTGCGCGGCGGCGCCAGATTTTCCTCCAGGGAGGGCAACCTGGCGGCGGCCAGCCACAACGACCCGGCCTCCGAGATAGAAGAATCGAACCCAAATAAGCTGTCGTTGCCGTACAAAGTTGCCGCCGTACGGCCCGCGCCAGCGCCGCTAGCGGCATCGGCGGCTTGCGTGTAGGAGGGCGTATGGAGGCTTTCCAGGCGGTGGCAGATACCCGAGCTGAGCATGACATTACTCGCCTGCGGGGTCGAGTGCTATTTCGCGAGTGAGTGTGTCGGACGTGATTGGGGCCGTTGGTTCAGTCTTTTTGTGTAGCGGTAGCGACAGACGCCGCGATTGTGGTGACGATGGACGCGGATAACCGGTAAGAATCTTCTGATGGAAGTTTTTACTAAAATTGCACAGATGGTGCATTTTACCAAGACGCCAATACGCGTGCGCTGCCGTACCGTGCCGTACCTTTAGGTCGCCGTGCACGATCCCGTTGGAGTGCAGGTGCAGCATGGCCGACGCGACGTCACACGCCATCGCAAGCATCAGGTCGTACCGGTACGACGGCGTGCTCGTCCGGGCGCTGACGTCAGCCGTCGCCGCGGGGGGCGTTGCCGGCGCATGCGGATTCCTCCAACATCCCGCCGTCGCCGATGACGTCAGACACGTTATCACCGCGAGGCCATGTCGCTGCGCCTCCGCCGCCTCCGCCGTCGGAGCCGTACCCGCCACCAACGCCACTGACTCCGGCGGGGAGGTGCGCTGTGACGCTTCCCGGGGCAGTACGACGTCCACCTCGCCGCCGCCGCCGCCGCCATCTCCAGCGTTGCCACGCGACAGGGTGAACCCAGCTGGCGAGGAAGACGACGCCGCTGCTGCCGTACCCGCGCCTTCCTCTTCTTCGGCATCGGCGGCGGCGGCAGCACTGGAAAGTGTGGCAGCGACGGCGGCTGTGCTGGGTGCGGTTGTCGTGGAGCTAACCGCCGCGGCGGGTGGTGCCGTACGTTGTAGCTGGGCAAATGTTGCGGAACGAGGTGCCTTACAGGTCAGCCGGCAGGACATGGTGGTGTCCCCGTCGACCGGCCTGGTAACGATCAGGGATTCCATCGCCTCGTCAAGTTCCAACGCCGCGTCCCCCCCAGGCGCCGCCGGCGCCGGCGCCGGCGCGGAGACTGCCGTACAACCCGATGAGTACGGCACATGTCGCGGCGTGCGGGGGTGGAAGGCGCCCTTGTCGAGTGCCTCCCGAAGGGTTCCGAGGTCGCAGTACCTGTACGACACCAAAATACGGCGTATGGATGATCATGGATTAGTGTCCAGAATGAGTGTGTGTCTCAGTATTTGTGTCCTCGTCATTGACCTTCTTCTGTCGTGTCCTGTCGTATTACATGTCTTACGTGCGCTGCTTAGCTGTCGTCTGACTGCCGTATATTCCCGCCGCCATACTGCCCTGTCACGACAAACCCTCCCCCCTCCGCTCTCCCCGCTCCCCCCCCTCTGCCCTCCCCGTCCCGCGCCCCGCGCCCCGCCATTACGACCCACTCGAGGACAAGCTGTAGCTCGTAGCGGTGCGGGGGTATGGGCGGCTCCAACGCCCCGCCCACCATGCCGCTGGCCGCCAGCCTTGCAGGGAACCTGTCGACTCTCCCCCCACACACACGGCCGCCGTTGTACGGCACCGCCATCGCCGCACCGCACCGCAGCCGTTGGAACATTGATCAGCGCCGTGACGACAACGTCGCCGACCAGTGCGGTGGTGGCAGCAACAGAAGAAATAGCAGCAGCAGTAGCAGCGGCAGCAGTAGCGCGCGACATGGCAGCAATAGCCGAGGCACACAGCAAAGGCAACGAAGCATGACGGAAAAAAGAAAGAAGGAATATAGAACCTTAAAAATTCAAGATCCTTGAAATCAGTGGCGTTGGAATGCCGTACCCAGCCATATCGTACCAGCTAGCTTGCCAGCCAACAACAACAACAACAACAACAGCGGCACGAACGACAACCATACAAGGCTGCACCACACCACATCACCAGCTGTTGTCCAAAGGCTCCCCCGGGCTCGTACCCCCCCTTCCGTACGGCTCACATGTCCCCCCTTTCGTACGGCTCACATGTCCCCCCTTTCGTACGGCTCACATGTCCCCCCTTTCCGTACGGCTCACATGTCCCCCCCTTCCGTACGGCTCACATGTCCCCCCTTCCGTACGGCTCACATGTCCCCCCTTTCCGTACGGCTCACATGTCCCCCCTTTCCGTACGGCTCACATGTCCCCCCTGCCTACGGCACTGTCCAGAACCGCGTTGAAGTTGTAGCAGTACGTCTGGTGGGCTCGGGAGTGAGACGGGTAAGTGAACGACTAATGAAGTAATGAACAGACAAACAAACAAACTCGTAACAGAGAAACATTAATATATATAGTTTGTTTGTATGTCTATATATAATACTTTTTTTTATTATTTACTGGGATTCCACCGCTGACAAGGTCGGTCACATGGGGGTGCCATCCGTACATGGTACGTGAAAAGATACAAAGACACGAAAGGGGAAGGACCTGCTTGCGCTACTAAGAAATAGTAATACGACAGTGTGGTACGGTATACCGTACGGTACCTGTACGACACGCGGGTGCTGCGCCATGGACGATACGGCGGCCTCCATGACTGCCATGTGGTGGTGGCGCTCGTCCGGCGATAAGCTTGCTGGCAGCATCAGCACCTTGACGGCCACAGCAATGCCTTGCCACACCCCTAAGGAGCCGAGGGAAGGCGGGGGAGGAGGAGGAGGCGGGGGAAAGACGAACCACGAACGAGTGAAGCTGCTGCCAGGGCAAGAGTGTACCAGACGCAGAACTGACCAAAAGGCGTTTTTGAAGTGCGGCGACCTCGTGGGATGACGTTGTGAAGAAGATGTCGGAAAACTACCTACCTACCTACCTAGCCGCCAAGACTAAAATAAGAACGCAGAAGAAAAGCAGTAATGCCAAGCCGTAAAGAAGTAAAGATAGGCGGCGGGGAAGGGGCGCCCGTGCAACACATATGTCCGTCCGTCTGTCTGTCTGCCTGTCTGTACCACACACCCGCCTGTACGGCACGCACGAGCCCACTCTCCTGGACACGGTGTTCTCCCCGCCAGGAGGAAGAGACGCCGTTTCTCTCTCCGTACACACACATACATACATACATTACATACATACATATATACGCACGCACGCACGCGCCTCAAGCCATGAGCACGCGACTACCTCGGTACACGCGGCCAAACGCTCCCCGCCCGATGGGCTCCAGTATCCGGACCGCTGCGGACTGCCTGCCGCTGCACGCCAGCTGCCACCTCACCGCCTCCACAGAGGACGACGTGGTGACGGACAGCGGCGTGAGGCTCAGCCCCAACACCGCCCCGGCAGCAGCAGCAGGGGGGGGGTCTTGTGGCCGCGTTCTTACTGTACACGCTGCCGCCGCCGCCGCCGCCGTCGCCCCCCGATCTCCTGGTACAACATCGCCTGTTGGGGCCCCGCCACCGATGATGGCGGCGGCGGTAGTGATGGCGGTATCAACACCGCCAGCTGCAGTGTGGCTTGCGTGCACCTGACCCAACAGAACACCCCCACCATTGGCATCGCCACCACCACCGCCGCCGTTACCGCCACTACCGCCGCCAACAGCGCCATCGCCATTTCTTTTCCTGGCGCCGGCACTGGAGAGCTGGAAAGCAGCCGGCGCTCCAGACGCCGGGTAACCACGAAGGGCCCGGCAGCACACGAGGAGGAGGTCTAGGAGGGAGGACCGTCCGCCCGGGCAGTGGTGGCGCTGGTGTTGCTGGTGCTGCCTATGGTGGTGGTGGTGCTGCTGCTGCTGATGATGATGATGAGGTTGACTGTGGTTGCCCCGCCGTACAAGGGCGTACAGTGCGAGGCCTAGCAGCAGCAGCAGGAGGAAGAGGCCGACAGATCCTGAAGAAGACGCGGCGGCGGAAACGTGGACGGGTGCGTGACGGCGTGTGATTGTAGCTGGGGGATCCCGGAGGCAACACAACACAGCTCCACACGGACTCAAAACCCGGCATCATAAAGACGTAACGACACAAATAACACAGGCATACCACATTCACAACCATGCAGCTCCAACAAGCCCGCTTTGCAAATCCCGCTCAGTCCCCTCTTCAGTCCTCAATACTTTCCCCCCACCCCACCCCGCCGCCCGCGAGGGGCTCGCTCCGTCGCTCCTAAACACCTGCAGACACACAGGTAAGCTGAACATACCGCATTGACACACACACACACACACAGACACACACACACACACACCTAAGCTGGCACCCAGCGCCACCCGCCTCCGGGGTCCCGCGCCATCACTTTCTCCTGATGACGTCGCCGTCATCTCCACCTGCTGCTGCTGCGGCGGTGGCGGCGGCGGCGGCGGGGGCTGCTGTACTCCGCTCCCGCCATCAGTCCCTGAGCCCGCCGGCAGCAGCTGCTGCCAGCGCCCCGCTCCCTCCCCTACTCCCCCGTCGACCCCTTCTTCTGCCGTCGCCGGTCTCCCGCCTTCTTCATCGCTATCGTCATCTTCGTCGTTTGCGTGCGCTGCCAGCAGATCCGCCACGCAGCGATCCACCCCCAGCTCTGCCACACAACGGTCGTCCGTATAGTAGTCGCAGGCCATAGCGGAGTTCAGGTACCTGAAAGACGAGGACACCACAGCACAGCACAGCACAAAAGTTGAAAGTTCCTCGCAAGTGCGGGGCCCGTCCGTAAAAGCCTGAAGGGGGGCCATGGACTGCCAACAGCCATTGCTGCTGCGCCGAGTGAGGACGTGTTGACATATTCTCCTCCCCCGCTCGCCTGTGGCCTCAGCGCGCCTGCCTGAGCGCGATGTGCCTGTTGGTCTCCTCATCAGACCTCCCGAGAGAAAACTATCCACAGCTTTAAGGGGGACTTTCGCCATAGTAGTGCGCATTACGCGGCGGCCCCAGAAGCCAATATGCCCCCCTCCCTCGTCTAAAACTCCAAGCTGGTGGTCATTCACACTTGCAACAACCCGTTCTCGACCACTCCGCAGTCACAAAGCCAGCGGTAGGTAGGTACATGCAGCACGCTCTCGCGGCCTTTAGGACATTCGTTAATCTGTTTCACCACAGCCCCCGACAACCCAATCTGAAACGCATGAGCACCTGGTGCAATGGCCTATATAGGCAACACAGCCCCGGTGCGAGCGAGCCACCGCACTCGTGCGGTGCGGGAGGTGCCCTCATCTTGTACTGATACCGACATGCCTGCCTTCATAACCCCATCCGGTGACTCCGTGGTGGCAACACCCCCCCTGGGTCGGCTATAGGGTGTCAGCACACGCCCACCTCGCACCACCTTTCAGAATATCACCAATAGGCAGTTCAATGGCAGCATAATCAGCCACCAACCCCCTGTCGGCCCTGTAGGCCCCCTCACAGGGGCTGGGCTAATGCACCCGCCATACCGGCCAGGAAGGCAAGGACCCCTCCTGGCCAGCAGTCAGTGATACCCTCAACCGCCAGGGCCCCAGGTCTGAAACGAACGCTAGGTGGCACATTGTCCCGCCACGGCCTCTCGCCACGGAGATTCAAAACCTAAGAACAGAACAAGGGCGGCCCAATGGCACTGCAGTGGCCGCACTGAGATGTAGCTTATCGCTGTAGATTCAAATCATATCGGGATTTCTCGCAACTGCAACAGATCGCAAGACTGCTATCACGCTATTCCTCGACCAGTGGGTCATCAGCCATTGCGCTCACATCGATGAAGCCGGGGCCCCACACGCCTGGGCTGTGGTGCCGTACCGTGCCGTACGTTACGCGCGCCGCGTTAGGTCTTACCTGACCACGTAGCCGCCGTTGTTGTCCATTTTGAAATCGAGCATCTGGGTCATGAACGCCACGTCGTGGATGTCAAGGTACGGCGATCGGCAAAGCGTACGGTTTGCTGTCACTGCACCGCCTGTGCCATTTCCTGCCTTCGCCGCTGCTGCATTCGGCATCGGCCCCGCCTTTGCCGGTGGCCTTGTGCTCCAGCACAGCGGCGGGCTGCTGAGCTCCCCGAACACCTGCTCAGCTCCCGGTGATGACGACTGATTGCGACCAGGAGCGATTGTGGGTCGCGGTCGTGGCAGGCGCCGGAAATCTACGACCCCCATGGCCGGCGGCATGCACGCCAGCCGCCGCTGTATGACACCCACAAGCTCCACTTGCGCTCCTGGGCTGCGAGCCATGAAGGTCAGTCGGCTGCCGGTACCGCTGTAGCTGCGGAAAAGCTCAAGCGAACGCAGCGTCAACACCGCGCCTGGAACCAGCTGGATCTTGCCGTACAAGAAGGCAAAGTCCAGCTTGCTGGGTGAGCAGAACAAGAGCGGGAGGGCGTGAAGGAGGAACCCAGGTGATGATGATAATGACGATGATGATGGAGGAATTGGGGTTGGGTTGCAGTTGGCGATGTGTGCTAAATTGTTTAATTGTCCTGCGCTATTAGAAATTTTATTCCTCTGCAGCCCAGGAAAGCTGAGTAGAAACTCTAAACTAATGGATCGTTGTGTAATCTGCAAAAGGCTAAGTGCGTGCTGCTATGTCTTCTTACGTAAGCTGCAGGAATGAAGTTCCGTTGCTTGCGGCCGCTGAAAGAAGAAGCTCGGAGATTGGCACCGCGCCGCTCTGGTTTGCCCCAGTTCCAGATGGAGCACCTTCGATAGACAGGTTCCGACGGATAACCACGGCCGTGGTTGGCACATCCTTGGGATCCAATTGCAGGTCTGATCGAAGCTGGATGACCAGGACGGTTGGATGCAGGAGCAGCGTGAAGAAATCGCGGGTGGAAGTCGCAGCTGCAGTTCTAGAAGCCATTTTGCTTAGTTGAGAGGCTGCTTGCTGAACAGCTAAGCCGGCAAGTATTAAAGAAAGCAAGAGTAATGTTAAAAGTGCTGAGGTGGGGTTCTTCGCTGAGAGACTGCGTCTCATGTCGACCGCATGCTGCGGCGTAGCACGTTCCCGATAAGAGCAGAGGGTTTTTATTAGGATGGCTACTGTGTGCGTCAGCACGGCACGGATCGTAGACGACTTGCTGCAGGACTTTGGTTCTTTGGGCCTAAAGTTAACGTTCTGTGTAAATCAAAGAAAACCTTCGCGTCCGGTAGTGTCATGCACTTGTCCGGCGGCTAATCAAGGGACAGCGTTAACTCGGCATACGGTTGTCCTGAGCCATGCAGAATCGGGTATCATGATTAATGCCTTTCTTAGGGTTTCGTGGTTCTTAGACTGCTCACTCGTGGTTCCAGGCTCGGCCAGTACAAAATACAACGTAAAATGTTTTGTGTGGATTACCAAGATAAATAAAGGCGTTTTGTTGCCTTGCCTTTCGACAAATGATCCAGGCTGAATCCATTGCTGACCCTGGGGTCAGTCCAGGAAAGGGGAAAATTGTTGCAACTTAGGATCGTTCTCTAATGATTTATAAATGTAATTTATAGAAAAATACATAGGCGTTGGCGCGTTTCTCCTATTGCCTCCTATTGCCTCCTTGTCCATGGCTCCATTCTAAGGCCTATTTCAGGTAACATAATATAAATTTGGATGTTATGTATCAAATTAAATATTGTAATTGATGCCATTGCTTGTAATGCCTGGGGTCAGTTACGTACGGCCCGCGTTTCTGTGTTGTGCCAAGCCGGCCAGACTAGTGCTTGAAACCATCCTCCATATAAATTCGTTACCCTGATACCACTGATGGGCACTAAATATATCGTATTAACTAAGGAGAAGCGTTCACGATTATTTTGAACTCCTAAAACGGACTATGTTTCTGTAATTGTAAACATTGTCACCAACAATGTAGTCTAATAAATTCAGCTTATGTCTTGACGCTTGTTGCGCCGTTGCTGTTAGTCATTCGCAAGTTGTCGACCTAGCTAGCCACACGAACACTCAGAACTTCGCTATAAGAAATGACATTCTGAGGGCTGAACGTCAATGAGCACAGCGCAGGGAGATCGGCCGGGCTGGACACGGCATTGGGAGGTGAGCGTGGTGTCTGTTACACGAAACGATATGCCCCGTCCTGGCGTCGATGGCCATTAACCATCGATCATCCTTCCTGTTTCCATCAACCATGTCCAGGTTCTCGACCGCGTCGGCCTGCCAGACTTCACACCCGACGTGCTCTGGCAAGGTACATAACGGATATAACCGCCTCTCCGGCAAAAAGCAAACTAGCAACGCATTACCAGCCAACACCAATTATCCCATAAGGAAGTAATGAGCAGGGACTCACCCCACGGACCCCGCACAAGCCATCTCCACACAGCGCCGGTACACAACATCGGCCGTCCGCAACATCGCGCCTTCACGGCCCGCACAGCTCCTCCTCTCAGCACACGCCCGTCACCTCATCCGTACTAAACTCGCGCCTACTAACCCCAGTACCGCAACCCAGTATCATCAATAACTGCATTAAAAGCCCTAACATACATACATACAACCTTAAGAGTCATTCGTACATACCAACCTCAGCCTAATCCCTGGTAGCCACATAGCCACATGCACCCCGCGCGACCCAGCTACTCCAAGGTCTCCTTCCCCCACGCTTACCTGGAGTATCCGACCATCTCGGGGTTCTGCTTCAATTGCCAGTGGTTCGTCTTAACCCAAATCTTGTCCTGACCCGTGGGTCGCCGCCCGCAGCCGACGTGCTCCACAGAGCTGGCGTGCAGCTGGCCCCGCGTCCCAAAGCAAAGCAAGACGGCAGGGTCTCCTCAGCAGGCACCGCCGCCGCCGCGGCCGCCGCCAGCAGCAGCGTTGCTGTCGGCGGCGGCAAAGGAGCCAGCAACGTTGACGGAAGCAGTCGTGTAAGTCGCCGCGGCCCTCAGAGCCACCCCTTGCCAGCTCGGGTCGCAGTGGCCGCGGCGCTGGCGCAGAGCTCCGCCAGCAGCAGCCGAGGTGAGGGGTAAGGGAGGGCTCACAGCCCAGAGGCTGCACAGTGGCCAGAGAGCTTAATTACGAGCCTAATTAGGAGCAGGGGTGTTGATAGTTAGGAAACATCGGAAGTTGTGTAAGGTGGGGCAGGATAGTAACCACCTTTGGGGTCAGCGAGAGAGTTTTTCTTTTGCACTAACCCCCTCGCCATCAGAACTGCCATGCCCTTTCTGAACCTGTACGGCTGTACGGCACCCAATCTTCTCTCCTCAATTGACTCCACGGCGACGGCACTTGGGCCCTGGGACCGGTTCCACGCGGTACGACATTATTGTCGTACGGGGCGATGTTATCATCCATACGGCGGCGACGGCGTATCGACGGCAGGTAGCAGCGGCGGCAGTGGCGGCGGCGCCGTCAGCCTGCATGTACGTCTACGACCGGGGACTGCTAAGCAGCCCTCCAAGCGATGTCACCAGCCCCCAGTTCCGTTGCAAGCCGCCGTAAATCTTCAGTTGGTAGAAGATCTTGGAATGTACGGGCCGTACCAAGCGCAGCCACAGGCGTGGCCGTCGCCGTCGTCATCGCCGCCGTCACCGTCACCGTCGCCGTGGCTGTCCGGCGGCGGCGGAGACAACGGCAGCCCCAGTGCCGTGTACGGCAACGCCATTGGAAAGGATGACGTAAGCAGGCTCGCCGAGGATGGCGGGAGCTGCCAGTCGGCCAGCACTTTGCCGTCGCTGGGTCCGCCAACGACCATGAACTCACCACACGGGAGCGGCGATGTCTTGCTTAGCTCTCCAGGGCTGGCGGCGGCAGCGGCGGCGGTCGCAACGCAGCCCGACGGCAGCGGCAGGGGCGACGGCACGTCGGGCCGTGGTGTCTCCGTCGTGTCGTTCCGCCTTCCGACGCCGACAACGCAAGCGGCGCGGGTTGGACCACTGACGGCGGCGGGGCCGCTACCGCGTCCAGGCAGCGGCCGGTCCACCGCCGCCGCCGCCGCCGCCGCCACCACAGGTGAAACAGTGTTCAACGCGTCCCATGGCGAACCGAGTCCCGAGTTGCGATTGAGTTCTTCCGGAAGGCTTCGTCAAGAACAGCAGCAGCAGCTTCCCCACCCTCCGCCGCTGCTGCAGCTGCCATTGCCGCCGCCGCCGCAGCAGCAACAGCAGGCTACTGCCGGGCGGCCCTCTCCGGGCGTCAGCAGTAGCGGTGGCGCGCTGACGGCCCAACCCCGGGCGTCTTGCAAAGGTTCTGCTGACGCGGGGTTCTTGCTGTACTCGAACTCATATCCGTATACGCAGCAACAGCAGCAGCAGCAACAGCAGTGGTGGCAGCCTCCGTTACCGCCGCAGCTGGCCGGGGGAAGGTCGCTATCAGGGGAGCTCTTGACGCCGTCGCAGCACGGCGGTGCCGTACAGCTCGCGACGGCGGTGGCGGCGACGCCGCGGGAGCGGTACAGGGCCATTATGGAACGCGCCGGGAGAGCGGCGGTGCACAAGCAGCAAGAAGGCCGGCGGCTGGGCGCGCTGGCGGCGGCGGCGGGGTCGCCCCGCATCCGCCGACCTGGTCCCGGGGTAAGCGCTCCACTACCGCCGTTCCTTAGAGACCCCTGGGGCCCCCAGCCCCCGGGCTGTAGTTCTCTCCGTGCTCCTCTCCTCTCCTCTCTGTCTCTGTCTCTGTATACATGTATGTGTATACAGCTTGGGGTGGATGTCGTCTGATCCGCTGATGTACGACAGCTACTGCCCCTCAAAAATGCCTCAAACTAAGGCTCCGCCGCCGCCTCATCGTCATGTCACCTTACCCGCGCACAGAGGGTCTTTCCGCCGCCATACGGGCCCCGCTAGGGTACACCAGGCAAAACCATTGCCCATTCATAACCTCTCCGGCTGCTACTGCCGTTGTTGTTCTTGCTGCTGCTACTGCGCCTGCTATTGCTACTGTTGTTGCTACTGCTGTTACTGCTATTTCTAGGGCTCCGATTCGGATGATGCGGATGCGGATAGTGATGGCGAGGGCAGTGGCGGCCGCGGTGGTAGCCGCTCCGCGTCGCCGACATCGTACGGCGGTCTCGGCCGGTGGGGAGCCCGTTGGACGCCGGCCTTGGCGGCGCTAAATGCGGAGGGAACATCCTCAGCCGGCGGCAGTGGCGGAGTTGGCGGCAGTAGCAGCCGCGACGAATCACCGGGTGTGTTACCTTGTATTGCCTACTACTGCCGTACTACACGTGTGCCGTACACTTGCATACATGCACGCGCAAATATTGGGCCATCCCTTTTTTACCGACCCATAGAGAATTGTTGCCTGTGGAAAAAATGCCAGGTAAAATTGATGAGTCGGCGACTGTGGCGACGGCGATGGCGACGGCGGCGGCGACGGCGGCGGCGACGGCAGCGGGGGGATTCCCACACGGCGATGGACAGCAAGCTCCGTCCGGCCCACCTGCTCCGGAACCCAGCTACCAGAGCCCGGCCCAGCTTCGTGACGGGGCGGCGGCACGGAGGTGTGGCGTAGCGGAGCGTGCCGTGTGGCAGCTTCGTCGAGCCTTGGACGAGCTGAGCCGATTCAGTTGCGCGAACGCGATGCAAGGCGGGCTGGAGGAGGGAGGTTCGGTGCTGGCGCAGGTGAGGTGACGAGTACGGCAATACGAGTACGACATGCTCGTTTTCTCTTCTTCCTTTTCGGGTGAATAACGATGATGTTAATAATGTTAGTGATGATCCGAGACCGTGAGGACTATGTGTTTTTCCGCCTGTTCAAAGCTGTAATCGTACAAGCGTACGGCGTATACCCCTGGCGGGCAGGTCGATGCGCGTATCATGGCGCTACGGCGGTACGACAGGGTGGAGCTGGGACCCGACGGCCGCCGTACTTCTGTCATTCCTCCTCCTCCGCCAGCGTTCCCGCTGGAGGCAGCGCACGAGTACTTGACGGCGGCGCAGAGCGGCGTGGCGGGTCTGGAGCAACTTGAGGAGGCGGTTGCATCAATGAGGAAGAAACTACAGGTACGGCAGTACGGCGTTTGGAAATACACGTTTCTGTGGGGTTTGGATATACTGATGATTACTGACGATGTTACCGTTGTGGTTTGTTTCTGTCGTACAGATCGTTGTGGGTCAGGATACAGATGACTTGCGACGGGCTGCGGCGGAGGCCCTGGCAGATACAGGTTCCAGCGGGGTTTCGGAGCCGGGTCACGTCGCCTCCGAAAGCGGCGGCGCCGACGGCGGCGCCGGCTCCCAGGCGCTGCCGCCGTACCCCGTACGACGGCCCAGCAGCGGCTGCACATTAGGATCTGCAGCCCCCAACGGAGGCGGTCCTAATGCGAGTTATGACAACTACTATTACCAGAATTACCAGAATTACCAACTGCCTCTGGCAAATGGTATGGAACCGTTGTCAGCCAGGCCGTCGTACAAAGGATATACTACTCCACGACGAGCCTCAACCGCAGCGTCAGGTAGCGGTTTCGATACCGGGGCTTCTCTGTCCGGCGCCGTCGGAGACGCTGGTCTCAGTGCCTTCCAATCGCCGCCGTCTTCGTCGTACCCGTCGTACAGCGGCGGTGTTAACGGTGTCGCGCCGCCACCGCAGCTGGCGATATCTCCCCGGACTGGTCATCCCTTGCAGCCTAACCGCAAGCTTTCCAGCCTCTCTGTAGCAAGTCTGCAACGTCCATCAGGTCCCGGGCTCGATCCCGCCTGGGCGCTTTTAGAATCGCTCGTCATTCAGCTGCTCGATTCACACGCATCACGAATCGACATGATGGATGCCTTCGACAAGCGGCCTTCGACGGATTCTGGCGACTCCACTCGCGGCGGTGGCGCGTCCGCGGCGTTGCTGGCGGCGGCGGCGGCGGGCGCCCACGGCGCCGTACACAGTCGCCACCGCCGGGGGCATCGCGCCGGCGGTTTTGAGCGACTTCAGCGGCTGGTTGAAGTCATTGACGAAGACGGCAGCGGCGCCGGCATGGCGGAGGTGAAGGAAGCGGCAATGGAGGCGGCAGTGCACGGCAATGCCGTACGGGCGGCTGTGGCAGCGACCCTGGAGCCGAAACACACGGAACAGGCTCTTTATTTCCTGGCGAAACTGGCGCTCATGATGCTGCAAGGTACATCTTGAAACCATTGTACGTCACAGATCAACCGTGTACGGCTTTACGTACAATATGTGTTCAACCCTGTACGGCTTTACGTACAATATGTGTTCAAGGGCTTCACTGGAAAGGCCCCCATCAGCGCCCCCCCTTCATCATTCAAATCAAAACTACATCAACATTTTTATTCAGAACCTTTTAAACAAAAATCGTACACGGCCGATAGTACACGCTTCCACGACTGACTGCGGAAGCGGTCTTCCTAATCCTGCACACATACATACATACATACATACATACATACATACATACATACATACATACATACATACATACATACATACATACATACATACATACATACATACATACATACATACATACATACATACATACATACATACATACATACTAGGGTTTGGCACTACTGGTAATGCGCGACCATTGCCCCCGGGAGATCCCGGGATCGATACCCATTAGGGTCAAAAGTCCTTCCGATGGTGGAAGGCATTGCGCCCCTAGTTGATGGACGGTGGTGACCTGGGATAAAGTTAACCTGCGAGCCGACCAGGAATGGAGTTGGGCCGCTGTCGACCCGGCAGATTCCGTTGGATGCTGGTGGTGGGTGCGGAACCTGAGCGATCCACTGAGAAGTTGACTAGGGTGACTGGATGAGGGTGCCCCGAAATACCGGGGAAGGCAGGGTTTCGCAGGGTAGCTGCCACGGGCGAAGATACACCCCCCTGTTTCACACATCATACATACATACATACATACATATATACATACATACATACATACATACATACATACATACACATGTGCAGTCAATGCACCCTAAATCTGTTAAGTAAAAACCCTAAAACGCCAAAACCCCTCTGCCCCTTCCCCGCAGACCCCCGCATACCCCCCGACGCAGGTTTCCTGATCGCCGCCGGTGTGGATCTGCTGCTGGGCGAGGTGGCCTGGCTGCTGGCGCTGTTAAGGTGCGCCTCGGGGGCGGGATCCCCGCACCTGGCGGCGCTAGCGGCGGCGCTGCGGGCGTACGAGATGCAGCGGTCGTACACCACGACACTGCTGGCCATTACCGAGAGGTTGGAGCAGGCGGCGGAGGAGGCCATGGACAGGTACAGGGGCGGGGTGGAAAAGGGGGGAGGTTAGGGGAGAGTGGGGGATTTCAGCTCTTTTAACCGTTTTAACCGTTTAAAACAACTTTTAAAAAAAACAAGTTTTTAACAGTTCGTATAAACAGTTTTATACAGCTTTTTCCATGACAGTGTTCAGCGCCTCCTCCTCGTTCGCTTCCGTCTCCGGCCTCCATCCTCGGCTCTCGCCCTCACCTTGCCTTCACTTCACTTCACTCTTCATTTCACTTCACTTCACTTCACTCTTCATTTCACTTCACTTCACTTCGCCGCGCGCGTCGCAACCCCAATTTTCTCAGGTCCCCCATTCTACTCCTTCCGGTCACTACCTTCTGCCCTTTTCCGGCCCCTGCGGGCCCCCCCTCGCTCCCCAAAGCCCACCACTCCCCTCCCCCCCTCCCGCCCCTTTCCTGCCAGGGCCGCGCTGGCTGAGCGGCAGCTAGCTGCCACCCACTCCGCCCTCCAGAGGGCCCAGCTGGAAGTGGCGGATCTCGATAACAACATGCGGGAGATGGAGCGGGACATGAGGCAAATAAACGCGAGGGTACGACACACATACACACATACATACAAACATACAAACACTGGGGGCCTCATTTAAATATATACACACCCTTGGCATTTCGTCCAAGCGGACTTAGCGGGGCGTGAACTCTTACCTCTTCTTGAACCCTCCCCCCAACCCCACGCCAACCTCCCCACCCCACACGCGCACAGAACCAGGCTTTGGAGGAGACGGTTCTGGAACTGGAGGGTGACTTGGACCGCGTGGAGGCGGCGCACTCGGTGCGGGAGGCGGCGGTGCAGCGCTCGGAGTGGCTGTCCGGGATGATGAAAGAGGAGCACCTGGCCCGCATCAGGGCGAGGTCCAAGGGATCGCAGGTGGCGCGCGGGGGGGTGTACAGACCTTTGGGGGGACGGGGATGTCAGGGTTTGGGAAGTGAAAGGGTTGGTTTGCGGTTTTTAGGGGCTTTAGGGGGTTTCTAAGGTTTCTTGATGGAAGGGGACGGATGGGTGGGAGAATGGAGGGACGGGGGTTTTTTAGGAAAAGAATGGAAGATTTATGGTAGGGAACGGCGGGGGGGACGTGCGCTTGCGTGTGTGTGTGCGCGCGCGCGTGTGTGTGTGTGTGTGTGTGTGTGTGTGTGTGTGTGTGTGTGTGTGTGTGTGTGTGCCGTACCTAGGTAAGTGCTGGGGGAAAGAGCTCCGGGAGGGACATCACGTCATTTCACCTGTCCTGTGAAGTCTGAAAAGTCCTCCGCCTCCCGTCCTGCCACATCACCCGGGGCCCTATACATCATACATCTGGTGATAACACCTGGGCGGCTCCGGCCTTTGGATTGGAACCAAACGCAGGCAGCTCGGGGTACACAACATGAAAGCGTTGTTTAGGTTTAATTTCCTCCTGATTTCGTGTTTTTTATTATTTATTTGATGTTTGACATGCATGCTTAAATTTTAAGAAACACAAAAATTATGTCTGACTGAAGTTTTCTATTCTTATTACGATAATACCACAAATGAAGATTGAAGTTGCGGAACTTGGCCGGGCCGCGTGCTGCTGCGCTTCCCCCGGATCTGTATTAATAGCCCAAAGCTTTATTCCGTACAGCCTGCCGTATCACGGGTACCCTCGACGGGTCTTTATAATCCCGACGTCACACACGCACACACACACACTCTTTGGGAGTGCATCTCCGTGCCGTACCAAACGCGGTGCCACGTCACGCAGGTGGCTACGGAGGGCGACTGCAGCGACCCACGGGCCATTCCACCTGTACTGCAGCCAACCGCCGGCAACTACTACCCCATAACTCCCTGCGTATCTAGCCGCCACCTCAGCATCCAGCCGTCAAACCAGGAACGGAAGAGCCCGGAGCGTTCACTGACGCGTTCTAAGAGTCGGCGGAACGTCTCGGCAAGTAAGGCCCACGGAAGCCGCAGAGCACCGCCGTCAAGGACGACATCGAGGCGAGCGCCGCGCGGCAGCGGCGTCGTTGCCGCTGAGGCCGCTGCTGCAACAGACCTCGCGGCCGCGGCGGCAGCACTGGCGGCGGCTAGGGCCGCGGCGGAGGTGACGGACGATGAGGCGCAGGAGGATCTCGACGGTGACCGAGGTCAGGAGGGTTACGGAATTCGACGTCGGCACGGCAACGGCAACGGTGACGGCGACGGCGATGGCGGCGACGCCGCCGCCAGGCTCCGCGGCTCCTCCACTTCTTCCCTCGCCTCGAGGAGGATGTCGGCGCTAAGGAAGCGTGGCGGTTTCCGTACCGTCAGTTGGGTGGATCGATCTCCGCAACGAGATCCCGGGGACAGCTCAGCAGACGAGCTACACCAACAACAACAGCCGCCGCAGCTACAGCAACAGCGACAGTACGGCGTCGGCGTCGCCAATGACGGCCGCATTAGTCCAGTGGCGGCGGCAAGCGATGACGAGGATGATGCCAACGGTAACGGTAGTAACGGCTACGTTAACGGTAATGATGATCCTAACGGTCGTCCTAGCAAGGGCAACGGCAGCCGGGACTCCAGTGGCGCGCTGGGAGGAGGGGGGAGAGTACGAATTTCAGAAGGGGAGACGGGTTTCGGAGCGGCGCCTCCTCAAGGCGGAGGGCGTCGCGGCCGGTCCTCGAGTCCCAAGGTGACGGCCACGGGGACGCGACCCAAGTCGGCCCGAGCGCGGTCGAAAGGGAGCCGGAGTCCGGACCGGAAGCAGCAGCAGCAGCAGCAGCAAGGACAGCAGCAAGGACAGCAAGGCATAGGAGAACAGCAACAGGGCCGACAGCACGAGGAGGTAGAGCAGCAGCAGCATGAGATACAGCACAGCGGCCAGCAAGGTGTGGAGGGTGTGGAGTATTGGACGACGCAGGGAGATGAGGCGATGGTGGTGGAGGGAGGTGGTGGTGGTGCGGGGGAGGGGGAGGGGATGGGGAGCCGGCAGGAGCCCGCGGAGTTGATGCATGACGCGGCGCTGGAGCAGGCGGCGAGAGACATGTTCTCGGATGTGTTTGTACGGCAGACTCAGTAGTGTACGGCAGAGTCAGTAGCGCTTCCTTGAGCTTTGGTATTATATTGATTCTGGGGGAAAGGAAGGCTCCCGAAATGGGGATGTTTCTTTTTGGGGGGGAGGAGGTAGATTGCGGGAAGTTGTTCCTTCCGCAACGGTGTATGAGTGTATGGACCGCTTTCTTTTTTTTGCTGCTTTCTGCCTTTGCTCGTGCTGCTGTTTGCTGCCGCTTTCTCGCCACGGTGCCTTTAATAATGACGGAGAGGGGCGCGGCGCAGCCCAGGGGTAGGGACAGTGGTAGGTCCAGGCATGCAGAGAGGGGTGCAGGGAAGGTGGTGACGGCTGTCTTATGATGTGCTGTGCTGTGATCTGCCACTTGATGTGCGACCAGAGGTCGTCCTGTCCACAGATGCATTGCATTGCATTGCAGGCTGCAGCTGTTGTTGTCGTGCATCATCGTGCGCTCTCTTGAGGCTTCGGAAGGTTACGTGACACAACTCTGTATGGCAAGTTCGCAGGAAACAAAAGCTCGGAGTTGGGGCTGGGAAGTCAGGAAAACGGGGGGGGGGTCCCCCACGCTTAAGCTTGCGCTCTGTTGGCGACATTTTCTTAAAGGGTTGGATAGGTCTTCGATTCTCTGATGCCTATTGACACGATGCCATTGCACGATTCTGACAATGTGTGAATGTGAAAAAGCGTACTGGTGGACGCGCACCGCCGTACAGAGTTATGGAACTTTTCAGTGAGAAACGGCACAAGCGTCAGGATGCATCACGATCAGAAAGGCCAAGACGATTCGGTTGTCAGCTTTCCTGGAGCTGGGTGCGCAGCAGCCCCTTGCGTGAAGTACAGGCCTGTTTATTGTGCGTGGCGGCACTTGGCGGCCCTGTGTACCCACTTGAAAGGACTTGAAAGGACTTCAAAGGCGAGTCGTTCGCAGGTCACAGATGGCACAGGAAGGAAGCTGACACACACACACACACACACACACACACACACACACACACACACACACACACACACACACACACACACACACACACACGCATTCAGGAGATGCGGTATGGCACCTCGAGTAGATGATATCCGTAACCACCTCTCGCCCCTTAGGGTACTGGGAGTCCGAACCACTCGGTGCGGTTTTATGAAAATGTCCAGCTAGCCGCACATGCATGGATGACCCGCGTGTGTGAGCGCAGTATGGGTTGCGGCGTGGTGTGCGCGTGGGGCTGGGCAGGCAAGGTATGGATGTACGTACGGACCACCCCCAAATGCACGGAAGGTTTGTGGCGAGAAGGTTCGGTGAATGCGCGGCTGCGGAACTGTCTGCTCCACGTCCACGTTCCCTGACTGCTGACTGCGGGGTGCGGATTGACTGTAAACAGGGCCCCCTAACCCCCCACCCCACCCACCCACCGACCCCCGAATGGCGCCGTGCGCACTCAAGTCACTCACCATACACTGTACGACAGTGATGGTGGTGGTGACCACGTGAACACACCAAGAACACACACCACTGACACGACAGCTGTACGGCACATAGCACGTGGACTCAAATGCAGTTTTTCCGGCTGGAGTTTGTTGCTGTGGCGCTCACACTGTTCGACGCTGAGGCGGTGCGGCCACAGGAGTGCCACCACACGCAAGAGGCACTATTTGCTACTGCTGCGCGTCCGACGGGTCGCCAGGTGGCGGCGGCGGCGGCGGTGGCGGCGGCGGCGGCGGCTGCGGCTGCGCCCCAGGCGGCGGTGGCGGCGGCGGCGGCGGCTGCGGCTGCGCCCCAGGCGGTGGTGGTGGTGGTGGTGGTGACGGCGGCCGCTGCAGAGCCTTCAGGACCTGAGGGAGAGGGAGCAGCATGAGAGAGCTCCGCAGGAGGTTGCAGCAGCCGCCAGCGGCGGCCGTCAAAAACGAAATCAACGAACGCCATATTATATTCTACATATGGCCAACACTCTCCAGGTCTTCTCAAGCTTCGTGTCCGCATGCAACTCACATATAAGAACTTGGAAAGATTCGCACCGGCAGAGCATTTACGGCACATGTCGTATCAACCTGTCCCTAAAAACCCCCCAATTTCCCCCGTGGAAAACACACGACATCCCACACTGTCCCACCTGTCGTACCGCCGCGACGTCCTGCCGGCTGAGCGGATTGACTCGGTCGAAGAAACCCCGGATCGCGTATTGCAGTACGTCCCTGTTGTACTGGTTGAAAAAGGCGCGGGCGTCTAGCGCGCGGAACAGGCGGTCGAGCATGCCCTCCACCTGCAAGCGAACAACACAACAGCACAATGCGGTAACGGCAAATCGGATCCTCCTCCCGCATGCTTTCAGAATGTGGGGAGATGGCATTGGACGTGTTGCCATCGTTGTTGCTGCTGCTGCTGCTGCTGCGGCTGCTTCATGAGTTAGTGAGAGAGGTTGCTGACGTGGATGTCTCTGGAGGGAGGCATCAGGATTTACCGGCCGGGGCGGGGCGGGGCGGGGCGGGGGGAGGATGGCGGGGTGTAGGAAGCGAGGCCAGAGGGCCAGGAGGGAGAGGAGGGAGAGGAGTGGTCCAGGGAAAGTCCGTCCGTCAGCTGTGAGTAACCGCCGCCATTGCAGTGCTGTGCGGGGTGTTATCTGTGGGGTGCGTGTGTGTGTATGTACGTGTGTGTGTGTTTTCATTCCTAGCTCCCCCTCCAACCCCACCCCTCAGTTCCTCCCTCTTCCAGCCGCCAACGTATCGTGCCGTGCCACGGAAATGTGTACGGACATCGCTCTTCAGTCGCTGTACATCAGCTGGTACTGCACACGCGTACCTCCCGGCGGGATGCACGGTCTCGCTTGGCTCCGAGCCCAGGCCGTCGGGGCGCCCTGTACGACAGTTAAACCCCAGGCATGGACAGACACGTAAGGCAAGCTCCGAAACAGCACGTATGCAGGTAGTACGAAGTAATAAAAAGTGGAGGACGACGACGACGACTCGAATCTTCCCCCCGGGTCTCCCCCCCATCTCCCCCCCCCGGATCTCTCCTTGGTGTTCCCACGGAGGCCTCTCCCGCAAATGCGGCACGTGTGGTTCGTCCTTCCCATGTGCCACAGCTAGCAGTTACATGGCTGTCTCAATGGCGCGTGCGTGTGTGTGTATGTGTTGGGGGGGGGAAATGTCTCCTCCCATTGGGTGGTGACGAGGGATCAACCACCCCATGGGTCCGTGCACCCACACCGCCCCTCCCCGGACGCAGGTGCCCCCCCCCCTCTTACCCCCCCGTCTACCCCGCTCGGATACGCGGGACGGGCAGGCGCGCGCACACCTGAAGAGCTCATAGCACACGATGAGCACTGCCTGACCTAGGTTGAGCGAGTAGAAGGAGGGGTCAGTGTCGATGGTGAGAATTGCGTTGGCGCGAACCAGTTCCTCGTTGTAGAGCCCGTTATCCTGCGGGCAGGGCGGGGAGGGAAGGAGGGGGAAGGGAGGGGAAAGACGAACCACGAACGAGTGAAGGTGCTGCCAGGGCAGAAAGGAGGGGAAGGGAGAAGATAACCCCGGTCCCGGAGAATACCCGGAGAGGGAGAGAGGGGTGTGATGGGGGAGGTCTGGTGCAGCGCAGTGGTGTGTGGCGGCGGTGTTGAGGGTAGAACTGAGACCAGTTGTTGGTGGAGGTTGTGGAGGTTGTGGAGGGCGGTAAGGCTTATTGGGGACTGGTGGGGTGACAGGGGGTTCTGGGGAAGCGTTGTACGGCACACTGGCGGGAGCGCCACGTAGGGTCGCATGTGAGCTGCTTGACCTGGCCGGGGGGCTCCGGGGGGCCCGACTGTCGCGTCTGTCTGTCGCATCTGTCAGCACCGAAACAAGTTGAGGGTTTTTGCTGTGGTCATATTTCCCGTGGCCACGGAGGGGTGTCCGGGCTGTTCCGTCCGTCCCCTGCTAGCTCGCTGACACGTACGGCAGTGCTGTCCGATCCGCTACACCGCGGGTGATGATGAGGGGGAAGGTGATGAGGGGGAAGGTGATGAGGGGGGGGGGTGAAACTCACCTCGCGACCGAACATGACGCCTATTCGGGTGCCCGCTGGCGGCAAAGAATCCTGCGGGCCCACGAGGTGGCGAGATGCGTTATACACACATACATACACACATACATACATACATACATACATACATACATACATACATACATACATACATACATACATACATACATACATACATACATATATATATATACGTACACATACATACGTACACATACACTTTAAGCACGTAAAAGGCACGTGATCAGATTAATCGCGAATGGAACCTTTTCGGCAAACTCACCCTTTCGTTTGCGTAATCTCGGTACGGCAGCTTACCTGCACTTGCCGTAGGAGTACGACATCTTTCGCCAACTTGTCCTGCGCACGTGGCCGCCCTGACGCCGCGTACACATACTGCAAGTCCGCCAGCGCAGCATCCAGCGTGTCGTACACCTGTGCCGTACACGCGTTTGTTTTTCCTAACTGGGTGAAATCATGGTGTCTGTGTGTATTGTGTTTGGGGGATCGGGGGCCCCCTGTGCTGGAGAAGGCGGGGGGGTTCCCATATCACCCATGAGCCATGACACCTCGCATCCGCTGACCACTGCACCCAGGGGGGCTGCCGGTGGCGGCGGCTCGGCCTCCGCCGCTGCCGTTCCCGTTCCTGGGAGCCCGGCCAGGCTGTTCGGCGGTATCGGCGGCGGCGGTGGGCCTCAATTGCCCGCCCGCCCGGCGCCCAGCGGCCCCAGCGCGAGCAGCTACCGCTCCCGGTTTTCTGTCATCGGGGCATCGTATGGTGGCGCCACAGGCTGCGGTACGGCAACGGGCGATGGCGCCGACGACGCCACCGCCACCATGGCAGCCGCGGACGCCGCCACGGTCTACAGTCCCAATATGCACCACAACCCAACCAGCCCCGAGTTCACCTTGGCCGAGTCCACCACATCGACGGCCCTCGCCGCCACAGCGCGCGCCTTCTCATCCGGCCAGTACCATCCCCCACTGCCGCCGCCAGCATCAACAGCTCTGTCACCGCCACCACCGCCGCCGCCGCCGCCGCCGCCGCCGCCGCCGCCACCAGCGCCCGCCATCGGCCGCACCAGTCTGAGCTCGCGGAGCCCGAAGTTCTTCATGCCGCGCGCTGCGGCACCTATGTTCTCGCCGCGTTTGGGCTCTACCAGTACAATCACCAGGTCGCTACTGCTGTTGCTGTTGCTGTTGCTGGTGTCGGTGTTGGTGTTGGTGTTGGTGTTGGTGTTGGTGTTGGTGTTGGTGTTGGTGTTGGTGGTGTTGGTGTTGGTGTTGGTGTTGGTGTTGGTACCGTCGCTCGTTGGCGGCCCGTCTGTCCCTAAGACATCGTGGCTGCCGGGAGTGGTGGTGGTGGTGGTGGTGGTGGTGGTGGTGGTGGTGGACTGAGCAACCGTTGAGGATGATGATGATGATGATGATGATGATGATGATCGTGGATGGAGGTGGTGGTGGCGGCTGTGATGGCTATGGTGGTATAAGTGGTGTTGGGAGGTTTGGAGGAGGCTCAGATTGCAAGCAGGTCTACACGGACATGGCTGCAGCTTGATGCTTGTGGTATCATGGATTGGTTTAATGCTCGTGGACGGGAGCCGGCTTGGTATCAATGTCGACATCAAAAATAATTAAGGAGGTTATCAGCGTGAAGGCTGGCGGCGGGCTGAGGATGACGACCAATAAGCAATTTATTGCTTGAAATGCGTATTACGAAATCCAGCAATGCGGTAAGGGTAGTTTGTTTTTGTCAGCCAACTGCATCTTGAGGCTCTTGGCTTCTTGGGATTGATTTGCGCATTCTGGCAGTTAATAACAGTTGCTTGCAACTGAGTTTCGACGCGCCGTTGCCCCGATAACAGGGCGACTGGACGTCCATAACAGATTGCACGGAATTTCCGACAGTCACATAAGTTAAACAACGGTTCATCTGCTCTGCACGCGCCTTTGATAATTGTATTGGTGTCCTCCTATCTGCGAGATTGCGCACATTGCGACCGCGCGGCGGCTTTTCTCTCAGTCAATTATTTTATTAGCTTGAAAAGATGTCATGCAAACTTATCTCGGTTTTAAAAGTTGAGCCAGGGCTACGTAACCGTATGAAAATTTGACGGCTGCGGTCGTTAGCTACTTTCGTCGATGCTTACGTCAAGGCAGCTGCTTGAGCGGCCTATACAAGGATATTCTGAGAATGAGCTGCCCGGTACGCAGGCTTGCAAATCGTAAGTGCAATTTCTTCCGGTCGGCCGCCGACAGGGGCCATCGCGTATGCAGGACCGAGTAAAAGGCCTGGACCAGCCTTGCATGTTAAGCTTGATAACCACAGAATTGTGGAGCGCCGCGCGACTGAGATGAGACGACTTCATCGGCAATTCAACGGTGTCGTCACGCGCACATCGCGCTTCCAAGACGACTCCTTGGAGGCCTGGCGCAGCGAAAGTAAGTCATTTGGTTCCCTGATTATCCTCTTTATCTTTTCCATATGGGGCAGCATCCCGCTTTTCATTCCCGTTCGTTTTCCAACCCGTTGTACTTTCCTAACCTCCCGCAACCCACCCTTTCCCGCTTCGTTTCCAACCCCTGTTTTCTGGCATGCCGTATTACCAGCCTACGTCCCCGCGCGGCAGCGTTGGTGCCCACGCTTGGAGCGCGACATCCATGCTGTCTGCTCCGAAGCTGGTCTCTCTGCAGCCGCCACCGCTGCTATCGTCGACGCGTCGCGCCGCGGTGTCATCCCCCAAAACCCGGGCGTGCTACTCTCGCGCCTCCTGCGTTTCCAGGAGTGCCTCGGCGGGCCCCTCGGCCGCCGTGGCGTGCTGTGCGTGCTGCGCTCCGCGCCCAGCCTGCTACGCTACTCCCCGGAGAGCCTCCGGTGGAATGTCGACATGCTGGCGGCGCTGCTGCCCGACGCCGACGCCGCGGCGGCGGCGGCGCGACGGGCGCCCATGTTGCTGGGCGCCTCCGCCATTACATTGTGGGGAAATTTTGAGGGCCTTCGCAGATTGCTGCGGTTAGATCACGATGCGGCCGTCCGGTTAGTGGTGAGGGCCCCACGGCTACTTCTCAATAGCCGTGGCGCGCTGCAGGGTCGTCTGGAGGCGCTGACGTTACTGGCGGGAGGCAGCGGCGGCGCCGCATCGCGTCGTGCCGTCGCAGCGGCGGTCGCCCGCCAGCCTGCGCTGCTCGGCTATTTCCCAGGCACCCTGGAGCGCAACCTGCGCGCCGCCGCTGCCGTACTTGCTGTCCCGTTCTCGCGCGTGCAGCCGCTGCTGCTTAAGCAACCCGCGCTGGCGATGCTGGCCCGCGCATCACTCCGAGACCGGGTGGCGTCGCTGCGTGACGCCGCCATGCTGTACGATGAAGCCGACCTGGCTTCTGTCGTACTTCGTCAGCCCAGCCTGCTGACACTGTCCCCAGAGAATGTGCGGCACAAGGTTGCCGTTGTGGGGCAGGTTTTGGAGCTGGAGAGCCGGCCGGAGGAGCTGCGTGCCGTGCTCCGAGGTGCGCCGCAGCTGCTGACGCTGGCGGCGGACAGCATCAGAACCAAAGCAGCGGCGCTGTGGGAAGCGGTGGAGCCGGCCGCCGTGTTGCGCGCGCAGCTGCAGCGTGCGCCGCCGCAGACAGTGGCTGTGTGGCTTTGCATGAGCAGTCGGCGCTACGACCATGTTCGGTCTGTGGCGGAGGCAGCGGCAGCCGCTGCCAACGGCGGCGGGAGTGTGGGGCAGGAGGAGAAGCGGATTGGTGGTGCCGTACGTACGGCGGCGGACAACGACTCAGCAGCCGCTTCTAGCAGCCGCCGAGGGGAGCCAGGTGGTACAGAACGTGTAGGTGGTATGGCACGGGCCCGGCCGTTGTCGCTGTACGCGTTGTTGAAGGACGGGGGGTTATCGGCCGCTGCTCCACTGGCGGTGACGGGGCCGCCACTGGCGACGGCGGCAGCACTGGAATCCACGCCGCTGACGGAGGCGGTATCTGTGCCGGAGCCCGCGGCAGCGGAGGCGCAGCTTGGAGAGAAGCCGCGGAAGCCGCGACGGCGAAGATAGGCGAGTTTGGAAAACCAGAGCCGCCGGTGCCGTACAAAATGGCGCAATGACGACGATGGCACCGGCGGCAGCGACAGGGAGTGCTACAATCGGAAGGGCAGGGCTGTCTCCGCGGCGCATGCCGGCGGTTTTGGTTGTCGTTACGGTCGTTTCAAAATAGTTATGTTGTCGAAGCGCTTAAATCGTTTCACTTGGGGGGCCTTACCTGCCGTGTGGGTCCAGAAACGCCCTTTCCTGGTTTTTGCTTTCTCTCCCTCGTGGGCTTTGTGGGGGCCGGTGAGCTAGCTAGTTAGTTAGTTAGTTAGTTAGTAACTTAAACTGGCGTTACGGAAAGACACGTGTTTTTCCCAGCTGCAAGCACGTGTCGAACCCAGCTGCTGTCACATGATCTCGCGCCCAGGAGTGGCCCCCTGACGGTCATCCTCGACCGCCTGGCTAGAACACTCCTCCCCATCCGCGACGGACTGTCATGTCCCCACCCAGGTCGCGGAGGAACTCGAAGCGAAGGGAGTTGTGGTGGGGGTGTGGAGGTGGGAAGTGGTGTGTTTTGCGCAGCTGCAGAGGGCTGCGGCGGTTAAAAGGAGGCGTACCTGTATGCTATTAACAGCCACAACCCATAAGCATGTAGGCCCGCCCTACTGCGCTATGAAAAAAATGCCACAAACTCCTTGATATCTTTAAAATCCTTCAGGGCCCAAATTAGGTTCCCTGGGTCGCCATGTCTCAGGCCTACTCCGGGGCCGCCGCGGAATGGCCGATTTCGTGATGGCAGCGGCGGCGGCATCGCCAATGCCGCGAGGTCCGCAGCGGCAGCGGCAAGACTCGATGAGAAAGCTCAGGAGTATGGCGCGTACTATAATGCCGATATGTCACACACCGTACGACGCTCCCGTACTAGGATCCCAGTCGACGGCGACCCTTCATGTCGTGCAACGAGTGCTCTTTCAGGCCGGGCCGCCTTGCTGTGTTGTGGAGGTTGGGGCAGTATATATACATGTTTGGGTATGAATTAAGAACTTGAGACTGGGAGTGGGAGGTGGGTCCAGCGGGGTCCCCGAGATCCGCTGCTTGGAAGTGTACAGAGGCGAGGGAACCGCGGATTGCTGTGAGCTGTGTGGTGGGATAAGAGGAGAGAACAATACAGGGCTGGCACCTTGGCATTAGGGCCAAGATGTGGCAGGATCAGGAAGAGATGCGGGCTGGCGGAAGATTTTATAATGTTTTATATTTGTGATATAAGTTCAATTCATTATGATAGCCATTCAGCTTTTAATTGGCTGGCTGGTTCTGACAAAGCTAGGTTCTGACAAAGCAAAGTGCATCGATGAAGAGACGTCGAAAGTATGGTGTCCAATATGCAAGTAACTTAATTGGCAAAGAGGCAATAATTGATCAGACCCATACTGACTTAGTTTTAGATTGTCAGAGAGAAAATCTAGCCCGGTTAACCTGAACTGCCTGGATCGCAAAAAGCATAAATCACCATCTTATGCTATAATGGTTATACAATATTTCCCTGCTTCATCTGACCTGTCTATCTCCCAAATGTGAGGCTTATGTGATATAAACGGCTTGTCGAGACCGTGTTACGACCAAATGATTCAAAAACTCCGCAGCGATCGATCACGAATAGTCACTGATCGTGTTGACAGCTTGCTTTTGCACCGTGAAACAATTCATGTTCTTGCCCCGCACGCGAGGCGACCGCTATGGTCTCGTTCTCAGCACGCAGCATCTGCCTTGGAAAAAGTAGGCACCCCATCAGCCCCTCCCATCATGGCCACAGCTCAACTGAACTGCTCGCTGCGCGTCTTTTGTCCAGAAGACGATCCGACGGTTGCAGACCATTGCTGCGAGACGATTGCTCAGGTACGCAATCTTTGGCAGCTGATCCCGGTCAGTGGTCACGCGGATTGTACACCTCCATCACCCGTACATGCTTCGCAACGACAAATCGTTTGAACATACCGGGCACCGGCCAACTCCACTCTTACAACCACTCGAGAGGGGGCCTCCCCACACGCGCACATGCCAGGGCTTCCCCCATACACGCACATGCAGGGGCTCAGAATATGAAAAAAAAACACGCACACGCGCATGCCAGACGCTTCCCGCGTTAACCACGTTATCAGATTTATTGATTGCCGCCGCCGCAGGGCTTCGCCTCTGAGCCCAACAACGGCTTGTTCAGCGCCGATCCGTCCCAGTTTGCCGCGCGATGGCGGGCCATTGCATACAACACCTTGCTCCGAAGCCGGGGTGTGCCTCTGGTGCACTGTCTTAGCCTGGGGCAGGCGCCCGGCCAGGAGCCCGGTCAGGGAGTCGCGCCGGTGGTGGCAGCGGCGGTGATGTTGGCGTACCTGTACCCAGATCAGAAAGGCAAGTGCGAGCTGGTCGTAGATGTTCAAAAGCAGTACCTCTGTGTGTGTGTGCATGCAAGGCTGCCGTAGGTTGGGCGTCCAGGGTATTATTTGAGCAGCTGTCAAGACGAAAGTGAAAGCCGAAAGCAGCAGCATTATGGTGTAGAGAGGGGGAGAGAAGGGCGTTATGACGGGCTCTACAACAATCTGATTATCGCCCCGGGCGGAAGCAGCCCGTGTGGGTTGTCATAGCCCTATTCCCTCCATCTCGCCATCCCTCCACCTAGGGCATCAGCGTGATCCTCCGCGTCTACACATGTGCCGCTTATCGCACACGTCATCATTTGCAAACCGAACCCAGCCTCGGGGCCGTGAGGAGCCCGTCAGTCCACTCGTCTGCTCCTCCCCCCTTGCGCCGCCTCCCACACACCTCCACCTCTTCACCCCGAACCCCGGAGGGACCCCCGACCCATGGCCCACTGCTGTGTTGTGTTGATGTCGATGTTGTCCTTGTGTTGCCGCATATCCACCACCATGGATCAGTTCAGTTCCCGACGATGCGCCGGAACCTCCGGACATAATCGACCTGGCCGGCATCACCCGCCCTGAAGCCATGCCCGTACGGGATGACCTTCTGTCGTACATGTCTGTCAAGAAGGCGGAGTTCCTGGACGTAGGTTGCATGTTGGCTCCGGGTTGGGGTGTGTGACGTGTGCGCTTTCTCGGGCGGTGTGTGTGGGGGGGGGGGAGTGCGTACGGCAAGAGAAAGCCTTGTGTGTCACTGCGTGTATACACTCCATTATGTGTGTATGCATGTATGTATGTTGTTACAGGGTGGTTAACTTCGCCAGCGGCCCCCTTTCCCGAGGCAGTCCCTGCTCTCCCCTGCGAGAGGGGCACCCTAATCCATTCACCCCATCCGATTTCAGAATGTATTCGTTGGGTTCAGCAACTCACCACCAGCATCCAACCAAATCTAGCGGATCAACGGCGCATCAATTTAGTTCCTGGTCAGCTCGCAATGCATGTATTTATGTGCGTACGTACCAGTGCTGGTGCAAGTAACCCACGAGACGCGAAAATGTGCCCCGTTTCTGCAGCGCCCTGATGTGTGGACACGGGGCGGTCGGTAAGAGAATCTCTTCCTGCAATTCGAACTGCCGCATGTGCTACTGCTACGGAGTCCCGTCCCTTCCTGTTCCCTCAGTACCTGGTCACAACAGCAATGTTTCCAACACGGGGTCCGCGTCACTCGTCCTCCTCTTCCCTGCGCCCCGCGGTTTCATGTTGGGTTGCACACATGTGTGGTGGCCCCTCGGATCCCGCCACTCTCCGCAGTCCCATGGGTCGTTCGAGTATGTGGCCTTCCTGGCCACCCATCCGGAGCACTGGGGAAAGGGCCTTGGCTCGCAACTGCTGGGCCACGTCACTGATAAGTAAGCAGGCGCCGAAAAAGTTACCTCGTAATAGTAGTGTGTTGTGCTGTGCTGTGCTGCCGCATCTCCTTGCGGCGCCTTGCCATGTTCCGCCTCGCACTGCATCGCCCGGTGCTCTCCACAGTGGTGTTGGGCCTTGGGAAGGTTGAACGACCTGCTGCGCCCGTGCTAGGCAGGCACACAGACAGGCAAGCGCTGCTGTGGAGGGCCAATGCAAGTAATCCTAAGCTGCGTCTGTCCCGACTGTTGTTGTTCTCGGGAGCTTCGTCCAGCCGGGTTAGTCGGCGCGATTGCCATTCCTTCGTTCTCTCCCGGCGCGTTGTATTTGACCCGCATGGACCATCCTGACCCTCGAGAGGGACGTTTAATGTCGTACAGGGCGGACGCGGCAGGCCGCTGGTGCTACCTTGAGGCGACAAATCCAGATAATGTACGACTGTACGAACGGTAAGATGCTTAACCTGCTGGCTCCTTAGCTCTGCACTTCTTGTGTTCATATGTTCTCGCTTCCTCCTTCGTCATCATGACATGATGTTCTTGCTAGTAGTAGCACGCGTATAGGAGGCTTTAGTGCCCTGTGTTGTGTGGCCGCTGCACGCAGGCACGGCTTTCGGCAGTTGGAAACCAAGACGTGGAGCCTGGAGTCGCTACCCGGTCAGCGTATCATGCTCATCCCCATGGCCCGGCCGCCCCTACACCATATCAATACAGCATAAGCCTTCGGCACGGTGCTGCGCGTTTAGTTTCGAACGGCCGGATCAAGTCGGTTGCTGGGATGGCCCGCTTCCAATGCCTAAGAAACCGATTGGGAAATCTCTTTCATTTGCTCGAGTCAGGAGACTGCTTACGTCTTTAATGGGCAGCTTCGCATTCACTGCAGGACTTGGAATTTTGAATTTGGCATTGTCAAGTTGACTGCCTGCATGGCATGCTTTTAAAGCAACATCATAATGCTACATTCGCAGAATGGACACCTCGTCACAATTGAGTCTGTTCAAAATGAGCGAACAGCTTCTAAGGACAAGTCATCTATGCAGAAGTACGAACGGCATAAAAGAATGTTCCCTCCTAACTCCATAGACATCACACGTGCGATAGTACTGTATTGTGGAGTATATGCGCATGTGGTGGGTTCCATAAGGCGCAAACACACCGACACATTGCGATGGGCATGTTGCCACACCGGTATGAAAAAATGTGCACTAAAAACCTAGTGCAGTCGACTAGGGGGGCAATACACATCTGTTGGCACTCAGGGTGGACCAAAAAGACAGTTCGGCTCCTAAAACTCTACAACTGCAAAACACAAATCTCAAAACAAAAGTGAGATAACTGCATCTAACACAACCCATGCGAACACACAATGCGAAGTCCAGATAAAGTTAATATATCTGACCGCATTTATGCAGTGCTAACACAACACAAAGCCGAGCCATGCCCCTGACGAGGCCTACTTGAACGATCGGAACCAAGCAACACACGCCACCAAGTGCATACATCCAAGCCTCTACCTACAAACCTAATGTTACAAACCTAATGTCAGTGTGAAAGCATATAACCCTACAGAGCTTTAATTAAGCTAAAGAGTCCTAGCTCCAACCATCATGCATGGTTGAAAAAACTCAAAATAGCTCATGGGCTTGAGCAGGGGGCCGTTTGCAACAGATACGCGGCTATGCATCCCTACAGCACACGTAACAGAAACAGACAGACAAACACCCGGAGCGGCCGGGGCTGTGAACACTGCCACCCTGTGTTCGAGCTTTAAAAAGTGCTCGGACATCTAAGGGACAATTTGGCAGGTCTGTGGACACAGCTTGCACGACAAAAGAACTGAGCAGTCAAAAAAAAGAAGTGTTTTGTGTTCCAAATTTAAGCTTGCAGCTGCCTAGGGCTATTGGAGATATTGTTACTACAGTATGCAAGCTTACGAAGAGGTAGGAAAGCCCTGCTACTGCAAAGCTTACAACCAACCCACAATCGGGCCCACATACATAATCCTGCCAGGATCGCCCAACCTGCCCCTAACCTCCGACCCCGCCAGCCCTCTCGTCCCCACGCAACCCGCCTGCGCCAAGCATACCACCGTGTCCACACATGCCTCTCAAGTCGCATACCACACCGTCTCATACCTGCCCGCGCATGCGGGTGCACACCTCCTTGTGACCTGCACGCCAGTGCTGCTGCTGGCAGGCGCGGCAGCAATAGGACACGGAACGGCAGCCACCGCAGGCGCTAAACCCCAAATCAGCCTCGCTGGGCCCATCAAAGTTGGTGCACTGCGGGTTGTTGCAAAAGCGGGGCGGCAACAACACCTTGCCGGCCTCGCCAACCACTTCCTTCCCCTTCCCCTTGCCCACCGACATTGTCATTACCTCGGCCGGCGGCCGCAGCCAGGCACGTTTCGGGCAGCATAATGCAAAGCGCCGCATGTTGGCCAGCGTCGTAATCTGCCTCATGAACTGTCGCCGCTCGTTCCGGCGCAGCTGGCACAGTGCGACTACTATCCCCCTTGCATACTTCTCCAAGCCTCCTCTGCCGGACTTTGCGGCGAGCGTGACAATAATACCCAGCGACGGGGAGCCCCAGATGGTCTTGCTAAAACTGCAGCCACCTAACCCCGCTGTCTTCGTCGGTTTAGCGGCGGTGGCGGCAGTGCCGTGGCTTCGGGAGGCCTGCCCCCGGCGGGCGCACACCTCACATCTGCAAGCGAGCTCGCCACCTTTGCCATCGAAGTACTCCACCGCCTCTTCTGCCTCGCGAAACCGCGCCTGCAGGTCATCAGGCGCCGCCAGCGCTACCGTCAACAGCGCATCAAGAGACAGTTCACAAAACTCCCAATAACAAGGTTCGCATGCTTCGTCGCCACCATCATGTTCGTCATGTTTGCCGTCCTCGCCTTCCTTCTCCTTATGCCGACTCGAGCTGAAGCATCGCAGGCGGCCGGGGCAGCACAACTGCCCAAGCACGTGCTCCAACAGACGGAAAACGCCCATCTCCCGCAGCAGCAGCGCCCGCCAGCCCGTCGGCGAGGACAACTCCGATGGCTTGAGGACGATGGTGGCGCTGCCACTGCCGCAGCTGCAACCGGCTTCATCGAAGACCACATGGTCGGCTCGAGTCCCCAGCGGGCAATCCGTGAATAGAAGTCCAGGCAACAACCGCAATACCTCGCTGGCAATGCGGACAAAGTCACGATCCAACTTCAGGACCTGGAAGGCCTTCAGCGCGCTGTGCACTAGCGCGGGCAGCCAGCTGTGGACCGTGTACGATGCCATCCGCACCCATTGCTGCACCTCAGGCCTCTGGAGGTCTGCCGACTGCTGCTTGGCGGTTTCAGCGGCGGCGGTGACGGTGGGCGCTGCGGCCGCTGCGGTGTCCTCCGGACTTGCGTCCTTCTTCTCGCCACCATCGCCATCACCACCACTGGCATTACGACTCCCGTCGCGTGAGTGACCACCACGATGCCCTTCACCGTCCTCATCCCCACTCTCACCCTCCTCCTGGAGCATCTTCCAAGCTTCCATGCCGTGGAGGGATTGCATGAGGATGCATGCTAGCCGCCGCATCTTACATGAAGATGTGATATATGCGGCCGCCAATTCATTGTTCATTCCCAATCCGAACCGCGTTATCAGTTCCTCAGCCTCGACCACCTGACGAACTAGCAGCTTGCGTAGGGTAACAACGAGAGGGGCCACTTGGTGCGGCGGTCCGAACGAGAGCACGGCCTCAAAGAAGCGACTTGGATGCATCCTGGTGTTCATGTTCACGCTGTCGGGGGAACCTGGACCTGTCGCAGGCGCTGTAAGGCCGAATTGCTCGTAGTCTCGCAGGCTAGCCTGCATGAAGATATGGACAAAGACCGCGCAGGTTCCATCCTGAGGTCCCCTCGAGGCGTGGTAGCGCAGGCAGGCCTCCAGCGCGGGCAAGATGCCGCCGGACAGGGCAGTGAAGAACGCCGGCGGTGGCTGGAGCGGCCGGTCGCCTGCAGTTGAAAGGCGGGACGTGGGGCAGCAAGTCAGGCGGGAAGGCAGACAAGCAACGCTGTGCACATGCCCTTACAACTCTTGCTCCCAAATCGCAAAGGAGGGAGATTCCAGAAATGTATAGTGTCAAGGTAATCGCATCAAAACCGCATTTCCAATTCATGAGCGAGTTTCATTCCACATCACAAGCTCCAAATTGTTTTTGTTTGTTCACACAGTATTGATACCTACATACCTCTCTGGGAAAACATATGTAAACAGCAGCCAAGCAAGGACAACAAATAAAAACATCTCCATAATGTCGCCCGGATCACAGCCTGTCTCTGCACACTTCAGGCCAGCCAACGGCTGCTCTCTTAGCAACCGACGAACATTACCCCTTCCCTCCGCACCTGAAAAGCCACCCTCAACCGGTATCGAAAGCACCGTTTCCAACATCTGGTGTAGGGACGTCGACAGGGACACCCCCAAACACAGGTCTGCAGCGGGTGTCTTCATCTGCAGCACCCGCGCCACTGCCCGCCACCATTCCGCTGTCAGGGCGGACACATGCCCTGTCCTTGCTTCCGCTTCCGTTGCTACATGGGCTGAGCCAGGCTTCGCCACCGGTCCCGCCAGGGGCCCCATAAGTAGGGACTTGGAGGTGGCCAGTGCCCGCACACCCACGTGCCAGACAGCGTCACGTTGAAGGACGAACCTTGCCTCACTCGGGGACTGCCCCGTGGCTGCCGCTCCGCCATCCTCCTTCTCCTCCCGAACAGATGCCGAAGCCACAGATAGCTCAACCATGCGCATGCAAAGCTGATAGGCGGCCCGCGGCCCCACCACACACGACCAGCGAAGACGGTTAGCGGTTCCGCCCGCGGTGGCAGCAGCAGCAGCAGCACCACCACCACCCGGTCCAGCACCCTCAGCACCAGGAGCAGCTGCCGCTACCAGTGAGGACTGCCGAGAGCCTGCCAACGCGAAAGCGGCCTCCAGCACCTGCAGCGCCTCGATGAGGACCTCCTCGTGCAGTTCCAGTACTCCATACCGCTGTGTACCGCTATCGGGACGCATAGACGGTAACATGTCCTCTGGGGACCGTATCGACCCATCACGTGCTCCTAACCACGCCGTCAGCGGCGCACAACTCACAACTGGCATGCTCTCCGCTACCGCTGCAGGCAGCCCATATGTGCCATAATTGCTCCGGTCACTGCCGCTGCTCGGCCCAAAAGCGCCATCACCTGATGCCCCCGAGGCCGTGTCGTCCCTGCCACCACCGTAGCCCGCTGCCGCCAAAGCGGTTACGGCCTGCGCGAGCACGAGGAACTGTAAGCCAGGACCTTGCATGAGCTCGTAGCTGGCTGGGGTGTGCTCTAGGATGCGCGTCATGTTCTCCGGGAGCACTCCTTGTTCTTGTAGCATGGCGCTGGTGCCTCCCTCCACAAGCTGGGCACAGGAATTGATGCACCCGAAAGCCTGCCGTGTGGGTGCGATATTAGCAATTGTGGAATGCGGACACTTGCCCATGAGGAGAACAACTCCTCGCGCGAAGTGCTCAATGGCCTGTGTCTCTCGCAGCTCCAAGCGTAGCAGGTCGCAGAAACGGCGTCTGGTGGGGTTCGTGGGGTTCGTGGCGTCGAAAGCGGCAAACCTCGCGCAGGTGTTCAACAGCTCGCCCATGGAGTCAAGCGTTTCGGTGTGGACCACGTCGACGCTGTGCTCCTGCTGCATGATCTTATCCGCGTAAGCAGATACGAGCCGGCAATAGCAGCGCAGAGTGCCCATACGTAGTAGCTTGATCGCCAGCTGCTCGGCGGTCAAGGAGACTGCCAGCGACGGGCAGGTGCCTCCAATACGAACGCAATCAAACAGCAATTTGCCCAGCAGGCTAACAGTGTGGCTGAATTCCGCATATTCCTTGTTTTCCAAATCCCTGAGCAGGAACCCATAGAGCTGCAGGATGGGAGTCAGCAATTTGCTGGGGACTAGCGCGGCCACGTTGTTTTCGTCGTATATGCGGGTTACCCATGGACAGATGGCCTTTGCAAGTCGCAACCGATGGTCCAAACATGGCCGCCTTCCGGCTTTATAGGACGACAAGATAGGTATCACAGCTCCAGCCAAGACGCCCAAGTTGCGTTCATATTCCTGCGCAAACCATCAGCTTTCAGTCTTCAGGAAGCCCCAAGACAGCTTGGCTTTTCATGCCTGCCTTCGGAATATTTCCTCTTGGTGAACTCATCCGAAAGATTGTAGTCCAGACAGCTGATGAATGCAGCTCATGTGCGCAAGTCGAGCTTTCTCATAAGATTGCAGGGATTCATGAAGGTACCTGACGGAGGTTGTGGGAACTAACACTCAGTGCAACGCCGCTTTGGTTTAATATGCGATTGTTAAAGTAGGCCCCAAACGGTCGAGTGCAGCGTCCCTAGGAACGCCTCTTGCACAGCCATCGCCTAAAGCACGCCCTCATTCGGATAGGGCCCCTGTAACAAAGCAAAGGCGTAACCCGGGATGCTCAGATGGGCCTTGCGTCGTTACATTGCCCCCCGCTCAGCAATGGACGTCCTCGGCCATTATATCGAGCATAGGAGCCATCCCACTTCACGCTTTCTGCGTTAGTTTATCCTTTACACCATAGTAAAGCTGTTGGCGATACCTGCTTGTTGTCAGAATGGAATCACCGACCCGAAGATTACATCGGAAGACGTGCGGCCCCGTCTGGATACCATTGCAACAAAGTAAAGGCCTAACCCGGGATGCTCAGATGAGCCTTGCGTCGTTACAGCCCCCGAAAACCGGCAACCGTTTTCGGACAATCTTTGCCAAAACAGGTTGACTTGCTCATTTCTTTATGGAAAAATGAAGGCCGCAGCTCTGCCGTCCAATCTGGCTATGAAATTCTGAACCAGAGCACATGCGCGTCACAACCTCGAGAACCGGAGATGCTGGCGATGCCCCGCTGCCGAGAATCCTGCTCCACCTATTTTTTTTGTTGTTCATGCGTTATCAATATTGCGAATTAAGCTCTACTTGGCTTCCAGGGCCGTGGTGTAGGCCATGACAATGGGATAGTGCTCTGATTCAAAATTTTCACAGTCAACATGGACGGCAGAGCTGCGGCCTTCACTTTGCCATAAAGAGATGAACAAGTAAGCCTGTTTTGGGCAAGCCCGTTGGGGGCGCATGCGTCGGCTTAGCGTACCGTAGTGACAGGAAATGTTCGTGATTTTATTGTTCGAGACACCCTCAAAATTACACCCGAAATTATTGGTGAAACTGTTGAATTCGTGAGAAGCCAACGCAATCGAAGCAACGGTGCCTGCAATATTCGTTAAAGGGTGCGACTCAGAACGCCGATTGACGCAAAAGCTGGCCAATGCATGCACGGTTATTTAGGAGCGGCAAAACCAGCTCTATCCGTAGCTGGGGCGCCGCGAGCAAGTGTGAAGAGTCCGCAATGAAGGAGGCTTTGTTGCTTAGGCCGCTTGGCCCTCGGATCCATGTCCGTTCAATTACTATGGATGTATATGGGGCCAGAAAAGTGGAATTCGACGAGTAATTACTGTGTTGAAGGCATTATACGATTTGGCTCCGGAGCACACATATATTCGTGACGACCATCGCCTGGAACAGCTTGTAATTTATATGTGACATAATTTCGTGATGCCGTCACGAAATTAAAATCACGAACATTTCCTGTCACTACGGTACGAAGCCGTTGGCCAGATCCACAAACGCTGAAACTTTGTCTGCTGGGCAAAGCAAACATGGCCATATTATTCTAATCATGCGAAGATTGTCCGAAAATGGTTGCCGGTTCTCGGGGGCCCTATCCGAATGAGGGCGTGCTTCAGGCGAAACTGCCCGCACAACACTGTGGGCCTTATTCAAGAAGAACTCGGCCAGGCCGTACTAACTTAACTGGACACAAATCCTCAGTTATTACGCTCATAATGGTGAGGCTCAGATGTGAGCCCTCAGACCTCCTCATTGTACACCGGTAAACGGCAAACAACCTTCTTTGCATCGTTGACATACAGGATAGGGTGGTTGTAAGGCACGTGTTCCCAACGATAAACCGTCTGACCGTACGACGTGACCCCGCATATCACAATGTTTATCCCGCGTTCAGCGAATCGCAAGCTTATGCAGTTTAGGCTTTGCTGTTGGGCATTGGCGGCTAACAGAGCACGTTAGGGATGGCGTTGTATACCTAGGGAGGCGCGAGTATGCCCCTGCTGCGGCGCCGATAGCCATATCAAGGATGAGAAGCACATTTTGCTGGACTGTACGGTGTACGACCAAATCAGATCTGATATGGAATACCCACGCTTCGAGCATATGAAGGACGCTATGGAGTGGGAACCTGAACGCTTGGCATGTACATGGTCCCACCGCAACCTTATCGTTCCCTTTGGTCGTTAGTCTCCCCCCTATTACTTGCTTTGTCTGGAGTGCGAGGTATGATGGTGCTTATATCGGCGATCTGGCAGCGCTTGAGCCCTCGGCTCGTATTAGGTCGGTTTGCAGGTGCGGGGTACGCACCTCCACGACCATGTAACGCACATATATACAGATGGCAGGCGGCTGGCAGAGGTTAATGCCTGATTTTGCTCCCGGAGTGTCCGGGTTCAAACTCGGCTGCCCACTCCTCCGGAGTGTGAGTGTTGAATTGGGGGAGGACCCCCATCTTAAGGGACGGTGTTGCACGTGATACTATCAATTTGCGAGGTGACCGGGAACTGTGCCTGTTTGCTGAACCCAACGAATACATACTGAAGTCGGTCAAGGTTCCACTCGGCAAACGGGCAAAGATGTCGGCACCAAGCAAGTGGCGAAGCTCTCGGAAACGCCGAGCACATCGAGACTGTAATCACCAAGGCAACTCACACATGGGTGTTTAGGCCACATATCGGTGCGCGTGCAGCACTGACACATAGCCCGATTGAGCCCCGCCCCGGGTACGCACTGTGCATTACATGTGCGTTTTTATCTGTACACCTTCCCCTACCAGACTTTGGACGTGCCAAAGTTAGTACTCGCACAAATGGTACCCACAAACACCCAACACTCCCAACGGACTTAGCTGTCCTCCTAAGAGCGTCACAGCGGCATGCGAGACCTGCTGATGTTGCGCGCGTGTACTTATGGGCTTTTATGGCAAGAGGCAGCAGTGGGCCGAGCGAATGGTAGGCCCAGACAGATGGCGCACTTTGAAATCTGTTGTCGATTCAAACTGGCTTCCATGCAAACCGCCTTTGACAGCCTGGCAGCTGTCCCGGCAAACCTACTAAGTCTGAAACGCGCCGATTTCTGCTTTCTGTATCCATTACATTATCAGTATATATGTACATGCGCGTTGTGCGTCAACTCACTCGCTTATACGCTCACTTATATATATGAACCTAGGGAATTGTCGCCAGCCCCGCTTGACCCACAGCCCGGGTGCTCTTCGCACCGCACATCATCGGGCCACCGCTTTGCCAAGTAAAACTGTAAATCAGCACCACTATATTTGCCACCATCACCATCACAACCCTCCACAAAAAACCTCTCTCCACCCATCCACCGCCACCAAGGCACGCCACTCTCTATCCAGCACACCGCCCTCTCTTCCCCCACCACACACACCCTACCTCGCCCTTTTTTCCCCTCTGCCCCGTACAACACCACTCCCCGCGCTCTCCCTCCCTTTCCCCCCTCCCCGCTCCTCACCCTTTTTGCCCTTTTTGTTCCCTGCCGTTACCGCAGCCGCAGCTGTGGCCGCCGCTTGCTCCCGTAGTCGTGGCCACAGCCGCAGCAGCACTGGCTGTTGAGTCTTGGGCAGCCAAGCCGCCACCTCCCGCTGCAGCAACTCCGGCTGGGACCGCCAGGCGGCCGCCAGCGACCTCCGGCTGTCCACCCGGGCCCTCACCAGCGCCCCCACCAGCTCCCCCACACGAGCCACACCTCGCAACTCGGGACGCAGCAGCATGGCGGGAGATGCCGCCAGATGGGGGCGAACTTCTGAGGTGGGAGGGAGGTAGCCGGTGGGAGGGGTTGAACTGGGGTGAGGTTCTGGGAGGAAGTGGAAACCACTATGGTAGGCCGCAGTGCAGCAGAAATTTCACCGCCGCCATCAGAGAAACAAGGGGCCACGGGGGAAAACAACCGCTCCAGCCTGTGCTACTACTTACTCCCTACCCTCATCGCCTCTTCTTCCCTAAGGACACCTTCCTAAAAAGCATCAAAAAGCACCTGTCATGGCTGGCAGCACTCGCCCCTCCAGCAAGGCTGCAGCGAACCCAGCAGCCCGCTCCGACGCGTCAGGGTGCGGGGCCGCCACCGGCGGCAGCGCCCAGCCGTGCATGCCGTACCGCGCCTCCCGCCACGCCAGCACCGCATCGACCGGCGGACCGCGGTACGACGGCGGTGGATCGGTCAGCGGCGTCGCTGACAGCGCGCACAGCGGCGTGCCGCTCTCCGCGAGCCACTCGGGCTGCCAACACGATGAGGAGGACACAGCGGGCGGAGCAGGAGTTGGGCGGGTGGGAGGTAGCCGTGCAGGCTGTTAACAACACGTAGGACGCACGGAGCGGTAACACATCACGTATGACAATATCGCAGATGGCTACAGCAACCCCACGTCAACATCATACAACGCGCTACCATCTATTAACATGAACATAAACGCAAACTCGCAAAAAGCCAAAGCATCTTCGGTTCTTGTCGCCACCACGCACCCGCGGAGCAGCTCTCACACACCTACAGCCGCCGGTGGGCGGCAGACTGCACCGGGCTCTCACCTCAATTGCCGTAAGGCCCGTCATGTACGACCGCTTTTCCGTACGCAGCAGCTGCATGTACACCAGCAACTCCGGGACATCCCCGTGCAGTGCGGAGCGCGGGTGCAGGAACACGTGCTCATCCGCCAGGCAGGCGGGCTGGTAACGTACGGCATGATGCTTTCGCCTGTTGCGGTACGGAAACAGGGTGAGGAGAGGACGGGTGACCGGGGGACGCAGGCGGGTTGAGTAAAGTGACACAGGCGCCTCGATCCTGTACACATGTATGTATGTATGTATGTATGTATGTATGTATGTATGTATGTATGTATGTATGTATGTATGTATGTATGTATGTATGTATGTATGTATGTATGTGTTCGACACAGGGGGCGGCCAGGGGTGAGAAGTCGCCTCCTCCTCATTCCCCAAGTGCCAAACCCACTCTCCCCCGTTCCCTTTCCCCCCTGTGTGTGGGCCTCATCCGGGCGGCATGCAATACACACGCGACCCCCCTGCAACACCCTTCCACGAGACCCCCCCCCTCACACACGCAACACCTTCAGAGGCCCCGTTCCTCCTCGCTTGTACCTCACGTGGTCGCACATGTTCATGACGGCACGAGCGCTCTCTCCCTCTCTTCCCCCCTCAAACACACGATGCCTCCCCACCTCACACACTCACACCCACCCACACCTGCTCTCCCCAAGCTGCGCCAAGTACTCCGAGGAGCGAACCCTCCGCGCCACCTGGTCAGCCCAACCAGCCGCAAGAGCTCGACGAAGCACCGCAGCGATGCCCTCGGGCAGGACCGCAGCCACACTGCCGCCAGCCGCCGCAGGAGAACCGCCGCCGCCGCCACCGTGGGCGGCGGCGGCGCCTGGCAGGGCAAGCGCCGCCGCCAGCTCCTTTGCCGCCGCCGCCAGCTCCTCGGAGAGCGTACTGCCGCCTGCTGCCGACGGAGCCGCCGTCGCCGTCAAAGGAGTTGCGCCGACTTGCTGCATCGCTAGCACACGCAGCAGCTGGCGGTGCAGGTCGGCAGCTTCACGGAGGTTCCTGGCGTGAAGAAAGTGCGCCGATGCGAAGTCTTCGCTTTCGCCGCTCGCTTCGAACGCAACGAGCGCTGCCACCGCTGACAACGCATCGGATTGGGCATGACGGAAACGAGCCTGCATGGCTGCGGCGTGCTGGCGGCGCCGCCGCGCAGCCTCGCGTGCCGCCGCCGCTGCTTCACTGGCAGGCCCCGGGCCCGCACCCCCTGATCGGCGGCGGCCGCCGGGACCATCCCCCTCGTCTTCATCGTCCTCCTCCCCGCCGTCACAGTTGCCCTCACCGTCATCGTCATTCCGCTCCTCGTCCTCTTCTTCACCGTCGCCGCCGTCACCTTTCCGTTTCCGTACTACTGTACTATCCTGCCGCTTCCCGTTGGATTCAGGAACCGCTTGTTTCTTTCGCCGTTTAGCGCCGTTAGGCCCCTTCCTGCCGGCGGCGGCGGCGTCGCCGTCGCCCCCGCCGTTAAACCTCACGTCACCGTCAGCGTTGGCGGAAGGGTCGGTCGACGCCGGCGCGCCCACCGTGTCTATGTGCACGAAAGGACTCTCGATGCTGATCGCCGCCGCCAGCGCGACAGCGTACGGCAACGCGCGGCCGGCCCGCCGGGCGACCTTCTCGGGAACCGACAGCGCGCCGCCGGTGCCGTACCTGTCGTCCCCATCGGCGGTCACTCCGCCGACGGCCTTCTTGTGCCAGTTCAAAACCTGAAGCTCGTCCAAACGAGGCGGGCACAACCACAGCCAGAGGCAGCCACCGCCACAAGACATTCATTACATGTGGAGAATAAACAGCTAGAGAGGTAGAGAACGAGGCGGAGAAAGAAACTGGTACAGAGCGAAGGCGGCAGAGAGGGGGGAGAGAGAGAGAGAGAGAGAGAAAGAGAGAGAGAGAGAGAGAGAGAGGAAGAAGCCTTAGGGTAGCAACACGATTGGAAACGCGCCTGGAGAGGACAGAGAAGCGCTGACAGTACTACTCGCTGAGAGCGACGGAGGCGGTGAGAAAGCAAGTGCTTCTGCAGGGGCCCTCTACCTCAACTAGGCCAGCTCAAGCAGAAAACAACCCCAAAGCCCAGCCTGCAATTCACCCGGACACAACCACACATAACCAAGCACACAGTCATCTCCGTAGCCAACGTTCCTTTCTGTGAGACAGGTCTCCCTCCCTCCCTCCAAAACACGGTCCCCCCCTCCTTGCCCCCCTCCTCACCCACCTCCAGCAGCATCCTGGCGTGTCGGGGGCTGATGGGGAAGGCCGCCATCGCCCTGCCGATATCTGTCAGCTGACCATCTCCCGGACTCAGCGCACATAAGGCCTCCAGACAGCGGTGCGCGGCTCGCAGGGCCTCGGGATCAGGGGGGGTGGGGAAGGGGAAGTTGTGGACCTGCGGGTTGGGGCCGGGGGTTTGGGCCGGGGAGGGGGTGGGGGGTAAGAGGAGGAGGGGAAGAGAGAGAGAGAGAGAGAGAGAGGAGAGGCCGAATGATCATAGGTCCCATGTATAGGTGTATGTATGTTTGTATGTATGGGTTTAGCATGGCATGGCTGGAGGGGGAAGAGGCACGTGGTTTAACCCCGCTACCGCTACCGCTACCGCTACCCTGACGCACGAACTGCTCCACAACCGACTCATACTACACTTGCAACGTTCCCCCCTTCACAAACCCAAGGCTCGCGAAACCGTACCCGCCATATTCCCGTGCCCCGTCCCTCAAACAGGCGACCCTCCAGTCCCCCAAACACCGTCATCATGATTCATGACGATGTACTGATGACGATAATGATCACTATGATGATGACGATAGTGAGCATGATGATGATGATATTGATGATGATGATGATGATTGTCATCATTATCTATCGCCGAAAACACACGCCCCAACACCAGACACGCCCACACCTTATCGACGCCCATGCTCTTCATCACCAGCACCACCCCCTCCAGGCTCGTGTTGACAATCTCGGGCGGAGAGTGTTCCGGAAACGTGTCGTTGAAATGAGCGGAGCTGTACAGGCGGTAGGTGTGGCCCGGGCAGGTTCGCCCCGCCCGCCCCGCCCGCTGAGCGGCTGAGGCCTTGCTGATCCAATGCACCTCGTACCGGGCCACCTGCCCGCCAGAGGAGTCCTCGAGAAGCTTCTGCTTGCTGCGGCCGGCGTCTACCACGTACCGGATGCCTGGGTGCAGTGGCAAGCCACGTCACGATAAAGACAAAGATTTTGTAAGTTTTCGGTGTCGTACTCGGGGCCGTACATAAGTCGTACATATTGAGATGTAGGGAGTCGTGTACTTATGGAATTGGGGAAGGGAAAGGTTTGGAGGAGGCGCCACATACATGCCAAACGGCACGGCACACGTCACTGTACGGGCAATGCAGTCCCCCATGGGATCCGTACACAGTCGTACCAAATATGTTGACCGGTGCTTACCGGGTATGGTTAGGGAGGTCTCCGCGACGTTGGTGGCGACAATGATGAGGCGATGGCCTTGGGGATGCGGAGCAAACACCTTGGCCTGACGAGCCTGTGCGTGTGTGCGTGTGTGTGTGTGGGGGGGGGGGGATGGTTTTTTGCAAGAAACAAAGAAACAAATGCCCACGTCCGAAAAGAGAGCGTGTTTTGGGGGAGAGGGGAGCATGGTCGTATGCGTATACGTAGGTAGGTGTGAAGATGTGCAGGCGTGGTTTAGAAGAGATCACGATGGCCTTTACTTAGGGTTTTTTGAGGTTTGCTGTGTGGGAGGATTACAGATGACGATGATGTCAAACCAGAAAGAGGTTCGTACTTGTCGTACGCAGGACGCTCTCAAAACCTTTCCCTCCCTCCCTCCCACCCCGCCAACATGGCAACAACCCCAGGAGGCAGACTGTCGTCGTACACTGCCCTGTGCCGTACCTGCGGCAGCATGGCGTACAACGGCAGTACATACACGGGCGCGGAACCCCCCTGCGGGCCGTCCCGCCCCGCGGCACCACCGCCGCCACTGCCACCACCGCCGGCGGCGGCAGCTGACGGCGCCGCCAGCGACTTGCCGTACTCTTCCTCGAACCGTCGCTCCGCTGCGGCAATCTCCTCGGGTGTGAACTGGTCGCCGCCCAACACCTGCACCTCCTCCTCGTCCTCCTCCTCGCCCTCCTCGCCCCCCCCGTTGAGCTCCTGTGAAGGGGAGCACACGTCCACACGCACACGTTCTAACAAGGAGGGAAAAAGACAGCCTCTGGCGCTGACTTGACCCCAAAGTCAAGCGAACTGCGACTGAGAATAAGCTAGATAAGCTAACGTTCGGATAAGAAAACGAACTAATGAAAATGCGAAATCTCTGAGACGGCGAGCACTGACTAATAATCCCAATCCGCCTCACCAATGAGGGGGTTGGGGGACTCTCTGCTTCAACAGGTCAACTCAACTCACCCCGTAATCATCGACATCGTCGTCGCCGCCGCCGCCTCGTCGCCGCCGCTCCGCGGCATCCCCCGCCACCTCCGCCGCGTCGCCGCCGCCGCCATACTGCTCTGGCGCCGCTGCCGCCAGATCCCCATCCTCCTCCCGATCTCCGTCCCCATCCGCATCCTCGTTGCCGCCTCCGCCTCCGCCTCCACCTGCGGCGGCTGCCGCCGCCGCCCTGCGACCCCGCGCCGAATAGTGCGCGTTCAACCTCTTGCACAGCTGCTCCACCTCCCTCTGACCGGTGAGGAAAACCAGAATGCCACCTGGGGGGAGCTCCGCATGGATACGTGTGACCTGCCGGTAGTTGTGACGGTTGTTAGTTACCGTACCTCACCATCGCGGCGGTAACGCGGTAAGCGCGTTTTCAAGTGCGAGGTATGTAACTCGCTTACACACAGGAAAATGCAACAAAACAGGTTCACCCACAGGTTCCCCACGCTTCCTGACATGAATCATGTGATAAGAAGGTAAAAAGGCGAGGGTGAAAGAGGTGCAGTTGCACGCACGTTTTTGCGTTTGTCCGATTGCTTGCTCCAGCTCCCTGAACTCCCGAACCCTCTCTCAACTCCTCCTGTCTTCTTTTTCCCCCTCCCCGTCCCCCCAATCATGGCCACGTCGCCGCCAAGACTACTAGTACTACTGCTACTGCTACTCCTCAAAGAGTCATCACTGGTCAGTACATATATAACTATTCCTGAAATGCAGCATCATTTGCCTTCTCCGGGACTATCCGTCTATCTATCTATGGTACATGCTTCACTCGCCAGTGGTTCGTCTTACCCCCACCAGTACCCGCCATCCAAATCCATTACAGACCGTACCTTCCGAAAAGCCGCCGACACGTAGTCCCCCATTGCCGTACGGCGGCTGAAATGTACGGTCACAGGGTACTGCCGAGCAGGCACCTGCAGCAGCGTCGGAGGCGGCAACGGCGTATGCAGCAACATCATGTAAATACCACTTGCTTGCACCATCTTACTCTCGCTCGCACAGGAGCATGAATAGCGGGGGGGAATAGTACGGCAGTACGGACAGCGCCACGTGGCGTCCTGCGTTATGCATTGGTTACGCTTTGCGCCGCAATGCGTTACGCTTTTGTGCCATGGAATGTGACCACGGATGGGTCACACATTTGATGGCCCCGTCGTGTTATATAGCTCATATGTGACCCACGGGTCGCTAGCAATCTACTCAACCCACATTAATGACGGGTGGCGGCATGGCGAAGAGGCGCTTGTTGTCCGTGAAGTCCGAGGTACGCAGAGTGGCGCTCATGATGACAAGCTTGAGCGGGTACACGACCTGACCCGTGGGTCGCTCGCCACGGGCCAGCGCCTCTTGCCGCTCCCGCCACATGCGGCGGCGCAACTGTACGATGCGTGACAGCATGCCTGTTGTGTGCCGTGCCGTAAAAAGAACATCAGACCCCCGGGTAAATACACTCTCTTCTCTCACGGTGGCGATGTGAAAGGTGTTGCTGAATGCGTAATGCCGTACGAAGTGGCTGAAGTGGCTGAAGTGGCTAACATGGCCAGGCCGCCACTGCCTGGCTTGCGTAGCCCCGCCCGCATCGAGCACCAAAAGTCCGTCTCCTTCGCACACTGGCAATTCCTTCGCACACTGGCAATTCGCCAGGTCCCGTCCACGGCTCAAATCATTCACACCCAAGGACGCACAAACTTACAGACGCACACGAGGCCAGTTGCTCACCCAGCAATAGGTCCGTGTTGAGCGCCCTCTCGTGCGCTTCATCCACCACTATGGCGCTGTAGCCGCGTAGGAGAAAGTCAAGTTGAAGCTCCCGAAGCAAAATGCCGTCGGTCATGAACTTGAGCCGCGTGGCGGCGCCCACGGCACGGTCGTACCGCACCTGATAACCCACCATTTCCCCGATGCCGCATCCAAGCTCCTCCGCCACGCGTTGTGCCGTACTAACTGCTGCCACGCGGCGCGGCTGCGTGATGCCGACAGCCCCAGCCTTCTCGGGGAAGTCACGGCAGCCGTACCCAGCTTCAAGAAGGAATTGGGGTACCTGCGGTGCGGCCGTACAAGACCATACACGTCCTTACGTGCCGTACATGCCCGTGCTTGGTTCTAAGTCATTGTGCAGGCGTGTGTTGTAGGAACGCCTTAGGGTTTAGCTGCCGCACCTGCGTGGTCTTGCCGCATCCCGTCTCCCCCGCCAGTACGACAACGTCGTGCGCCGCCACCGCCTCCATGATATCAGCCTCCATGCCGCTAATGGGGAGCTCCAGCCGCGCCGCCGCCAGCGCTGCCGGCCGCGACACGTGAACCACTCGGTGCGGAAACTGCGATGCCGCCGCCGCCGCGGCGGCGGCCTGCCGCCGCGCCGCCGCCACCTCCGGATCACGCAGCTGCTCGTCTTGCACGACAGGTACGACACCTCCGAGCTCCTGTGCGCGGATGCGCTTCGCTTCAAGCCGAGCCGCCAGGAGTGCCGCCCGTCCGGCGGCAGCGGGGTCCGCGGCATCGCTGCCGCCACCGTTGCCGCCATCCTGGCGTCGCTTTTTTGCCGCCGGCCCGCGCTTTCCCTGGGGCTCCCGCTCCTCCTCCCCCTCTTCCCTGTCGCCCTCACTAGAATCATTGTCATCGCTCTTTACATCGCCGCTGGGCCCTTGCCGTACCGCCGCCGCATGTACGGCAGATGCCGCTGCCGGCGGCTTCCGCTGTTCTGATGCTCCACGGCCCTGCGCGGGGTGCTCCCATGCGTCTACTAAGTTGCCCAGATGCCTTTTCGTAACTCTCGCCCCACCGCCCTCCGACCCGCCAACGCGCTGTGCGCCTAAACCTTCCTCCAACCTAGCACGCCCCAGAGATTTACGTCGATGCGGAAACGGCGAAGAAAATCTCTGGGGCGCGCTAGGACATTTTCCACATCGAAAAACGATATGGGTCAAAAACGTTCTCTTCGTCCTCTTCATTGAAGCGACGTCGTCGTCTTCGTTAGCGACAATGCCGAGGGCTCCCAGCTGCTGCATTCCTCGCTCTTCGCAACACACTATGTCACCAACCTCCCTGTCCCTGTGTCCTCCTTCTTGCATCTCGCTTCTCGCCTCGCTCATGTCCGTAACCCCCCTTTCCCCCCTTCCCCTTTCCCTCGCCACACACGCACACACGCACCCATGCTGCTCTCACCTCCTCCTCATCCTCCTCGTCCTCCTCGTCACTGTCACTGCTCGCCCCAGCAACCGCTCCTTTCACCGTGCGCTGCCGCAGCAGCTCGCTCACTCCTCCTCCTCCTCCTCCACCCCCGGTGGCCCCCAGCACCTCCGCCAGCTGCTCCCCCTCCAGCCCAGCCCTCTGCAGCTGCAGCTCCCTCCGCAGCCGCTGCTTCTTGGTCTCTCGGTGCCCGCGCTGGTGCAGCGGCCGCATGAGCGCCAAAGCAGTGTCGCTGGCGGCGTGGGTGTGCAGCTGGGCCAAGACCTGAAGAGGGGCAGGACGGCGGCGGCGAGTGGGGAGGGGGGAGTAGGTGGGGAGCTGTCACCCCGGGCGGGACGTAGTCGCAGTCGCATAGGGGGGAATGACAGAAAGCAAGTATATGTACGCGCCAGGAATGCCACGTGGCGAATATTCTGTGTGCGTGTGCGTGCGTGTTTTGGTGTGTGCGTGATGTGGTGTCATGTGATGTGGGTCTTCACGTGAGCTTGCATTGGTGGAGGTGAGGGCCCTCAAAGGATGCTGCCGGTCGGTGGTAGGGATTCGGGGCCGTGTGGGGTGGACAGTGCCGGGGAACGAGGGGGAGTCGAGGGGGTCTGGGCACATGCTGGACGCAAGGCTCTCTGGCGCACCCACCCACCACACCCACCCACCCACACCTGCGCCAGGTTCTCCCGACGCTCCTTCTTCTGTTGGATCTGCTTCAGTTTGCGCAGTTGAGACTTACTGAGCTCCTGCGTGGCGGATGGTGCCTGCCGGCCGCTGCCATTTGCAGCGCCGCCCTGACGTGGGGTGGCGGTACAGGGTGTGTGTGTGTGTGTGCATGGGGAGGGTGGGACGGGGGGGTGAGGTTAGGGGGACAGGGGTTGCATTGCGGCGGCTTCGCGAGGACTGTGAGGCCTTGGAGGAGGCGGAGCCTTGTCCTGTAGTACAACGCTAGGTGCGCGAAACCGAGTTGCGTACCTGCTTTGCGCCTTTCGCTTTGGAGCTTTGAGCGACGATCAGCTGAGATGGGTCGATGCCCGACCTGCGGAGGCAGTTATCGGAAATGGGTCAAGCCTTGGTCACGGCCGCCGGCTCATGGCGCCACGGGAGCCTCGCTGTTTATGTATGTTCAATTTTCTTGACCTACTCCTCATACTGTTGCTTGAGCTCATCTGAAAGCAAGTCCAGACCGCTCGCCTGACCCGAAGTTGAGCCGCCGGCTTTGCTACGAAGGCTTTGCACATGCTTGTTCTTCTGTTGTCGTTTACTCGTTTTTGTCATTTCTCAAGGTTGTTGTGTAATCTACTTCCAACCCCATACATAAACTTATGTCTCGCACGTAATGGCGCAACCTAAACAAAAGAGGGCAAGGAAAACCTTATCCTTCCGACATATCGTCCTTGTTTTCAAAGACATTTCTACGCAACTGCGACTCTGCGAGCGACAGGCACTCCGATTGTTCACGAGGCCGTTGACATCCGTTACTGTAGTAATGCACGTACACCCCGTCGAGTCGTCGCCCCCTCATTGCAACGCGAACTTTGCATCTGCGAAATAAACTTATACAGCCGAGTTATGCAACATGTAAACTCTGGTTAGGACGCCTCTGGTTTGCAGCTTCGCACTCGGCCATATGTGCGAATGGGTTTTGAATCGACAGGGAGACTATCTAAGCACATTCTCCAAAGATCCGCATATTAATTAGGCATAAGAGCCTTCTGTCCAAAGAAGCAAGCAACACATTTTAAACTTGCGTCCTACTTGCCCCGCATTGCGGCAGTCAACCTTGCGAATCTTCCCAACAGGGGCATCCATCCAAATACAGACGCAAAGCCGCGAACTTAGCTATCCACATATTTCATCCCAGTTGTTTCAAGATGTCTGCCAACAGCCGTTTCTCCCCTGCCCGCAATAACAATGCGCTGCGCCGGGCGCCAACTGCTTCCGCCGTCGCCGAGCCATTGCTGGGCTTCCCACCCACCGCGCCCTCAGCTGCGCAGCCTACTCCTCTGCCCTTGATCTTGTCCTGGCCAGCTGCAGCGTCCTTAACGTCGACCCGCTTCTCAGAAGCTCCGGTCCTGTCGAATCGGAAGGATGCAATACGGGTCAGTTTTCCACACTCTCGGGTACCCCTCGGTCCTCGACTATCCACGTCTTCCAGTGGAACCATCCATCCCCGCTGTCCGCATTCCCGTGACCGACCCCCATTTCGCATCTAACTCTATCGCATTCCTCCTGCCGAATTGAGAACGAATCAGCCGTTGAGGGAAACGTCGGAGAGGAGAAGCGCAACGAGACATGAAAGCCGAAGCCGGAGGGAGGAGGCGCCGCCTAAATTCGTGAAAGCGCGGGGCCGATTGACATACAACACAGAAGGTACTACCTAACTTAGTAAGTGCCCCCGGTGCTTCCGATTAGAGGTTATGTCTGCACCCAAGCAGCTAGCGGACGATGGCCCGCCGTATTGACGTGTGTCATTGTCGTACTTGCACAGAACACGCTGTAAACCACTTTTACCTGAGCGCGGGTCTGCCCTCCTGATGCTGTTGATCCTTCTGCCCCATTTCCAGGTTTCGGAGCTCTCGCTCGTCCTCCTCCAGGGATGTAGGGTAGGCTGCAAGCCGTTCCGAAACCACATGCCGGAGCACGGACCGCATCCTCTCTGTCCACAGTTCCGTTGGTGCCACAGAATCATCTCCGTCACCTCCATCGCAAGTTCCACCTCTTTTCCCGCTACGCACCCCGGGGGCCGCTTTCCGCTGCAGCTGCTGCTGCTTGATATTTGTCGTAGCACCCTTCCGGCGAGTGCCCTCCGCCTTACCATCGACGCCTGTTGGCTCCGATCTGGATTCAGGTTTGGATCCTGCGGAATCTCCGTTCGCAGGGGCTTGAATCTCAACGTCCTCGGGAAGATCGTCCTCCTGTTCATCCTCCCCGGACGAAGACGACGACGGAGCCTCCTCGTCAGAGGCATCCTCGTCTTCGTCACGATCCTCGCTGTCGTCATCGCTGCTGCAACCGGTGTCCGGATCCGTAACCTGAACCGTCTCCTGCTTCAAGGAACCCGTCCCAGCCTCTGCAACACCGACTCCTTTTCTTGTTTTCTGTTGCTTCTTCGGCCGTCTAACAGACCCTTCCAAGACCGCCCCGTCCTCCTCCTCGCCATTACCGTCGTCATTCTCTTCACCGTCCCTATCGGCGCCAGCACGCCGCCGTTTCCTCTTCCCGGTGTTGGAGCCGCCATTCCTTTCCACAACCTCCGCCGCAGGAGCTGCTGCTGCTGCTACTGCAGCTCGGTTCTGGTGATGGTGATGCTGCCGTGCCTGCCGCCACATTGTGCGCAACGGCTCCACGGCATCCTGCGGTATTGGGCATGATGGTCGCGATGCCGGATGCTTGAGGCAGTTGTGTAAAAGCCCCTGAGGGGCCCCCGGGGGCCATGTGCCACCGTTAGCTTAACCAGAGAAAACTACGACAGTGACAATGGTCCCAACAACACGCCAACGCTTGCAAAAGCATGCGCATGTATTGCTTTGCTGGTAGCCGTCATATAACCAGGCGCAGACTTGTGTGTGCCTGAAAGCGTTGCATGTGAATGTGCGCGGAATGTCGTACACCCTCCGTACCTCCAGCGACGCCCAGCTCGCCATCTGTCGCTCGCCCGCCGTCAGCACCCTTAGCGCCACGTACAGAGACGTGTTGACGTGGCGGGGCGGCAGCAGGAGAAACGGTTCCTCATCCTCGTCCAAAAGCTCGCTGCAAGAAACATTGTGAGAAATCTGAGGAAATTGAAAACGAGATTTCAATGAGGCCCATAAAATATTTTTATGGTTTTGACAAGTGTTAAAAACAATCTCAGGGATGATGTGCGCTGCATGCCCTTCCAGATGTCGCCCAAGAAGGACAGAGAAGGCGGAAGGGGGGCGGCCCACGCCTCATCTTTCTCTCACGGTGTTGGGTTGGGCCCGCGGAGAGCTCTCCTAGTCCGTCAGCTTGGCAGCCCGTTGGCGGATCTAAGGCTGGTCAAATAGTCCGTCAGTATTAACCGCATGTGCTATGTGTGTCTACTTCTACCCTCCAGCCCACCAACTCGCCCTGATGTCCACTCAGATCTGAGTATTCACTGTCTGTTTGTCAGTCAGTCAGTCAGTCGGTGTGTTGCGTACCTGTGTTCCGCCAGGAAGCTCGCCCGCTTGCGCGCCGCCTTGCGTCCCACCTCCGCCTCTACAGCCGCCATCACGGAGCCTTTGGACAGCAACAACTGAACGACCGCGCACAAAAGAAGCCCAGGTGCATAGCCCCATAGCCGCCGCCACCGTTGGCGACACCGCTCACCCGTGCCGCCGCCGTCGCCGCAGCAACAGGATTAGCAGCGCAGCAATCATGCGCAACAGGCGCAACAGGAAATGGCAAACGTGGCTCAGAGTTTTCCTAGGTAAGGGGGTGGCAAAGGCAGGGCAGGGAAGGCCGAGGCCCTAGCCAGACGGCCCGCACGGAGCGCCCGACCTTCCAGCGATTTGAGGAATGCAACCAGCTTAGCGCCTGCAGCTTTAACACATACCCAATGATGTGCTCTAGTTCTTGTTACAAATAATATGTATATGCACATCTATGGGCTGCAAGTGTATGAATCCGGGCAAAGGCTTGAGTAGTCGTGGGTCTGGGATACCGAGCCTGCTGACATGTAGAAACGCGTGTGCCATAAAAAAAACCGTTTTGATGGGATGTTGTGGTCGCAGTTAGCCTCAGGCCCCCGGCGGCCGGCCCCACCCTAACTACCTCATCAAATGGATTGTACTGCAGTGCAAAGCCGTACTTGTTGACGAGCTCGCCGTTGCCGTGTTCCCCGTACGTGTTGAATACCTCGGTACCCGCCGCCAGGGGCTGCGCCGCAACGATGTCCAACACCTCTACACCTGGGACATCAAGTGACATGCAACAAGCCAATATATTCTTCCTTTACCAATATTTAATATTTATGAAGGAAATCTTTCGCTTGTTTGATTCACTTGCTTCGGCCTTCTCATGGATTGTCGGAATTTCGTTTTACCAAGACACGCGCCTCACGGAGGCCTCCGTCGCGACCCCGACCTCCCCAACCCTGCTTGCACCGACCCAGTCACTTCCTCTCGCCCCTTTTTTCCAAGCTCGAAAACTAACCATCTCTTACCTCCCCTTTCCCCCGCACATATTCCAATGTCCAGATGCAAGTTGAGGCCACCACGACTGGCCACAGACGCCGCCAGGTGGGCCCAACGGCCGCCAACACCGCCAACACCGCTGACGCCGCCCTCCCTGACGCCGTCACCTGCCTCCTGGCAGCCCGCGGTGCGGCCTGCTGTGCCATCAGCATCGGCTGCTGCTGATGCTGCTACTGCCGCCGCCGCCAGTGGCTGCCGTGGCGGTGGGGGCGGTGTCGGCCAGGGATCATCGCCATCGTCTCCCGGGTCTCGATCCAAGTTCACCTTCGCCGTTGCAATGGAAGCAGCGGCAGAGACAGAGGCCTTATCCAGGGCTCCACAGTCCTCCTCCTCTTCTTCTTGCTCTTCATCCTCCTCCTCCTCCTCGTCCTCCTCCTCTTCTTCCGCTTCCTCCTCCTCTTCATCCTCCTCTTCCTCCCCGGTGTCTGGCTCCGCCTCCTTTTCCTTCGTACCTCCTGCGCCTCGCACCTCCTTCTGGGGCTGCAGATGACCGTGGCGGCGCTGCTGGCCGGAACCTTTGTCGCCGCCGGCGGCTGTGCTGCCGCCGCCGCTGCGTCGTCCGTTTCCGCCTGGCTGCCGCCGCCGCGCGTCTGCGAAAGTGAGGCGTCAAAAGCAAGCAAACATGTAAAAAGCGTTAAAAGCAGCGAACCTGTACACACACACGCGCGCGCAACCTACATGAAATCAACATCTACCCTGAAGAACTCAAGCTACGTCTATAGTTTTATTGAAATGCCGCACATATCGCTGGTGACTACGGAGTTCGCTTCGGTGTTGAAGTTGTTCTCCAGTGTCCCACCATCATCGGCGTTCCCTCAACGTGGCTCCGAAGATCATTAAAACACACACACACACATACATACATACATACATACATACACACACGGGACTACTTTTGCAGCGCCTTTCAGCCACCGTGGACTTGATCACCGCAGATAAATGCGAGTCCTTGCGGCTTCTTAACTGGGGAGGATCCCTTCACCTACCCACGGCAACGTAACTCGTAGCACAGACACACACACATGCATGCGCACATACACACGTACACGCACACACGTACCTGCATGTTCTGCGACCTCGAAGCCGTCCGCCCAGCCCCCACCACCACGGGCCCCCAAGTCCACACGAGCCGCCTAGGAGTGGGAAGGGGGAGGAAAGAGACACACGGACCAGACCCAGATCCAGGTCAGTTCAGATCAGATCAGACCAAGGAGAGAAAAAGGAGGATTTCGGATTCCATGGTGTCGGATGGTTAAATGGTTGGTTGGTTGGTTGGTTGGTAGTAACAGTTTAGCAGTTGGTCACTGTACCTTGTGGTTAAACACGTCGGCCAATGGGACGAGCGCATCGCCGTGGTGCTCGTCCACGTAAAAGGCCCGCGAGGCCACCCAGGAAGCTGCGCGCCTGGCGGAATTGAGTGTGCACGGAAGGGTCACTGTTTGTTTTAACTCACAATAGCGGAATGTGCTTTTCAGTATTATAACATAAGCGAAGATGACGATGTCGATGCAGTTAACAGTTGCGAGCGGGGAGAGGGGTGGGGTGGAGGTGAAAGGGCGACGTCGAGTTGGCCAATCGAAAGGGGTTGTGAAGTGTGGAAAGGGCAGGGTGTAGGTTTGGAGGTCACTGCGTGCCCTACGCCTCCAGGGTTTTCGGGTTTTCGGGTTTTCATTATTAGGTTTTGCGAGTTTGGAGGCCACTTACCGTCCCGAGCAAACGATTCATACCGAACCCTCAATGCATCGCCCACATCACTTCCCCATGCCCGCATGCATACATACATGCATATGTACACATGTGCACAAGCTCGTAAAGTGGGATGGCACACATGCGCAGTCGCCATGAAGACTAATATGAAGACTACATCGGCACTACACGACCTATGCACTGTAAGGCATGTAACACATTTCTGCCCATGCGTACGACATACGCACATGAAGGCCTCCAGGTTCCAGCCTTCCTTGAGCGGCCCCAGTCGGGCCGGGTAACGCCCCAGCAGCGGCGCCAGCTCCGACTCAAAGTCCGCCGCCATGGCCTCTCTGTGTGACAGACATTTGTACAGGCGTACGGAACCAGCAGGGTACGACAGGCCATCCGTACATACGCTCTCTGATCGGCCTAAGAGCTAATCCACCAGCACATCGACCCGTGCCCCAGGCACCCAGTACTTAATTACAGACCACTATCCGCTTCCAAGCCCCATCACCAGGCCCGCACCGCGCTTTATCCCGGCCCCCCTCCAACCCCATAGGACTCCCACTTCACTCCCACTTCACTCCCACTTCACTCCCACTTCACTCCCACTTCACCCCATCCCACTGCAATAGACCAAGCAGGTGAAGGGACGACCCACGACAGCGGCCCCGTTCAACCACCCTCTTAACCCGCCTCTTCGCAGTCCACAACCAAAGCACTCACCATGGCTCCGTCGGGATTCCCGGGCCCCAACCCGCCCCCGGGGGGGCCTCCGGAGCCTCTCCCCCTTTGTCCGACTCTACACGCAACGCAAGCCCTCCCTCGCCCCCGTTCGTCCCACCTATCCGCCAGGGCCTTATCCGCAATATCAGTTCCCACCAGCTCCCGCAGCTCCCCGCCGCCCCAGAACACCGGAAGGTACTCCCGGGGGGGCAGACTGGACAGGTAGCCGTACCTGGAGACGGTGTTGAAGAGGGGGGGATGGGTTGAGGTTTTAGGGTGTAGAGCGGGAGTGGGCACCGAGCAGCGGTTCAAAAAGCGTGTGGGAACGAGCGGGGTTTGAAAGTGCGCATGTCTGGGTCTATTTTTGTGTCTGTCTGTCTGTCTGTCTGACTATCTGTCTGTTACATGTAGAGAGCAGAACCGGCCTGGCTGTTCGGGCCAGTATTTAATTGATGTGTGAAACAGGGGGGTGTATCTTCGCCCGTGGCAGCTACCCTGCGAAACCCTGCCTTCCCCGGTATTTCGGGGCACCCTCATCCAGTCACCCTAGTCAACCTCTCAGTGGATTGCTCAGGTTCCGCACCCACCACCAGCATCCAACGGAATCTGCCGGGTCGACAGCGGCCCAACTCCGTTCCTGGTCGGCTCGCAGGTCAACTTTATCCCAGGTCACCACCGTCCATCAACGAGGGGCGCAATGCCTTCCACCATCGGAAGGACTTTTGACCCTAACGGGTATCGATCCCGGGATCTCCCGGGGGCAATGGTCGCGCCTTACCAGTGGTGCCAAACCCATATGTTATATATTAATTGCAATTTCAGGCCGGCGGTAGCGGCAGGGAGCTAAGCACACATAAGTCACGGCGCTCCGCTCTGGATTGTACGGATGCACGCTTTATCCACGACCACATACATACATGCATACACGCGCGCGGCGGCAGCAGCGGCAGAGGTGCTGCACCATCCTGAGCCTAAGGGGGAGCCCTCCGCCCTTCAATCGAATAACGTCCCTCCCCCACAACCTGAGGCAGCGCTCCTGCACATCCGCACTGCCCTCACTCTTTCCCCCCAAGCCTCACCCCTTCTTGCTGCATAAGGCCTTGCTCAAACTCAAATTGAAATTCAAACTTGCACCCAAACTACCACCTACCACTTGGACCTGGGTCCCCGGGCCGCCTCATACATGACTGCCGCCACCAACGCGAGGCCGCCACCAAGCCGTTCCGAAACCAACAAGTCTGCCAGGCCGCTGTTGGCGGCGGAGAGTACGGCGTACCGGGGAATGGTGGCCAGCACGCAACCCTCCGGCACGTCCGACGCTGCAAACGATTTGGCCGCGGTGTTGGTTGAGGTTGCGGTGCGGGTGGATCGGGGTTATAGAGGGGGGGATAGACTACATCGTGGGGGTGGGTGGGAGAGCACTGTGGGACTTGGTGACGCGCTTTGCGCAATCGGGAATGGCAGAGGACGATAAGAGGGGTTGAGAGGTGTATGCAGCTTTGCTCTTTCAACGCAACGAGCTATCACACCTGCATAGACGGCCCAGGGCCCGTCGGAAGGCTGTGATGCGGGGCCCAATGTGTCGTTTGAGGTGCAGTTGGAGTCAGGGTCGCAAGCTTTGGCGCTGCCGGCCCGTAACTGAATAAGCGATGTGTCCCATATGATGCCGGCTTTCCTCATCCAGGCCTCGAACTCCGCCAGTGAGCTTCGTGTACCGATGGGAGCCGACTGTCCATTGTTTGCAGCGCCTCCGCCAGCCGCGGCGGTGGAACCGCTGGGGTCCTTGTGACGTTTCAAACCCATGAGCTAGTTTTTAGGTCAAAGATAACGGCGTTTGGCTTAAATTGCTAAAAATGAAGATTTTGCCGCCGACATGAAAAATACATAACAATAGGACACCAAGCTGCAAGGAAGCAGATATGCAATGTAGATAAGCTTACGAGTTCGTAACGCGCGAACTATGATAGAAGAGTAAAACATCACAGGTTCCGAGCACCGCGCCATCGATTTTGGGTCATCGTACAACGGACAACGAGTTCCATTAGTAATACATCGGAAGATCCCAACAACCGGGGCTTGCAAACACCCTGTTAAGCAATCAACTGTAAGTTAAGACACCTTAAGCTGTCATTGGACACAGGTTACTAATTGAGGCAGTGCTAAACATTGGAGGCCCGCACATTACCGTAACTTCTTGATCTAGCAGTCCTGGAATGTTGAGGGATGTGTCTTTATGGAAAGTGTGCAGGATCGTGGTCAGCCAAAGCGGATAAACTCACCTCGCATGATGGGCGATATAGGTGTAGATCAGGCGGGTATGTTGTTAAGTACAGCGCGGCTTTGCCCTTTGGCGCGCGAAAACGTTGCCCAGGCAGATTTCGGCAGCGTAAGAATGTCCATCACCGGAATTCGTGGCGCCAAGAAAAGGCTGGAAACCACCAACTTTGACGGGAGGTTTTTGGGCAAACACCCTCTTCCCCAATCCGTGTTGAGGTACCCCAATACTACCGTCATGTCGTAGTAAATTGAATCATGGAAAAGGAGCGGCTTTGTACTACCGTAGAGCAGATATGTGGTAATAGACACGCAGTCCAGTGCAAAGACTCCCGCCGCCGCGGGAGTTAACCATTGCTGCATCTGTTTGTTTCTCTAGCATGTCTAAAAAGACAAATTGGGGAGTTGTGGGAATCGAACCCACGGCCTCTCGCACCCAAAGCGAGAATCATACCACTAGACCAAACTCCCTTGTTATTAGAAGGGAGTGTGCAGGGATATATAGCCGCCGACCTCCGGGGAAGTTAGCCCTTTGGCGAACTTGCGTTGACGACTTCGAGTGAGCACTTGACGCCACTTTTCCAGGCGATTTCCAGGCGACTTTACGACAAAAGTGTCGGATAGAAGTTATCTTTAAATTTCATGTTACATAGTGGTTCCCCTTAAATTACATCTTTTAATCCAAAGTACCGACGCATCTTCACGTTTGACCCGATTCGAGGTACGTGCCATGAATGCAGTAACCTGTCACCCATCAAACATTTGTCCTCGCCCCTTTGCCAAAATCGAAAGCAAATGAATTGTCGGCGCGGGTATTAAACTCCTGTGCAGGACCACAGACAACACCAAAACGTACAGTAAATTAAAGATTGCGCTTTGAATTATACACACCACGGCCACCATTACTACCACCATGTTTCTCTGTAAGGTTCGCCTGGCCTCAATCTGTTCCTTTCTCTCTTTCTCTCTCTCTCTCTCTCTCTCTCTCTCTCTCTGTGTTTCCGCAGCTGCACGCATGTAATCATACAAGTATGCGGACGAGGATGCACGCCAAACAACAAAACCAAATAGCAACGCAAAAAAAAGACGTCCTCTCTCGAAATTGGGATTGAAGCCTCCTGTCAGTTTTCTGGGGGAAAAAACTGGGCTCGAGCCCCATATACAATCAAGCACATCACATCACAACAGACAGCATTACATCACACTACCACAACACGGTCTGTTCACTGTGAAGCGGAAGCCGACATTCCTGCTGACAGCAGATGTGCGGCTTGCCGACTGTCCAAATCTAAACACAGGAAGCCAGCCCACATGGAATGCTCATTTCCCGGATTCAGCAGCGAATAGACATACATACAGACATACAAGCGGATTCCCATCCTCGGCGCTGCGGAAGCAAACCAAAAGCTTATGCACAGCCCAGTCGCTTCGCTACCACATCCAGGCTCACCCGCGCCTCCACGTCCATCCGTATGGTAACGTATATTATATATGTACGCCGTGGAATGAATCCAATGGATTCGAGTCAACCAAAAACCAAGTTATTTGAAGCTCCGTGCCGGCATTGTACAGCCAGCCGGCCTGCGCGTCCGCTTGGGCCGCAGCCACGATCCTGTCTCTCGCCGTGCGCGCAACCATCTTAACTGCACCACAATTTTATGCCTCCCCCAAAGACTGCAATACGTGGGCACGTTTCTCAGTCCGGCGGTAAATGATACTTCTCGATGCTACCCCCAAAAAAATACTGAGGAGCTGCGGGAAAGCTAAAAGACACAGCTGCGCTCCCGGGCAATCATCCTAAACTTATTTCTCAAGACACAGGCACCGTCTCAATAAACCTTATTATGGCGCATGCGATGACAATCGAAATACTACGCCATTGCCTTGTATTGTGCAACGCAGGGCCACAGCAGCTGCGACGTCACAAGTGCGGGCCACAAGGTTATAAGAAGCTTAGGGAGCGTGAGCAGGTGGTGCAGGGTTGTAGCAGGGCCGGAGTATCTTCGCTCCATCCCTCGCTTCTTTCCCCCCTCCACCAGCCCCCTCCCTGAGCCGAGGCCTGGCCCCCAGACGACACGTCTGCACGAGACCCCAACGCCACATCGTTGACGCACATCACAACCCGAACCAATTGACATTGCACATGCCGGCATTGCATCCTCAGATACAGACACTTCCTCACATTCGGTAGGTCTGCGGTTGCAAACGTATTAATGGGACACAACAACGCACGTGTAACCCGCACACGCACTAGCACGCATGCGCCAGGCTGACTCCCCAACCTGCACAACATACTCGCACACCTACTACATGTCAACACATAAAGACAAAACAACCCACCTACAGTCCATGAAGTGACTGCGGGGCGCACGTCAAGGACACTCGATGAGGTTTTGCAGTTTCAAGATGTCTGTGAAGTACGACACTGAGGGACGAAACGAAGATGCGCAATCGAGGGCGGGCAGAGCGGAGGCCGGTCACATCGTCCTTCCGCGCATAAAGCACCCGAGGGCTATATCACTGGCCCACAATTAATGGAGGGGCCAACTGGCGCAACGCCGGCTGATTTCCCCCAAATTAAAACACCAGGAGCGGCATAAACCAATCCTCCAGGTCGTAGGACCGCGGCACTGTTCCCAACACCGCCATATCAGGGAAACGGCCACTAGGATGCTTCAACAGAGAGCTGCCAGGATCGGCGGTCTGTCTCGAGAGCCGAGGACCACCCGCCGCCCAACAGCAAAAACACCATTCCCAGGGAGCTCTACCTCGTAAACCTCGGTCTAACCGAGACGACTACCCGCGCCCCATTAAGCAAATCAGGCGCACCGTGATTGCGCTCGCGGAGGACGTTCTGCCATCCCAAGATGGAATGAATGCCCGCTTCGCCAGCAACGCAAGCTGCCTAACAGCAAAATCGGTCCGGGCTTGGAGAAGGTACTAACGGAGGGGCAGCGGTATCGATGCAAAGAAGGAACGCGATTTATCAATAGGTTTGGGTGGTGGCATGGCATGCGCCAAGTGACAGCACACGACGAAATTGCACAATGGCGAAAGCGTGCACGTACACATGCACACTATGCCTACTACCGTGAAAGCCGCTGCCGCCACCAAAAAAGACATTTAGAAAAACATACACTGCACTAGACCACTGGCAGGAATGGGTAGCTGTGATGAAGACAACCCGACCAAAGCACAGGGTGCGGCAATGCCGTCATAAACAAATAAACCGAGGACAACAGGCAAAGGACAGCGAAATAACAGGAGACACGCCCAGCGCCGCCCGCGACCGCCAATCCGGCAGGCGTGCGGGATCATGGGCACTGAGGCCCCCAGTCAAGCGCTGCATCTGGCCTTGACAACGAAGCCTCACTCAGGCCGCCCGGCGAAGGACCGCTATTATATCCCTCTCATCTTTTCCTATTGTATCCATTTTGTCGCCTAAGTACCGGGCAATAGCAATACCTGCGTGCTGCATCGCTACTGTCAAGCTGAGCCAAGGAGCACGGCACCTCGGATATATGCCTTTTCCAGCCATGCTCTTCTCAAGCCGCAACAAAACCTCGATAGCAACCTCAGCGACATGAGGCCATCCATACCACCTTAGCCATTAAAACTATTGCAACTACTCATACAGTGCATCAAGTAGCGTTGATGCGCCTGCAGCTTAGTAGGTGTTCGTAGCCCTCGCCAGTTCGGTTCCGTCGTGATTCCGAAACCGCGTAGTCCCGTAAATGCCAGATTGGACCTGTAGACCGACCCGTGGGTCTTCCATGTCCATCCTCGCCAAAGGCGGTAGCAGCAGTGTCGACGTCACACGCATCTGCGCACATGACCCTTCACGCCGCCACGGCAGCATCTCGGCGGCCTTGCCGATGTTGCCGTTGCTGCTGCTGTTGCTGCACCTGCTGAGAAATCTGCTGTTGCGCATGTCCAAGTTGCTGCTGTGTCTGCGCCGGAGCCGCCGCTGCCGCCCGCCGAACGATGTTGTTGGCGCCAGCGCTCCCAGCCGTCTCCGCCGCCTCCGTCTCCACCAGTGGCCCCGCCGCGCCGCCGCACACCTCCGTGCTCGTATGCATGCGAATCCAGGGGTGGTCGAGAGCTTCGTCAAGAGTCAGCCGCTGCGCCGGATCCCGGTGGAGGCATCCACGCACAAAGCTGAGGCCCTCTTGTGACATCGTGAGCCAGGGCCCGAAATCCATCCGGATTTCCGCTTCCGTAATCGCCTTTGCAACCTCGTCCAACGACAGGGCCTTATTGTACGAGTCGCCCTGCCAAAACGGGAACTGCCGACAGAACAGCTGGTACAGCAGCACGCCAGTGCTCCAAATGTCCACCTCGAAGGAGTAGTCCCGCTTGAAGATCTAATGGTGGGGAGAGGGTGCGAGGGCGGTGGGAGGTGGACGAAAGCGCGAGGGATTACCGCTTGCGGAATGTGTTCCTATCCGATGTGGGTCAACCACCTGTACAAACTATACGTGGATCTGCTCGCTTGCCGGGACGTAGTATCCCAATCATGTTAACCCATCGGGAAGCACGAACAACGACGAAATGTTGCAGCTGTCCTGGGCGCTAACAACGGCTTCTAGCCACCGACCCAGATCCCCCTAGATGCGCTCATCCCATGGCCAACCTTGCAATCCATCACCTTCCCTTCCCTCAATTGCCTCCCCTCGTCCCTTCACGCCTCACCTCGGGTGCCATGTAAACTGGCGTCCCAGATCGCTTACTGAGGCGCGTGTGCCGGTAATGGAGTTGCGAGCAACCAAAGTCCACAGCCTTCAGCCAGGGCGTTCGTTGGAGCGACGCGGCCGTGGCCACGTATGGGTGCCGGTGCTCGTCCCTAATGCAAAAGTTCGCTGTGCAAAACAGGCGCGAAAGGTAGGCGAACTTTAGGAAGCAGAAACGGATACACTTAGACAGTAGGACGGAATCGCTAGGGTTGAATAAAGAAAGGATTGAATTACTGACGCCAGAAGGGCTTTGGCTAGGGCAATGTACGCCTTCTTGGCGGGCTGGACAGCGTGGAACTTCGTCGTTTGGACACCTTCCTTTCTGGGTTGCAAACATCCCAACATGCAAAAAAATTGCATACGGTGCAGGCGCGTGGGGCCAACTGACAGGTGCAAATGGTCCGTAGTGCAACAGTTGACCACCTGCTCTGCCCACCCGAAAGGTTTTGAAGGTACACGGTGGCTCACCTGGCTTCACATCACCATGTAGGATACCAAGACGGTGACAACTTTGCACAACTTGGAGAACTTCCAACGCAACTAATGCCAGGCAGCGCTCCGTCAAAGGGCCGTATGTCTGCAACATGCAAGTAGACCGTGCTCAGAAACGGCAGCCAGATAGAAGACATCTTCCAAGTGACTGATAAAAGCGGAAGCCACTCACTTCCGAGAACTTTTGGAGGTCCCCTCCTCGGCATGCCTCGGTCACAATGTAGACGTTGTCCTCGTCCTCGAAACAATCCAGTAGTTGCACAACCCGTGGACTGTCCGATAATCTGTCCAACAAAGTGAGCTCCCTGCAATATGGTAGTTAAAAAATCAACGCGATAGTCTCGGAACATGAATGCCGCCTGCTCCTAGGCATAGCACTCACCGCTGAAGCTTCTCCAGCACTTTCGCACGTGAAAGTCTTGGCCGCTCCTTCGGTAGTGTCTTAATGGCAACCTCCTCACCCGTTGCCGCGTGAATGCCGAGGTGCACCTTTCCGAAGCTGCCCGTTCCGAGCGCCTTCCCTTGTACGTAGGTCTCCCGAAGGTCAGTTCGCCACCCAAGCTCAAAAAGAGATGCATCAGATGACGATACTGAGGTCGAGGTTGACACATCAGAAAACGCAGTTGCAACTATACGTCTGACGTGGAAGCACGGCCGCGGCCTTGCAGGTCGACGGTGGCGATAATCCCAATGCAAACTGGTCCCAGCTCGCAGTGATTGGTGGCACATTGTTTATTTCGCTCGGGACCTGTATGGAGGAGGTTGTGATGGGAGCAAACTGCAGAGAATTGTGAGGAACGTGATAGCTGCTATGCTCTTGTGTATGTATTATAATATTGTAAGAGTTCTTAGCATTCAGGTGCCTGGCATGGGTATATACGGACTGCTCTTGTTGAGTCAGCATCCACGCACGACAGTCAGCAAGTCGCTTTCCACTTTTTCGCCGCCGCTCAGGCCTTCTGTTGAAGAACCACTTCCATACAAAGAAGGCGGTATGGTTTGAAAGCTATCACTTTGGGTACCTTGCAACCCTAGCTTGGACACGTAGCTACGCCTCGGCCACTTCTGAATTGCGACCGTCAGCCTTCCTACAATGAATTCGTATATGAATTCTTCCTTGTAGAGAACGAAAAAAATTAACAAAGATGTTGTGCGCTCTTTAGCGGGCAAGCTTGGCCGTTGCAATAGTTTCCCCGGCAAGTTGCACATTCAAATGTGTCATGTGACCTCCATTTGTTCTGGCTGTACACGTGACACACAGATACTTTTATGCAAAGCAGGACTTCCCCAGCGCCGGCACGCGCTGGCACACCCTTGCACGACGTGAGGCGCAACGTTAGGGTTGCTTCCAAAGGTACCACGTTCAAATAAAAGCCAGCAGTCATTATCTATTGATGTTGATTAACAACGCGGGAAGCCAACCCGAAAAGAGAGGACCTAAAGCTAACCCCGTAAAATCTCGCCCTCGCACCAACGCCATCGCGGGCTTTCACTTACTTCGCCCATACCTATCCCCCACGGCATTACCCGTCGGGAGCTCCCCGCTCACGTCCGGAGCACGATGAGTTCAAAAGGATAGCCCAGTGGCGAAGAGAGTGGGCAGGTGTTCTGCTGCTCTGTATGCGTGGCGAGATAGCGACAGCAGGCGATGCTCCTTGCAGGGAGACAGCCTCCCTGGAGACGCATCAACTAGTTTGCTTGTTTGCGGCGCTTAAATCCTGCATGGCCGATGAAGAGGCGTATTTTATGGAAATGACAGTTATCGGGGACGTCGGACCGGGCTGCCACGATGCAGACTAGGACCGGGCTGCCACGACGCAGACTCACACTAATGCTAAGCCTTTATAAAGACACGGTCGGTGCACCAAAGCGGCAACTAGTGCGGCTTGTAAGGCGAATATTAACTCCTGGAATCCCTGGGTGGCAGAGGTCGGGGGTTTGCCTTTGGTGAGGATTTCGCCTAAGATTTGAGCTGGGAAGCATTAGAGGTTGGACAACGGGGGAAATCCTCCGGTGATGCATCTGGCAAACATGCACCGAAGTCCACCTACGGCGGAACAGCTGCTAGCGTGTGGGTGATGTGCTGCGTATATCCACCAGACACCCACAAGAAGAGAAACCCGCATGACGAGGGTAAAAGATCCGTGGTTGTGGTGCATGCAGCGGCTAGTCCCTGCAGGTTTATGGATGCGACTGGTGCATTTAGCTGCCACTCAGGAGTTGCACACGAAGCATGCAGGCAAGAGGCTGGGTGGAGTGGTTCCCGACGGCCAGCCGCTGGAACGATGATGTTACTGTCGCCGTTAACAGGCAACCACCTATGGCACCCACCCGGTGGCTAATTACCGTTAGCGTCACACGGTGTCCTGCTCTGTCCGTGTCTTCTGGGCTCCGCGTTTGGATCTTCCGTTGTGTGGGTGCAGTTGGTTTGGAGGGTGATTCCCGTTTCGGGCTTGCTCCCCTTTCTTGGCCGTGCTCTACCTCCTGCTGCTTCCCGGTGGGTTTCAGAAGGAAAACCGCACAGCGGTTCATCGTTCAATTCGCCGCATTCTGCCAACCATGTATGCCATCGTGGGGGGTTTGCCATCGTGCGGAGAAAGAGGGGACTATGGCCCTCATGCGCCTCTCCTTCTATGGAGTGCTTGGCTGCGCTTTCGTTTATGGAACGGTAGCACCCCTTGGGCAGTACCAGGCCCGGTCATGTACGATATAAAACACAACGCACACATACACACATGCACGTGTGCACACGCCAGTCCCTCTCGTAGCCCCTGGTCTTAGTTCCGTTCCGTGTTGAGGTCTGTACGGGCCCCCGTTGCCCGTTCTTCCTCACGGGCCCCCGTTGCCCGTTCTTCCTCACGGGCCCCCGTTGCCCGTTCTTCCTCGCCAGCAGGACAGGTGAGGACACAGCATGTGGGGGCTCAGTTATCACCCTTCAGGGTGTCGACGTATCGCTGAGCTGAGATGCGCCAAACAGTTCTCAGCAAGTTGATTGATCCTCGCTATCGACTAATGTCCCGGTGGCAGCTGCATTAGTCGCCTATGCCAGCTGCGGAGTAGTGACAAGAGGTTGTGAGGTCGCTGTCAGCCGAGGACTAAGAGGACGCACCCTACATGTGTCTTGGCTCACACACACCGAGCGGAGTGGAGTGGAGCATAAAAGAATTACATGCGTTCAGGGGCAGCACAGCAAACGTACATTTCGGTTGCAGAACGTGTAGTGCTATAGTTATATGCAAGTTGCTAATATCGATATTGTACATCGCACATAAAATTTCGTTGTTAGGCAAGGCGTCCATGCAACGGTCAATATGAGTCAAGACTGAGAGTCTTAGGCTTCGAGTTTGGCGGTTGACTTTAACCACCGCTCAACGCCCACAACAACGTTAGGTCGCCAAGACGCCAAGCAAACCGGGCTGGACAGGTTTACAGACAGCACCAGTGCAATTCATAATTGGCCTCAAAATCACTTGCTCACAACGATCCCACGCTAAACTGTACTGGGCTGTCACACTTTTATTCCGTCGCCGTTGACAACACTCGCCATGCTCCGATAGGAATTGAGCTTTCAAAAGGGCACAGTAGTTAGTAGTTATCATGCACCGCGCCCTGCGGCCTGGGAGACAGCCGCCGGCCTGCTTTTCCAGCAGTGGCGGTGTAGCATCATCAGCATCAATTGTGCGTAGAACACTATTATCTGGGCGCCTCACTGCATATCCAGGTACAGAAGAGGCTCGGTAACCACATTCCGACCGGGGCCACTTTCGAACCAAGTTCTTGTTCCTTGTTTTAGGCTTATCAAATGGAAGGCGAAACAGATTGGAACCATGCCGCGTTACCAGCACGTCCAAGGAGCTCTTCCAGTCTCAGCAGGCAAAGGAAATGGGCATGGACGATAATGGAGAAGACGCATACATGGATCTTCCAGATTACCAGGTGCTCTACCCAGAAAGAGTAATAAAAGTCTTGATGGATAATTTTTGTATGGCTACCTGGCTGACCATTCGCCGGCCACTCCGAGGGTTTGGCCCTCAAGCGGTTTGTCAGTACGGATGCGGCCGGAGCGTCCCGCGTCCAAACGCGCTGTGCTTATATGTTGGAGGGACCATTGTGGATCCACACCTGAAGGGAATGTTGTGTTCCTTCACCGCCGAGGTCCTGACAGCTGATGTGCGGCTGCGCAGGTGTTTGACCCGGACAAGGGGCCCTTGGAGAAGCGTGTGCAGCGCTCTTTCCTCGATGCGGTGACCGACGACAAAGTGGACCTGAGAGATACGGAGTACTGGTTCTCTAATCCGGAGGGTAGGTACCTGGACTGCCTGCCCGGGAGTGCCGCTGGCCGGCTGGCGGAGCTGGCTGGCTGGCTGGCTGGCAGGTCATTTGTGTCTTGTCCAAAAGGTCACAGCCTGGGGGGAATTGCACATGCAAAACCCAAATGCGGTCAGCGACCGTTGAGTTGAGGCTGCTCCCTCCCTCCCTCCCTTGCCTCGCGTTGCCATCCATCACCAGAGTCGGCGGTTTCTTTCCTTACCCCTTTCCCTCCTCCCCCCCTTCCCCCTCCCCCCCGCCCACTCTAAGGTAACTGGAATGGCAAACCCAAGCGGGTTTACTTCATGCAGGAGGACGAGGAGCCGCTCACCCCCCAGCCCTGGCACTCACCCGAGCTGGAGGAGGACGCGGTGGACAGGGTAGGCGGCCGGGGGTCGGTAAGGGACTGGGGGATGGGGGGATTATCGGTGTGTGTGCCGGGGGGGAGGGTCAGGGCCTTTACCTTGAAACCCCTCTTTTCGCTTCCCTACAGTTTGAGATGGCGGCGGCAGCGAGACTGAGGGCAGGGCGGGGCGGGAGATTAGGCGGGCCGCGTGTTGAAGGCGGAGATGTATGTGTGGGGGATGGGACCTGACCTGGTCTCTCTCTGTATCTCTCCCTCTCCTCCCAGGGCTATGATATGATATTATATTTATACCATCTGTGACCTCCATCCTGGGCTGTTCCTCCCGCCCTGGCGCCCCCCCTCCCCTTCCCGCCCTCCTGCCGCCCCTTCAGATCGGGTTTGACGACCTGGAGGAGGGCCGGGTGTATGTGGGCCTTATCACAGACGTGTGGCTCTACCACGGTGTCCAGGTGGACATTGGAGCGGAGTTCGACGGGTGGGTGGATGGGTGGGTCGGGGGGAAATGCGTGTGTGTGTGTGTGTGTTTTGGGGATGGGGAAATGGGAGGTTGCATGCAAAATGCAAGAATTCAAATTGCGAATTGGTCTACTCAGGGGTTAGCCGTCTTGTTTGGCTCTGCTAATGCTATAGTCGGTTTCTCGCTTGCCACCGTGACGGCTTTTGGTCGGTGCATGTATGCTGCGCCTTGCATATAACCCCCCTTTCCCTCTCCCTTTCCCCCTTCTCCCTCTTCTCCACCCCTCCCAACGCCCTGAAGGCTGATCCCCTGCAGTGAGGAGCTCTGGGAGCTGGCAGTGGACCACATCGATGTGGGGGAGGTGGTCATGGTGGAATTGCACAAGGTGGGCGGCTGGGTGGGTGGGTGGGTGCATCGGACTGTGAGGGAGGGCTGCATGGGCGAATGGCGGTAAAACCTGCATCGGCAGTTATGGCCCCAGCGCAGACCAGCTTGCATTCGATGAGAATCATCACGCCGCGTTGTCAGCTCTGGTCATCGCACATCCACGCGTTGGGTTTGCGCGTATGAGTGTGTATGTGTTTCCCCCGAATTACCTCCCCCCGTTCCCCCCTTTTTCGCAGCTGCGCACCCCCGGTCTGTACCGGTGGCCGGTGCAGCTCAAGTTCACGGTGAGGGGCTTGCAGGACCTCATGTGAGTGTGGGGGGGGAGGGGGGGAGCTCGGGGGTTGGGTGGGTGGAGGATTGGGGGGGCCCGCGGGAGTAGGGGAGGGCTGTGGGAAAACACCCGCTGCTGGACTCCACAACATCTCCAGACGCTGGAGGTGGGGGCAGGGTGAAGTTCATGTATGATGTGCAATCTTGTGGATGTGCGGAGTGCACACGTCCAAGCAGGGGGCTTGGATACGAGGAGGGGTTACGAGGAGGGGAGCGGGAAGGGGAGGGGAGGGGGAGAGAGGGGTGCCGTGGAAACGCACTCGGGATGATAGCGGTGATAAGGGCTCAGGGAAGAAAATGCAAGGAAAGGGAGAAAAACAGGCGAGAGCGTAGTGGGAAAGAGAGGTGCATGCAGCCGCCGGACTGGCAGGAAGACGGCAGACAGACAGACAGATAGACACATGTCCGCCCAGTGCATCTAAAGGCTGAAGGGGGGGAGGTTATTGTTAATGTTCCAACCCTCCCCGCCTGCGGGGCTCCTCCTCCTCCTCCACTCCCACGGCACCCCAGGCTGCCCCCGGACGACTACGAGGCCCCGGTCGACCACGCGTGGGCTGAGGCCCAGGGCTGGACCGAGGAGGACGTGGCAGCTGCCACCGGCCGTACACTGGACACACCCACATACTTCGTGCCGCAGGACGAGAACGTACTAGCGGAGGAGATTCTTGACGTGAGTGACGGCTGCACGTGCTGCTTCTTGTTATTATTAGTATATTACTAGTGGTGGCGGGAGAGGTTGCGGGAGAGGGCAGCTCGTCACCAGCTGGTTAGCCTTGCCTGACCTGAGCTACGTCCATCATGCGCTTGGAGGGGTTTGGGGCATGACGGCATCGGTGTGTGACAGGAAAATACCGAAGGCGGAGCCACCATCTCGCCAATCATCATCCTGGGTCTGAATCTGTCCCTCTTCTACACACAAACACACACAACACTTACACACACTACACACACACGGGGCACTACCGGTGATTGCTCATCCCTTCCCTCCCGTCGTTCCGTTCGTCCCGTGTCCAGGGCTACGGAACCGGCGACATGTACTGGCGCGAGGCCCCCTCCGAGCCGGTGGAGGACTACATCGACGACCCGCTGGACAACCCCGTTGTGGAGGGCTGGCTGAGTGAGCGGGTGGATGAGGTGGATGCGGCGGCGGAGTCGGTGGTAATGGGCGGCCGCTGAGTTGAGTTGGGATGAGGAGGCCGCTTCGGCTTTGAAGGAGGAGGAGGGGGAACGTCTCTCCAAATGTGTGTGTGGGGGGGGGATGGGGGCGTGGGGGGGATGTTGAGTGAAAGCCCCTGGGGGAGGGGGAGGGGGAGGAAGAGGGGTCGCCAGCTTGTCTCACCGCCTAGGAAGGGAAAGGAGGGAGGGGGTGGTGGAGGAGGAAGAAGAAGAAGAAGAATAGTAGATCGGGGACAAGGGGAAAACGAGGAGGAAGAAGGTGTGAGGAGGGAGGAGGAGGACGCAGAGCACGCCGCGTTACGGCACACGGGGTTGGGAGGAGGAGGGGGGCCTAGCGACGGAGGAGGGGGGCCTAGCGACGGAGGAGGTCCCACGGTGTGGCGCGATGTGATGTGGTGTGGGGAGCGGCCCGGGGATGCGAGGAGGGGTTATTGCTGTCCGTGGCTGTGCCGTCGTGGCGGATCTTCAGGCGCACCCGGGTGAATTGTCGGCTGCAACTTCTGTACTGGGACGTTGTACTGGGTTTTGATGCTACTCGAGATACCCGTACCTCTCTTACGTCGCCGGAAGGAAACCTGTGCTGGACTACGTTTCCATGTGTGTATGAGGGGATGTCGGGTGTCTCACTTGCATTACACATACACACATCATGGGTGCACCACCGGGGATGTGACGTACATTCTACATGTGTGATTCGCTACCCTTTCCGTACTACCGAAATGGTGGCAGTGTGTTCGTCCCAAACACGTAATTTCAGCTCATTTGAAGCCAGGCCAGCGTTGACCTCGTCCTTCTTGCAAAACTATTTTCGACTCTTAAAAGGTTGCAATGAAGGCAAATATTATTAAGGCCACATGAGCAAAAAAGGTTAACTCTGAAGCAAACCCACTAGCAACTTGCAACGAGTAGAGAGGCTGCAAACCGCTCGCTAGACAAGAAGGTTCCCCTCGCACAGGTCGTCTCCGCCACTACGGCCACCACTGCATCCTAACCTACAACCATTACTTCCTCACACGATTATTTACAGACCTACGTTGCATTCAATGAAGTTCCCCACGCCAGGAACACTAAGTCTATACGAAGGGGGCGATGTTATCTTTCATTCGAAGGAGTGAGAATGGGGCGGGTGTTGTGTTTTTATGTAAGCACAAGGCACAGTCATCATAGACCTAGGAGGCGCCACTAGGTCAGCACACAACCCCAGCCTCACCGCGCTGTATCTGTCCATACACACGCACGCACGCCCTGCCGTACCATGCCGCACCGCATCACACGACACGACGCCATGCCGTAGTACCATGCCACACCACGCGATATTACATACTGTGCAACAAATCCTGGGGAAAGCCGTGTCGGCAGGGTCGGGCTCCGGCGATCTATTATCCCATTACCATCCGGACCGTCGGAAATAGAACCTTTCACAGTTTCGGCGCCGCCCGGAGTTCGAGCCCCTGTACGAGCATCTTTGAATACCACCTTGCGTGCCGCTGTTGCACCTCGCTTGGCTTCACATGCCTTCCGGCCCGCTCGCCTTGCCCGGCCCGCTCCAGCCTCCCCTGCGCTGCACCCCGCTGTCTTCCCCTGCCGCTTTACCCTGCTGCTTTTGAGGGTTCCTCTGTCCACCTCTACCGCCGCCTCGTTTGTGTCCATCTTTGCCACTCTCCAGAGACCAGTGCCCATCCACCCATCCACCATTCAACATGCAGCTAATACAGGATGCCGCACCTCGCCCGCCCGCCAGCTATCAAACTCCCCACCACCACCACACACACACACACGCACACATACATTTCCGTAAGCGGCCGACAAAAGCGGATGCTCCTTCCCGGCACTTCCGCAGTCCCTCGTTTCCACGTACACGGGGCCGGGGAAGCAGCCGCTGCACTCTCCCCGCGGGCTAAGCCCCTGCCCCCGCCCTCGCCCCCTCAGATCCTGCCCGTCACAGCCACATCAGGTTGCTCGTTTCTCCAGCGCCGCCAGTCCGTAAAATTGCCGGCCTGAGACGGTAAGGGTGGGGAAGACGAACCACGAACGAGTGAAGCTGCTGCCAGGGCAAAGAGTGTATCAGACGGTAAGGGTGGAAAAGACGAATCACGAACGAGTGAAGCTGCTGCCAGGGCAACAAAGAGTGTACCAGACGGTAAGGGTGGGGGGGAAATTACATCCAAAAGTCAGAAGGAAAACTGTCCCCCAAAAAGGGCAGTTACGTCCAACGGCGGGGCCAGCGAATGTTAGCTCGTGGCCCGGTCGCAGAGCCCTGCGGTAAAACGGGTTGCGTCAGGACAGGTGCGGGCGAAGGCTCCCGAACACAACTCATGGGTGTGGAGGTGGAGGCAGATGCGGCGTTGGGGTAGTGGTTAAGCAGAGAGGCACTCCGAAGGCGGGGAGGCGCATGATGTCCGACATAACACACAGCTTGGTTTATTGGTGGTTAGCCGTTGGTAGTTTTGTTGGTTCATGTTGGTGATTGCTATACACCTCACCTGGAAGGCGCCCTGCGTGCAATCTACGGCTCCAGGGCGGCCCCACGAGCCAGAACGCTCCAGGGAGGCAAGTGGGCGCTGAAGCTGGGGGGCTAGATTGTCCAAATGCTTGGCCTGGGCTTGTGGGTGGGGATTCAGGAGGGGTTTACAGGGTTTATTGCCGTACAGGGGGAATGACGGACCTTGACAAGGGTGCAAAACACGCAAGGTTGAGTGGCAGTGAAATCAGGCTGGTGAGGGTTATGGGGTTTCGGCAAATAGGGGAAGAGGACGAAAATGATTTGTGAGGATAGGGGATGCACCGACTAGGAGCGCGTGTGGTGCGGGCAGGAAAGGAAGGGTTGCGAATTCCAGAGTCACTTTTCTTCTCACTTTTTGGAGCCACTCCTACTTTCTTCCTCAGCAACCTCACTCAAAACTTGTCTCACTCCTACCCACCACGGTGTCATCGCCACAGCCCATGAAAGGGTGCTTGAAGCCGGGGTGGTTTCGGAGCGGTACCTCCCCCTGCGCCCGTACACAAGGCAAGACCGGAAGTGGATGCAAAAGGGCTGCGAGTGGCGGGCAGGCGGTGAGGGAAATCGACACAGGTGGCAGCACAGACGCATCTGAAGGCCGGAGAGAGTCATGGAGCCAGCCCGTTATTGGGGGGCGGTAGCCGGGTTCCATGCACGCGCATACAGAGGCAAAAACGCGAATCGTCCTGCATGCAAGGTCCTTCTTGAGGAGGCCGCAGCCCATATCTGGGCGGGGCCGTGGTTCTTCGGATCTGCCAAAGGTCCCCTCCGATCGAGCCCTCACCAACAGGTGGCTCATACTGGTGACAATTACACTGGTGATAATGCTAGGAACTAAGGTGAATGAGCGCTGCATTGCAAAAACCGTAGAAATGCGCGTCCGCCCGCCCGCTCGCCTGCCCACACATGCCCCGATGGGCCTTAGTACGGCAATGCACACACGCATCTTGACCGTGTCGTACATACCCACAGCAGCGCCCCCAGCGTCACGTCCTCCCACGGCAGTTTGCCCCACCAGCGGGGGGCTGCGGAGGGCTGACGGCTGTAGTGCACCGCCTTGGCTGCAGCGGGGTGCCCAATAACCGAGGTAAGGGGGGAAAGAAACGGAATTAACGAAACCGGGACGATGAGAAAGGGGTGAAGGGGAAGAGAACAAGTAACAACTTGCCAACAAATGCCACTCATGACCCCGAAACCCGCAGTCCCACTCTTCCTCACCTAGAGCACGTCCTGCCACATCACGTGACATGACGTACATCCAACCAACTGGGTACGGCGCCCCTAGGGGTGCCTCATGGTCAGACAGCTCCTCGGGGGACAAATACCACCTGTATTGTACGGCATGAGTTGGGCGGTGGGAATGGGACAAGGGTGTTGGATGAGGCTTTGGAAGAAAGGGTATAGAGTCTGACTGGACCGCGACATCACCCCCACATGACGTCAGCGACCCGGGTCCTCGGCGTCGGAGGCGTGGTGGCCCGTGGGTTTCGGCACATGTTGAGCTGTGACCCGTGCGTTGAGCCTATGGTTCACCCGGGTGGTCATGCCCGGACCAGCAGCCAAAGGTTTTAATGAACCGTGGGTTAGGCGATGATCATGATTTAGCAAATGACCCCGTTCAAAAAGCGACCCAAGGGTCAGCAGGGACCCCTGGGTTAGAAAGTGGCCTTTGGGTCATCACACGACCCATGGGTCAGCAGCCTATGGGTTGATGGCCCCGATGGGAAGAGTGCCTTCACCCAGGAGGCGCGATGACACAGAACTCAAGGTGGTCCGTTGGCCGGCTGGTCGATTGCAATCATCGTTTGCCGTCACGCTTGCGACATTGTGTAAACCCCATGGCCTGATGGCCTCCGGACCGCACAATCTTTTTCTTGCCGATCTCCCCCCCTGTCTTACTTTGACAACGGATCCCGGATGGGTCGAAAGCCGTCATCCGCGTGCGAGAACCAGCCGGATACGCCGCCGCAGAAGAGCCCCTCCTCGATCTCCACTTCCACCTCTGCCGCCTCCTCCTTCCCCTTCCCCTCCCCATCCTCCACTTCCACCTCCACCTCCGCCTCCTCCCCCTCAGCAGCAGCAGCGACCGCGGCCGCCTTGGCCAGAGCCCGGGGTCTGACTTCCGCCTCCGCCCGCTCTTTCCGCGCCTCCAAGCCCCCAAGCTTCTCCTTGCCCTCCTGGTCCTGTCCTGACTTGATACCACGCCTTTTAACGCTGTTGTTGTTGCTACCGCTACTACCGCTACTACCGCTACTACCGCTACTACCGCTACTACCGCTACTGCCGCTACTGCTGCTACTGCTGCTACTGCCGCTACTGCCGCTACTGCCGCTACTGCCGCTACTGCTGCTACTGCTGCTACTGCCTCGGCCACCAAGGATGTCACCATTGCTGCCAGCGTCGTTGCTGATGTTGGACAGCTCGCTGCTTGCGTGCATCGCCATCTGGCCATCAGCCAGAGGACCGTTGTCTCTTCTGCTGCTGCTGCTGCGGCTGCTCCTGCTACTGCTGCTGCTGGTATCGTCATCTTGGAGCTCCGGCGCGGTTTCGGAGCTGCCGTCGTCCTTGGGCCACTCCGCGGGCGGCGTCAGTATGACATCGTACAGCAGCCGGTGCGGCCGTACAAACACGTCATCATCGCACTTGACGATGTGCGTATAGTGCAGGGGGCTGAGCAGCGCGGGGTGGTGGTGGTGGGAGTATTAGGGCAGGTGGGGACCTTTCTCATTTGAACCTTGCGGACATGCAAGTAAAGCCGAGGGATGGGCAGTCGAGGTAATGTGCACCACTCACCTAAGTTGCCCCTAACCCGTGTTACACAATCGGGTGCCCATCGTTAGTCGTTCAACTATCAATGGCAACAATTCATCGTTGTATCTATCGTTTTATACATAGTTTCCTATGTATCAGGCGGCCACAGCTCCCGTAATGTTTCTCGTCATGATTTACCAGGCACACGGGCAACTAACCCAACTAACCCTATGCCGTCGGTTGCATGCGAAATGAGCCACCTCCATCAACCTTGCTTAGCTTAATGTTTGGGAATTGTGGACTGTTCCGCTCTTTCACATTGCACGTTCGCACCTGCTCAGGGCCAGTTGCACCATGCGCAGCGTCTTGCTGGGCAGATTGCGATACGTGTCCTGCAGGGCCGAGGGAGGTGACGGAGGGGAGCAAAGGAGAACACGACGCGGCTACTGTAGCGCTACGCTGGGGAACGACTGGACGGGCCAACAGAAAGATGTGCGAGAAGGTGCAGGGAGGGGCTCGTCATGCAAGGGGGAGGTCACTGGTAAACGGAGCAAGCATTGCGGCGACGGTGATGGTGATGGTGGGTGCAACGAAGAGTGGGATTTCGTACCTAACCCACCAGTCCGGGGACGAAGACAATGTCACCGTTCAGGCCAAGCGAGTTACCTCCTCCACCACCGTCGCCGCCGCTGCCACTGCGGCGAGGTACGACACTGGCGGAAGCCGCCACCGCTGCCACCTCTTGCTGCAGCACCGCTGCTGCCTGCCGCGCCTGGTGCGGCGGCGGCTGCGCAAGTACGAACACCAGGTCCATGCAGTCGTACAAGTACGACCGAAGTTGGGCCCCCCAAGATTCCCGAATGGAGCTGCGCTTGGCGGAGGACTTCGGGAATTCAAGGGGTTTACCAAGCGAAAAGTGCAACAAAAGGAATCCATCACGTCGCAGTGTGTGTTTTCATACACGTGCACCACGCGGTTGTGCGCAGGTGCCCGGTGGGCCGGTCGTTTTTCCGGCTGTTGGCCTAGGGTAAAATTAGTTTGCTCTATGTTGATTGGCGGGGCATGTGTACAAACGGATATTGCAATCAGGGTTACGGGTGTACATGGGGTGCGCGCCAGCGATAGCGGAGGCAACGAGGCACACGGAGGGCGAAAGATTCAAACGGGGGGCTTGCCGTACAGTACTACAGTATTTATTACAAATTTATATTTCTATTAGTTCAGTTCACAAGCTACGCAACAACAAAAAGAGAGGATTGCCCAAACGGTTGTTGCGACAAGCAAGAGATTTTTTTATCAAGCGAGTAAGGTTTTCTTAGCAAGCAGACCCACCTCGGCGTCGCAGCACCGCGAGATAACGGCCATAAGCACCCGCACTCGTCGCCCCTGTCGGGGGCAGCCCCATAAACCCGTGTTGGTGCGGCCCTCGACGGCGAGGCTGTGACGAGCGCCGCCTGGCCGTGGCGATGTCGACAGCGGATGGGGATGCGGCGCCGGAGCGGCCGAGGACATCGAAGGCGGCAGCAGCGGCGGGAGGGTGAGCGGAAGGTGCCTCCATCTCGCCAGGTCCAAGGCGAATTGCAGTGGCACCGCGGGCAAGCGGAAATCGGCCATCACCACACGCAGCCATGGCTTTGCTATCGCCGGCGTTGGCGGAGGGCCTGGCGCTGTGGCGAGCTCCAGTGACGGCGCCGCCAGCACGGCACTACGGCTGTTACTACCGTCACCCGCCTCCGCGCTGCCGCCCCCGCCGCTGCCGCTGCCGCCCCAAACCGGGGCCCAGCCGCCAGCGGCTACAACCTCTGCAGCAACGGCCCTGCTCCTGTAGCCGGCGGCGCCGCCGGCTGACGCTGTGTCGCTGCCGCCGCGGCCAACACCGCCGGCTCCACGCAAGTCCGGCAGGGACCCACGCATCAGCAGAAGCGCCACTAGTAACAGCGGCAGCATCGCCACTATGGCTGTAGCCGCCAGCCAGCAGCCCTGGCGCACGCCATGAAATGCCCAGGGCAAACGGCTGTAGCGCCCCTCGTCGCATCCTTCCGCGCCGCTGCGGAAGGGCGTGTTGAAACGGCGGTGAGGCAAGGTGCAGAGTGGCAGGGCGCGGTGATGAGCTCGGGATAAGCCTGCCGTACGCCGCCAAGATGCCTTCGACTGCTGTTGTTGGCCGAAGTGCTGCTGCTGCTGCTGCTGCTGCATGGGTGCAGCGGCGTCTGTGGCGGCCCCAGCAGCCGTACACCACTCCCGGAACGTGAGCGTGAGCCGTTGAGTCACGTTGGGTGGAGCTGGAGTTCCATGGGGGCACCTCGTCGATGACGCCGTGCTGTCACGTGGGACAGCAGCGTTGACGGTGGCTGTAGCAGTTGCTGTGGCGGTGGCAGTAGCTTCCAGGCCCGGCGGCGGCGCCGGCGGCGGCGGCCCGAGCGCCGCTCTGATGGTGGCGGACGCGGTGGTAGTGGCTGGCACGGCGGCCACGCCTTTATCATGTATGATACTGGGGTACGACGGTACGGCGGTCTTAACAGTTGAGGTCGTTGTATTGGCTGTACCGCCCGCGGCAGCCGTCGCCCGCTGGGGGCCGCAGGGCTGGGGGCCGCAGGGCAGGATGGTCAAGGTAGCGTGCAACGTTGTATTTCCAGACGAACGAGTCCCACCAGATGCCGCTGGAGCTGCTGGCGGCGCTGGCTGCTGCTCCGTGAAGGCGGCTGCAGCCGGCGGCAGCGCCGCCACCGCAGCTGTTTGGAATGCTGTAGCTGCGACTGCCGGCTGTAGCAAGGGCGATACATGTTGGCTGCTAACCCTCGGGAGGTTTGAATGGCTACTGCAGGGGTCGCTGCCACCGTCGGCATCGCAGCCGCCGCCGTCTTTAGGACTACCTCCAGCGGTTGTGGCGCGGTGGCTGCTGCCAACCCCATTACCGCTACTGATGTCCAGGTCCTCGACGGCAGGTGCATCGCCGCCAATACCGTTGCCGCCACCTTCAACCCCCACAACGGACAACCGTCCATGAACCGAACAGGCGCCTAGGGAAAGCCGGCGGCACACACAGTACCCAGGGCTTTTGTTGATGCAGAGTCTAAAACATACCCAGGCCTACGACGGGAAAACGCACTGGTAATGGTCATGGCCGGAGTGTGGTTCGCCGTTGCTCCATAACTGCCATCATTCGCGGGCTGAAAATGGCTCCTGAACAACAGACAAAATTGTCTCTTATTACCGTATAATTCAGTCGTACAAACAGACTACGGTGATGTGTCTGCCCAGGAAAGATATCAGTTGACCTTCGGTTTGGTCGATCCGATCCCGGTTGGCTTCCTCCGGGCCCTTCTCTCTCTCTCTCTCTCTCTCTCTCTCTCATCCTTACCCGTGCATAGCGGTGCAGTGGGGTTCGCGGGCGTTACGTCGTCGTCGCATTTGCATGGAATGTCGACGCCGTGATGGGCACTGCCGGCCCCGCTGGCGGCACCACCCGATGAGGGGAATGCGCCGACAGCTGCCCGCGCCCGCGGCCTGGCGCCTAGGTCGCCCCGTCCGCCATCGCTGTTGCTCAGGCTGCTGCCCTGGATTTCGATACCAACCTCGCCGCCACCACCGCTGCCTCCGTCACCGCCAGCAGTAGCACTGCTGCTCCCACTCTCGTCGCCAACGCCGTCGCCAGAGCCGTCAACCCCGTCACTCTCATCCGTACGGCACTTGTACGGTCGCTGAACTGGTGTGTACGGCGCGTCAGGATTCCCTGCCCGCAGCCTCATTGACTGCTGCCGGAATCAATGTCCGGCAGATGTACCTGCTGCCACTGCCGCCCGCTGCTACTGCCGCCTGCTGCCGAGCTCCTGTGCGTGCATGTGGTCACAACATCCAGGGATAAGGAGCTCTGTAAGCGCATGCCTGCGTATGTATGTATGTATGTATGTATGCCAGCCCTGGGCAACAGCGTGCCCCGCCGTGCCCTGCCCTGCCCTGCCCTGAAGCACACATCGGACATGGACTCTCGCGAAACACGCTAACCCTTACACACACGCAGCCTTCCCAAGCTCCCATCACCTCCTCTCCTACCCTTTCTCGCCATAGCCCCAAACCATGGGGCCCCGGGAACCCTTAAAAGCCCCCTCAATGGCCAAGATCCTTGGTGTTTTTTTCCTCGGTCTCCCAACCCAAACGGGGTGTCCTTCCACATGGCCATGTGAGTCGCAACGTACCGAGGCGCTACGGCGAGCTCGTTGCGGGGACTGCGAAGCGCGAGGTGGCGGCGGCGGTGCACTGAAGCGCCTTAACTACGTGACGGAGCTTATGAGCTCTTGCAGCCGGGGGAAATGTCCCGACAGCCCCAAGTAATAGATGAAAAATCTTCTCTGCGGCGCTCGTGTAGCTATGATCCCTTCACAAGGCTTGATTACTGCATTTGATTACTGATTACGAATTGAAGAATATATTATTATCTATCGCCGCCGCATCCTCCGAGAGGAATTGCTTCCGTTTGAAATACTTTGCAAAGTACTGAGTCGCGGAGGCGGGAAGGACAGAAACGGGACGGTGGAGGGTGGACGGTGTGAAGCTGGTGGTGGGGCCGCGGCTGCAACGCCGCCGGTCCTGCACCGGATCTCAGTCGCGGCCTCTTCGCAAATCCCAGGGCGATCTGGAGCGGCAGGCCATCCAAGGGGTGCGTGATCAGGATTCATGAGCGCGTGACATCGCGCCCATGGGGGCTGTACTGCGTGCCAAAGACGTAAGTAAGTGTTGTCTTTTGATATCGAGTACGGCCGAGGGGCATGACTTCGCCATCCGAGGAGAGGCGGACCTGCAGCAGAGCTCTGTCGCAATGCTTTTTATAGTCCATTTGGAGTCCTTTTTGTTCCTTAGATGGCGGCCTTGAACGTTTTCTTTACGAAGCCAGCCGGCAGCCCCGCAGGCTGACGAGGTCGCGCAATGCGCAGCCTAGCTGTTGGCCCTTAGTCTTAAGCGGACAGCTGGACTTAAGCGGGAAGGTGTAATTTAAGTTGTGTACATGCCGGTTTCTTGAAGATCGATCATTCTTTCAAATTATTTCTTGTGCCATATGTTGGGCGGTCAATCCGGCGTTACACCGAAGAAGACGCATCGAGCGCAGCGATTGCCTGAACAGGACTGATCGCGAGCAAACTCCCAAAGACATGCGTAGATCCAAAATATTCCACGTCAAAGCGCACGCACTGTTTGAACCAGAGACTTTGGAAGGGAATCTAAGAGGCCAGATAGCAGCATCCTAACTGGCGGCCAAAGTAGCTTCCTCAGCATCCAACACGGGCTGCTGGATAGTTGTGGAAAGAAGGATTCCGATGTTGCAAGTCTGGCACACCCTCGTGCACGCCCCGTGCGGCGCCAACACGCGTGAGCTAGGAATGAACTTGATGCCATGCAGAGTTGCTTACTTACTACGGTGTGCAGCTATTTATTTTTATTTTTTTTTTAATTCAATTCATGCAAATAGCATCATTGGAGTTTCGGCCAAGGCAAGGCCATGGCACAGCCCAGACCAGCCCAGACACCTATTCTGCCCTTTTGTCCGACTAACTAACTAACTACTAACTGGTTACTTAAGCACCCCCATCGTAGAGTATTGCTAAGAGTCCAAACTGAGAAACCCGCTGGGGATTTTGCCGTAATGTCAACCACATATTGACGTTAACCGTAACAGCTCCATTTTGTGGGACCGCATTCCCCCGGGCAACGCTAAAACCCTTCTGGCTGCTCAGGGTCCCCCCCCCGTTTTGCTGCCTGAGACCGGGGTCCAAGAGAAATCACGCAGAAGGGACATGTGAATGACATTTCCGTATTGGAAACTTTGCATCCCTTTGTGTTGTTGACTTTGGTCATAATAAAAAGGTTTCAAACGGCTCTCTGCGGCTGCAAAGGTGTATATGATGTCGCGACGACTTACGTCCATTCGTTTGGAGCCGTAGGACAGCGTTCCGGATGATGGGGTATCTTGGGATCTAATGGAAGGAATTGGCTCGAGTGGGCTCTGCACAGCGTCGCGCGGCTTGCAGTGTGACTTCTCTTCAAGGCACGGGAGCAGGTGGGGAGGGGAAGCGGAGCAACTATCAGAGGTTGCGGACAGCCACGAGAAAAAGTCATTGTTGTTGTGTATATTGCTCATAATATGTGATCAAGTAGCATTAGTAGTGGAGTACTTTAGGTGATCTGGAGGCACAACGAAGAGCGTGTTTTATCTGACAAGGTTCGGCAAGCGTCAGCGGGCCTGGACCCGATATACATTGCAAGATTGACGGCTCTTATGTTGGGAGCTGCGTAAAGCTAGGGAAGGACATTACCTGGCATATGACAGAAGCGGAATTGCGTTTTACTGTCATGTTTAAGATGGATGCGCAGTCGTACCCACCGGGTTAGATGTAGGGTAGGGCGAAGGTAAGAACAGAGAGTTGGTGTGCGAATACATATCGCGCCCAGGGCATACAGTTTATCAAGCGCTTTACAGCACTTCGCGCACCGTGCAACCCAGCGTGATATGCGTGTGCAGGACAGCAGGCCAGTCGATGATTGTGCGACATTGACTCCTGCTTCAATTACATAGGCAATATCGGTACCATTTATGTTACTTGTAAATGCATTTTGATCAATATCTGGAACGCGTTGAGAAGCAAAACTTGGGAGCGCACGATACCTGCACCATAATTGCGTGATGATGCATATATATTGACTCCATACATTATTGTTAATTAGGGAAAGAAATGGACAGGCTACGAAGTCATCTTTACGCTAGCTCGTTAAGCCAACACCGCCATAGCCTCGCCGTTCAGCCTATGCTTCAGCCTGTTCATGCTCGAGGCGGTTGTATTCACATTGGATGGAAAGGTGAGCGGGTTGCGTTTTGGCGGCGGACCTCCTCATGCCACTGAGAAGCTCCCAAAAAACCGTTTAGGGCTCGGAAGATACCGGAGACAAAAGCTTCTGATTTGTGCTTCCACTGCGGCGGCAACGGCATCGTTTGATCCACCGGGTGAGATAGCGGTACCGCGTCATGCTGCGCTTCTGTGCAAGGCGTGCTACCGAATCTGACCGGATTTCCCTACGGGCTTTCGTTCTATTCATAGGTGGTCAATCACCTTCAGTTAGCCTAGGTCAGCAGCCTCTGGAGCCTGCAGGTACCGCTCACCTGGCTGCTGTACAGCCTCCACCATCACGGTCCCCAGCCCCTCCTCCAGCCTCACCCCGGAGTGCATCCACTTCCCCTGCTGCTGCCGCGGCTGCTGCGGCTGCCGCAAAAGACCCCTTCCAACCTATCGCGCGGTTCCGGTTGCCCAACCTCTCCGCACCCATTACATGGACCTACATGCTCAGCTACATGGCCTTCATGCTCATCATGCCCATTACCGCTCTTCTCCAGAAAGCCAGTCTGGTTCCCCTCGCCACCTTCATCTCCCGAGCCACCGAGCCCGTCGCCATGCACGCCTATTACGTCACATTCTCCTGCTCCATTATCGCTGCTGCCATCAACTGCGTCTTCGGCTTCATCCTGGCCTGGGTGCTCGTGCGCTACAAGTTCCCTGGTCGCAAGCTTTTAGACGCCGCCGTCGACCTGCCGTTCGCGCTTCCCACTTCCGTTGCGGGCCTTACGCTCGCCACCGTGTACGGCGACGAGTTCTTTATCGGCCAGTTTCTTCAAAGGCTTGGCATCCAAGTGGTCTTCACGCGCCTGGGTGTGGTCATCGCCATGATTTTCGTATCTTTCCCATTTGTTGTGCGCACGATGCAGCCGGTAATGCAGGAAATCCAGCGAGAGATGGAGGAAGCGGCCTGGTCGTTGGGTGCGTCGCGTTGGCGAACCTTTGTGGACGTGGTCTTTCCGCCTCTCTTTCCGTCGTTGTTGACAGGTACCGCACTTGCGTTCTCGCGCGCGTTGGGCGAGTTCGGGTCCATCGTGATCATCTCGTCCAACTTTGCCTTCAAAGATCTGATTGCTCCCGTACTGATTTTCCAGTGCCTGGAGCAGTACGACTATGTTGGTGCCACTGTGATTGGCACGGTGCTGCTGGGCATCTCGTTGACCATGATGCTTGCGGTCAATCAGCTACAGTCTTTTAACCAGCGCTTCCGGAGATAGAAGACAAATAGGGAAGGGAAAAAAGGGGCATGCATTATATCCGGCGGTGAGGGCTGTGCTTGCACTTCACTACTGGAGAGGCCGGAAGTGGAGATAGAAGGGGAGGGTGGCAGGGTGCGCGGCGGAGGGGCCAGATGCTGCAAAGCGCTCGGCGCGGAGGGTGGGGCCTTGCATCCCACGTGGCTGGGGTTGGTGCTTTGGTGGTGCGGTGGATAAATTGCAGATCTTGTAGTGGCGGTGATATGAGGTGTGGTGGTGGTTGTAGTGGTGCGGAAAGAGGAGGGACTTGACGTGTTATGCTGCAGGAAAGTGAGAAGTTTGGAGGGAAGAGGTGTGTGCGTGCGTGTGTGTGTGTGTGTGTGCTGCGCGCAGGAGGTTACGGCAAGTGCTGTAGCAGGGAAAGGCAAGCAGGGACGGCCTGCTTAGGAAGGGGGCCATGTTGGAGGTGCGGGTGAACGGCCCTTTGGGGTTTTTGAATTCCCTTTTTTGGATGCGGGATGATGCAGCGAGGGGAGTTGTTCCTTGTAAGAAGGCCTAAACAGCTCGTGGTTACGTCTGTTACGCACACAAGTGAAGCACAGGAAATATTACCAAATACTCGCCGTCATCGCCGTTGCTTGCCGCACTAACGTCTTCTGCGGCGCTGGCGGGAGATCGGTTACGAAGGTTCCCAAACACACTGCTCCATGCAGCTCAGCAATGCGGCGAGCATTTCAAAGGGATCTCTGTCGCCCTCGGATCTGTGTGAGGGGGGAACCTCAACAATGCCACACAATGGAAGATCGCTTGCCGCTTGAAGTGGTCTTGCTTTCAGCCTTGTGATTCGGGACCCCGGATTGAAGCATGCCTGCCCATTAGCGGCAGGATGGCGAAATGCTAGCGCACCGTGAGTTCGTGCTGGTTGTTGCAGGGACCCATATCTCTATCCCTGTAGTGTGTGGTGTGATGTGGTGAACTATTTCCGTGTCTCTCATGTCATCAGCTCTCAAGTGTGATTCTCTGCTAAGGGAAAAGAACCGCCTGCTGGAGTGCAGCATTGGGAAAGTCATCAACCCTGGTTGCGCATAAACTCGTCAAATGCATCGCCGTTGGCAAACTGGTCGCCTTGCAGAAGTACCTGTCCATCCATTCTCCTCGCTCTGAATAACAAGAGGAGCTGCAAATGTCCTTACAAGGACAGTAGGAGAACCCTGTCGCTGGGCCCCCACCCTTCCTCAGTGGAAAAGCAAATGGCCAAGGACGCGCCAAATTATATGCCACACGCCACCTGAGCGCTGATAAGGAGCATAGCTTCAGGTTCCACATCGCGGGAGAGGCTTCCCTCCACGCAAGGTCGCTGGCCGCCCTCCCTTTGTCACCAACTGGTGGCGGCTACCAAAGTCCGTTCCTTGGGGGCCAGTCCTTTTCCTGCCATAGCTGCAAGCCACCAACCGCCGACCCATTCGACATCGTGTCGCAACGGTAGTATCCCCACTGTAAGCTGTCTGACCAGATGAACAAAAAGGTCAGGACTTAGCACCCTGTGCGCGGCATCCAGCGGCCTGGTTGGGTCCCGTCCGTGGACCTGTGTTCAATCCCCCTGTCCTCATTAATCCCCACCTGCCGTCGCCAACCGCTGGCTGCCCGTCCGGAAGACTTGGTACTTGTGCACTCCCAGTCCAACTGCTTGGAAAGCAGAAAAAGTCGTCAAAAGCTTCCCGGAAGCCGTGCTCTAAGAAGGGGCCATATATCTCGCCCCGAGCCCTGGCTTTGGTCAAAACTTCAATCCAGCAGGATCAACGACTGCAACGCCCAGTTACTTGTCTCGCTCTACATGCCACGCGGGGTTCATACTCGCCCTGAAGACAACCTTAGCACTAAACAGGGAGTTTCATGCAGATCCTTCATGCAGGCGCTTCATCAGCAACCCTTCCGCCCGAGCAGCCCCAATTAGATTCAGTCAAAAGCGCCCAGGTCAGCCACGCTCGCCAGGAAGTCCAGGTACTTCTGGTCGGCGGATGCCGGCCCGGCATCGCCGCCTGGCCCCCGTCCGCCAGCACCCGCTGCCCCGCCGGCTGTCGCCGGCTGTGGCGCCAGGCCAAACCCAGAGCCCGCATCCGCGCGACCGCCAGCTCCCCCTGCCCCCAGCGCCGACCGCTTGGGCTTGGGTGCCGAATCTTCTCTCCGAATCCGGAGCGAAGCCGGGACCTGCGGGCAATGGAGCGACATCACAAACACACACAAGCATGCATACTTGAGTTTGGGGTATGGATACACGAACATGAATGACATATAATGGATTTGGGACCGTTGAGAGACTCTGGATTTATTCAGGTCTTCACCTTACCCCTCTTGTTAGATGCCACTACCACTACCAGTGCCAACCCGACTACCCTCACGCTCCCTCACACCCACCAAGGACAGCAGCTGCTTATCCTGGGTGGCAGGCACCCGCTTGGCCACTGTGGAGGCGGCTGAGATGGTGGCGGCGGCGGCAGCGCCGTCCTTGGCAGTACGGCCCGCGGCGGCAGCCGGAGCGAGCGCAGCAGGGGCCGAGTACTGCGCGGGGCCACCTGCAGGAGGGGGCGTGAGGAGAGGGGGGGTTGTGAGGGGATGTGAATAAACAGGGCGCTATGCTGACTCGGTGCTGCTGCCGTCGTCATGGGTGCAGTTCAGGTGGTACAGTCCAGCGACGTGCAGAAGAGGGAAGTGCACGGAGAGGATGCGCTGACTCACTTGGGAGCGGCATCCCCGGTGGTGGCGGCGGCGGCATGGGCGGCGGCGGCGGGAACATGTGGGGCGGTGGCGGTACACCCGGCGGCGGCCCCGGCGGTGGCGGCAACGGCGGTCCTCCCAGAGGCGGCGGGGGCGGTAACCCGGGCGGAGGCCCCGGGGGCGGCCCCGGTGGCGGCGGCAACGGCATCCCAGATCCAGGCGGCCCGGGAGGCCCCGGTCGGCCTCCCGCCGCCGCCGCTGCTGCTGCTGCTGCTGCTGCCGCCGCAGCTGCCGCTGACCCTGGCCCAACGCCGGGCGGCGCATCGTCTTCCGTGCCTGTGGGGCGCGGGCGGGTTGGGCGTGAGGCGCGGCATGTACGCAGCACAGGTCGTTGGTGTGCTGTGTCGCTATGCTTCAGCCATGATTCGCGGACTCAGCGGACATCAACTGAAAAGATCGATGACGCCCGGGCGACCTGGGGGCCGTCCTCATTCACGGTCAGGGGTAACCAGGTCAGCACAGTGTCACCAGAGGGGAGGATAGCCAGCAGACAACAAGGGCCCATGCGCCAACATTTCCCCCAGCCTGGCGCAGCGACGCCGCCACAGCTGCTGCTGCCGCCAGTAGCTAACAGACGGAAGGCAATCATCGGAAAAGTGCCAGTAGTGGGGTTTTGTAGACTGTTCGCGCCATGACGATGACCGCTCCTCTCTCGGCGCGGTCGTCGTGCAGCATCCAATCTGCGATCCCGTAGGTCCACGTACCTGACTGGTTGGAACACGTTACCCCGCTAGGAGCTTCGTCTCCATCAACCCCCAGAACATGCATGTGAAACGAACGGGATACATACAGGCACACAGATATACACGCACCGGGAGCAGGGGGCTGTGCGCTCTCCGCTGCTGCCGCAGCCGCGGCCGCTGCAGCTGCGGCCGCTGCTGCCAAGGCGGGCGGCGGAGGTCCCGGCGGCGGTGGTAGGCGCCCGCCCGCCATCAACGGTGGCGGTAGCATCGGCGGCGGTGGCAGCTTGTATCCCGGTGGCGGATGGTCCGGCGGTGGCAGCACCGGCGGCGGCGGTTCATCCGGCGGCGGCAGCGGCTCCGCGGACGGCGCCCCCGGTGCAGGGCCTTTGGGCAGCGGCGGCGCCGCTGGCGGAGGCGGCATCGTCGGCTTCGGCCCTGACGGTAGCGGTGGCGCCTTGGGCACGGGGATTGCTGGCCCGGCAGGGGCTTTCGCTGGCACGGCGGGCACGACGCCCTTGCCAGGCGGCGGCGCGCCCGTGGGGTTGAGGGTGGGGTGATAGTAGGGAGAGTCCTGCGGCCGGAGCATCACAGGCCCCGCCGCGCCGGGGGCTGCTAGCTGGGGCCCACCTATCTTTGCTTTGAGCTCCTCCTCCTGGTAAGGGATTAAGTCGGGCATCGAGAAAGAAGAAATGGGGACTAGGAAGGGGATGTCCAGTAGGCAGGGGGGGTTAAACGAAAGCGCTTCGGGTGTCTACGAAGAGGTGAAGCATGGCGTAAAAAATGGGCCGGGCCGGGCAAGGGTTTCTGTTTTGGCCCAATTCCGTATTGCTCCCAGAGCACGACGGCACCAGCGTTCCCTACAATACCCATCGCACTTTTTTTCGCTTGATGGCCTGGTCGTAGGCCTCCTGCAGCGCTTTCTTCTTCAGCTTGAGATTCTTGGGGAGCGTGCCGTTCTCCTCCATATCAATCAGCTCCTGAAGCTCCTTCTTTAGCGTGTCAGGATCTGACCTTAGCCTTGCTCCCTCACGGATGAACTTGCGCTCCATTTTGTTCCGTGCCACCTCCTTCTTCCGCTGCTCCTTGCGGAACGCATCCGCAGGGTTGAGCAGCCTGCCACCCTTTGTTTTGACCATTTTCTCCTTCAGCGACTCGCAATTCGGTCAGGGGCTCCTAAATAGTCGCGCTGCAAAGAGGGACGGCCCCCTTGGGACAAGGGTTAAAACTAGCCAAAAGTACGTAGTTAACTATAATTGTAACATTAAAGTGTTATGTACTTGTTGCTTCCTCAAGACCCGGTTCCGTGTGCATCGCTGCTGGTAAAGACATCCTCAGTACCTTTCTGGAAAAGCGTTACCTTTTGACGTATATCAATATGAGCTCATGCTGACATGCGACGTAAACCCTTGTGGCCCGCTCGGCCCCATCGCGTTTTGTTGACGATAACGGTTGCAGTACAAAGTCGCAACTAGGACTGCAAATCCTTAGGCCAAGGCTGTAACCAAGGAGCATCGTAGGGTAAGTGGTCACTATCTTAATGTCTTATCCTGCCTTCGGCAAGTCACCATGCATAGGAAGCTCCCTGACCAATGCACATCTTCACCAACAAAATGTTTGCCGTTGGAGCAGCGCTCCTGGACAACACACCACAATCGGAATCTCGATCGTGAGTCATACAGGAAGTCGCAGGCTTTGCGCACTTCCCACAGAGCGAGATCCTCAACCCGTCACACCCAGCAACCCCCATGCTAGCGACCACCAGAGACCTCCTGCCAGCCCGGGCACTCCCCTTCTAAACCCTGCAACGTCATGTACTACCGAACTAGCCAACGGCTCTGTATCAGTACCTCCACCAGCAACTCTCAATCCCTCAATACTGGTTTCGGAGCTCCTATCGGGCCAGGTCTTTGTGAACTCCAAGCGCGTTTTTCCCTCGGTTCCTTGGGGCCCCACGCAATTGGCTCAGGTAGACCTCAGATCTGGTGGATGAGTTTATGGTTGCATGTTGGGAAAGAAGACTAGGGGTGGGTTCGGATAGGTAGGAGAGTGCCTGGGTGGCGGCCGGGCGGGACTTATTCTTTTCCAGGTTTAGTGTTAGGTGGTAAACAGCTCCATCTACCTCAAAACGTCGCGTGATTGGTATGAAATCCAACTTTAGTTTGTGATGTGTTACCAAGATGGTTGGGAGGGTGAGTCGCGATGAAGCCCTCTGTTTAACTCGCCTTTTTTACAAAGTAGAAGCAGCGTGTAATGCAACACCCTGCATGGAAATTCCACATGGCCGCACACCCGTCGTACTTTGTCGAACCCCATGGGCACCACGCCGTGTGTCGGCGCTCACAGGTCATGGGCTGGAGTGCTGCACTGGCGGTACTGAGCGCGACGACAGCCGCCACCACACCCCAAGTAAATACATAAAAGGGCCGGATGGAAGGCCCCTAGGGGTGAAGGGGCTATTGGGTTGAAGGGTGCCATTGCGGGCACAGGTGGTAAGTCAATTAGGGAGCTGAGTAATGAGAAAATACGAAAGCGGAGATGTGTAAAGCTTTGCTGCACGGATGGGGAGCAAACTGAGACATTTTGCCGACACCACCACTATCATTGGGTAGGTGATCCGGTGGCTTTCCGGTAACGGATGCTGTTGCCCTGCCGAGTGTTACCTTGACCCGCGTGAGGAAATCTTCTCACGTTCCTTCATCGCGAAGGTGACCTCGTGACAAAACAAGGTAGTGTGTGAGCTGCTGAACATGACAGCACAGCACAGCACAGCACAGCAGAGCGCATGACAAAGGATGGCAGGCGCGTGTATTGCACGTTACTGATGCGTATGCCACCACCGCTCCGGTGACACCGCCCACCCCTCACGCGACACCAGGCATCTGCGCTGCTCGAGTTGGACGAGCTACGGAGTGCCGCCGTACGACATTTGGGACTTGAGGTGCTGTGCAGCTGCCTGGCGGTTGCCGTACTTTACATGGGTCTGCGTGGGAGCAAGCCCAGGTGAATGGGTAAATGGGTGGGTGGGCGGGTGAATGGCTGGGTGAGTGAATGGGTGGTCAAATGCGGCCAAATCACCGTGCGGATGACCTGGCAGGGCAGTTGCTTGCTTGGCTGGTTGGCCTGCGGAACACGATCGTGACAAAGAGGAATATCGACCATCTGACACCCGTGTCTGAAGCGACCGAGGTGATCATGTTGTCGCACGTGGCGCTCGTTGCGGTGGGGGCCATTTTCGGTCCCCCTGGGGCTTTCTCGCACCGCCCCGCACCGGGGACCACATCAATAACATCAGCCTTCTTTGCGTCTTTCCTGTCGATCATTTTCCTTTCGCCCTCTATCTGTCCCTCACGGCCCCGTCGCCGTCCTCAACCCCGGCCGGGGCTGGTCAGGTCTGCAGGCCTGTTCAGATACGACATAGACAGGCCGCTGGCGCTGACGGTGGCGACACTAGCAGCGGTGTCGTACCCACTTGCTGATCCAGTATTGTACGGCATTTGGTCCTACGTGGAGCAGGTATACGACGGCGTTATAGAGCTACGTACGTATCGCATCATATGCATCGTTACGCCGCCGCGCTAGATGCTTGCGGTTGCTGTGCAGCCTCTCATCCCCCCATTACCTCCCCACCCAACACTAAAGCTTTCCCAAGCCAGTCTTTCTTTCTCAATACGCGCCTTTGTGCTGCGGCAAGTTCTGTAACTCGGCAAAGCCTGGGCCATTCACGTGTCGGGTTTTCCCACAATCCACGTAGTCGCTCCAGAGCCCTACCACCCTTCACAGTCCTTCCCTTTCTGAGTCCCTTCTGCTTCCTACTGGTGCCCACCGGGCTCCCTCTTCCTGCGGCCATCCTGTGGCCCGTGGCCCCCTCCAGGCGGTTGGCTTGACCGGTCAGCTCCCCGACCCAGGGGCCAGTTTGGTGACCCAGCTCCGCGGGTGTGTGGAGGTGTGGGACGTTCCAAGCATCGCCATGCACGTCCTGGCGTCATGTCTCGTGGGACCACTTTGGGAAGAGGTACGGCAGGCCGATTAAGGCAGGGTAGTGAGGGAATGTTTAGCAAGGTACGGCGTCTGGGGTACAGCAGGACAGGCACGCGGGTTTTACGCTTCCGCGCCTCAGTTCCCCACCCCCCCCCGTCATCTCGCGCCTCTCCCCCCTCCTGAGACCCTTTACCGCTCTCGCCGTCATCCTTCAAATACCCTTCCCCGCATAACCTAAATACCCACCCCGTAAAACCCTTCAACCCCTGCCCCCCCGCAGACCTTCTGGCGGGGTTTCTTCCTGGCCTCCCTCAGTCGAGTGCTGCCACTGCCCGTCTGCGTGGCGCTGAGCTCCTCCGCCTTCGCCGGGCTGCACCTGGGCCCCGGTAACCTGCTGCCCATTGCCGGGCTGTCCGCCGTGTGCGATGTGCTCTACCTGCGTTCGGGCAGTCTGGCGGGGCCTCTGCTTTTCCACGCAGGGTGGAACGCATACCAGCTGGCGGGGATAGTGCTGGCAGGGAAGGACAGCTTCGTGTGAGGGCACACGGGCGGCGGGAGAGGGGGAGGAGAGAGGAACTGGGACGCAGGGGAATACACACGAACCAGGCAGAGGGGAGGTCTGGTGGCGTGAGGTTCCGTAGGTAGGGCGTTGCGCTGGTTGCTGCGTGTCGGGTGGGAGGCTCGTTCTTGGGCATTCCATTGCAGGGGGCAGGGTGATAGTGGGAGCTGCGGACACAGCAGGCGGGGTCGGGAAGCGACATCGGTTTACCCGTTGAGGCCGGCTCGCAGTAACGTGCGCACTGGTAAAGAGATTGTCATTGACATGGCAGCCTGTGTCGCGCAGACGGTTTTTTGACGCAGAGAATTTTGATTACATTGTTTTGGTCACAAAATCTGTTTAAACTAAGCAGGTGCTGTCCGTATAACTCCACCACGGCAGAGGCGCTTCTGTCCGGCAGTGCAACCATCATGCTTCTCCCACAATAGTATAACTGCAAAGATATCATCCCCGTGCGATGAGCCAGCTTTGCTGACTGGCTTATTCCTTGGGCTCCTTGCCAGCCTCCCAGGTTGAGAAGGATTCAGTGTTTCGACTCAGCGTAACGACTCAGCATGCGCAAAACTCTGCGAGCGACGCGCAGTGTGCTATACCGCATTATCTGCCGTTTCCTGGGGGGATTTGTGGGAGGGGCCGTCCTTGTTTGCTTACCCTTTAGCGGTAGTGGTGAACAGAGGGGAGCTCGCATGCTCCACAATAATACACGGTGCTCATGAGCACACGTGTGAGGATGGGAGGGCTTGCAACCAAGTCGGCCGCTTCCGGGCATCTGAGCAACTTCTTCCTCCCCGTCAGGGGAGGGTTGAGAGCCCAAGCCATACCGAATCAAGATCCACTCTGGATTCGACCGGTGCCGGATACGCCCAACAAGGGCCGAAAAAAATAATGTACTGTTCGTACTTCAGGTCGGGCGGCAAGCATTGTTACAGCTGATGCCACATTGCAGCAGCTGTTGCACCAAGCCAATGATGGGAGGCAACGGCCCTCCGCGCATTCTTGGCTGATACATGGACATGTACGCAATCATATGCTCCTCGGGGATCACACAAGCTTGCGGCCACCCCCCTTATGGGTGGAACTTGGTGGTGGTGGTGCTGCTGATGGTGCTTCCCGTCCCAAACCCTTAATGCACTAAAACACCGACGAACGGCTCTGAGGAAGGCTGATATGCCAACCCGCTACGGCCCCAACCCACCCCACCCCGCGGGCCCCCAAATAGCCTCTACGGGTTTCGGCAAAGGCGGCACTGCTCCACCCCGACTGGCTGGGATGGGTGCGTGCTGCGTGTCTATACCTCGCGCGGCTAGAACGGCCATCGGGCCCGCACACCTCTCCCACCATACAAACAGTCGGAAGCGAGCCTGTCCCAACCGCCTGTTTTTCTTCGCCCTGCATCGTCACCCCACCAAGACAGTACGACTACGTACGGCACAGCTGTCGGCACCATGAGGCCACGGGGAGGGAGGAGTGTGGACACTGTCCAGGCCCAAGTTCTCTGGGCCATATCTGCGTGTCAGTCATCTGGTTGGATGTTGGATTGAGGTGGGGCGGTGTGCTGCCGGATGGGCGACACGGCGTCCCTTCTTCACTCCGCAGCACCTCATGCACCCGCACTCGCACTCTTCGCATGATATCGCAGGCCATGTGCGCGGGCCCATGGGACATGGGACCGAAGCAGGGGCAAAGCTGGCGCCCGCCCACCCTCCCGCAAGCAAACATACATACATAATACAGGAAACACACTACGTAATTACGGACAGATGCCGGGGAACCTGTGCCCTTTCCCCGGCACCCACGCTGGATGTCGCCCAACGCGCACGTACACGCACGCGTTACAACCCACGTCCTTTCTTCCTCCCCCTGACAGCTCCCCCTATCCCGGTGCGGGATTCCTGCGCGTACTTGGTAACTGCCGTGTGACCACAGCCCCGTGGGGGGGTACCTTCCCCTCCTCCTCCCTATTCCCTCTCTCCGCCATCGTCCCCCTACTCCCCCCACCCCCACTCCTGCAAGTAGCCCCCCTCCAAAATGCCTCTCACCCTCCCATGCCCTCCTTACCCCACTTCTACTGCCAGCGCCAGTGCCAGTGCCACTGCCACAACCCTTATAAACTACTCGTAGGCGCCCTCTTCCTCCTCACCCTCACCGCCTTCTCCCTGCTCCGCCCCCACCCCCATGTTGGCGATGTACGCTTCTCGCTCCACGTGTTCGAGTGCATCACAAATGAAGTTGACCAGCTCAGTCCAGTCCACAGTGCCGCTCTCGTCAGCGTCGATGGCGGCGAACATCGCCTTTGAGGGGTGGGGAGGGAAGGGAGGGGAGGCGTGCGGGTTGAATAAGGAGCGCGGGCGTTAGGGCCGGGTTAGGGAAAAGCGTGCTAAGGAAAGAAATGGGGAGCGCGGGACGGGACTGGCAGAGGGGCCCTCAGGACTGAGACATGGCCCCCCGATCGGACTGCATCCGGAATGGGAAAATGGGGAGGAGGGAGTTTGCGCGGGTGGGCCCGTTAACAGATGCTTGCTGGTGTTGCCGACGCACAAACGTAAACTTGCCACCCCTAACCTCACCCCCATCGCCCCCCTCCCCACCAGGTCCTCACACGTCCCCACAACCCGCACGTACCTTCATGTGCTGCTCCGACAGCGCCAGATTGGCTTCCGGCGCCAGGCTGTTGAGGCTCTCAATGACCTCCGTCACCTGGGGCAGTGTCAGCTGGCCGGTGCCCTCCTCGTCCACACGCTGGAAGGAGTCAGACAACACCGCCCGCAGCTGCTCCAGGTCCAGAGCGCCCAGGGCCTGTGGATGGCGGGAGGGAAGCGGGTGAATGGGAAGGATTAGGTAGGGTGGGAGGCGGGTGAGGGGTCTGTGAGGGAAAAAACACACGTTGTCCAGTTTTCCCGTAACTTAACCCCCTCCTTACCTTTCTCTTTCCCCCGACAACCCTACTGCCCGCGACCACGGCCTGCGCCCCGCCCACGGGCCCCCCACCTGAATTCCTCCCGCCTCCGCCACCGCCTTGATGGCGCTCATCCTGCTCTTCATGCTCTCCACGTCGTTCATGGAGCGAATGATGGAGGCCGCCAGGGGTACGAATTGAATGTACTGCACCATGCCGTCCGGGGTGGTGGGGGCCTGGCTCAGCAAGCTGACGGTCTGCAGGGTCGTCAGTCCCAGCGCCTGGTACGACAGCTCCTTGAAAATTGCCTTGACCTTCGCAGCGGGACGGGGAACGGGATGCGGGGCAGGTAATGAGGTAAGGTGCAGGGAGAAGACGAGCAAATCCAAACGTGAAAAATGAGTTAAGCGGGAGGGGGAGCTGCGGAGGCAGGTTCTGAAGAGGGGGTGGGGAGGGTCTCAACAGGTAGTTGCAGAGGGAAGGTGGAGAAGGGGGGGATAATGGGAAAGAGGGCCTTCCTTCGGGGTTGAAACAGGGCCGTTGGAACAGAGCAGTCCGGGGGCCCAGGCAGGCAGGCAGGCAGACAGGCAGGGGGTGCCGGGAGGGTATACAGCGATGGCTGGCGCAACGGCAGTATGGAAGCGAGAGCACAAACACACCACCTCGTCAGCACACGAAGAAGACAAGCAGCGTGTCGCACACACACATGCACACCTTCACCCGCGTCTACCTGTCGCTGCGTGAGCAGGCCGGTGTTCTCTGAGTCTGCATCCCTAAAGGCGGTCAGCAGCATCTGTTGCAGCTCGTCGGTGTTGCTGAGGATGTCGTTCACCACGATCTCATCCTTAAACCGCTCAACAAGCACCTGGATGGCGGCGGTCGGGTGTTGGGGGGCCGTTGGGGGGGTCAGGGAGCCCACGGAGGGGGGTTCGGGGCATCGGGGAGAAGAGGAGGCGGGGAGTCAGGGTCGTGTCAAATCCACAAACACGAACGCGCGCGTCGACACACGCACACACGCACTCTCAGGCCAGGCACCTTCGTGGATCATCTCGCCATAAAAAGACATACCGACATGCGTACAAACGCACAACACCCTCCACCTTACCCCATCAGCCCACCTGGAAGCACACCGGGATGAACTCCTCGTACGACACCAGTCCGTCCTTGTCCACGTCAATGTGAGAGAGAATGAGGTTGATGTCCTTGCGAGTAAGGCCCAGCTCGGCAGCCTTGAGGGCCTCCTTGAACTCGTGCCTGATGCGGGAGGAGGCGCGGGGGGGAGAGGCGGGGTGAGAGTAAAAGAGAGGTGGAGAGGGGGGCATGGGGAAAACTCCGCGTGAGCGTGTATGTGTTTGAGTACATGCCTAGTGCTAAACATACGGCAGCCAATACCGAACAAGGTACGACAGGGCGTGTTTTCATGTGAAGGTCACGGGACGGCGGCCGCGTGTGTGTTTTCTTACGCGGGGCGCTATGAGGGGGAGGGCGGATGCGGTGTGGTATACACAGTACGTGTCATATTGTGGTTGTGGGGAGGTGTCAGCAAGCAGTGCACACACCACCAGCACCAAGTGAGGGCCTCCAGCACCTCAGTCTCTCAGTCCATCCTCTCGTCCCACCTGTTGAGGGTGCCACTGCCATCCGCATCCGCCTTCCGGAACACCTTGAGCATCAGGGCCTGAGGGTGTGTGGGGTGGGGAGGTGGGGGGGAGATGTAGGTGGTATGGTGTGTGGTGTGTGTGTGTATGTGTGTGTGGGGTGTGTGTGTGTGTGTGTGTGTGTAGGTAGGGAGGGAGGGATATCAGCGGGAGGGAGGGGACAGGACAGGGAAGGCAAGGAGGAGGCAAAAGGGAACCTCCAGAAAGCGGAAGGACGACCGGCATCAGGAAAAGAACGAAATACGACCCGGGGATGCAGCTGCCATACTCTCACCGGTCCGATACGACGGCACCGTGTGTGTAGATGTGTATTTCAGCTGTACGGACGAGTGCCGTGTACCTGAACCTTGCAGCGCACCCCTCTGCCGTGCTCCTCCCTCCCTCGCTCCAATACCTCTCCTCCCCCCTCCCTCTCCCCCCCCCTTCCCCCCACATACACACCTGCAGCTCCTCCTGCGGTAGGCCATGCAGCAACATGCTCTCCACCTCCGTACGGACCATCGACTCCACTCCATGCATCATGGCCTTGGCCTGCTCCTTAGCCTTAGCGGGGCGACGGTTGCCGGTTGGCGGTTGGGGGCGTATATGCGGGATGGGGTCAGGGGATGGTGCGTGTGTGGGACAGGAAATCGCGACCAGCTAAGAGTATTAGGAGGCTCGCCCTAACCGTCGCTGCTCCAAGGGTTGGGCTGGGTTGAGTAGGTTTACGGACATGGGGGTGACAGCCCAGTTAGGATCTGGTGCTTCCAGTGCTCTTCCTGTCGTTCAATTACTATGATGTGTTCCGTTCTGGCCCTCCGGGTGCCGTACCTTGATGCTCTGCATGACGTCCACCATGATGGGCAGGAACTCCTTGTACTGGATGACGTCATCGTCGTTCTCATCCGCCTCCGCCAGGATCTGCCGAATTTGCCTGTCCAGGCGCACGCAGCGGATGACAGGTCGCCGTACAACGTAAAGGGCGGGCAGGGTATGTGGTGGGGAGCGCACTGTCGTACACCAGAGCGGCGTGCAGTGCCCCACCCCACAAACCAGCGCCAGGTGGCTCTCTCCCCTCCCCCACCACCGCTGAAAGAGCAGCAACCCGTCTCACAACATCACCCTAATCGACTTTTTGCTGCCTCAGATCCTTTTTATCCTACCGACCACGGTGCAAGTTCTTCCCCCTTCTCCCTTCCCACATAACACCCCGCAAACAGGCCATCATCCATTTCCCCACCAATACACGTACACACCCACACCCACACACGGGCGCGTCAAAAGGCCCTGCAAGTCACGGTCCATTCATCCTCCCCTCCCGGCCCCCGTGCCTTACAGAGCCTGTCCATCCGTGCCGTTGGAATCAAGTGCTTATACGTTATACCTGCTCCGCGTCCTTCACACTCCCAAGCGCACACGCAAACACACTCTCACCCAATGGCGCAAATTCGACACCCTCACGCTCACGTGGCGGCCCCCACTGCGAACAACGCGGACACAATCCCAGCTCAGTCAAACGCGGCCCCCTGCTCCGCCACTTGCACATCCCACCTGTCACTCAGCCGTAGATTTGCGTTCCGCAGCACCGAGGTAAGCTCCTGTCGGTCGAGGAAGCCGCTGCGGTCCCTATCGGCCTCGATGAACAGCTCTGGCGGGGTGGATAGGAGAGGGAAGGGAGATGACGGAGGGGACACAGAAGCGAGGAAAGGTGGTTGATGGTTGGTGGTTGACACTGAACAGAAGGAAACTGACAGGCCTGGGCCAGCGGGTGTGTTGTGGGGGGAGGGGGGGAGGGGTAAGCAGCAGGAAGATGCCGTACCGCACGCGGTTTCCCCACGAAGGCCGGCCGCTGCCGAGTCAAAGCCGAACATGAGCAGCAGGACGGTGCTTGGGAGCCCGGCCAGCCGTAGCCTGGAACACCACCCACCCATTCATCCACCCACCCCACTGCCGAGCGCGCGCACCCCGGTATAGCCTGGCCGCCCAGCGGTGGGCGAGGTGAAGGGACAGCCCGGGGGTGGGGGTGGGGACCTACTGCAGGGCAGGTCCCAGGCACCCGGCCGCAACCCACTGGCCCTGAGCCATAGGACGGCAGCAAGAGCCGAAGGGCCGCAGCGGTATGGACTGCACCGGAGAATGGTCAGTCGCTGTTGGCGGCCACACACAGTAGCGCCACAATGGCACGCTTCTGAGGACCATCACCGGAACCAACAAGCAACACCTGTCAACCAGGCCCCAAGCGCGGCACGCCACACCGACCCACATCATGCCATCCCAACCTAAGCCCGGGCGGGGCCACCCTGCGGGTTCATGTGGGTTCACGACACCGAGCGAGGGCGGCAATAGGATACCAGGGGGGAACCAGCGCTGGTTTCCCCGGTCAGTCGTCAGCCAGCCGCGGCCTTGACAACCCAACAGTTTATTGGACTTGAATGCGGGACGTTCAGGGTGTGAGGCCTTCACCCTAGTTAGGCAAACACCCCCCCCCCCAACCCGAGCCCTCCCGCGGCCCCAGAGCCGCCAAGAGGCCGCCCTGGGGAGCGGACCTCATGGAACCAGCAGCCGCTGCACGTTGCTGCCGTACAAACATCAGCTGCCGTGCTGTCTCCTTTCCCCCCGGGAGGGCCATCATGCCCCTCGCGCCTCAGCATTAGGTCTCCCGTTGCTCCACAGGCCGTTTAGGAACGGGGCCCTCTGCAGTGAGAATGCAGCTGCTGCTGCTTCGACCCACCCATACCCCTGCTCTTGTTGCCCAGCGGCTTGGCTGTGAGCTGGCTCCCGGGGATCGCCACAACAGCGCTGCGCTGCAGGAAGGGCCCCTGCTCCCATCCCCCCCCCACACATCATCAACCCCCCCTGGCGTTAGCGGGCTCGGATGGTGTGGGCCTCCGAGCGCCCGAGGACTCCTACCCATCCGCTTAGTTGGCACAGTATGCCACGTCACGTTTTCGAGGCACGGGGGCAGCGGTGACGGGTTCCTACCGGCGCTGTTCCTTAGGGCTGTGCATGCGGCCCTGGAGCACGGCCTGCAGGTTGGGCCTCTAAGAGGGCACCCGGAAATCTCCAAATCTGCCCTGGCGTACCTAGCCGGGGCCCACACCGGCTGCATCCCTACGCCAAGACGACGACATGCCCAACTGATACCCTTCTTGACACCATGTCCGCGCGCCCGTTTACTGATGTTTTTAATGCTAGCCGTGTTGGGAGAGCCAACTGCCGCGGGACGGGTCCCCTTTCGAAGAACTGACGCACGACACTGGCTGGGCTTACTCATAAGGATGGGCTCCAGTTCCGCTGATGTTGCTGTCGCCAGGTCCATCATCACGGCCGTCTCCTCAACGTCGATCCCCCCTTTGGCTTGTGAAGCACTTGTGCGATCAGGTGCGTTCATGGCGCTCTCCAGGCGGCCCAATAAGTCCGCCTCTGTCTCACCGCCTTGCAGCCCCGCGAAATACCGTGCACCGAACTCATAGATGTTTGCTGGCTGCACAAACAACAAACAAGTTTCGTTGCCAGGAGGGTTTTCCGGATGTGCTTCTCTGTGCAGGTACCCACTTGCGCTCGAAGGATTTCGCGAGTGAAGGCCTTTAGAATCGCCGGGAACTCTGGGGGAATATTTATGGGCTTCTGGTAAGCGGATGACATCTTGTTCCGTCGTCCGCGGCTGGACCCCAAGCGAACTGCGCAAGTATGACGACCTCAGTTGCTAATCCTAACAACTACTGCAACAAAAGTGTCAGTAAGACCTTAATTACATTAACAGGATGCTAATTAAACCAAGCAAACGGGCTTCGTTGTCCGAAGAATTGACGGTACGAGGTCAAACCTGTTGGGCTGAGCTTCCTATCATGTGCATTAAATAGTCTCCAAGCTATAATTTGTGGCATCAGGAGCCGCAAATGAAAATCCACCGGGAGGCTGCGGCAATTCTGTTTCAATTCGTTGACACAGAGGTACGGCAATTCCTAAATTTTTTTTATGCATCAACAGTATTTATAGACTATTGACCATGTAGAAGATGATTTTCTGAGGACTGATAAACGCAGGGCCCGGGGGGATCTTGCCACTTTAATCAGTGCAGCTTAGTAGACGCAGGCGTAATACGGTCTACACCTTGGTCTACGCATATCCTTGTCATTCCTGTGCGCAAGGCGACCCATCTCTGTAACTTGTTACTTCGACTGGGCAAACCGATGCTGCAAGCATGGCATGGTTAAGCATGGCGTGGCATGGTTATCTTAAGGGAGATGATATGTGCTGATGTGAATGTGAGCGATGTGAATCATTGCAAGATTTTATAGCCGTAATCTTTGCTCTTGTCCCCGCAAGTGCCGCTGCAGCCTGGAGTTGCCATGGCATATGAAATAAGCTTCCAGAACTATGCCCCGAATCACCACAATACCACTTTGGGCTAAGGGAAGCGTAGGTCCCTCAGCAGCCTCAACCACGCGCAGCCCAGACAGCCCCGGAGTAAGGCGGTTTCATGAGCCTTCGGGTTCGTTTGAACCATACAAGCTCATGAAGTTTGTAACCATCTTTCCATCCATTCAACACATCAGAGGATGCAGGCAACGGCCTCGGGGTGCATGACGTTTCCTCTCCCTTACCAACGTACTTGTAGTCAACGAGTCTTACACCAACAGCATCTCAATCATCCTCCACCGCGGCTTCAAGCGTCGAAGTCAACGAAACCTTTCAGCCTTACAGCGTGTTCCATCTGCGAGTTGGTAATGCGGCCCAAAAGGGTCAGTGGGCGGTGCTTCAGCCAGGATCCGAAGTTTGACCACACGCCCTTATAAGCCGCGAAGAAGATTGGGTTAGCGGGTCACTCTCCCAGGGTCGCACCTAGGGGTTGCAAGGGATTCCACGCACCCACAAAGTGAGCAGTCCAACAAGATAGGCTTCCCGCATTGTTGCCTGCTCTTCTCCCCTGCTCTCCCTTGCATTGTTGCCTGTTCTTCTCCCCTGCTCTCCCTTGCATTGTTGCCTGTTCTTCTCCCCTGCTCTCCCTTGCATTGTTGCCTGCTCTTCTCCCCTGCTCTCCCTTGCATTGTTGCCTGCTCTTCTCCCCTGCTCTCCCTTGCATTGTTGCCTGCTCTTCCCTGAAACTCATGTCGAAATCACTGCCCCTCCTAAACATCTTGGAGTATCCGTCTATGGCGTTTCCTTACATCAATCGTCTGTGCTTCATCGTGCCCCTCGTGAACCACTCGAGCACTTAGAATTGAAGACTCTGCATACACACAGCCATGCAAGGGCCATACTGCACCACACCATAACCCACTAACTCGCAGCCCCACTACCCCCGCCGCCGTCCCTTTCAGGGAGCCGTAAGCAGTAGGATACCAACCGAAATGAAAACAGGCCGCTCCTAACAGTTGGAAAGCATAAGCTGACTGTACTTGCCGAGGAACTGGCGTATGCCAAGAAGATCGGAATTTTCAATCTCAACTTAGACTTACAATATCAAAATACTTTGTCCGCTTAAATAGCCAAGCTAGCGCTTACTCGCCCAGCGCTTACTCGCCCAGCCCTTTTTCTCACCGCCACCTGCCGACAACGCCTCCACCATCGTCGCCCGCTACCAAGATGCCATGACCGCCAACCCCAGCACCTCTGCCGTCATTGTCCTAACCGATCGTCCACAAGCCCCTTGGGCCCCTCTCATCCGTCACATGACTGTCGCGCGCAGCTTTCCTGCTGGCGCACCGATCGTCTGCCGCCCCAGCCCCTCAGACCCCTCCAGGTATGGAGAACCGGGTCCCAGCCCTTGGCCTCCGGTGCTACTCACACGACCCTCAATCGTCAGCTCCTTTTACTCTGCGTCTACATCCGCCACCCTGTTCCCCGATACCACCCTTCACCCCGCTTCCACCTCGTCCCATCTTTCACCCTCCTCCACAAACCATCCGGCACCACCGTCCACGTCTGTTAGAACTCTCATGAAGCATTTTTTAAGCACACATCTTACACCGCCGCCCCAACCATCGGACCGCCCTCCACCACCTCGATCGAATGTAACTAACCTTATCGCCCGCTTCTCACAACCTCCAACACCAGCCTGCTCTTCCCCACCTCCGCCTCCACCACCTGTCACTCAGCCAGCCCAACCGCCTTCGTCCCCCATGCAGCGCCCCAACCTCCATCCTCACCGCACTCCTCAAGCCACGCTTCCGCAGATAGACGAACAAAGGTCTACGGTGGAGCGCCCCTTCATTCCGCCCATCATGGGTCGCATTGCATCCGTATCGGACAGCCTCTCCACCACCCTCATCGTCTTCGACGCTACCATAGCTGGTCGCCCTTCCCGTGTTCTTGTGCATTCCGGCGCCTCCCGCAACTTCATCGCCAATTCCTTCCTCCAACATCGCCATCTGCACTCCGCTGACCTCTCAGCATCGCAGTCGTTTCGCGTTCGTTTGGCCAACGGACACCTCGCCCTTTGCGCCTCCGCCCTCCCCAACGCCTCCCTGGTCATCCAATCTCACCATGAGCGCACCACCTTCTTCACCCTCGACCTTGACGGATACGACGCCATCCTTGGGAGACCTTAGCTTATTACCAACAACCCCCAAGTGGTTCAGAGCCAAGTTCCTGGAGCACGCTCCGAGGATTGTACAGTTTTTAGCGGAATAGAGCTGCGGCTGGACGTGTGTGTGTGTGTGTGTCTCATCATGTGCGTTCGTAATGTCTATGTTTAAGTCTTTGTTCTGTTTCTGCTGGTAGAGTACTGTGTCGGGTAGATATTGCGCTTAGCGTGCTGTCGTGTATTGTTATTTGGTTTCCGTGTTTTGGGTACCAAGGATTTCAGTCGTTACTCGTTGCACTTTGTGCGTATCAGTTGGTAATCTCCGGGTTACTTAATCTGGACTCGATAGGAGTCGTGCGCTACTTTTTGGCCGGTAAGGTTTTGCCTTGACTCCGGTTCCCTTTTTCCCTTCCCCTCGTTAGCCTGGTTCCGATTTCGCCAAGGGAATCGGAGAGGTGCACGACTTGGCCGCTTAGTGTAGCTTAATGCTTTCCCTTCGCAACAAGGATGCTGCTTGTTTTTAAGAAGGGGAGTATGTAATGTTATGAAGTTAGCTGACGAACTTTCGGAACACGTGTGACCGTGTCGTAACTTCGGAGCTAGCGGAGCTAGAACTCGTGTGTACGGCGAGTAACGCTAGCTTGGCTATTTTAAGCGAACCAAAATATTGACATTGTAAGTCTAAGTTGAAATTGAAAATTCCGATCTTCTTGGCATACGCCAGTTCCTCAGCAAGTAAAGCCAGCTTATGCTTCCCAACTGTTAGGTGCGGCCTGTTTCCTTTCATACCCAATGATTCATCAATTTCCCGGTATCATTCTGTATCGCGACCGGGGGCCGTCCAGATGATGGTTAATAGCCCAAAATGATAGGGATGGGAGGTTAGACAGGAAAAGAGGATAGAGAGGGCGATGTAAGAGAGGGGGAAGTCAGAGGGATTGAACTGTGAATAACTCTTGATTGTCATGCGTTGAGGTTCCGTAGTTTCGTAGTAGTATCATACCACCTGTGTAGTTATGTTGTAATGAATGAATGGCTGATAAGGCTGGTAGTGCCACGAGCTCCCGATCCAGCACCACGTGCAACCACATTTTTCATCAACGTACCCAACTTGCGGCGCGAGGCAGGCAAGCAACGGATGACAACGGCGGCCTCATCCGCCGTGGAATCAGATCAACCTAGCATGCAAACGATGCGGGGTTACAAAGGCGCGCGGTGGCAGCTTGCAGTCACTGTACCTCAGCAGCCGCCGTTACCCCGCCACCAAAGAAGCAGTACTTAGTCGGCGGGCTAGGCGCATCCATTGCAGACGTCGACGCACGACCGACCACCTGCACGAGGCTCCCACCACTACCTCATCCATATCGCGTGTACATTTCTCGTCCACTTTCGCCCGTGACAGCCCAGATGACTATGATCATGTTGACAAACAAGGATCAGGACGACTCACGTCCACCCCTTCTCACCCACTGCATGCAGTTCCCACATGCCATGGCTCCCAAGCTTCAGAAATCCTTAATCACGAAATTCACCACCGCGACCACCATCATGACGCGCCAACAAATCTTTCCCCTCGATCTTTTTTGCGGCGCTCAGGACTAATATGTGTGTGTTGGCCCGCTCAGTCCGCAAACCCCCACAAGATGCAGGAGACTGGTGCCGTGGCCTTGACCCCTGGCACGGCACCCACCCTCTCCGGTCACAGAGCGTCGCAAAGATGAAAAGGCGCCAGTCAAGTAACATGTTGCTGTCAGCAATCCGGTACCCAACTGCTGCACTCAAGCTTACGCGCTCCTGAACAACACAACACAACACCCCCACATACCCCCGCCAGCGGTTGCGCCAGCGGGGGGTGCTGAAGTCGACCGGTTCCGTGGGCTGCCGGTCGGTTACACCACCACCGTATATACACCACGGCCGACCTCCGTCACCAAGCTGCACACACCCACACCCACTTACATAGTATGGCATAGATACATACACAATTACATTCATACACGCACATGATGTTAAAAGTGATACGGCAGCACATACCTCATGTGGTCATGTAGCGGCAGGGCTCACAAGGGGTGGCATCCGTGCTGAAGCCGTCACGAGCCGCATATATTGCAATGTACGGCACCAACAGCCAGTGGAATCATCCACGGCGTTATCTCTGGGACCAAGTACCAACGGCTACACAATCCAAATAATAAATATTTCTTCAACCCGAAAAGCAACTAAACTATTGTTCGGTCCAACAAATCTCGTCCAACGGTGAAAATGCGCACTTTCGATGCCGGATCCCACTGCTAATCACCAACAGCCACGCCGGCCCCTTTCCCACCCCTTTTTTCACATTCCACACACGGACTGGGAATCCAAGTCCGTCACTCGGTGCGCCTCCTCCTGATTCCCCCCTAGGCCGCCACCATGTCGGGGTGCGCGCCACGTGGCGGCACACAGACACACAGCAGCGCCCTGACACGTGCGGCACTGACTTAGCTGCCACACCGCAGCGCATGAGGGCACATGAGCAGCACACCCCCTCACATTGGGGAGCCCCCGCAGCACTTCTTGGGAGGCGCATCCCGCACAAGGAAACGAAAGGAAAGCAGAGGCCTCAAGACGTGTGGTGGCCACAACAGCCGCCCCCCAGCATCGCCCCTGCCCCTGACCAGAGCCACGGCTCCACGTGACTTTCAATGTGACCCAGTTGACCCACGTGGCAGCAGTGAGCCAAGCGATCCAGGGGTGCGTACCGCGCCACTCTGCGGGAGCTCTACGCCGGTGTACTACACCGGTGCGGGTTTTCGCGGCTCACTGTGAGACTGGCTGCCAACAGGCGGCTCAACACACGGCACGAAGAGAGAACGACAGGGCTGGAAGGCCCGCTGAACCGCCAAGGTGGTAGCTCTTCCAAGGTCAGGAGTTCGAATACAGCAGGCAGAGGGGAAAACAAACGTCGTACAAATGCGGAGATGAGGTGGTCTTCCATAGTTCATATGTTTGAGCAGATGCACAGCGTAGCGCCCGGTGCAGCGCTTTCTTGTGCGTTGCAGTGAGAGTGAGGCGTGAATACGTAGTAGTGGCAATAGTAGTAATAGTGGTGGTAGTAGTGGTGGTAGTAGTGGTGGTAGTAGTAATTGGCCAAGGGAAGGGAAAGGCTGGTGAGGCTGCCCAGCAGGCGGGGCTGTGCGGCGGCCCAGTCTCAGCCGAACCACGAGCACAACTCCCTCGAACCCCCCACCGCAACCAAGCAGTCCAACAGCCTAATAGTGCCCAGCGGCAGTGTCCGCAAAACACCGTCACCTGATGGCCCGGCGCTACACGATTCACATTCGCATTCAGTGCACGTTCCTTGCCAAAACTCAAAACCTGCTCCAACCAGCTTTTCCTCGTCTGACCTCTTCCCCCCAAGACTCGTATGTTTGCACACCAGGGTGCATGCAAGGCCACTTTCATGCCATTGAATGATGACAACCATGATAATGATGATGAGGGTGATGATGATGTGTGTACGCGTACATGTACGTACATGCCCACAACAGCTTCGGTTTCCAAAGCTCCGGAACAACGAGCTGAGCGCCCCGGGCAAACATGCATGCACGATGATATTAAGCGAGGGTTTACGTGGAGGGCTAATTTGGGGCGCACAGCCCATCTTCCTGACCGCAGCGGCAGCGGCAGCGGCAACTGGAGAAGGAGGAGCTGGAAAGCTCATGACCTGTTAGATCCCTCCCACTGCCCCGCTCGCCCCCGCCACGCTCTGCCCACCACCGCTGTTCACGCTACTCGCCGCAACGCCAAACAAGCTGCTGCCGTACATCCCTGCGGCGGCGCCGTACACGCCGCTGACGCTCCCTACCAACGCGAAGCCCGCTTGGCCCATGCCACTGCGCCGTACAGGCCGCCGCCGCGTGCACTGATACACCGTGGAGCGGGACGCCTCCTTCTTTGTGAGCCGGGTGCTTGCGGGGATGGCGGCGCCGCCCGTTAGGTAAGGACTGCCGCCGCCGCCGCCGCCGCCACCGCCGCCGCCACCGCCGCCACCAGCGGTGCTTATTATACTCACACTCGACCGTCCTATTAACGCCGAGGCCCCGCCGTTACCCGGCTGTGACGGAACGGCGTTCGGCGGCGGCAGCGGCGATGGCAGTATCGACGGGGCAGGAGATGGCGGCGGAGGCGGCAGGCCCTGGCCTTGGACTTGCAAAGCTGCTGGCAAGCCGTGCTGGCCGGGCAGCGGCGACGGCAGCACTGAAGGCGAGGACAGCAGCGGCGGCGGCGCCGTCGGGGGAGCTGCTGCCGTTACCAACGGCGCAAAGGCGAGCAGGTCATGCAGCGCCGCCAGAGCTGTTGGGGGCCCGGACAGCACCTCCGAAACCAAAAGTCCGCTGCACAGTACGGCACCCATATGTGCGATTGCCAACATGCGCCGCAGGGATTTGAAGGCCTTGGGGTCGCGGGTCTCATACAGGGCTGCAGCTGTGGCGCACCCTAGGTCCACTCGGACCGAGGCGACGTCGGCGACGCATCGCAGCCTGCAGAGCCAGCAGTACCGATGACAGAAACAGGACCGCGGTGAACATGGCTTGATACGCAAGAGCGTGCCGCTGTCGGGGCCGCCCCCAATGACTCCACCACCAACACCACCACCAACAACAACACCACCAACAACAACAACAACAGCAGCAGCAGCACCAGAAGCAACAAAGGCCATGAGACGCACCTGAGGCCCCGCAACACGTATCCTCCACCCTCCAGCCCCCCAGCTCCGCCGCTGGCCGGTGGTGCACCTGACACCGACATGCTCATCACGGGCAGCACCGACGTGACCCCATCTGTCTGGGAGTAGCCGGGAATGCTGCCACCGCCTCCACCGCCACCGGCGGCGGCGGATGCGGCGCCAGAGCCCACCGGCATCGCCAGCGGCTCTCCCAGTTCGTGTGTGAGCAGCTCGGAGGGCCAGTCGGCGTCTCGGAGCACATCAATCATCGCGTGCATGAAGCCAAGAGCCAGCGCCTGTCAGATGGAACGTAGTTAGCATTGCCAGTGTTAAACACAGAGCAGGGCAGGGCAGGGCAGGGCAGGGCAGGGCAGGGCAGGGCAGGGCAGGGCAGGGCAGGGCAGGGCAGGGCAGGGCAGGGCAGGGCAGGGCAGGGCAGGGCAGGGCAGGGCAGGGCAGGGCAGGGCAGGGCAGGGCAGGGCAGGGCAGGGCAGGGCAGGGCAGGGCAGGGCAGGGCAGGGCGAGGGGACTAGGAGACCCGACATGCGGATGCACACAGGAAGGGACGGCGAAGGGGTAAGACAGCCGTAACGGCGCAGGATGAGGGACCAACTACGGAAGCACTAGAAGATTCCGGCTGGGGTAGACGGCATCCCGGGGGGAGGCGCTCATGGAGCAAGACCTCCCAGGAGCAGCAGACAAGTCTGCCTTAGATTCGCTGCCGCATAGCGGAAACATACGCAGAAGCAGCATCAAGAGGGCGACTAAGGGCGTCCTAAGAGTTCTTCCTGGAGACCCTATCCCCGCAGAAATGGAGCAATCCCTGATACGGCCCAATGCCCCAACAAGCCACCCACTGGCTCTCGGAACGCCGCCAGCAAGGTGCCGTTTTGCGCGTCCAGGCTGGCCGGGAAACCCCCCCAGGCGGGCAGCATCTCCGCAGCCACGGAGCCGAACACACGGAGCGCTGCGGAGGTCACTTCGGAGTCCCAGGCTCGCAGCACCTGAGGTGGAACACGGCGGGGGGAAAGGGTACTCAGGCGAACTGGTAAACGGGTTAAAGATAAAACAGGGTAACGCAAAAGCCGCTACGAGAGGATCTTGGAGGGTAACCGGCGACGGGAGCACCGCGTAGGTGGAGTGCTGCGGCAGGCGAGGTTGCGAATGTAAAATACATGGGCGGGGCGGGGCGGGGCCCGATACACGGCCTTGCCACACGTCACGTCACAGTTGGATGTTTGGAGACGAGGGGTTCGTTTAAGGAGCCACAATGAGGCATGACAGGGCCCTACAGCGGAGGGCGGAGGGGGACCACAGGTCGCACAACACAACCCCGCAGGTCGGAATATCTTCTCGGAACAGCGGAACGGGTGGAGAGGAAGAGAAAAAGAAATAAGAGAGCGAGAGAGAAAAGGAAAGAGAGAAAGAGGACATGGGGGAAGAAACGTGATGCAAACTCGTCCGGAACAGACTCGTCCACTTCTCCGTCCTTACCTCCTAACCCCCACAACCGTTTTAAACTTTGGACGCCGGCCGTTAATTCCTTGTTTCCTTGCATAAGGTTCCCCCTCCCCTCTCCCCGCCCTCCCTCACCACACACGCAATCCGGCTACATTCCCACCCACCGAACCCTCCCGACCCGCTCGCCGTATGCCACCCACCTGCACTCCAGCCACCTGCACCAGCACCAGCGCCAGACGGCCCAACGGTGCACTCAACACGCCGGGAAGCACCTGGCCAGGCGGGGGGGGGAGAAGAGGGGGGTTACGGAGATCGGGGCCGCGCGGGGATGAGAGGGGTGGAGCGAGATGGGTTGCCAACCACCAAGCCGTGCCACTCCCTTTCCTTACCCCCACCCCTGCATTGACTTCGCCCTGCAGGTAGCAAGGAAGGGGAAGGTCTGTTGCCGTACAAGGACACGCAAGCGACGACACAACACAGACAAACAAACCGACAGACACTCAAAGACAAAAGCATACATATACGCGTGTGCACATACGCTCACATGCATGAGCGCACACAGACAGGAAGCACGCCGGCTCGCACCACGCTCCGATACTCGATACGCTGTACGATAACCCTCCCACCCTACCCTCTTCACCCTCCCATCTCAACCCTCCCCACTCGCGCCACACGCACCTGCTCCGCACCACGCCACGGTCTACGCTCCAGCGCGGGCTGCCTCGCCAGCAGCTGCGGCGACAGCAGCTGATACAGATCCGCCTCATCTAACGGCACCGCACTGCCGGGGGCCGCCTCACTCACGCTGATGCGGAAACGGCCGCGCGACCAAATGATGGCTCCGGGCAGCGCCTCGGCGTTGGGCCAGGGCTGCAGGCGCTCGAAGGTGGCGGCGGTGAGCAGCACCATGCCCCCCGGGACCAGGTCGGACACGGCCTTGGCGAGGGCCATGGCGGGGCCGCTGTATGCGCGGCGGCCGCCCACCTTGGCCCAGTGCAGGTCCCGGCCCTCCTCCAAGCCGGAGTGCATACCGCAGCGCACTCGGAAGCCCCTGTTCGCGTTTGAGGGACGTCCCAACGGGTTAGGGTGGGCGGGAGGACGCAGAGGTCAGGAGAGAGGGGGGAGGCGCGGAAGCGGCACAGCATGGCGGCCGAACCTGCACCGGCCGCTGCCAGCAGCAGCAGCAGCAGCAGCAGCCTTTAAATGTCCCGCAGGAGCCCCTCTCCCGTCTCCTGTACACCTTCTTCCCAAGATTCACTTCCGCACCTGAAACAAATGGTTCCATCCAGAGCTGCGCCCTGTTGCGCCAGAGCTTTCTTGCTGCCGGGCGCAATCCGCTGCACCATCCCCGCGCCCAGTCGTCCCACCAGCGACGTCGCCCCGCTGGCCTGCGGTTGGAGAGAGCGGGATCCGGAAAGGGGGGCTGGGGCCGAGCCGCATTCATGGGCGCCATGGAACAACCCAGAAAGTAAAACACAGCAGGAAGGAGGAGGGAGGAGGTGCAACTGCCAGGCTGCACGAGGGCACGGCGCCTCACACATGACCTGACGTGGGCTCACATGACCTACATGGGGGTGAGCCAGGTTTACGATGCGGTGGCAGAGACGCGGCGACAGCGGCTTTGAGACACTAGCAGCCCGGGAGGGGGGGTACAAACCTGTCGGCTGCGCAAGCCGTCCCTTGCGGCGGCTTCCCATTGCGGCATGTCGCCGCCGTGGGAGATGATGCTGTCCAGCCGCCGCGTGAGTCCACCCATGAGCCGCTCCGGAGTGGGATTGCGACTGACGGGCCGCCGCCGGCCGCCGCGCCCGCTGCTGCCTGCAGCCTTGCCGGCGGCCGAGGCGTCAGCGGAGTTCGACGCTGCCTGTACGGCAGACAGCGCCGGCATGGGCGACGTCAGCGCCAGCGGAGGAGAAGAGCCTCGGATGCAGCCGGCGGAAAGTGGAATGCCTTCGGCGGCAGGGGCGGCGGCGGCGGCACCACCACCCATGCCAACACCGCCGTCAGCGTCGGTGTCGGATAAGTGTGGTTCGATTTCCGATGCGCGGCGGCGACTCGCGCTCGTAATCCGGGCGCTATTGTTGCCATCCTCAGATAGGAGCTTGGGGCCGCGGGGTAGCTCGCTATGTGTGTCGACGTTGCTGCTGAGCGCGTCCTGCTGATGCGTGGCGGGGAAGGAAAGGATTAGGTGAAGGTAGGGACTGAGATAAACCTACTGACCTAGCCGGCCGCTCTCCCAACCGAAGAAGCTTTTACCCCTCTCTCCCCTTTTTTCCGCCCACACCCCACCCCTGATGTCGGCGGGTGCGAGAGCGCCGCAGCAGCTGTCAAGCCACTTGCGGTCGGCGAAAGCGGCGGGCTGATGAAAAGCGGTTGTATATACATTACTGCATCAGCGACGACAACAGCAACGACTGACCGGGACAATGTCCCCTCTGTGTTGACTGCACCCATCCGTAGCCTGACGTGTTGTTGGTTGTTGGTTGTTGTTGTCATTGGTTTATGGATCCCGGATTAACACAGCCCACCCTCCAGCGTTTTCCGCCCTCCTCGCCTCTTACCCAAAGCCGCCCCAACAGAGTGACAGCCAGTGCGGCGGCTGAAGGTGGTGAAGCCCTCTATTGGCAGCTTTGGCAACTCCTAGCTATTCACAGCAACCCCAAAGCACACAACATTTTACAGCTACCTTACCTGCAGGCTGCTCACTGCACCATCTGCCTCCAGCAAGCTGGCACCCCCAGAGCCCTGCTCGCGCTGTGATGGCATCGGAGACGCCGAAATGCGAGATGCCATCGGGCCGCTCTGCGGCTCGCCTTTCGCTGAGGGCTTTCGGCCAGCGACGCGGACAGACACAGCGAGCGGCACGACTGTTGCAGCCGCCGCGGAAATGGCGGCGCCGTCAGCCGTGGACCGTGTGTACGACATCTGCGGTGTGGCCATGGAGGCGCTCCAGGCGGGTGCGTCGACGCTATCGTGGGCGCTGCTGACGGGCCCCATGGTACCGGAGCCACCGGAGAGGTGCGCGAAGGATATGCCGCGTGGCAGTGCCGCTACCGCCGCCGCCGCCGCCGCCGAGGGAGAGGGGTGGTCCGCCGCTGCCGCCGTCGTCGATGACGGCGTTACCGTCGCACCCAAGCTCCGGAGCGCCTGTAGCGACAGCCTGACCGCGCGCCCGACCATGCCCTCACCGGGCTTGCCCCTTGCCCTGCCAAAGCTTCGGCGCGCTTGGAGAAGGTGTTGCTGCGGCTGCTGTTGCGCTGCTGGCATCGATGTCCGTTGCGGCTGCGGCTGCATCTCCAGACGGGCACTAATAGCTGAGCGCATAACCGCAATGTACAGCGGCTCTGATGCCGGTGCGTGCAGCGGCGCTGCCGTCGCCATTGCCGTGGCCACACCGGCCGGAGACGGCAGTTCCGTCGCGCTGGAGCATGAGGGGCCGCCGGTGGTCGCGTCGGTGGCGACGCCGCTGCTCCCGCCGCCACCGATTTCCGGCACCCCTGCCCGACCCATGTTTCTGGCACCGCCGGAGTCCATACATCCACTGCCCTCGACGCGATGGCTGGCAGCAGCCACGGCCCCAGCTGCGGCAGCGCCCACCAGCGGCCGCGGCAGCGGCCTGCTTGACGACCGCTCCTTGCCAAACGTCGGCAACGTCTGATCGTCGTCGGCTGTACGGAAAGGATCTTGTGCGCTGTCCAGCTCAGCACGCATCCGCAGCGCTGCAGGGAGGACTTCGCTGTACGATGGCATGGCTGCGGCGGCTGCGGCGCGGCCGGCGCCGCTGCCCATGCGCGTGATGCCGTACACGGCCGACGCGCCCACCAGTGAGCTCGACGGCCGGGCGAGCGGACCCGGCAGAGTGATCCTAGTCGGCAGCTCCCCCGAGGCTCTGCGGGCATCGTACGACAAACGCGGCCCGCCGTCGGCATGGTAATGCCAGGTGACGTGTCCGGAAGGAAACTTGGCGCTCCGTGTGTCGTACAGTTGTCGCCGCGAGCCGCTCCCGCTCCAAGCCCCGGTGCCGCCGTTGCCGGTCCCAAGACCACCGCGCGTGCCGTCGGCATGTGACGTAGTGTTGCCGCGGGAGGCGCCGGAAGGTGAAATCCGGTACGCCGTTCCTTGCGCCGGCGTTGCAGCTGAGTCAGAGGAGTCATTACCTGTGGTACCGAAGGACTCGGCGCGCGACAGCTGAAATAAGTACGACGGAAACCTGATTGCGGGCTGCACCGCTTGGCTAGACTGCGCCGTCCACGACCCCGATGTGCCGTACATGCCAGCGGCACCGGATTTCATAGCGCCTGCCGTGTGGCTGCGCAGGTGTGACAGCGACAGGGGTTCCGCCGGTGGACTGCCGCCGTCAGGCGAGGCAGTGGTGGCGTTCAGCGGCGCAGCGGCAGCTGCGGCGCCGCCACCGTGTTGGCCGGTCTGGCTCTCGTTCCGCTGCTGTGTCTGAACCTGCTGCTGCTGCTGTTGCTGCTTCTGTTTATGACTGCTGGGGCTTCCCCCACCACCACCTTGCGATGCGACGGCGACAGAACCCTCGCTGTCACGGCCACCTAGCGCCGCCAGCCGCGGCAACGGCTGCGTGCTACGCCCGCCGTTGCTGCCGCCGCCGGCGAGCAACGACAGCGGCGACAGTGTTCTGCGCAGTCCAGTGATGCTGTTGCTGCCACCGGCGAGTGCGCTCGTCAGCTGATGGGCTGTAGCTGCGCCCGTTGCCAGCTGCAGCATGGCTTCCATGAACGTGGCCGGGCCGGCGCTGCCGCCACTGACCACGCCGTCCCCGCGAGCGGTGCTGGTGGACTCGCGGCCCCCGCTGAGGGCAGAGAAACGCTTGGACGCGTTCCCGGACTCCCCCAAAGACATCAGCGCCCCCAGGCTGGCCCCGCCACGGGAGATCCGTTTGCTGCGCAGTGCGGTCCCCAAGACGCTGATCAGACGGCTGGTGTTGCTGTCGCGGCCACCATCGCGGGAGGACGGCGTGAACGGCAGCGCCGAGCTGTCCCGGTTACCGTTGCCGTTACCGTTGGAGCCTTGCGCTACTTCAATCATGCCCTGCAGGCCGCCACTATCGCACATGACCGCGACGCCTCGACTGTCCGAGCTTCGAATGTCGGGCAGCGCGCGGCTGTCAAACAGGGTGCCCGTGGCGCCAGTTGCCACGCTGTCGAGGGCAGCAGCGCCGGATGACATGGAGACCGACCCCCGGGTCCGCGACACGCCGCCGAAGGGAGGTCTGTTCGGCGCGCCGCGCAGCCGTGCCGCCTGCGTGTAAGCCTCCATCAGTGCCTCCAACCCGCCCCACACGCGAGAGGATGAACCATCGGGATGAACCATCGGGCCCGGGCAGGCCACGTTGCTGCTGTACATGGAGTGCAGTACATGTCCACCAGCCACCTGCACGAACCCACAACCCGACGCCGAGCCGCGAAGGTAGCCACCGTGGCCGTAGGCAGTGGACATCCGCGGAGGCGGTGTGGAGGATCGCCCGGGCGGTCGCCGCCGCGGTGGAGCTGTAGCGGGGGCAGCCGCATGCGGCCCCGCGGCATCCTGCAATGCGGCGCTGCTACCGCCCGGGGCAACCGCCGCCGTCCCCGGGGCCCGGGACGGCTCACCAGATATCAACGGCCGAAGCATTGCGGGGTTGCCCGCACCGGGTGCAGATGTCGTTCCTGGCCTGTGCGCGACGGCCAAGATTGCAGCACCCTGGTCCAGGACCGGCATGGAATTTCGGAACACCCCGTGGGTCAGCCCAGTGGGGAACGACCCCGACCCCTGGGTCGTCACCCTCTCATGCATGTCTTTTATCTCGCCTTGCGGCAGCGGTAGCCCCGGTCCACCGCCTGGATCCGAATGTGTGGTGCTGCTGCGGCGGCTGCTGCGCCGCGCCGCCGCCACCGCCGCCGGTATTGCCGCCTCCGGCGACGTATGCAAAGCACCGTCAACTGTTGTCTGCAGCAACCGCACACGGGGGGAGCCTTGTGAAGAAACCCCCGAGGACTGGTCCCCGAGTGTCAGCGTCAACGCCGCACGTGCCGCCGCCTCTGCTGCCAATGCCGTCGGAAGGGGCTTGTCCGCCTTGTGTCGACCCACCGCCGTCACCGTCGCTGCCGTTGTCGCTACTGGTGCTGCTGATGCGGCTGATGCTGCAAGATCCAAATCCTCGGAACGCCACCGCGGAATATCACCGCGCGGCTGGGGCTGCTGGTGGTAGTGGCTCGGAAGTGAGTAAGAAGGTCCCATCACGATGAAAGAGCCGGGCTGTTGTTGCGACTGCGATGCCAACATTGGCGTCGGCGTTGAGGCCGACATGGACGGATTACTTCCCCTACCGCCCACCGCCACTACAGAAGAAGTCGTAGGCCCGCCCATCCGCAAGTAGGCCGCCTCCGGCTGACGAGCATGGACCTCCTCCCAGCAGGTTAAGGCGCCCGCACCCTGCCGACTCAGCGGCGACTGCACGTACTCCGTCACGGCACGGTGACGGCGCAATACGGGATTGATCGGCGGTTGTACGGCCCTGCCGCTCGCGACGACGAGGTGCGGTGTAGCACCGGAGCTGTACCCGCTGGAGCTCGTCCCGGCGGAGCTCATGCCGCTGCCGTTGGTGGCGGCGATGGCGGCGGCGGCGGCGGCGCCGCCGCCAGCAGCGTCAATCGCACTGGCGGAGGCACTGCGCCAGACGGCGCGCCGAACGGAACGGAAGGCGGGCGAGATCCAGCTACTTGGGCTCCTGGACACAGTAAGGCCACTAGGGCTGACCTGGAGCTCGGAGATGGTGCGTCGTACGGCGCCCAGCATGTGTCCGTCGACGTTGCCTTTGCTGCCGCGGGGCAGTGCAGCGGCTGGTGTGCCCATGCCGTTGCTGCTGGCAGAGGCCGACGGAAAGCCCCTGCCGCCAGCCTTGGTGTAGGTGATGCTCCTAGCTTCGTTTCCAGCCACCATGGCGCCGGCTTCGATGTCAGGCATCCCCAAGACCAGCTCTTTGCGCTGGGGGCCACCTGCGGCTGCGGTAGTGCCGCCCACGACTGCCCCAGCATACGGCTCCGTTTTCCCTGCCGCCAGCGTCGCCTCCGCCGTCCCCGCCCCCGGCGGCGCCCCGAACGGCCATGTCGTCAGCCAGCGCGACATATCGGACCTGGTTGGTGGGCCGCCGATGCCTGACCCTCGGGACGGCGCCTGCGGGACCGGCTGCGTACCCGCCAGCGGCGGCGGTGTCGCCGCCGTCGCGACCGCCGCCGCCGAAACCGGAACCGACGAGCTGGCACCGACGACAGTTGCATTGCTGCTGCTGGCGGCGACGGCAGCGGAGGCGGCTCCCAAGCCGCTGCTGGCGAGACGCAGCAAATCAGCACCTCGCTCATCACAGGAGCCGCCACTGGGTTCGACCTCCAGTGGCGCGAGGCCCCCCGGTGCTGCTGTTGCTGCTGGTAAATCCACCGCGGCCGCCGCACCGCTACACGGCCGCACCCGCAGGCTATGCGAGAGTGGCCGTCTGTCAGAAGACGAGGAGTCCGAGTTGTTCGTGACGAGATGGCGCACCGCGGATCTCGGCAATGAAGCCGAGGACGTAGCCGCCGCCTCCGCCTCCGCCGTCATTTCCAAGACGGCTGGGTTAACCAGCGAGCAAGCCGTCACGACCCCTACGGAGCTCGTCCCAGACGCACACTCCGCATGCTCCGGCGTGTCGCTTGTACCTCCCAACGCCTCCTGGCTGTGCTGCTGTTCTTGCTGCTGCAGTTTCTGCTCCTGATGCTCCTGATGATGGAGCGGATGCAGCTTCAGTTGCTGCTCTTGCTGTTCTCGCTGCTGCTGAGAAGACGGCGACAAAGATGATGATGATGATGATGATGACGACGGCGGCAAGGCTGGCTGCTTGCCTGCCGCCGCCGCCGCGGCAGCAGCAGCCACTGTACGCAAAGCTGGCGGCGGCGGTAGCAACAGCTGCGGCGGCACGTCCGATTCGGATATCGGACCGCCATATGACGGCTGCAAAGCCGCCGCAGCCACGACGGTGTCCCGTAGCTCACCTTGGACAGTCTCCAACACCGCGAGGACGCGTTTGCCATTCCCTGGACGACGAGTTTGCAGGCCTTCACCCGCAGCACCAGCAGCCATAGCCATAGCCATAGCCACGGACACCACATGGGCTTCTGCTGGATCAGCCGTGGCCGCGGTCACAACAGCGCCACCATTAACGTCAGTACTAGCGCCACACAAACCGCCAGACGACGGCTCCAAAACAGTCGCAGTCCCCGGCTCGGGAACCGATGCCAGCTCAGCTTCTGACCCCGGAGTCGCCTCCACAGCTGCCCAGCCCGGCGTCAGGAATTGGGGGGTGGAAGGGGTTGATGACCCCCTCAGAATGAGCTCCCTCTTACTTTCCGCGGCACCGACCGTAGTGCAGACGGCCGTGGTGCTGGATGCTGCTGCTGCTGCTGCTGCTGCTGCTGCTAGGCCTGCTCTTGTTAACCCTGCTATTGCAGTGGCTGTAGCAGCTGCAGCTCCAGCTCCTGCACCCGCCGGAGCAGCATCCTCGTTGGATGTTTCATCTCGCGGCGTCGTGGCGTCAATCTCCTTATGTGCGTTATTGGGGTGGCGCAACGTGTGGAGTACACCATCATCTCGCGGCCAGCTGTCCCTCGGACTCTCGCCCCCGTGGGTGCCACTTTCCCCGGAGCTCTCCTGCTCAGCCACCAGGTCGTCGAAGGCGGGCATCAGCACGTGGCTCCCGCGTCGCTGCCGCTGCCGCTGCTGCTGCCGCTGCTGCCGGTGCCGGCGGCGGTGCCGCTGCTCGGATGGATCCCCGACAAGGATGAGCGGCGTCTCGGCCCCGCCGCCCAGCGACGAGCGCTGGGCGAACTGCTTGAAGCCCAGGCGGCGCATGATGGTGTCGCGGCTGTCGGGCGTGCGGCCGCTACCGCCCCCGCCGCCGTCATCGTCGCCGGAGGGAGACCGCCTGAGTGTCGGGGCAGAGTTCCAAAACAGCAGGCGGCAGGAGGGTTGTGCAGCGCTTAGGCGACATGCCTGCTGCTGCTGCCGCTGCGGCTCCTGGGGCCCTACAGCACCCTTGATCTCCTAGATGGCGATGATGCGCCTAATCGACAAACATACCTTTGCGTTACATTATGAGTTGTACCTAACTTGTGCGGCTCTTATTAGGCTCTTGGGCCTCTGCTAGCTCGTATGGGTACTCGTTGCACACCTCTCTATCTGGGTAACGCAACCGAGGCGTAAAATACGCACACGCACGTATATATTTCACCGCGGTCAGCACATCCACGAGCAAACTCCGACCGCTGTCCCAGTGCTGCTGACTCCGAGAGCCGAACCGAGCCATGCATCCACCAGCTCGCTGTTCCACAGCAGGCAGGGTCCAGTAAACGACAGACTGCATCCCTTCACCCTTCACCCTTCGCCCTTCACTTCACTTCACTTCACTGCGGCGCAATTCCCCGCTCTCGACCCCACACCAGTGTCCCGATGTCCCACAGTCCCCAGCTGCACACACACGCTCCGGAGGGCACTGGCCACCAGGCAGCACACACCGCAGCCCCCTTCCCTTCACCTTCACCCTCTCAGCGCGCGCTTACGTTACAAACCGCCGATACCCCGCCATACCTGTCCGCTTGGCTCGCAAAAGCCAATCGCAACATAAAATCCACGCCGCCAACCAGCCCGCCGGCAGCAGGGCCGGCAGCAGCGGCGCCGCCGCCGCTCCCTTCGCCGTCGCCGGAGACCCGTAGCGTGGCCAGCAGGGCAGTGAAGGGCGGTGTGGGTGTTCCCGCCGAGGACCGCGTGGAGTTGCGGGCGCGCATCAGGACTAATGATCGGGAGTTGTTGCCGTTGCTGAGGCTGTTATTGTTGTTATTGGTGCTCGTGCTGGCAAACAAGGTGTTGCTGTTGTTGCGGGAGGCTTCCGTTGATCTGTGCCAGAGCTGCCGACTGCCGCCCAGATCCTGTGATGCAGTGCGTCCGTAAAATGGGTGTTGCGAATGTGACTGGCGCTGCAACATCAACGGCAGCCCCAGCCGCAATGATGCCTCCTCGTTCGCATCCGTCAGCCCCACCCCAGACGGGACCCTCTCCCCGCTTGGTAAAATCGCCAAACCCGAGTGTGCTGGCAGGCTACCGCCACCGCCGCCATCGCCGGCAGCGCTGAACCACGGCGGCAGCTGCAGGCTGCCGCCGCTACGGTAGCGCCCAGAAAACGCCACTGCCGTCGTAGCCGCGTTGTCCAGGTCACTTCCCCGCTTGCGCGGCCGCTTCGGCCCGCCGCTGCCGCTGCCGCCGCTAAGGCTATCACCCTCCACTGTCGCGTATGGATGTTGCTGCTGGAGTTGCGGCAGCTGGTGCAGTGACAGCCCGCCGGCGCCTGTGCCGGGCCCCGTTCCCGTCCTCGTGGGAGGCACCAGCGGCGCCTTGCGCAGGTGCAAGAGGCTATCGCGCTCACACGTGTCGGTGGCGGAGTCCGCGTCCAGGCCGGAGTGGGATCGGGAGCTAGTGCCCTGGAAGTCCAGCTCCGCGCGGCTGTCACTGAGGGAGCGACCCTCCACCCACGCCGCCGCGCCGCCGCCATCACCGGCGGCGGAGTCGCCGCCGCCGCCAGCGGTGGCGTCGGTTTGCCGTGCCCGCCGCCGAAGGCCTGCGGACCAGCTGCCACGTTCCTGCACGCGAAGGCCCTGAAGCGTGGAGAAGGTTCGGGACCGACCCGGGGGTCGCCTGGTGGTTCTGCAGTGTACGGCAAGGAGGACGGGCCCAGGGATGGCAGACGGAGAGGGTGTTAGTTGAACGCGCTAGGAAAGCTTGCAGGGTAACTATCATGCAGCTCGGCAGGATAAAAGGACGGGAGAACCGGTCGGGGCTCAGGAGGCCTCCCGCCACCGCTGCCGCGGGAGCAGCAGCCGCAGCGGCAACAGGGGAAAGAGGCGCACTGAGGGGTGCGGCGAGGCGAGGAAACGCACAACACGGTAGAAAAGAGACGCTACAGGACAAAGCCTTGACCGCACATACATACATACATACATACACACGTATAGGACCGAGGAAGTACCGTATCACCGTGCGCTACAGGAAAACACCCCTGAAGGCGGAGCACGGCCTGGCCTAGACACAAGAGTACATGACCCACGCTCCGAGAGACCTACGCTCTATACAGGCTCTTCATCAGGCGCTCGTCTGAGTTCAGCACGGCCGCCTGCTCCTCGTCCACCGCCTGCTCCAGGGGGGAGGGGAGAAGGGGGAGGGGGGAGAAGGAAGAAGTGTGAGCCGCCCTGGGGAATGAGAGGGGAATGTGTAGGGGGGGATCTGAACGGGCCATGGGGAGATACGGGGGGGCATGCATGCGACGCACCTGCAGGCCCCAAGGCTCCATATTCGTACACGTCGCCGTACCCAAATCGCCGTACTCTGGTGGACCGCGTGTCGTACTCATGCCCAGGGCGCTGCTACCGCCCATCACGGCCAGTCCCTCCTCCAGGCCGCCATTGCTACCGTGAGGGCCTCCAGCGCCACCACCGGCGCCGCCGTCGTTGGAAGCGGAGAACGGGGCCCCCTGCCCGGGCCCAGCCTGCGCGGCGCCCTCGTTGCTGTCCGAGTGCGGCGGTGTTTGCCGTACAACGGCACCCAGCTCGTGATCCAGGAGCTCTTGCGGCCAGGGGAGCTGGAGCAACACGAGCTGCAGAACGGGGGCCGTTGAGGAGCGGCCTATCAGCCCGGTGCTTACGACAGTTTTATCAGTGCTATCATATTATTATTTATTTTATCATTTACTAGGATTTAATAGCTGCTGATGTAACAACATGAATAAATGGATGGTGGTAGGGGTTGTGGCTGTGGCAAGGCGCGAACAAGGATGTGCAGACGGCAATGCTCCTCGGAACGAGGAAAAAGATGTCGCGGAAGCTACAGCTAATCAGTTGAAGCCTCTACCACACAGAGAAAGACCAATTGAACACATAAGTCCATGGCCCCCCCGGCTTTTACGGACACACCCGCACTTGTGTGCGGAACTTGTAACTTGTAAAATAAGCCAACCCAAACGTTGGAACCCATTCAGGACATGCACACGTTGTGTAGATAAGCGGCGACATGAGCGGCGTTGTCCAGTGAGCATGATGACGAATTGGCGTGAACACCCGCAAACCACAAACCACGAGGCTCCGTTCCGCTCTCTATGTTTGCATGCGTACCTGAATCTCCAGTGCAAAAGCCGCCGCCTCCACCGCCGTGTAGAATGCCAACACGAAGCTGTCGCCCTCCTGTACGGAGTCCAGGTCCAGACGGGGGCACGCGAGGGAACAACGGATGCGGAGGTGGGGCTGGCGAGTGGTGCGCTCTTGGCAGCTCCACCTAAGGTACTACCAAAAACGGACACCGACGAGGCCTTGGCGCTTCTCAACCGTTCCTATCCTTCTCTATCTCACCTCCTATGCACCACCCGCCCTCCTGCGGAATAACTGCTTCCTGGTGACAGACAGTGCACTCCCGCGCAGGGAAGCGAGAGAGACCACTTCAGGCCTACCACTACCAGGGAGACCACTTCCGCAATCCTGCTGTGTTTTACGACATGATACTGCAAGTTTTATTTGAAATCCTCACACCCGTACCGTACCGTACCGCACCGTACGTTACTGTAAGGAACCGCACCGTACCGTGTGGCACTCATATCCGCGGTACCGTGGCAGCAGTTGCCGGAAGGCGTCGTTGTGGAGCGATAGCGCGGCGTCCATTACCGCGACGGGCAGCGTTTCCCACAGGCGCGTGGAGTCCTGATGCCGCAGTCGCAATAAGTCAGACAAGGCGGTCAACTCAGTTACCCGGGGGCCATCCGATCAGGACCGCAGAGGCCTCAACCCAAACGGAGAAGAGAGTACGAATATGAATAGAATGCAAGCTCTGTTGGGTCTTCTTCCCTGGGATGGGACGATCATCCGGGGTCGGTTCAAAGCTGGACATAGTTCAGGTCGCTGGACATTTTCTATGTCCCCGCACCCGCACCCGCACCCGCAAGCCCTTGCGATGTGCAGTTCCAGCCTGCCGGGATACAGCCTGCCGTACGAAGACAACACTGTACCCCGGACGATACCCACATGCGCTTCGGGGGGTTACACCACCGGACAGTCCGGTGCAGAAAAACCGTATACCACAGGACGTCTGTTCAGGAAGGGCTGCGTGTCGATGCAACGAACGACGGGCCAACCCGAGCTGACCGCCACTGTCCCCCACTCTCCTTCCCACTCTCCTCCCCCCACTCTCCGCCGACCCTTCCAAACGCAATCCCTTGCTAACCTGCACGTCCGTCAACATGAGTGTCGTGTCCGGTCCATACCCCGGAGCAGTGGACCGGCGGTCCAGAGCCGGCATCCACACGCCCAGCCTGTGCGCCAGCACCCAGCCCCTCATCCACCATAGCGCCAGCGCCGCAACTAGCGACGCCGCTGCTGTAGCCACAATGCTACTGATGATGACGCCTGCGAGCTTTGCGCCTCGGAGCCCACCGCTGCCAGTACCAGTGTCGTTTCCGGCGCGTCCCACGCTACTGGCGTCTGCTTGGAGGCCCAAATGCACTGCCAGGGCGTCAAGCACCGCCCCGCGGTTCGCATCGTACGCCCGCCTCAGGCGGGTTATTGCCAACTGCGAAACGGTCGTCAGGGTACACGGGTCTCAGAGTCAGGGCCCGGAAACAATATGCATATTGGGGTTACGGCAAAGCGGCACAGGGCGCCCGGGCATGCCTCCGCCCCGCAGCGACTGCGGCCCATACCCAAGTACCATACCCATCAGCCTCGGTGCAGGCCGCACTCGTAGCTCGCCAGCTGTGCCCCCACAGGACACGTACATCGGTACATGGCCCCCAGCCGGGAGAGCTGAACACATACAGCATGACGCCAGCATAACAATAGGAATGGGCAAACCCCGCCACGCAATAAGGTCCGCCCGATACCCCACCTCCGCCAGTGCAGTTGTGTTCGCCACAGACCCGAACGCCGCGTCATTGGCTGCCTCACGCAACACCTCCAGCAGCCCCTCGCCCAGGGCGGGAGGCAGCCGCGGCGCCGTGAAGGTAAGCGGCCCCCTCAAGCTGTCCCGCAGCGCCGTCAAGTATGACGAGATATCGTACTTGTCGTACCCGTACGACGTCCAGCGCTCCACATCAGCGAGCTGCGACGCGCGATGTACCGTTGCGCCGCCCTCCGCGGGCGACAGCACGGACTGCCAGCTGCGGTTCTGGCCCAGAGCGACCGCTGCCACCCGCCACGTGGCATATTGCAACAGCGGCGGAGCTGTGGCGTTAATTTGGAACGCCAGTACGTCATGCCCCAGGTACACGCCCCGCAAGACTCCGCCGCTGCCTCCATCTGGCCCGTCCGCCTGGCTACTGTTGCTGCCGCTGCTGCCGCTGCAGGCAGGACTGCCACATGACCCAGCGGCGTCTACGTGTCAAAAGCAACAGGATAGGACAGCGAGGTACCGGTAGGCAGAAACAGATACTATAAGTGCTGTGATCAGCATCCAATCCACGGCGTTAGAGAGGGTAACAGGGAGGCATGGTCGCAGATGGTTGCAGTAAAGAGGGTGAGGGAGCTGCGGCCCGATGTGGACATGCGGAATGAACAGCAAAGGCAAGGTCAGGACTCAGCAACCAACCCACCAGACAACCAACCCACCAGACAAGGCGCTTCCAGGTAGCGCCGCAACCAACGCCACACTCCCCACAGCCTCCTCCTCCTCCCCCTGTTGCTGTTGTAACGCCCGAGCATGCTGCAGCCCATGCTGCGAAAGCTCCCCGGCCTCAGCCTCTGCCGCCAAATGCCGCTGCCTCCGCCTCCGCCGCCCCTGCTGCTCCTCACGCTCTTTGCCCAGCTGCCATATCGCTGCTTTCAAGGAACTCCCGTAACCCACCACAACAGCGCACTTCGCCAGCGCTAACTGCAGGTCCGGTCGCACGCACGGCGCGTGAGCGGCGCCTGGCGGCGCTAGCCCCATGAGTTCGCGGTACAGCTGCAGGGCTTGGGCCAGGGACTGTACGGCGGCGGCGGCAGCGGCGACATCAGCGCCACCTAGCTGCTCGTCTATCAACTTCTTCAGGTCCTCCTCCGAGGTTTGCACGCGAATGGAAGCCAGCGCCAAGCTAGCCCAGATGCTTATGAGCAGGTCAGCATCGCGGCTACAACCCGACGGGAGGGCGTTGCAGAGCCCGCTGCCAGGTCCTTGGACAGCGCTCCTGGTGCTGCTGTCATTAGGCGTCTGCCGCTGTTGTTGTTGCTGCTGCTGTCGCCTCTGAAGCTGCTGCAACAGCGACAGTAGCCCGGGCCAAGTCTGCGCCGGGCCGGCCCCGATGCTCCGGAGGGCGTCCCTAGGACAGGAGAGAACGGCACGCAGCAGTAACGACAGCAGCAGCAGTAGCAGCACTAGCCCCATGGGTCAGGGCGAAATTGGGAGAGCTCAACTTGACCGCGGCACCCCTAAGCACCCCTGGCTGCACGCGCTGGTTTAAGGGCCCTTTCGAAGCATATGGTGGCGTGGACAGAGAGGAAGGGAAGGCCTCCCTAGCATTCACGCGATTTGCTGATCTGGGACACCTGTCCACCGGCTCAGGTTGCCCCCACTGATAGACAGCCTTCGCTCGATAGCTGACTACTGGCTGGACTAGCCGGTCCCCTTGCTGGACGTCCTCATGGACGTGCGGGTGGACCACGCCACGTCCCGTGCAGAACCCCACCCATTCCCGCCTCCATCCCGTGGCAGCATTCCCCAGCATGTTGCGTGGTGATGGCCCTGCCTCGCAATACGTCCCACAGCGTACCTCCTGTACAACACCAGCGGCACCTCCACAGCGTAAGGCAAAGCTTGCAGCCTTCCGCCGTATAGCGCGACCATGCTGCGCACTTCCGGCAGCACATCGCTCCATTGCAGGTCCGGGTCCTGCAGCAGCAGCATGCTGGGCAGCTCCTGTGCCGCGGCGGCGGACACGGCCACCGTCTCCGGCCTGGTAGTCCATCCTGAGTGTGTTGGGGTAAGACAGCAATAACCAATTCATGTCGTTGCGGCTTTCCGAACCGATTGGACGGTCTTCTCATTTGCATTCCACGCTCGCAAGCTAACGGGGGCCGGGGGTAGCTCTTCAATGCTGCGTTTACCATCAGAGGCGTTGTCGCCAAGCCGTAGGCCGCCAGAGGGGAGCGGGGGATAAGGGGCTCGGACATGCTGAGGATCCGCACGGCACACGTACGACGGTCGCCACTAATGGCGGGACACTTCTCGCACCTGCGTATCCCTGCGGAGGCTTGCTGTTCAACCCGGTGCCATTCCACCATCCATTTTCGCTGGTCTCATAATCAACCGTTGCTGCAATCTGTGCTCTCCCCAAGTCCTGTCTGACCTCCTCCGCAAAGTCCGCGGCGGAGGAGGGCTGCAGCTGGCTCCCCGTATCATTAGCATTTTCAGCTACCCAAGTTGTGCTGATCAGCAGCCGAAGGGTTGGTTGGTTCTGCGCGCCGTACACCGGAATGGCAGACGGAACCAACGGGAGGGTGTTGTGCCAGCAACCTCCATTAGCCATGCAAAGTATGTGCGGTGCAATGGATTGCTGGACCTGCCTTTTGCATCGCTTTTGGGAAATTATTGCCACGCTTGCCTACGGCATGAAGGTATCTGCCTATGCAGTCAGCGACCTATCCAAAGTGAGGCCCCAGTATGCCTTATACAAAGGCCAAATCGTTTAACGCTGGCTGCGGACTCACCTCTGTTGAATTTTCACAGCTCGCCACTGCTTGTACAAGCGAAACACTGTTGTCCACAAGTTCACAAATGCTTGATAATCTGCAGATGTGCATGGTATGCATAGGTTGTCCAGAAACTATGAACTTCGTTGCTAAGGACTGGCATACCCGGGTGCGCACGCGGCCGACTGGGGCGACTCATTTGCATTAGTCTTGTGAGCAAGCATATAAGTGAAAACCAACAGTATTAACTTCGCCAAACGGTTGGCCCGCGCAGCAGGCAAGCTGCTGCAAGCCTGAATCATTTTCTTTTAAGGGGCAGCATATTCGTGCCCATTTCTCTCCGTAACATTTTTACTCAAAGCCCCCTGGAAAATGCTGAAGCAACTGAGAGTTTGGCCTGGACGTCTCGTCCAGGACGTTGGGGAGTTGTACTGACACGTTAAAATACATGTTACGGGCATGAAATGTCAACTGCTTTCCTTCAGAAGAGGCTAACGCGGTAATTTTAGGTTCATGGAGCCATGGTATAGTTGTTTGCTTGCGATTCAAGGTGTCGCAGCTGCGCCTCGCCTAAATCGCGCCTATGTTGGGCCGCGCCTATTGCAATGCATCATGAGGGTGCCTTTTCCCAACCTACACAGCTGTAGGCCACTTGGCACCCTATTATTGGTATTCTTTAGATTCCGCGACATATGCCAATGCGTCGGCGTTGCCTCATATGCACTGCAAAGTCTCCAAAGACCATTTTGGGCTGCCCGGACCGCTGACGAAACAACAATAGGCAGCCTGAGAGTACATGATTCTCCGTGCAAAAAGATTCACGGTACGACACGTGTACTCACAGCATCCAACCTAGGCTTCAGACCCGTTCAATAACCTAATCAACGCCTGTTCAGCGGAGCTAGGCAGAGATAAGCCCAAACAGCCTTCTGGTATGGCTTGGTAGCATTTCAGCATTTCAAATCCATGCGCCCACGCAGCTGCCGGGCACCCGCCCGGCCATCGGTGCGGAGTCTTCTTGGCTGGCAGTATACGTTGTAATTCAATCCATAGCTGTCGACTGGTTTCCCCACACTGTTTACAGCAGAAACCCTTCCCGTGCTAATTACTGCAGAGCATTGTATACTCTCGGACACAGAGCGGTGCTGTTGGCCAAGTCTGTTATTTCAAAGAATTCCAAATATTACAAGGGATTTCCAGGCCCCGTGCAAGCTGAGTCAGACCTGTTGGGCTGACTTGCCCAAACCAATGTCTATGTGTATAGACAAAGACCAGGAAAGCCCTATGACGCGCCACAGTCTTGTGCCCATGAATCCGTACAGCACACGTTAAAAGAGCTAATTCTGTCTGTGGCGGGCACCATTTGCATCTGGTGACACAATACAGGCAGCGTACGTGCGCCCCATGGCATGCATTAGGTGGTTACGGATGAAGTACCCAGATTGCTCCCTTACAAGATCCCAAGCTTCCTCTTGGGCATCCAGTAAAAGAATACAGTGACTATGTCAATGCGACATAAAAGAAAATTATACAAGCATCCCGCAAATCTTACATAGCCCACAAGTTCTAACCCTACCCTCAGCATCACAATGGAATCCCATCAACTATTCCGATGGGCTGTCTGGGAGAGCCAAACCTCCCAGAAAGCACCAGCCCTGGAGGCTCCATACAACGGCATGGAGACTGCCTATCAAGCAATCATCTCTCCAACCGTTCATAGCTACCTCATTTGTGGTAAACGAATGGTAGCCCTCCCGAGCCGCGACCCAGCTGTGTGCCATCAATCGTCATCACCACACGAGTAAAAAAAGTAATTTAAATCACTCATAAGTTACCCCGCGGCCCCCATTTCGTCGCAGAAGCCACTTAGAAAGCCAGCTGCTGCGCCGCAGCTGAGCTGGGGATGTCTACGCTGCCGCACTGCTTCTCCTTGCAGAACAGGATGCGGATCAGCAGCGACGCCAGGCGCTCCTGCATATCCATGCATTTGATACAAATTAATTACGAGGGCAAAATCCCCGGCAGGTAAAGCTCGACTGCTAGCACATCTACATTCAAATGCTTTGGCGTCGCATGCACAAGATCCACAGTTGACACAGGGGTTCAGCTTCATGGTTACTTTAGGATTACAGGTAGGGCACTAGGACGGCTAAGTGCGGGTGACCATACCGTTGTACACACCTGCAGGGGCAGCTTCATGAGCGACTTCAGGAAGGCGGGCGTGTTGCCGTCAGCGTCCAGCTTAACCAGCTTGCTGTTCACGTCAACCATCTCGTTCAGCAGCTCAAAGAAAGCGGGATCCTCCACGTCCGGCACCACGGGGAAGAGCCGCTCCGTCGACTTGTTCGTCTCAATAATAACTGTTGCAACAAAACGTGCAGATTGTTGGGGTAAGTAGTTCTTAGGAAAGCGGCCTATATTCATAACCAGGAAAGGCCCCACCCTGACAGCCGTCACGCCGCTGCTTACCGTGCTGGTTAAACTGGCGGGTTGTCAGGCCCAGCGCTTCGTAGAATGCAGTCCGCTGGTGGTCATTCAGGTACATGGTTACATACACGGACAAGCAAAAGAACTTGCTCCAGAGCTTGGCCTCCCAGGTGTTCAGCAGCTCTGGGCGTGCCTTCAGGCAAGCCGCCAGGAAATCACCGTGGCGGTTCTCATCCTGCATAGTAAAAACAAGAGTCCCAAATGTAAAAACTCCAGAACATGAATCCTTACGTCGTCAGGTACCATATAATTGTTTCTAGTAACCGGAAAACTGTGTTTGGCGATTCCCATGTTGCGGTTCGTCTAGTGAAAGAGGGTTAAAATTCTGAGCAGTTTAAAACTCACCTGGCACCAATTCTCAAAGTACTCGAACAGAGGGTACAGCTGGTTATCGGGGTTGCGCTGCAGGTGGCGGTAGATAGTGATGTATCTGCAAATACGAGTAACCACATTGGTCATCTTCGGAGTGGCCTATGACCAGCCATCACGATATCCGCCCAGAAGTCCAGGACCGCCCACCCTTCAAGCGTCTCACAGCACATCATCACAGACATGCAGGAAGTTTAGATTCCTTTTGACAAAAACCCACCGCCAGTAGCCGATCTTCTCAGACAGGAAGGTGGCGTAGATAATGAACTTGGGCTTAAAGTAGGTGTAAGTGCGGTTCTTCGTCAGAAACCCCAGGTCCAGAGCCAGGTTGAAATCGGACAGGGCCTTGTTCAGGAAACCAGCGTGGCGAGCCTCATCACGGCTCATCAGCAGGAACCTGTCAGCACGCAAAGCGCACATTGTATGCTGTTAGACGTGTCAGCTGCCCAGTGCTTTGTACCGCGTGTACCTCGTGCGTGTACCAAGGCTATCCACACTGAAACCTAAGCAGGGTGCGCCGTGCATCACGGAACTTACATCTCAGCAACCGCGGGGCTGGACGTTTTCAGGCGGCGGGCCAGCTCCTTGTACAGCAGGAAGCCCGAAAACTCAGCCGTGCAAGAACGCTCCAGGAACTCAATAAAGATTTTACGTGTGGCGCCTGTGACCTTATCGGCGGCTGCCTACGTGGGTTACGCGGTATGCGGGGATACTTAAACATTGCACTCGCCTGTGATCCACTCGGATCCGCATGATAAACTACTAACATTACAACCAGCGATTGGAGAGACAATACGCGATTGCAAGGCGTAATGTATATAGATGGGTAAAAGACGTGGATTGGGTAAAGCTTAGCAGCCTCCTGACCTTGAAGGTCTCGTTCCGGACGAAGTGGCACTTGTTGTAGTCGTTGCGGAACTCCTGCAGACAGGCGTCGAGTTCCCCCATGTCGAGATGCGGGTTAATCTCCTGGCTGAACAGCTCCTCCATCTCAGCGAAGTCTGCATGCGATATGGGTCTCCAGGTTAGCGCTGATTGGAGCACATACATATCGTGACGACAATGTGCCCTGTTAACCGACAGCTGTCATGCGTCGTCTCACCAGTCGTATAAAAGCGTGGGGTCAGAAGCGTCTCCTGGGCCGCAATCTTCACGCCATCGCGCATCGTCTGGAAGCCGAGGCCCGAGTTGAGATCATTGGGTGCAGCTGTGGCTTGCACCCGGACCACGCACTGCCGGGGACGGCCTGCCGGAGGTGCAGCGCTGCGAGATAAAAGAAAACAACGTGCTTGGAATTCGCAGAAATCTAGTAGCGAAAAGCTGGGCCGCCTGTGCACTGTGTGTCGGCGTGTGGCTAATAAGCGACTCTTACGACGTCGCTGAGGCAGTAAAACGAGTTTAATTGCCCAATTCCAAGAAGAATTTCCATGCTCACCGGAAGGGCTGCCTAGAACTGGCGCGAGTGCACACGCGCTGCTGCTTAAGGGTCATTTGCAGAGCCATGACGAAACCGTTTACGGGGTGCGCTGAGGCGAAGCAAATAACCAATTCGCTATGGATAACCCTCAGAACGTTTTCCGAGGATGATATATGCTCTAAATCTCAAGGAGTTCCAAAGGATTCCGAAATTCAGGAGCAATTATCACTCCGTAACGAAAGCAGCTCTACACAGACTCCAACTGCTTGTATACAACTTCTTCTCTGTATGGGTGAATTTTTATATGTGTTGTACATGACAGGACAAATCTTTCGTTGATCGGCGATCACGATTGGACGGTACATCCATACACCTGTATGGTGTAGTCCAATTCAAGCTTTTGCTTCCACGCAGATCCACATCGTATCTACGTGAAATACACGTTACGTTATTCAGGGGGATGCATGTCGTCTAGAGTGCACCTGCTTGGCGGCCAAAGTCAACGTGCAAGTTTACGAAATCTAAGCTGCGCCAATCCTTCACAGCCCAACAATTTTTTGCTAATGCCAGAATCAGGATAAGGACTGCTATCGCATTTGAAAAATTCTGAGACATGGCACCGTTCCAGCAGGCAGTGACGTGATTGTTTGTCAACAAAAAGCGCGGCGCTCAACGTATGCCTTTTTTGTCATGAGTAACTTCGGCTGCCAGTTCAGCTCTGTGTTAATCCATGCCTGTCCATATGCTGCAAATAAACAATGCATAGTTTGTTTGGTTGGTTTCGGACACTCGGAACTTGAGACACTGGTTTTGAACAACGATGGGCCTTTCCATATCAACATGCGTAAACGGCATTGTGACGGCGCTGATAATGTATCGGCCGGGAATTACGCCTAACGCCGAAAAGTGGGGGAACTTTTGTGCCCTTGCGCCAGTTAGAGCGTCGTTTCCGGTTTAGCGGTTGCTGAGCGCGCACAAGTAGAGCGTTGGTTCTTTGCTGGCTAGCTATGTCGTAGAGAGAAGCTTTCTAGGTTTGCCGGCGGCAAGCGTGTGTATGCGTTTACAAGGGCAGAACTCTCCCCTCACCCTGTGCACCATGCGGCCCTCAGGTGCAGTGTCGTGAACCCACAGGTGCAGCGGCCCTCGGGTGCAATCGTGGTTTCGGTTCCAGTCTGTTCCAGTCTTAGTTGTGACTGAATGAACAAAGTTACAGTGGATTTAAACAGATCCACCGGTGCTGTCCGCACCCTAAAACATCATCTTCAAAACACGTAGCAATTCCGTAGCCGCCACCATGAACGTTGGGTCCACCATAGCTCACTGCGGTGGAGCTTAGCTCTTGGCTTCGGTTCTACCAAAACATTGGCTAACTCCCAAACTCACTCCACTAATGTCGCTCTGCTTCCTGGTTGCCAGTGTTGCATTCGGCAGACAAGCAACTCAACACTGGCAACAGGCAACGGCTCCAGCACCGTCCCGGGAGCCTTTATGATGCCCCCTCGCTGCCCCCTCAGAACCGAGCCGCTGCGGCGCCCTCCTCTCCTGGTGACTCTGATTTGGCCTCCGGCTTTCCTTTTGGCCCGCCATCACCCCAACCTGCCCGGCCCGCGTCTGCAGCACTTGTGGCATCGGCTCCCAGCCCTGTTCTGGGTGCATCTTCGGCATCACAATCTCCGCGACCTCCGTGTTTTTCGACTTTGCAGCAATCCCCTGAGCCCTGAGATGCCATATTCCGGCCCAAGACTTCACCGCCATCCTGCACCAGCGGTTTTTGGCCTGGCGGACGCTCTTTCACGTCCCTATATGTCCTCTTCTAGTTGCCGAGGACCCTACACTTCGCTCACTCAAGGGCGAAATTCGCGAGTGTGACGTGGTTGTGGACGCCTGGGCAAACCCTCCAGACGAAACGGTTGGTTTGCTTGTCCGAGTTGTTCCCGCCAAGTTGTTCCCGGACCCTATTGACAGAGTGAGTTTGTCCGCTACTGCCACCGGACAGGCCCAGAAGTGATGACAGCGAGGGGATGCGCCTCCCAGGGAACCTACTGGAGATGGGAACTTCCTTATATGGGCACCCCATCAACCGTGAGACGCCATCAAACCTCATTTTGTTCATCTTCCCATAGTAAATGAAACCATAAACGATGGAAGGTCCGTTGCAAGGTAGGATTAGCCTCACCCGGTACCTCAGAAGAGCCTGTCGCCTCAATGATGAACAGGGTATGGGCTACTCGATGAGCCACATAACGTGGCGAAAGTTGCATATCAGTCGCTAATTTATCGGATAGATCTTGAAGTCGGATGGGAGGCCCTCCACCCCACCTCCAACCTAATCGCGACACCAGGGTTTGGGGAACAGACTCAATGGATGGCACCATCGCTGCTCTAAATTCTGCACTCAAGGGGCAACAAAAGACTAGCAGCCTGTCGCCAATGCGCTGGGATATCAGCTAAGAGAGCGACAACAGCATTAAAAACACTCATGACACTTACGAAAGGTGCAAAGGGATTGGGCTAGTGGGGTCCGCGGCTGGAGGTATCGGTCCACTGTTTGACGCCACGCCCTGCACTGGTCCGGTGTGTGCATAACCGCATCTAAAGCATCTCGCGCAAGAAGAACATCCCCCAACGTTTTCAGTGCTTTACAGCCCAGGAATGCTTGGTGTCGAAATTCCCGCCCTGGGCGGATGTTAACTGACGGGACACTCAATATCTTTTTTGGAAGAACAGGGCTTCCCCACAGAGGCCAATTCCAACACCGTGCGTTAGGAACTAACGGATGAACATCTTCAACTGGGGGGAGGTATGCCAATGCTGTCATAATGCGCCGTCACATGAGCAAGCAAACGTTGGCCCACAAAAATACAAAAATACTAAAACACGTCGTGTCGCTTTCCATTCCCGTGGCCACGATGGGAGTCATCATCCTGCCTCAGCTGTCATCACAGCAGCCATGGCTCAGGTAGTCATTGTAGCTCCCGCAGTATCTGTAGCTGTGTCTGTGGCAGTAGCGGCGGCGGTCATGGCGTTTCGCCGCAGGATGTCGTCGAAAACGACATCTGCCCACTCCGAAATGTCCACTTCGATTCGCCGCCTGCTGACCGGGTGGTGGAAGCGGAGCCCGACAGCCCAAAGACACAGCGAAACAGGCGAACCATCGTTCAGGAAGTCGCAGTCGTCGGCCCCACCCGCTACAGCCGCCGTTGCTGCCGCTGCAGCCGCTACAGCTAGAGCCCAGTCAGCGTCAGCGGGCGGTTGATACATCTCGCCCTCCTCATCCCTCTCCGCGCCTTCCCTCGTACAACCCGGTTTACTACGGCCAGCAACGAGGGCATCGCTTTCCCCGAGCTGCTCCGAAACCGATGTCATTGATCCCTCCACGAACTGATCACTCTCGTCCTCCTCCTGCCCGCTAACCTCCCCTCCTTCATGCCTCATTCCCAACAACTCCGCAGCATCGAGCTCATCAGCCGCCGATGCGGTGGCAGCAAAAGCAGTGCTGGTACCATCAGCGACCCGTGGGTCGGCACTGTTGCGCATCACCCGGTACCGTGGGTCTCCCAGGATGGGTGTGCCTGTATATGCCATGTGCTTCCGAAGCTGGTGGGTGCGGCCTGTGTGAGGCCACAAGAGAATCTTTGTGAGTACGTCCAGATGGCGGCGGCCGGCGGCAGCGGCGGGGCCTGGCCCACACCGCACCGCCTTCTCCCCGCCCGTCCATGCAGCTGCCATGCGAGCCCCAATTGCTGCGGACGCCACCACCTCTGTCGTGTGGGATAACCCCCGCTTGGACACGACGCGAAAGGATGTGAGGCAGGGCTTGCCGGACAGAGGCATGTCGATGGTTCCGGAGCCGTACCGTTCACCCTTGACCAGTGTGCAGTACCTGCAGTACATTTCGCGCACGAGAATGTCGCAGTAACCTCTGGTGCTATCCATCGGACAAGGATGAACCTTAGCTCAGCAAACGAAGTTGCCATGGTTTCTCAGTTGACTCCTTTCCGAGCGAATGCCGCGGCGAGGGGCGCAGGATAACAAAGGCCCAGGGGCCAAGAGGCGCGCTCCGCGACTTCTTAGGACACGGCACCCTCCACGCAGATCCAGCGGGTTGATCCCAACCTTGTCCCCTGTTGCCCCGTCACGCGAACCCCAATCCACTCACGCAACACCCTTTTTCAGGCCCCCACAGGCCTCACCAGCCCGACCGTCCTTCACCCCCATTATCCCCCTAGAAACGTCCATTCGAACCACACAGGCCACGGCCTAATGTGCGACAGGTGGAGCTAGGGGACCCTTACGGGGGGCCGCCCCCTTAAATGTACGTATGTCCCTCTATCCACCTCTTTGCCATTCTCCTGTGATGCAGGTCGCCTGCCAATCTCCTCTGCGCCGCGTGGGTCTTAGCCACCAGCAGCAGACCCCCTGTGGGCGCATCCAGCCGATGAACCTGCAGCAGCAGCAGCAGTAGTAGCGGCCCCAAGTGCACACCGCGTCGGTGAACAAAGTAATGGACATTACGAAAGCAGTCGTCATGGTGAGCACCGGAGTAGAGATCGCGTGTAAAGCCGCAATGGTGGGTCCAAGCGTTTAGCGAGTAACTGCAACTCACCTGCTGAGGCCTGTTGAGCGCGCCGACGAGGGGCGAGGCGCGGAGGCAATACTTGAGGCGACCCTGCACGGTTCCAGAACCTGCGGCGACGGCCGCCGAGATGGTGGCGGTGGCGGCAGCGCAGCAGGCACTGTGACGAAGTTGGCAAACATGCGCAGCGGCCCCGACCTGATCCCAACCCGATCACGTAGCTAACTACCACACCCATCCACACGGCGAGATTCACTCCCCCATAACCATCCCCAGATCTGGATGCGCAAACAAACACCCCACAACACGAACATCAAGGTTATCGACTCCGCTCGGAACGGGAGCTGCAGATCCCCGCTGACCCCAGGCAGGTATTTGGAAGCAGGCGCCGGACTGGGCGGCCCTGCCTCCTCCCCACTACCACCCATCAGACAGTGGAATCCAAGCGGCGCGAACGTACCTGAGCCCTGCGTCGCAATACCCGGCGGCTTGATGACCACCGCCAAGTGATCGTCCTCGTAGGCGACCGGCAGGCCATGCAGCAGCGATCCACCACCGCGACGCGGTTTCTCCGTAGCGGCGGCGGCCGCGGCGGAAGAGGAAGGGGACTCAACGACGGTGGCGGTGCCCGGTGGCCCGACCCAGCCCTGGAACCCGGTGCCGCGACGCGCCAGCAGCTGCAGCACATCCCCTGGAGCTGCTGTATCGCTCGTAGACAGTACCACCCCACCGGCTGGGTGCGGATATGGGTGCGGGTGCGCAGGAGAGCCAGTCTCACAGGCAGCAGCAGCAGCAGCAGCATGGGCAGTGGCTGCAGCAACAGCCGCATCATCAGCGAGACCGCCACTCAAGCCGGCATACATCTGGTCTGACAATACTGGAACAGCCAATCTCTGACCTGCAGGCTGGTGGTCCGTGGGAAGCGCCTCGGCCACCGGTGGCTGCAGCGCATCGCATGCGGGGACCGTTGCGGTGAGCGTGGCAGGTGACGACCCGTGGGTCGCTGGGACACGGAGCACCAGCCGCCGGCGGATGGCACGCTTGGCGGCTACAGCGGACCAGGCCGAGGGAGGACAGGGAAGGACGGCATCCGAGGTGCAGGGAGCTAAGGAAAAGGGCTTCCGTGGTCACCTATCATGAGTATGCCACCATTTGTTTAAGTTACTCCACGGTGTATGTGTTTCTATTTGTTCTGATCTCCGTTCGACCAGTCAGCCAGTCAGTCAGTCGGTGAACTGACTGGGCCGACTGGCAGGTCACCGGGGCGTGGCGGCGTGCCCCGCTGCTGCGGCAGAGGAGGGAGGGAGCTGGAGGACCGCCCGGGTAAGCATGTATGGGTGTGTCTGCATGTATGTATGTAACAACCCTCATGTTCACCGGGGCCCAAACAGGTATATATCGACATGCTGAGCCATCTGGGAGCCAGCCACCACCTCACACCGCAGTTGGTTTCCATGTGGTCTCCATAGGCTAGGACCTTCCAATCCAACCAACCAACCAACCAACCAACCAACCAACCAACCAACCAACCAACAACATAAACCAACGAAGTGAACAGACAGTCAAACAGCCAACCACCCTTCATCGCAAGGAGTCATCCTACCTGTGGCGCTAGGGAGATGCTCGGGCAGGAGCAGCTGGAGGAGCTCAGGTAGCGGTAGCGGCGTGGAGGGGGCGCAGCTAGGAGGCACGTGGGCTTGGGCTACCACCACCATTGCCTGTTATGGGGAGATGGAGGGCGGCAAGGGGTTACAGAAGGTCAGGCGGCGTAGGGCCCATAAAGGACGGCAGGTGCATTGCCAGGTGGCCTATGGCGCACGCACGTTATGGGACTGAATATTTGTACGTGGCATTGGCAGTACGGCAGTGGGGTAGTACGGCACCTGTGGAATTCTCTGGCTTGACGACGCAGATCGCAAAGGGATTGATGGAGAGTGACATGGAGGTGGCGAGCACGGTGGAGATGATGATGGCACCAGTAATGGTGGCTCTGTCGGTGGTTCGGAGACCCGATTGCCGAGGAGTAGAGAACCGCTGGTTTCAGGCTGGTCTCGGTACGCGCTGGTGTACGTAACAATTTCTGCTGCATGTGCTTCTTCGCGCGAGCTTTGGTAGTATTGCGATCCCGTCACCGCTGCTGAGTGAATCTCCAGCCTTTCCAACGCGGGGTCATTGACCCATGGGGATGGCGAAGCGGCTGAGCAGTTTTCAGTCATCGGACGCCGGCCCCTTATTGAAGGATTTGTAGTTACGTGGGCGCGGACTGACGGGGGTCCTTGTCCGAGGTCGCCGATGCGACTTGAACGCCGATAATCATGGACCGGGGCTGTGTTTCGTAGGCCCTCCGAGCATAGCATGTCAAATCCTTGGAAGCGTATTCACCCTTTGCATACAGGATGCCCTGGACTTGCCGCGCCCGGAAAAAGTGTTGCTAGCATACGCGTATTTCCGCTCTGTGACGTCCAGTGTTAATGGGCGCTTCGTCTAAAGCCCCTGGCAACAGGGCGCGAGGTAAAGCTGGTAAATTTCACAGCAAGTTCGTTAGTACCGTTAATCACTAGAGTGCACAATCTAGGTCTCTAACCATTATTACTAATCCGGCTGGCGTTTATGTAGTGTGATGTTGCAGGTGAAAGGTATCACGGGCTGCCACGGGCCCCTCAAACCACAAAGTTCAAAGCACGGCAGACGGGGTTCAGGTTACTTTGTGCATCTGTCGAAAGCTCGTGACAAACAGACAAAGATCTCATCTCATCATTACTCGGGATAATAAACGGCAGTCAAGTGCGCGTTCTATGTAGTGCGCGCGGTTCCGAAATGCTGACCCGAAACACATCTACGTCCAGCAGCAACACCCACACATGTAACAAAGTCAGCATCCATCGACGTCTACCATATCTATCTCTGCCGCGATCAAAGCGCGTCATTCGTCAAGCGGCAGTGCAAGGCGCTTCCGAAGATGTCTTGGCCGCTGACGTGGTCATTGTGGGAGCAGGTAAGGTGCGGCATGTATCCGCTAATGCAGCGCGAGGAGTACATTATAAGGTCTGTCGATTATCACCTTAATTGTCTTCGTTCGCTAACCTTGAGTGACCCCTGACCCAATAACGGATCCGACATCGGGCCCCTCAGGGCAACCCCTCAGCACAGACGCCAACCCCTTGGCCCCGCCTTCCCAGGCATCGTGGGCCTCTTCGCTGCCCAGGAGCTCCTCCGAAACCAGCTGAGTGTGTTGCTACTCGAGCGGAAGGGCCTCTGCGCAGGCGCCACCGGCGCAGGTGAGCGAAACACCGCTGCTGCTGCTGCTGCTGCTGTTGCTGAGCCTTCCCGAATCCATCCACGACACCATCGTCCCCCTGCCGTGCCTCCCTAAAAACCAACGCAATCCGGCCGGTGCGTGTTACCATCACCATGCTCTGTGTGTGTGTATGTGTGCCCCGTATGTGTGCCCCGTTTGGTACGTACGTAACACGCAGGTCAGGGCTACCTTTGGATGGCCCACCGCGCGCCGGGCAGTGTGGGATGGGCGCTGGCGGCACGGAGCCTGGCGCTATGGCGGCGAAGGGTTCAGGCGGATGAGGGCCTGCGTGAAGCTATTGAATGGCAGGTGGGGTAGCTACGGCGGCAGCTCTAGAGGCTGTGCGGCAGCACAGCCGGGTGAGTAGAACGTGGCGGGGCCCCCCGCAACGCCCCGTCTGCCCCCGTTGCTCTCAGCCGCCTGTTTGTAATACCGTGAAGTGCAACGGACTCCCTTACTCCCTTCAACCTCAGCTCTAAGCGACCTCACCTCCTGACTTCCACACCTCTCAGCTGCCTCTGGTCGCCCACATCCAATTTACGTCCTGTCCGACAGCGCCCTTGGGGCAGGCCTGCCCCGATAGTCCGAGTTGGCGGGCTCCCTCCTCCAGACCCGCACCCGCACCCGCACCCGCGCCTCACTCCCTCAGCAAAGCTGGTCCTATACTTCAGTCTCCGCGTAACACTTGACATCTGCCTCCTCCATCACACACCGCCTCGTCCCTTTGTCCAGGACTGCGGTTCCTTGTTGGTGTCCACTGGCCCCGGGGAGAACACCGCGCTGTCGGAGAGGCAGTTGGCGCTCAACGCGGTGGGCCTCAAGGCCAGCTACCTGGACCCGCGCAGACTGGCGCAAATAGAGCCCGGGCTGGTGCCGCCGGGGGGAGGGGGGGGCCTGCTGGTGCAGTCCGACCTGCAGATTGTGAGTGAGCAGTACGGGGGGAGGAGGAGGAGGAGGAGGAAGGGGGAGGAGGGAGCCCAGACGGGGGCTGAGGCGGGGTGGGGTCGGCTGCAGGACGCAGGAGCCCTGGCGGGACTGGCACTGCCACTGCCGCTACCCACTGCACACTGTCATTGCCACTGCCACTGCCGGGACGCTGCGCACACATGGAAGCAAGGCAGCCCCACGTTTCTTTTGGTGTGTTGTGCATCATGTGGTCATGGGTGTGATGTGTTTCCGTGAACCGTGGGAACGTAGTGGGTGGGTGGGTGGATTCCGCGGTATGCCCACCAACACCGGGGGGTTGAGCTCTTCATTGACCTCCATCGCTGGAGCACGTTGCTTCGGTTGGTGGTTGTGTGTTTGATATCCGATTGCTGTTGGTGGCCTGCTGGTGGGGTTGGTGCCGCAGAACGGCCGTGCCGCAGCCCACACGTTGTTGCAACGGTGCCGTGCGGATCCTGGTTTCGGAGACCTGATGGGGCCGGAGGGGGAGGTGCTGGGACTGGAGCTGTCGGCTGGACCAAGCGGTGGGCACGTCGTCAAGACGTCGGGGCGCAGGTAAGGATGTGTGTATGTATGTAAGCGTATGTGTGTAAGCGTATGTATGTAAGCGTATGTCTGTGAGCGTATGTGTCTAGGGGGAGCGCTCTCGGTCATCGCGAGACCCCTCCCGCCCCGTGTTGGGGGGAAGGGGTCACACCGCCAGCTGCGACCTGGTCCTAGGATGCGATGCCTCCTGCCCCCGGCCCCGTCCTCGCCCCTGGATTGCAATGGACTCCCCAACTGCTGTCCTCGGCTTGCTGTGCTGGGCCCCCCGGAGCGACGCGTTGTGATGCGGCCTGAAAGGAAAAGCTCCATGAATCCATTCATCCCATTCACCCGTTCCTTACCGCATTCACAGGGGAACTCCCCTCCTCCCCATAAAGCCACCCTCGGGCTACTTCCCAAGTCGCTACCGGCTGGTAACTTCTCACATACTCACACTCCTGATGTATCCGTCTATCCTGATATGACCTTCACTCGTCTGTGGTTCGTCTTCTCCCCTAAGCTCCCCCTTCCTCCTCCTCGCGGTTGTGATCCCTTCACCTCCAAAGGATCCATGCTCGGCACGCGCTGGTGCTCTCCGCGGGTGTGTGGACGGGCGGCCTGCTGTCCGCGGCCACCGGGGATCCCGTGTGGGCGCAGCTGCTGCAGCCCCGGAGGGGACATCTGCTAGAGATGCCGCGACCGGCAGCCATGCCGCCGGTGACGCATGGCATGATGGAGATGTCGTACACGAAGGTACGGCATGGATGACGACATGGGCATCAAGGTGGGGATATTGTTCGATTGGGGGGGGGGTCTAAACGTTTATGAAGCATCACCACCGACATCACCACCCGACATCACCACCGACATCACCACCCAACATCACCACCAAGATCACCACCAACATCACCACCAACATCACCACGAACATCACCACCAACATCACCACCAAGATAACCACTAAGATAACCACCAAGATAACCACCAACATCACCAACGTGCATCACGTTGCTGCGCCCGTTGTGCGGTGCTGCTATGCAGCATTGATGGCGACGGTCGGCGGCATTTGGGGTTTTAAAGCCACGTTGCGTGGTGCGTAATCCAGAGGTTCCATGTTCCTCTGAAGTCATAATCGTCAAAATCACTATAGCTGTACAGCTGCTAGAGTGTGCGCGTGGGAGGCTCTGCCGTGCATGTGCGGGAACACACACGGTATTCCCTTCCCATCGCTACCTCGTCCCCCAGTTCTTTCGGGCACTAAGGCCACACAGCCACCGGAGCAGTGCCGCCATACCACCACAATTACTACTACCACACCTTGCCGTACTGCACAACCTCCTAACGTCCAACGTCCAACCGCCCCCTGCATAACCTGTAACCTATAACCCCAAACCGCATTCCCAACCGTCCTTCCTCAGCACTACGCCACGGCCTCGGCACCCAAGGCTGCTGCACCAGCTGCTTCCTCCCCTTCCTCCTCCGCCTCCTCCTCGTCATCCGCCTCTCCTCGCGAGCCGGCGGACATCACATTCACGGCCACCACCGGCGCAAGTGGCAGCCTCCTCATTGGTGAGCTGGGCAGCGCTAGCAACAGCAGCCGCAGCAACAGCAGCAGCAAGCAGCAATATCAGCAGCCGTATGAGCATTGCCAGCAGCTCGATGAGCTGGTGCAGCAGGAGGAAGGGAGCCAGGAGCGGAAATAATAATTGGGGCATGCATGTGTATGTATGTGTGTGTATGTATGTATCAGATGTAGATGAAGCAACGCTCGGCTTCGTGCTGAGTCAGGCCCAGTCATGCAGTTGTTCATCACTGACAGGCAGCTAGGCTGGCACCGCGTCTGCAACCAAGACCAATCTGCACCGTAATGGGCTCTTTTTAACGCGTTTCTACTTCACTACTGAACCGCTTCCCCCCACGGGACACCATCGCCATCCCATGTCCCACCGCCGCCACCCGTTTACTGGCTGTCCCAGGCAGCAGCCGGGAGTCTGGCGAGTGGGACACCTCGCCATCCCCAGCAATCATCGCGGCCATATTGCAGCGTTCAGCGCTTTTCCTGCCGGGGCTCAAAGACGCCGCGGCAGCCGCCACAGCAGCGGCGGCGGCCGTTGCCGACGGGAAGCCGGACGACAGCGCCGGCGGCGGCGCTTTGGCGGGGCTATCGGTCCGAGTCGGGCTTAGGCCGTACGCTTTGGGCGGGCTGCCGCTGATCGGTCCGGTGGAGGGGGCTCCAGGTTAGTGCGTGTCTCTCCGCCTGCAGCATTATTGCCGTACTTGTACCGCTGTACCGGCGGCTCGGGCTATTACATAAGACCCCACTCCGGAAATCGGACCCGGATATCGTCATTGGGACCCATTGGTACCTCTGTGGGTTGAACAGCAGCGAGGTGTCCGTGTACGGGGACGGGGACGGGGCTGCTGCGGTGGACTGCGGAGCGCGCGACCCTTTGCACAAGCAATTTGGTACGGCATGGTGTGTACGGCACCCCGTACGTAAGGGATGGGAGGCATGTAGGCGCAGCGTGTTCGTTGCATGATATTTTCTGTAAGCGCGTGCGCGTTGTCGTAGCCCTCGCCAAGTCTACGAGCCAGACGGTGTCTGTGCGGCTATGTTTGCGTATGTATGTATCTATGTATGTATCTATCTATCTATCTGTCTATCGATCTACCTACCTATCTATATGTCTAACTTTGTTGGTCAACGAAGTAGCCGTTGGCCAACGGTCAGGACGCCCCCCACGGTCGCTGTCCAACTGCCTTTGCGCCCGCCCGTCGGCTGCTGGTTGGAGTTCTCGCGCCTTCACTAGAATTCGCCAATCAGCCTTCCTGTCTGCTTTACCAGTTCTGTCTGTCTGTCTGTCTATTGAATACTATGTCTGTATCTTTACCCCCCTGTCCTTCCGTCGGTATGTCGCGTTGCTCATCCAGGTCTTTTCGTCGCAGCCGGCCACGAGGGATCCGGGCTATGCATGGCCCCAGGCACTGGCGAGCTGCTTGTACGGCATATCCGTACATACATGGGCGTTTCCGGACTAGACACAGCCAGCTTCCAGGATCTTCGGCCTGACGTGCGCCGTCGAGCGGTGCCTTCCATGACGGTTAAGGCTTGAGGCAGGAGGGAAACCCAGCTTGCTTAATTCGTTTGCTCAATTTTTTAGTTACGATAATGCATACGTTGATAATGCTTGCAATGATGGTTTCACATGCCGCCGTGGCAGTCAGCGACGGCGCGGCGTCGCGCGGCACTTAAGGCGAATGCACACTGCGGTGTCTTTCTTCCGTCACGAATCTCGTTAATTCTGTCGCCCCTCCATCCGATTAGCATCTCACAAGTAGAGTATATTTGTTGTCTGGACAGCTACAGGCTGAGCATCGAAGTAGGGGGACTGACAAAGGTGGACTTCTGAAAACACGGCGACGACTCGCCGTAAAAACGTTTGGGTTTGTTTTGTTTTTGAAGCTTGATTGATGAATGGGTAAAACGGCATGAAGAGATGGAGGCAACGGGGGCCCTGTTTCCGAGATTGGCTGCATCGAAGAAAGGCAGGGCGCGCCCGAAGAGCACGACAGATGGAAGGAAAATCCGGGGTTGGGGGCTTCTCGTTAAGATTTGTTCTGTTACAGTAAGCCTCTAAACACTTTAGCCATGGACAGACATGGACATATAATGTACTTCATAAAAGAAACGAAAGTTCCCTAGCCGCCGTTTTTTCCTGGTGCAGCAGAGGACAACCTTGGCAGGGAAGCCGCTCGCAATCGATTACTTCGTGACACCATGGCATTAACGATAAACTGGTGATGGCTTAGCTTTCCGTTGTGGGTTTTTGCGCGGCAACAGCCCAGGACTTGCCGGAAACGGAAGTTTGCGTCGTTTACAGCTTTCGGCGACGAGGTTCAAAACATCAGAAGTTATCAACTCCAAGGCGTGAAGGGTAAATGGCGCTGATGTGCTTCGCGTGAAGTACTTCGCGGTACAGCCATGGAGTTCTAGGTCTTTGGTTTTCAAGTGGCACCTTAGAGATCAGCAGCGGTAACTGTGTTAGGGTATTAAGGCGTTATCCAATAATAACTTCGTGGACACGGCTTCCCTCTTTGGAAGCCTTCTTGGCAAAGTCCCAGAAACAAACAACAGCGAGGCGACGGGTAGCTCAACCAAATATCTTATAGAAATTTTATGTTTTTCATCAGAGTATGAGTAGCGAGGAAGCACAACGCAGCGGCGATACTTCCCTACCCGCAAAGGTAGGGTTTGTTTGCCACGTGACAACTCACAACGCAATCCGACATTCTTTGAACCTGTAAATCTGTTTAAACACTTTTAACTGCTGCGTAAATATTTACAACCCTCCCATGGGAAGCCCTAAGCCAAACTCATGAGATAGATCTGCACGGCTCTAATTCATATACAAGCATGTCCTTTTAATAACTGCTTTAAAAGGTTTTAGTGTTCTCACAACTCATTTTGGTTAGGTACGGTATCCGTACTAAACGTGGACAGCCATGTGTCAACCGAGCGCAACCACCTGTATCTTAATGGTATTGTGTAAATTGCTCTAATTGGCAAATTGAAAGGATCGGCTTATTGCGGACGCGCGTGTAACTCGTCGCTGGTGTTACAGCTAGCCCATGCTCCTTGATACCTCCAGGCATGATGTTTTCACTGGCGTTTGCTGCTTCGTAACAGACATTTTCCCTGCAGCGGGATGTGCTGAAATGGAGATTCAAGCTTGGGCTGGGTTCCTGCATTAGCAGCCCTGGTGTTGCATTCCTGGTCGCTCTCCAGACCTGCACCTGTCAACCATAAAAACTTCAAAACGGATAAAAACATCTGCGGACTCGAACCACAGGTCGCAGTATCGGCACTCAGGGACGGTGGACGAGCTCAGTTATCGCGAGGCGTTTCCGAGGATGCCGATCCAAACCGGGGCAACCTAAGCCTGTTTTATTTTATGTAAATCCTTCTATACTCTACAGCCATGGCGTGTGCAGAAATCCGCTATCGTGGTAGGCGTCTAACCGGGCGTCGCTGGCCAACGATGGTGTCCGCACGGCTCCCGCTAATGGCTCTGGCAGTCGTGTGTTTTCTGGAAACATGCCACAGCTTCCAAACGGCAACAGTGGTGGATTTCCTGGAGGCACTGAAGCTTGCGCAGGCCGACACCGCAGGGCCCGAACGCTCCATTACCCAAGCAGTAACGCTTGGCACAGCTGGGTCCCACAACCTGCCACACGATTTTGCAACCCTGGTTGTGCGCCAAAACGCTGTAATTACGGGTGCACCGGACAAACCCGAGCGGCTACAGCACAACCAACAACCGCGCAACGACGTGGCCAGCGATACCCAGCCCAGACTGCAGGATGTTGTGGTCGTCGACCTGAGCGGCTTACGTGCAGGCCTGCTTTTGCTGCCGTCTGGCGTGGAGCTTCTACTCCAGCAGCTCATCCTCACAGGCCTCCAATCCCAGCTGACCCATATCGGCACAGATTTGGGTCGATCTGATCTGGGTTTCAACACCGAAGCGCGTCGCGGCACGCGCTCACACGCAGCCGGCTTCGAAGGCCTCCTCACGCGGCGGCTCCTGCACGCCGACAGCAGCGGCACACTTGTGCTGGAAGGCGTCGTGTTGGAGCTAGGGTCTTGCGGGCCATGGGATGGTGGCGACGATGTCCATGAGCTGCAGGAACCGTTCCGGCTGAATCAAGGACATGTCCTGAACAAGCAAGTCCAGAAAACACGTTTTTCGGAGGGACACTTTCTACAGGTTTCTGACGATGAGGCAAGGCAACGCAAGCAGCTGCAGGAGGACAAGGAGAAGGACGCTGAGACGACCTCGGCGCTCCTCCGCTCAGAAGATGAGGGCACTGTTATGACAGTACGCATGATCCGGCACTCGCGCAGCGTCGTGACGAAGGGCGGTGCCGTACTGGAGCTGCGGAACTCGGAGATTCGGTGCACCGGTGCAAGGACTCCTGCCACCGAGGCTGTCGCTGTCAAGAATCCTGCTGGTGCTGGTGCTGGTGCTGGTGCTGCGTCCTCAGCGGCAGCTACGACAGCGGGAAGAAGCGCGGCTGAGGACGGAAAAGCGCGCATTGGTGATGGTGGTGACGCAGCTGCTGCTGCTGCTGCTGCTCTGAGGGGATCAGATGCAACGGAGGGGGCTGTACAGGCCGATCCCTCCCATCGGCGGCGGCGTTTATTGGCGACGACGACGATGGCGATAGTTGGGACAAGGCTGCCGCCACTGGGCTGGGTGCTGCCCAAGCACTCTCTTGGCAGAATGCCGATTGCGACGCAGGGTGCGTAGTGCGGGGTTATCGTGCTGCGCTATATGCCCACAGGGACCTCCGATTCAATATCTCAGAGTTCCTCCTTTCTACGTTCAGACAGGTCCGGTCGTTGGGCAGTGTTGTTGTTGATACGTGTGTGGGGGGGTGCCGTGCCGGAGGGTTGGGGGAAGGGGACCTGCATGCCGCAGCCCCTCGCCTCTCTGCCTCCCTTTTTCCTTTCCTGACTGCCTTCCCGACTGCCTTCCAACCTGGCCACGCAGGACTCGTGGTCGCTGTGGTTATGATGGCCGTCGTGGGTGGCGTTTGGCTGCGTCGCCTACTCAGCTGCGCCTGCCTGGCTCCATCCGCACAGGCCGCCCAGGGCGCTGATTTCCTCCTAGCCCAGGCACGCGGGGCGTACGGGGATATAGCCATGTGGATGGCGACCGGGGGCGATGGCGATTGGGCGCCTCGGCGTTCAGTGGTCCTGTCCAGGTGTTCCCTGAGGCACACACCTCACACGCACACATGCACATACACAAGGGCGGAGATTCCAGGGAGGCCCAAGGATGTCTCAGCGCATCCAGCAGCAATTAACGGCTTGCATGTATAAAATTTTTGGCGTTAGGTTTGAACAGGTTTCTCTCTTTTGGTCGGGGACGCGGAGGGGCATTCCGAGGCCAACCTGACACCTTGTCGATGTTCTCACGTACTCTCGTCCTCAATCGTGCTCAGTCGTCCGCGTCCTCATTGCCGAAATCGTCGCGCATTTCACTCCTTGCCTTGCCTGCCCGTGCAGAATGGCAGCCGCTCCGTCCACAAGTCCTCGTCCCCCTTGGTGGGCAGCAGTCAGAACCACGCGCTGTCAGCGTTGTCCCGTTTCAGCGCGCAGCTGCGAAAAGGGTGAGCGAGTGAGCCCGCTGCGCCCCAAAACATCATCTCTCCGTCATACTACATCGTGCCGCGTACTCCCTTTCCCCTCTTCCACGCTCCCACACTCCCACACTCGTTGCCCACCCGGGGAGGCTCACCGAAAGTCGTGCTTTGCTTCTCATCTGCATGCCATCACTGTAACGAGCCACCAAGCCCCAAGGCCCCCTCTTTGGAATCTCGCAATCTCTCTTTGAGATCTCGCAATCTCTTGAGATCTCGCAAGGCTGATTTGTTATCGTAGTCGTGTTCTTAACGTAGTGCTGTTATCGCGTTGTTGACGTAGCGTTCCTATTCACCAGAACCAGAACCTACATATTCACAGTTAATTTGATGAAACTGCCTTTGCCGTCCTGGCTGTCATTGTTCTCGTTTTTGTTGTTTCGTCTGTCGGCCACCCCAGGGACGACCTCAGCGTGCGTGACGGCAGCCGGCGTGGCTCCATTGTCTACCGTGTGGGTGGGGATGCGAGCGTGCGCGCCGGTGCCGGTGCCGGGGCCGTGGCCGTGGTGGCCAACGGCAGCGTGCACGGCCCGGCCGAGTCACCGGAGATTGTCAAGGAGCTCTCCCAGCTGAAGCCCGCAGGGCAGGGCCGACTGGCCACCACGCTGCAAGGCAAGGGAGAGGGAAAGAGGGAGGAAAGATTTGCAGTTGACGGAATGACAACAGCAACAAACGATTAATCGCGGATGACCAAGGCCCTGACCCCCGGAGGGGAGGGAGGGAAGCGGGGCCGGTCACGAACACCTTCCCTCTAGGGCCGCCCGGCCCCGCGCCCTTTCCCCCACACCACACCACACCACACCACACCACACCACACCACACCACACCACACCACACCACACCCCAACACACACACACACACACACACACGGCGCCCAGGCTAAGCTCGGAAGCCCCACACCGGTTCCCCAGGGGCCCTATGTGGGGAGGTAACAGCGCACATGAGACGCAGCGCCAAACAGCACGTGCGCCACCGTGGCAAGTGTCTTCGCACGGCCTATAGAAGTCAACCAAGGGCGCGAAGGAGAAAAGGCTGTTTGCACATCTACACCTGGAAAATTTTGTCAGTGGATAGTCAGTGGCATCTGATGAAATGTGGTTTCTGCAGGTAGACCTTCATTCAAAGCGTAGCTCCAACACTGCTACTACTGAGCCGCATGCTGCTGCTTGCGAAAACTAACATTGCTCCTCAGGCATCTGGCAGCAGCAGCAGCAGCAGCAGCAGCAGCAGCGGGTGGTGGTCAAGATCCTGAGCCACACAGAGGAGTGCAGCTACATGCTGCAACAGGTCGGGGAGGTGTGGACGAGACTGACACATGCCAACGTCGTCGCCTGCTGTGCGGCCGAGACCTTCCCAGCGACTGATTTGAGAAGCATGCCGGAGGTGGTGAGTCAGTTGCAGAGATGCACTGGGATACGGGCTAATGGGGGCCACCTAGTCGCACGGCGTTCACCGCGCTCAAGGACCCCAACAACCCCTTTCTCCTCAAGGCCTTTCTTTCCCAGCGCCACCTCAATTATATGTCTCTGATGCTTCTTCTCCGAACGCTTTTATCATTATATGCGATTCATGGCCATGCGAAGCAAAGGGATATTATCCGTGTGCATCGCCGGCTGCCGTTGATGGTTATTGGTTCCGCTTGATTGTTTTGGTTGGTGGTTGGTGGTTGATTGTGTCGCAGGCGCACCTGATTCCCAAGCCAGCCAACCAGGAAGCGACTCTGCAGACCTGGATTGTCTTGGAGCACTGTGAAAACGGTTCCCTGGCGGCCTGGCTTGCACAGCGCTATCAGCAGCAGCAAGCGGCGCGTAAAGCAGCCACTGGCGGCGCGAGCGCCAGTGGCAGTGGCGGCGGCGGTGCGGCGCCCAAGGAGGGTGCGACGGCGAAGCAGGTTGCCCGTCGTCCCGGTCGCTTCAGCCGAGGATTGCGGAAAAGCTCCACAGATTTCCAGGATTGTGCGGAGGCGGCGGCGCCGCTGTCGCTACAGCTAGATCAGCCCGCCACCCCGCCCTCGCCGTCGCCTCCGTCACTGGCGTCGGTGCCAACGTCCGTAACGACGGTGCCGCCGCCTGCATTGGAGGAGGCGACGGCAATGGCAGTGGCGGCGGCGTCGCCGCCGCCGCCAGCCCTGTTGCCAACCAGGGTTGTCGGCAGCGGGCCGAGCAGCACCGGCAGCGGTGCTGTGGGAGGAGGAGGAGAGGACACCAGCGGCGGCAGCGGCAACGGCAGTGGCGGCGGTGGCGGTGGCGGGGAGTCATCTGCGCTCCTGCCAGGTCTTTTGTCAGTGGTGAGTAACCTGTGCCGCTACCTTTCCAGGCCCAAGCTGATGGAACGCCCTTTGGAATCCACCTCCCAACTTCCTGACTTCCCAACTCTATGAGCTGGACATCTGCAGTTGTTTTTTAATTTTTTGGATTATAATTTCAAATCCACCCTCCAAATCACTCAAGCAGGCCAGCCCTCTGCCGAGGTGCTGTTTGATCGGACTGCTTGGCGCGGCCATGTCGCACGTCACGTCGCTAATGATGCGCAGCCGGCATCGCTGGGCCTCCGTAACGCCTGCATTGACGCTTGACATGCTTATTTCCCGCCAGGCCGAGGTGCTTTCCATCGCGCATGACGTGGCGTCGGGCCTGGCCTACCTGCACACCCTGGATCTATGCCATGGCGACCTTCGTGCGGAGAACGTCATGATGCAGACTGTCGTACTCCCTAGCGCCTCCAGAGCCTGCGGCGCCGATGCGCCCACAGCCGACCTGGCGACGGCGGCGGCGGCCGGCGACCTCTCAGCCGTTGACGTCACGGGCCTGTCGTTCGGCGACGGCGGCAGGGCCGCCGGCGGCGGTGGCGGCGGTCTTATGGCTGCGGAGATAACATCGGCGGCTGCTGTCGCGGTGGGTAGTTGCCATACCGTTGACGAGAGTTTGGCAGTGATGTACGGCAGCACCGGCGGCCGCAGTGACGTGACGGAGGGTCCTGGCGCTGGTGTTGGCGCCGCCGGCGTAGGTGCCGGCGTTGGCATTGTAGGACACCCGCGCACAACCGCCTCCAACCTGTCATCGTGCGGCAATGCGGCAAGCGTCAGCTGTGCCGGTGGGCAGGACAGCAGTGCGCACGCTTGGAGCAACAGCCTCCGATACTCCAACGGTTTCATGACGGGCAGCACCTATGCTTCCACCGTCACGCAGTCCGTCGCTGTCGTCGTCGGCGGCGGCAATGTCGTCGGCGGCGGCGCGCGGTGTCTGGAGCCCGGCAGCGTCGACGACCGCCTTGTCAACGGCAGCCTCCAGTCCCAGGCCTTGGGCAGCACTCTAGGCCACTGCTATTTCAGCCCGAATGCGCGGCCCATGGGTCAGCCTTTTGCAATCGGAGGTAACAAGTCGTCAGCTGGCGGCAGCACCAGCGGCACGATACGGTACGGCAGTCTAGCAACAGCGGGCGCGAGCGCGACGTCCGGCGCAGCGATGGAGGGCTCGACCGGCGTCGGCGGCGCGGGCACCGACGGCGCAGGTCTGGCAGGTTCAGCCCTAACACCATCGGCGGTGGCGGCTCTGTCTCGTGCAATCGGAGTTAGCAGCAGCGATGCGGTGCAACAGCAGCAGCAGCAGCCGTCGCGGGGGGCTGTAGCATTCGGTGGCGGCAGCAGCGCCGCCGCGCCTTTTAGTCGCCGCCAGAGTAACGGCTCGCTTTCGGCGGCCAACACATGTTCCGGAAATGATGTGGCGTTAATGAGCAAGGCGTTGTCTGGGCTGACGGCATGGCCGGAGTCTCCCCATGAGGGAAGACATATTGTAATGCCCGCTGACACAGCCGAGACGGCGGCGAGCCATGCCGCCGCTGGCGGCAACAGCGGCGCCGGCGGGGGCGGCGTAGCCGCCGCTGTCACCGCGTTCAGCAGGGCGGGCAGCGGCGTCGGCGCTGCGGTTGCCGTCAGCGGCAGCGGCTCCGCTGGCGCGCCGTCTCCTGCTTCACGGAAGGCGCCCGTCATTGGTGGACTGAGGAGTGCCTTGACGGCGACGGACGCCCCTAAGACGCCGCCGTCGGCGGGGTCCTCGGGCGTGGCGGCCCCGCCGACGCCGACGCCACCTCGGGCGCCATCCTCAAGCTTTTCCATGGAACGATCCCCTTTCGCAATTCCCTTAGCCCAGGCCCCTCTGCCGGATGAAGACACGGGACCGGGGGCCCCGCTGACCTCGGTGCAGCCGCCCACTGAGCCCAGCGACCCCGCGGTCGTCGGTGGCGGCGGCAGCAACGCCGGCGGCAGCGGTACGGCGCCGATTGCCTCGCCACGCGTCATCGCCTTACAAGTCGACGGCGCCGGTGCTGGAAGCTCAGGGCCACCGTCGCCGAACGGCGGCGGCGCAGGCAGCACTGGTCCGCCGACGCCAACTGGCGGCGGCAGCGCCGCCGCCGCCGGCGGCGGCCGCAGTCGTACCGGCGTCGGCGTGACGTGCACGATCGCTGGTCATCAGGGCCGCCGCAGCTCCGCACCGTCGGCAGTGTCCCTGCCGGTAATCCGTCGCGTGGCTAAGTTGACCGACCCATGGCTCAGCCTGGCGTGCATGCCGCCCGAGTGCGCAGGGGGCCCGTGGACCCCTGAAGTGGCAGACGCTGTCGGCGCCAGCTCAGGCGCTGACGTGGCGCACCTGCCGCCAGAGCTGCTGCTGTCGGGGCGGTTGCACCCATCATCCGATGTGTACTCGCTGGGCGTGCTGCGTGAGTGAGGTTCCCGCGGGTGGAGGGTTTGCTGTCGGGTTTCGGAGCAGTCGTGCGGGGTGGAGCGATGGGAGACCATCCTATTCAGCTGTCCAACCGTAAAAATTCTTTGCCAGCTGCCACCGCTGCCTCCAGCGTTACAGGTCGTAGCCATTATGGCGTTGATTGATTTAGGGGTCGGCCACTGCCATAACCTCTTGTGTGTTTGTTTGTTTGTTTGTCTGTTTGTCGCGCTTGCAGTCTGGCGAATGCTATCACCCACCGGGGAGCAACCGTACGGCAAGTTACGGCCTGCAGAGGTGGCATACAAGGTGGTAGCATGCGGCATGCGTCCCGCCTTTTCACCCGCGGTTCCGGAGCCTCTGCGGCGGCTGGTGGAGGACTGCTGGCAGAGCGACCCGGCGGCGCGACCTACGATTACGCTGGTGCTGCAGCGGCTAACGGAGCTGCAGGGCAGCGCTGCCGTGCTCCAGAACCAGTGGCGGGAGCGCCACACACTGTTTGGCGCGGTCTCTACCGTACCAATTACTGCCGTCGCCGTTCTGCCGCTCCAGGGGGAGCAAAACGAGGTGGCGGCGCGGTGGGCAGAGGCCGCTGGCATCCGGTTGCTCCGTACGGCGACCAGCTCAGGTGGCAGCACTGGCGGCGGCGGTGGCGGCGGCGGCTTGTCAACGCAGGCCTCTTTTGGCCGTCGCAGCAGCCGTGGACCATCCGGCTCGTTTAACGCCGTGTCGACGTACAAGATCATCCATGCAAGCGGCTCCGCTGCGCACCTGTATGCGCAGCCGCCGCCGCCGCTGCCGGCCGCGATGACTACAGCCTCAATGCAGTTCGCCGTCACGGCAACAGCGGAGTCAAGCAACCAGTCCAACGCCATCTCTGACGGTCCCAATGCGCGTGGTTCGCACTCCAACCACCAACCTGCCAGTCCGTACACTGGCCACCTACCCGTACAGCCGTACAAGCGTGGCGGCGCTGCTTTAGAGCCGTTCTAGGCAGCCGCGCCTCAGTTTGTTAAGTTCCAGGACCGGGTGGGGTGTGATGGGGGAGAAAGGTCACGGTGAGATGCAGGATGGGAAAGGAGGGAAGAAAGAAAAGAGGGATGCGACGAGCTGGGCCATCTTCGTGCTTGGGTGGCTGCCGACGCACACACAGGGGTCGGTGGAGAGCTACTTTAGCTGGAAACTGCAACAGGCGTTTTTTTCCGTTAACGCGTGATATTGGTATATATTTGCATGCTGGCATATGTGGTGTGACGTTTTAGGAAACTAAGGAAATGGGATTCGGGGGTTGGGCTGCCGAGGGTCGCCGTGCAGTTGGATTTCCGCCGGTGGTGGCACTACTAGGCGGGCATGGGTGGTGCCCCGGCATCGCAGGTGCCGTTCGGGTTTTTTTATCAGCTTTTCCTTCTCCTCTGTTTTGACTGGTAGACTGAGAGATATACTGCGACTGACTCGGGAAATTCTTTCTTCACCGTTCTCGACCGCACTTTGGCCGCCATTGGGCTTCCATCTTCCAGGCAAATGGCCTCTGTAAAGCGCCCCGTGCAACAGGGCCCTGCTTGGTGCCCTTTTGCCCGGCGGAGGATGGCTTCCATTTTCTTCTTGACCACGCTCTGGGTGCGATACCCGCCCTGCCCTGATAAGGACTTCATTTCTCCGCCTCCTCCCCCCCCTCCGCGTATTAGGCTCTTCCCACCCTCGCCCTGCACCACGGGCCTCGTTTCTTCATCAGGGGCCGACACACATTTGTGTTCCCTGCAACGGAATGGGGGGGGGGGGAAAGGCGGCCTGAAAAAGGAAGCGCATGGATGGATGGGTGATTGGGCGGTTGGATGGTTGGAAGTTTGATGGACAGATGGATGGAAGGTTCGGTTCAAAATTTGGAAGTGGTGCAGTTATGTTCTAAGGAAACGTTGGGAAGCATCTCGGACTGGATTTCGGGCGGGCAGACCACCAGGCAGTACGGCGGGTTGGAAGTGTAGGCAAGATGCGCGGCATGTGTGTGTTTTCGGGGGGATGGGTGGGTTGGGGGGTGGGGCCGGCGGGCTCCTCTTGGGGGTCCCTAGAGGGTCTGGGTGTAGTAAGCACGGCCATCGCGTATCAGGCACGGCGTTCCACCGGTGTTGTTATTTAGGCTGGGTAATCCTTATCATGTGTCTATGCGCGCGTCATGTGCACCCTAGACTAGGATATGCATGCGTGGGGGGGTATGCGTGCATATGGTGTTATGGTGGGCAGCGCCAGGGGTGGGCAGCGCCAGGGGTGGGCAGCGCCAGGGGTGGGTCAGCGCCAGGGGTGGGTCAGCGCCACATAATAGAAGGCCGTATAGTTTGCCTGGGACGCATCCCAACGCTGCAGCGTTTGCCCGAGTCCTTTTCCCAGTCCATGTGTGAGGACGTGCGACAATTGTGTCGTGAAGTGTCCAGCGTCGCCCGGCGCCCTATCCCAAGCACGGCAAGCGGTGTTCCGATTGTTTTGTTTCGTGCTCGCGATGTTGTTGACGGAGCCGGACCTAGAAACGTTTGGCCAAGCTAAAAAGAGCTCTCCCTTCAGGTCCACATCATGTTTTTTTCCTGCGCCAGGATCAGTTGGTTGGAATCAGTTGGGCGTTTATCTTCTGTTCGGAAGACTTGCAGATCCACCAGAAGTGAAGCGACGTCGCTCGCTTGCGTTCGTGGCGTGTTTTCTTATCGACATCGCGTCGAGGGAACATGCCAGGTGCGTAATGAAATGTGAAATTCTCTGAGGCAGGACCGCAACCTGCGTTTTGCTTTCTGTGTTGTTGATGTTGTTGTTGTTGTAGTTGTCATTGCTGTTGTTGTTGTTGTAGTTGTAGTAGTTGTTACAGAGTGGGAGGCTCTTGGGAGATTTGGATCGTCATCTAGGATTGAACACATTACGGCACCATCCACCATTACCTATTGTACCACGCCATACGTACTACAGGTCCAAGGCGGTTGATCTTGTCTTCTAGAATCCTTCCTCATCCTATCACCCGATCATCATCCGTAGAGGCAGAGGGTTCAGCGATCGCCACCAATACAGCGTGCGTGTCGTGGCCACAATTGATGGACCGATTGGCCATTGTTCTCACGCTCCCGACAATATCGGAGGTTTTTCCAGTCATTGAACTCGGGACTTTAATGCAAATTGAAGTAATGTCCCTAGGTCAGACCTTTCTGTGTGTATGCGAACTGCGCCGCGCCGCCTGGAGCCCACGAGAGGTACCTGCGACCCCCCGTATCTTGACAGTCACGGTGCGATGTGAGGATTGAGGAGCGTCGAGCGTCGACGATACCTGTATCCTGAAATTGGGTAAACTGTATGGCACCCTGGACAGGCAAGTCTAGCAGTGTGGTGGTAGGTTTCACGCGCTGCTGCTGACTGCCGGCAGTACTGCCTGCCGTAATCAATATCATGTTACCCGTATCGCTACCGCTGGGCGACGGCTGCGAATTTTCTACTGTCCTTTGATACAGCCGTGATCCTCATGCTATGCTGCATTGCACAGGTGTTCAATTCCGCCTACTGGCATGTTGGGTTGAGCTTGCCTTTTTTTGAGCATTATTTGGCCATAAGGCTGTCATTTTCCAGAACCAAAGCTGCATATTTAAAAGGGGAATGGCTATGCGAGCAGCACATTTCGCCAAAAGAGCTCCATTAAAAAGGCCGCGGCGAATGTGATTGATTTTCGTGGAGGGAAACACATTGAAACGCGCTCGGCGGCTGGGTGTGTCGTATTTCCCCATTTTGTTCGGCACACCAGCGCGGGCACTGCCCCTTTCCCAGCCCGCCCGACACCCACACCGGTTTTCTGCGCGTCGAAAGATTCGGTTGTGCTCTGTCCATTGCCACGCTGCCGCGTCGAACGGTGCTTCCGTATCTTCAATGTGCCTTGTCCGATGCTGTGCTCTGCTATATTCGGATAACGGATTCCATCCAGAAAAAAAGTGTTTTTGAGTTGCTCTGTATGTCTCCATTCACAGGCGCCTGTGCGGGCTTATTTTGCCCGACCTACGCGTCGGCTCCAGTCCTGCAACCGCAGCCCCGCAGCTGCGGCCGCGGCGGGGTTCTGGGTTGCTCTGTTGGCGCCCGTGAACATGGCTGTAGCCGCGAGGGGAAGGCGAGCGGGTGCGGAGACCAGATATGTTTGTGTGTCATGATGGTGCATGCGAATGCAATACCAACTACATTTTTCTATACGTAGTTGTTTCGGCTCTGGTTCAGCAGCGGTAGCCGTGGTCAATCTCAGGTACCTGCTGTTGGGCGGTATCGCATTCTTGAAGGGATGGTGAATGTCTGGCGAAGTCCTGGGTTTGAAATTTGAACGGCCGGGGTTGATGGCCGGCGATGAGCTGCAGGCTTCGGCAGCTTTCAACAATCGGTGAGCACAGCAAGCACAGTATTTTGAGCGTGTATCGTTGCGCTGCGTTGTTCTGTGTTGTGCTTGTGTGTGTTGCACTTGGGCACTTTGCGCTGTGGCACTCAATGCCCAGGAGTACAGTGTGGGAGGGTGCGGATGAACGAAAACGGATGGAGGGGTATGAGGGCGGGTTTTTTGCGTGCACGTGGTGACGTGAGTTTGTGCACTGGAAGACCAGACATGGAGGCCGGGCTGATGCGGTGCGGAGGCAGGGGTGGCAGGGGAGGCAGGACAGAATATTATTCGGGGGGCCCCAGGGTTTCAGTGTTTTCGCACACAGCGACACAGACAGACAGACACACACACACACACACACACACCGAGGACAGATTTGCGAAGTGGTTTTCAGCGGAAGTGGGCTACATGCTCCTAGGGGATGTATGAGGGACGCATCTCGGTGCGTGCCCGATTGTGGTTCAGGTTTCATGGTTGTTAACTTGGCCTTGAGGCTCTTGGAGTTGTGCACACACACAACATGACGAACTGGTGTTAGGGTTCCCAGGCGACAAAGTGCACGCATTCGTGCATACATCCAATACAAACCCAACCACCACAACAAATTTGTTCTGTAGTGTTTGTTTCCGCCACAGCGAGCTGCTCGGCAATACTGGGTTTTGCATGACGGACGAAACAAGTGGAAAAACGCCATAATTTGGCTCCTCTTGTGAACGCGGTTAAGGAGGTTTGGGTCATGAGGCGGGCTATGTGATGGCGAGCTTGGCGCTGAGGTGCGCTTACGCAAATGATTTTTTTCACGCACCCTCTCTCCTCCCCGGTGGCATTTCCGTGGTGGCGAGATGGTCTTGTGACGGGTTGCTGCAGGTAGACTGGCATGGCGGTGCGGCGGGGACCGTGTGGAGACGTGCGGAGCCGCGGCGGGGTTTGGATGGCTCCGTCTAAGCGACAGAGGATGGACCTGTTGCCCCTTGCCCACCCTTGAACCGGTTTATGTAGCTGTCACCCCTGCTTGGAAACCTGGCCTGGCGGCAAGGCAAGGTCTTGCTAATAAGATGCTTGTTGGACCTGGTTGGTCGGCTACTAGGGTTCGTCTCGTGTTGTGTGGTGTCGTGTGGTACGTGAGCTGAAGGCAGGGCTTGCTGATAAGGACAGTCGGCAGGCCACACGGGCAGGCGGCGGGCGGCAGGCTGCACAGGGGTGCGAGCAGGGGGTTTTACGCGCGCTGCAGTTGCTGGCGTTGGTGCGTGGCGTGCTGTTTCGTGGGCAGCATGGGAGGATGTGTCTGTGGACTTGTGGAGATGTTTTTTGCGCTGTGTGCGCGGGTTGAGGAGTTTCGCTTAGAAGCAGGCCTGTCTGCTGGCTGGCTCGACGACTGGCCGGATGCGCGGCTCTGGCTCTGGCCGAATCTCAACACAACTCTGCTACCTGGAATTCGTTATTTATCCTGCGCCAAGAGTTTTATCTACCGCTGTTTTGACGATGGTTCGGCGGGATAAACAGCAAATCCAAGTCAATAATATATTATTCTTGTTTATCATACCTATCTGTTCATACACATATGTGTTGCGCTATTGTTGTTCGCTGCTGCATGGCGCCTCCACATGCGGCTAATTAATTAATAGGTTAGAGATATCGTTGTCGGTAAGAGTTGCTTTGCTGTTACTGTGATGATGATTATAACGTATTACGCAAGTGCTTGTGGGCAGGTGGTCATGCCCTGGCTTACGTTGGAGTGAGGATCCAGCTCTCTAAAATCTATAGCAACTCCCTTCCCCCCTTTCCCGTTTCAGACGACCTCACCAAATATAGCTTTTGATTTCTTGCAGGCAGACAGGCAGGCAGGCAAGGAGGCGTGGATATGCGCACATGGGTTGACAGTGTGCTGTGGGGGAGGCGCGGACGGATGACATCCCAATAGCCGTACGTTTTATAGATATTTTTTCGTTCTCGCGCACAGAGGCGCCTGCGGGCTTGCCCCGCTGGAGGCAGCGACCCTGCGCCGCATTCGCTGGAATCGCGGCTAGCCAGCCCTCCAAGCGTTCACGTTTTCCCTTGCAGAGTATATTTTCTGATCTTGGTAGAAAAATAGTTACGTATCAGCAAATTTTACTTACATCTGAGCAAGGAGGAGGAGGAGGAGTCAATAGCGTTTAAGTGCCGCGCGTTCCTTACATAACTTGTGTATGAGACGATCCTCCTCCTGCGTCCATCTGCCGTTCTCGTAACAAGGCAGCGACGGGGGGTCGAAATCTGCTGTATTAAAAATGTAAGATTGAACCCCTACATACGAAGATGTGCGACTGGCTTTTTACTTTTGGCTTTTGTGGCCACGGCCCTGATTAAACCCCGTCGAGACGCTGTCGAGATTGCTCTGCAGTTGTAAGCCGTTGTGGCAGAGTGGAGGATTGCAATGATATGCACACAGCGCCCCGCTCCTGGTACTTGGTGCTGCTGGTCAACGGAACGGTACTGCTACTGCGCCTCCCGTGCAGCGGCTCCCGTACGTGGAGGATGAGTTCAGCACAGCGGGCAGCATAACAGCCAGTCCGGTGCCAGATCGCAAGTAAATAATGGATAAGCTAAGCAAGTTACAAGGGGTGTAGCCAAGTTCAAGTGGAAGTCTATGCCGTGGGAGGCGGCATAGGGTCCCACAGGTGATCACGTAAGGTACAGGGTCGAAGAAGACTGGACGCTAGGAACAGGGAAGATAAATTGCGTCTGTTACGCTCAGGGACTATGTCGACTGTTTGTGATGGATTGGGGGAAATGCCGCATGCCTCTGAAGTGGAGCGGAGGAGTGGCAGGAGTGAAGAAGTACGGTCCAGGAGTGAAGAGGTACGGTCTCGTTATGCCAGGAGTGAAGAAGTACGGAGTCCAGGAGTGAAGAAGTACGGTCCAGGAGTGAAGAAGCCAGGAGTGCCAGGCCAGGAGTGCCAGGAGTGAAGAAGTACCAGGAGTGAAGAAGTACCAGGAGTGCCAGGAGTGCCAGGAGTGAAGAAGTACCAGGAGTGCCAGGAGTGAAGAAGTACGGTCTCGTTATGCTCGTCGGGCCGCAGTACGGCCCCGCTTGTTACTCAAAGGCATGGCGATGAGCCACATCACCCATGGATGTGCACTTGCTGATGAGGTGATGTTGCATGCTCTTCAGCACAACATTACTTGTTACGTCGCCTGATACTAATACACTTGCCTCGCTTGCGCTTGCTAGGCTCCGCGATGGTCTGTTTGAGGAAATCCCTATCTCTATGTAGAAACAAATTTTATTACCTCCACATGCAATAGGCGAGCGTGACAGTTAGTAGCGATGTTGTCAGCCATGTTTCAATTTATGACTGTGCCGGCAAGTCCAATCAGCTCATAAATCAGTATATAAGTATGGATCTAAAGGCTTTCAAGTGGCTTGTTGTGCTGGAGGTCTTGTTCACCGTCGGTGCAGTGTTCGCCGAACAGCAGGACGGGGCCCAGACACCAGAACCGGTACGGGGAAATCCTTAATATTCTATACTTCTGATTAATTGCACTGCGCATGTATGCTGACGAATGCGGCTGTTTGATATGCTATTTGAGGCCTTCTCTAAAGGTATTCGCGAATTTTGGAGGTTGAAATTGCATATTAAGGACCTTTTTTTATATGGCTTGAATGGGTGGAGGACGTGTCAGCAAGGTTGTGGCCGTAGCATTGCCGAGCGCTGCGGCAACCCCCTGTCACGCTGGCCACGCTTGCGCCCATGCCTGTGCCACGGCCGTGCCCATCCTCCCGACCACCCCGTCCCTTTCCCACCTATTATCACTTGCTCTCCTTTTGACCAGCTTTCTCAACCCGACTTTCCTTCACGTCCCGCATCCTATGACCACTGGCCCTCCTCCCACGCCCCACAGACGGCCCTGATGGCCTTCGGACAATATCCCCTCCCCAGCTTGTCCTCATCCGCCGTTGTCATCCTCCATCTCCTCCTTTACTGTTCCGTCCTCCTCCACTCCCATCCACCGAATCTTCCATTCCGAAAGTTCCACCCGAACCAGCGCCCCCTGTCTGCCTCATGCCGTAACACACCTCCTAGCTATCTTCCCGCACCCGATCCCCGCAACCCCCACCCTCCCGCGTCCGCGTGTTGACCAGCCGCCTCGCTGTCCTGAACCCCCCCCCACCGCACCAATTAGCTACTTCTGACATACACTTCCGGCGTATCAGTTTATCCTCCTTGGCATCACCTTCACTTCGTTCCTTCATGGCTCATCTCCCCCCCCATCTCCCCCCCCCATCTTCCCCCCCACACACACACGCACACACCGCACCCATCCCATTACCCCCTCCCACCACTAACTCTCCTAGGACGTCCAGTTCATGACGGACAAGCCAGGATGGGAGAGGGGCTGGACGCACGAGGCGCTGGAACCGCTTTACAAGTAAGAGCCCCCGACCGCGTGCATTGCCCGGCAGTGCAATGCACTAGGCTGCTGCGCATTGTAACGCAACGCCATCGCGATGACGCGGCCAATGCAAAGACTGGAAGCTGCAAGGGAGTTACCCTCCCCGCGTGTGTGCCGTCGCGTGGTGGCGGCGGTGAGGCGGTGACTGCTGCTGCCGGTGCTGGGGACAGGCCAGCAGGAGAGGCGTCCCAACCCGCGTCCCAAAACTCCGTCCCCCTTGTCTCCCATCCTCTCATGGCCACTTCCCTCGGGCCCCCTCAGGCCCTCTTTCGCCTCCCCAAAAAGATCTGGACGAATGATGCCCCATCCGCATATCTGAGTCGCCACGCCAGTCCCAAGTGGCCGCATGGCCCTGTCGCAACCCGTTCTCTCCCAACCCCGACCTCTCAGCTTGTCATGATTACATCATGTCTACCCATATCTAACCATGCCCGTGTCAGCTGTTCCCCTTCCCCCTCCCCGCCTTTGGTGGCGCCTCCCGATCCTTTTCCCCGCCATGCCAGCGCGAGTCTGTACCCCGACGTGGCGGTGTTTCGTGCCCGTGTACGACTGCCCTCCGCGCTGGGTATCGCCAACCAGCTCAGGAAGTACCACCTGAACTCCACCCGGATTAAGAGGGGCACTGCAGTGGTGGTGGTGCGGAGCGGCAAGTGAGACGGAGAGCTGTTGTTGGGGGGGTGGGATGCGGGGATGGGGGTGGGACGGAAACGGGACCCATGCAAGGCAGGGACGGGAGCCCGAGGTTTGAGACCTGGGCCGGGCTAGGCGCGGGTGCAGGTGTTTGGGGGACATTAGCGCCACATGGAGGGAGCTTCAGCTCACGACGCGTATGTCTGCGCGCGTGCGCGCGTGTGTATGTGTGTAAAGATACGCCAGACGTGGCCGGTGCCGGCAACTGTGGCACGGTGGTGGTTACCGTTGTCAGCCCCTGATAGCTACCCGGATGTGGCCGCTGGTTGCACCAGCGGCAGTGGGGAGAAGACCCCCACGGTCTAGTTCCCTGGGGGGGGGGGCCGTCGGGTGAGGAGCAGCATGCAGGGTGACGAGGAAAGGAAACCCGAAGTACATATCGCTCATTACTTGTAGATCTCCTTAATCAGCGAGATAATGCGCGCATATGTATGTATGTATGTATGTTGGATCCTCCTCTACACACACACCCCTTCCTCTCTCTTTCTCTTTCTCTTCAAGCACATCCACTGCTTCCCTGATCTCCCCCCACACACACACACGCACCCACACGACCATACTTGTATACACGGCCGGCCGTATCCGCCGGCAGATTCCAAGTCCTGGGTGCCATTGCCGCATTTTTTACGCAGGGTGCACAGCATTACGTTTGAGGACTTTGCATCAGCCTATAGAATTAGGGTAGGTGCGCGCGCGCGTGCATGTGTGTGTGTGTGTGAGGCTGTTGGACACACCTAAATATCCCCACCTAAATATACAACTCCTGATTGTTTATTGCTCACCAGTGCGTACCCGTCATAGGGCGGTGACATGTGGCTGCCGTGCCTGACCTAGGTGACCGTGTGCACGATCAACGTATCCACTTTCGCACATACATACATACACTACCCTGTTCTGCTGGCAAACTCAATGTTCCCCACCCACACGCCACCACCACCAAGACCCCACTCTGGCCGCTCCGGAACTCGGCCCCCGCGCAGCCTGCCTGTGCCCTCCTCCACTCCCCCACCTCCTCCGCCTCCGCCTCCTCCTTGTGCTCTCTGTCGCCACGTCCCCACCTCGCCCTGCCTCCTGCTTGCCGTTGTCGTACCCACCACTCAGCTTGACTCGGTGGTTTCGGAGCTTCAGCGGTACCAGGACGAGGGGCACATACAGCTGGAGGACACGGTCTTCATCCTGAACACCCGGGACGTGCCCGTGTGCACGTTGGGTGGGTGCGGGTGGGGGCAGGGGGTGGGGGGGTCTGGAATTTGGTGCGAGTTGGTTGTGGGGTCGATGTTCATTGGGTGGATGAGGACGATACTGCCAGGTAGGTAGGTAGGTAGGTAGGCTTGCGGGGGCTCGTGGGCGGCTTGGAGGTGTGTACGAGGACAGTCACGTGGCGGCCCTTGGCGGCCCGTGGAGGAGGAGTTTGGGAGGCGGGTTTTAACGTCTCTGTCGCCGTCCCGCATTCCCTCCCTCCCTTCCCACCTCCTTCTCCTCCTCCTCGGTGTCATCCAGCTATCTCATCCCACCTCACCCCAAACCCCTCCACCGCCGCTGCCCGCTGCCAGGCTACTGCCATGTGCCAGTGTTCTCAGCCATAAAGGACATCCGCAACGGCCGGCCGTACAGCGACGATCTGCTCATCCCGCTGATGTCGTACCCCTTTGAGCAGCTAGTCGACTATCCCCTGGACAAGAAGGTGTGTACGGCATGTACGACTACGGCATGCATGTTGGACGTTTACGTTTGTATTTACAGTCACGGCCTGGGGCCCTAGGCCCCGGGCCTAGCGATCATCCCGATCCGATGATGATGCCCGAATAGCGCAAAAACAACAACAGGCATCATTAAAGCAGATGATGAAGAGATTCCAGGGGCAACAAGGTACTCCTCGCCAGAGCCCACCTTACAGATAAGCCAGGGCCAGACGGCGCTGCGCACGAACAGTTCATGTTTTTGACTGAATTTGAATAAAGACTAGAGAAACATGTGCAATTTTGCGCTCATCCTTGCCCTCTGCCTGGCCTAATATCGTATGTACGTGTGCATACGCGTCCATGCGTGTACGACTATGTACGGCAGATCCTGCAGGGCGCCATGGCGTCGTACACGGACGAGGCGGTGGGCGCTGAGAGCAGCTGTCGCTCTCTGGTTCACCGATTCGCCCGCGAGGACTTCATGGCGCAGTACATCAAGGTCCTTGACTCGGAGGAGCTGATGAGCAGCAGTAAGGAGAGGAACGCGGCCAAGGCCGCCCACGTCTCGGGCATTGTGAGTGGGTGACACAGGGTGGCTGGGTGCGGCGAGTGGGTGGGCGGGCTGCTACGCACCGGTGCTGTGCGGCCCCCCGTACATATCCTCATCTCGTCGTCCGATGGCTTTCCATCGCTATATGTCTGTCTGTCTGTCGCTCGCTCGCACACACTCTGAAACGTTGCCACAATCCCCCAACCCCTCGGGCACTTAGATCGACTGCCTGGCAGGCAGGCAGGCAGGAATGGGCCACAGGAATGTGCCGCAAAGACAGTCTCTCTCCCCCTCTCCCTCTCTCTCTCTCTCTCTCACACAGACACACACCTGCCAGGCATACACACACACAGTCACCTCAGGAACCCTCTCTTTCACTCACACGTGTTCCCCCCCGGGTCGGTCCCCCCGGGGGTGCACCTCACCCCTCGTGTCCACGCGAGGGAGTGGGGAGCACATCAGCAGCCGCAGCACACCACAGTACCGCGTAAACGTCCCCCCAACATTCCCACATGTTCAACCTCTCCTACACGAGCTCTCCCCTCCTCCCGCAATGCCCTTTTAAGCCCCCCCTTACCTCAACCCTAACAATACCTCCACCTCCACCACCACCACAACCCATTTGGGGTTCCTGCTGCAGGCTGCTCGGCCCCCCCCACCCGAGGAGCTGGCTCGCTATCTGGTGGTCCTGTCATGCGATTACCAAACCGCAAATCCTGGACTGGCGTCGCTGCTGCACACCAATTCCCTGGTGCTGAAGGTGCGGGCGGTGGGGAAAGGGGAGGAGAAAAGGGGAGGCTTGGGGTAAAAACCAAAACCGCCGAGCGGGAGTAGTGCGCGTGTTTTCATGTGACGTGCGAGGCGGAAGGCGATGTGGGGGGAGAGAGGGGCCGTCGCAGAGAAGCCACACTTTTCCTATCTATTATCCTTGTTTCTCACCTCCCCGGGTACCGACTTACCAAGTCGCTCCTCCTGAACTCCCCATCCGGCGCTGCCAGGGTCGATCCTACTGGTACGAATATTACTACCGGGCGCTGCAGGTGGGTCGTCGGGGTGATCGGGTTCGGGGTGGGAAAGGCGGACTGGTGAGAGGAAGGGAACAGGGGCCGATCCGATCTGGGGGACTAGGGGATCGGGGACCTGCTCCTGTGTGGCCGCCGTAAGCGCGGTGTCGCACGGTGGCCCAAATGGCCACCTTACCGATGTCGTTTTGTTTTTGTTGGAATACTTAATCACCAAACCGCGGTGGCGCAGCGAAGCGATGCCCTTTTTGCTGGGGGCTTACTTTCCATTTCGTCTGCATCATGGCCACCGCACAGTAATTTAATTTGCAGTAGTGCGAGACACCTGGGACAGGGCCCGGGGCTGACTTGCCGCCCTTGCCACATGATTGCATTCCCTGCTGTTCTGCCTGCACTCGTACACCGCCGATTGCGCATCATCATTATCACTGCCCTTTTGTCGTCACCTGTTTCCGAACCACACACTATTCCCAGGCCGGTGTGCACTTTCTGGAATTCGAACCGGGGTCTGCAGCCGAGGTGGGTGGCATGGAATTCCAGTGGCGAAGGGAAAAACGGGAGGACGAGCGTGAGGGGGTAGGGAAACCAGCGTCCTTAGCCTCCCTGTCTGTTTGCAGAGCGCAGAGCGAGTCGGGGCCCCTGCCTGTGACCCGTTTTTGTGGCCGGTCCTTAGGGCCGATGAAGGGGGGAGCATACCTTGTACACCTTTCCTTATTTCCAATATGCCTTCGGATACCCTAGGGCTTTCCATCGTATCCCTCTACAGAAGAATTGGGGGATCTCCTCACCCCCAGCTTCCCTTGGCCGCTGAATACCCACCCTGCCCACATTCCCCCTGCCGAAGCTCTGTCTGCTTCCCACTCCCGCCTTGCCACACCTAGCCTCCCTAGCCGTCCAGATTAACATGCGCTTCCTGGTGCTCCATCCCGTTGCCCGCCTTTCTCCCCCCCCTGCCCCGCGGGTAGTCCCCCTTCTTCCTTGTCACTTGGTGTCCTCCTTGTCCTCCACTTCCCCTCCCGCTCCCCCCGTTCTGAAGGAGGTTAAGGACGCACTCCGGCCCTCGTCTCAAGAGAAGGCGCGCAAGATGATCGAGGAGGCACAGCAGTTCGCATACAAGTACCTGTCGCAGCGATCCAGGTGGGCGGCGGTGGTGGTGGTGGTGGTGGTATGGTGATGGTGGTGGTATGGTGCTGTCGGTTTCTAGCGGGTTGGGTTTCTAAGAGGTGAGGTTGGCGGTTGGTCGCTGCACTTGCGGCCTAGGCCGCGGTCCTCATCCGCAAAAGGGGTCCTCGATGGTCGGTGCACATGCGGGCCACGAGAGCTCTGAATTGCAGCCGCACTGACTTTGATGTGCTTCTCTGAATTGCTGTCTCTTCTCCCACTGCTGCCACTGCTGCTGCCGCCCAGGGCGCTATTCTTCGCTAAAGCTATCTCTGAGTACAACAACTTATTCGGGGACGGCTACATGCAGGTCGGTGAGGGGGGGGGAGGCGGCTTTCCGCGTGGGGGGGTGCATGACACACACAGCCCCCGCGGGGGCGAAAGCTGGCATGCGGCCGGGGGAGAGGTGTGGGCTGGGTGGTAGAGGAGAGAAGAACAGACCATGCGATGTAGCGCCGGTCCGCAGATGAAACTTAACGCTGGTGGGCTGCCACCTTAGCGGTGTGGCCGGCGTTTCCTAGCTCTAGCTCGCGGTGGAGCCTAAGGGGCTCGCTGCTTTGCGACCTCTCATTCCGACGAATCAGGAGGCTCGACTCGGAAATGCAAGCAAGGAGAATTAGTCTGCCAGTTTACCCGGCGACCGACCGGCGCTATACTGACTGAGCAGCGCGCTGAAATAGGGAATGTATCGCGCGCGGCCTTCACTTACAATGAAGATTATTTTCTTATATGTTTTCTTCCTCTCTGCTCTTCCCCCTCTTTGTCCCTCCTGTGTTCCACTATTCTGTTTTTCCTTGTCTTTTTATCAGCTCCCTTAAGCGCCTCCAAGTTTGTCCCCCTTCTCCTTTACTTCCGGCTGGCTGGCCATGCAGGCGACTGTGGCCGACCTGCCCAAGGATCGCGGCATCCAGATGCGGGACATCCTAGCGATGAAGATGTACCCCAGCAGCTGGCGCCAGGGGTTGGCCTAGCTACAGTCGCCTGGTACACTGCTCAGCAAGGACAGAATCCAGCCGCGATGAACTACTCACCACTTGGTCTGTTTAACAGCGCCGGGACAAGACCAGCCAGATCTATCCAGCCGCCTACGCAGCGGGAACCCACTGCATGGGTGGCTGGATGGATTGGGGCCCTAAGAGGCGGCGTCCGCCATCCATGGCGCGCCTGTAAAATCCTTTTCCACTTGATGGTCCCTTACATGTGGTTTTGTGTGTGCGTTGGGGGTTTTGGGACGAACAGTGGACAGGGAAAGAGAAAGGAGCCGCCACGACGGTGAGGGGGCGGCGTTTCAGCGGGGCGCCCAAGATGGAGGCTAAGGAGGCTTAGCGGTTGTGCTGCGCAATCGGGGGAGCTATGGCGGTCTGCAACGGGTGTGTAGATGAGTGGGGTTGGGGAGCGCCTGGCAGGCAGGTGTGGAGCGGAGAGCGGAGCAGGCACCGGTGGGGAAGCAAGTCGACTATTAGGCCCGTGGCATGGCGGGCGTAACTGGCTGGCTGTTTGCATAAGTGCTTCCACACGCAGATGCGGTAAAGCTGCATGAGTTGGTAGGTTTCGGCACGCCACACGAGTTCGGCCGAGCCGCGAATGAGGGTTGTTCACGGACGTGTTGTCCAAGGGCTCTAGGCGGCCGCGAGTGGACCCTCGCCCCCTGTTCGTGACACCACTTCTTCTTCGGCTCCTTGATTAGCTGCTGCATACAACGAGTTCGTTGCGACCCGGCAATCTAAAGGTCCACACGCTCATCCACGCACTTGGCACATGACCAGCTGTAATGAGAGCTTTAGGGCCGTCAGATTTCTCAGGACTGTAGAAAACGTGTTAAATAGGTTTGCAGGTATGTGGGCGATGACGCATCTTAGAAACGTGTAATTGGCGGCCTCGCCTTGCTATCCTATCGCGTCGCGGTGTGGTACATCTAGAGGACCGGGATCACTTACAGCCGCGAGTCCAGTGTCTACAGCGGACGGCACCTGCTGGCGAGCAGTCAGCTGACCTCAGCGGACAGCTACCTCCCTTGGCTAACCTGCGGCCTCAAAATGGCTCCATCAGGATTGATCCCACCTTGCTGAAGAGACCCACAGCGTCGGCTTCTGTCCTGTGCGCATGCCCTGCTTCATCGCTTATACCTAAGGAAGAGGCTACGTGCGTTTGCAAATGCGCAGGACGGACTGCGAAAGGCTGTTGCTATTGGTATACCTGCAAATCGCATGAATGTTCTTCAGGAATACCTCAAACGGCAACAGTCCTTCTCGAAACCGCACGTGCAACTAATGGCAGGTCAGGGCTCTTCCTTAGCGAGCTGCTGCGAGAGGATACTAATAGCTGACCTGTCCTCAAGACGAAAAGCAAGATAAGGAGTCCTCTTAGTGCGTAAAGCAAAATTGATAGCGTAGTCCTGAAGCCACGTGCCAACCTAGCCAGTGCAGGAAGCAAACCCTTGTCATCTATACGTATCCTGGCAGAATACCTGCTGAAAATCCACCAGACAAATCTTTGCAAATAACCGCACTAGTCTTTGGAAAGTACGCTGTTTGACGCCTGCCATTTCTGAAGCTAGCCCCGTGGAGGTGAAACATAATGATTTCCGGTACTCAAAGCCTTGGAGTTGTGAAAATTCAAGACGTGCGTTGCTGTAAGCTGCATGAGCCTAGGGTCCCAGCAAAGACAGACGACGCACAGAACACGAGCTGAAAACACCAGGTAAGTCATGGGTACAGTGACAGCACGGGATAATTAATAAAACATGCATAATGTAGGCGAAACTTCTAAAACTCCTCTCGGAAGGGTGATTGCGTTGAAATATCTGACGTACGGTTACCACTTCAGATGTGAACACTGAAGATGCATGTGTTCAAGGGCCTGTCCCTTGCTGTCAGGTTAAAAAACGGTATTTAATGCAACTCCGTGATTTATACTCGCAATCTTGTGACAACAACAGCAGTGTGGCCACCCTAGCTACAGGATTACTGGAACGTTGCTTATGAGACAAGCAAAAAGGTTTTATGCACAGTTTCAATATTATCCATGTTCTCTTCACCTTAGGGTACTCACAAGCCTTCGCACATGGACAGTCGTACATTCACATGAACGGCTCTGTCAGCACATGGCAGCACGCACTGCGTCCCTGCACAGACAGTCGCCCACGGATATAGGACGCTGTGAGGCATTCTATTCATAATGCATACATGCTATACATCTGAGTGTACCTTTTGGAGTTCATTTAACCGCTTCTTCTGTTGATACGCTTTAACTGTCTGCGAGGACTTATTCCTGATGCACACCATGTCTCCCAAAGATTCTTCCCGGCTTCACGAGCGACGGAATGGGCAGGTTAGTATTACGCAAGCGTCTTGGCTGCGCACACACCGTGCGCTGCATTCCCTTTGATGTCGATGGCCCGCTTCTCTGCTCGCAGCCAGTTTCAACGCGGACAGCTTTGTCACCAGGAGTTCTTGCTGCTCTGGAACGTGTTCATGTGTCTTTGCGGAAGGCATTATCTGCGACACCATGCACAAGTACTTCATTGCAGTCGCTAGCTGAGATGCTCGCCGACGACGGTCTTCTGGTCACCCTTCGCTCCGGCCTTGGAGTTGGTCTGGACTCCCCGGATTACCTCTCTACGCTTCGGCATTCCTTCCTCATTTGCCAGGAAGGTTCGTCGGGTAAGTCCGTCGAGCGCCGAAGCGTACGGTGCCAGTTGCAAGCTTTGCCAGTCGTCCCTACAAAAATTCTGTTGTTTTAAGACAGGAGATGTTTCTTTACCCTTGTGCAAAAACGTCTGTACTGTTGGTAGCACGTGTGCGTGTCCCTCCACGTCACCTAGGATCGCCATGTCTTTTGCACGCAATCAATTTGTAAAAAGTTAATCCTACTCGGCTTCACCTCTCTGAAGCTAACCTCTCATTTTACGCTCCCTTGCAGGACTATGCGTGATTGTCGACCCTTTCTTTCGGGAGCAGTTCAAGGTCGCTGGCATGCCCCAAAACAGCGCTTACTGTGCAGCTGTTGCTAACCTGCCGGTGTGCTTTGTCGGCACAATCGGCACTGTCAATGCTCTCGTCTGTCTCCTCACCGGCACGCTGCTGCAAGAAGCCTCCGTCTTGGGCATCGACCTGCCGCCCTGGCGCAGCAAGCAGGCTCTTCTGAGCAAATGGCTGCCGCGACGCTTCTCCGACTCGGTCTTCACACCGCCGTCCTTGGGGAACCTGCACCCTGCTCTGCGCAGCAGCGTACATGGCGACGCTCTGTCCACCTCCCCCACCTCCATTCAGAGCTGGCCCTCGCTGACAGGCGCTAACAGCGAAATGGCAAGCTCCAACGGCTCATCCTCGGGTGTTTGCGGCAGCGACACAACCACCACTGCCACCTGCACCACTGCCGGTCGCACCTCCTGCAGGTCGCAGTTCAAGCCCCACAGCGTGGTCACCGGCTTCACTGCCCCGGCGCCCACATTCCCCGCCAACGCGCCCTGCCAAGCTGCGCCCCCTGCCGCCCGCTCTGCATCCACCATGTCACCATCCTGTCGCCCTATGGCGCGATCAGCCCTTACAGAGCAACTCGTCTCTGCTACAAACCTATCCCGCGATGTGCAAGCCAAGGCGGCGGCTCATTGGCAGCGCTACTTTCTGAATCTGCACGACCCCCATCAGGCAACCCAGCAGCCGCTGTCCAGTGCGACTGTGAACAGCCCTGCCGCCGAGGCCACCACAACTGCTTATGCCGCCGATATCTGCGGTGATGACAGCTTGGAGGCTTCCGTGCCGATTCGCAGGAAAGTCTGTAACGGCAGTGCAGGTTCCGGAGCCAGCAACTTGGTGGTTTCTCTGGTGCATCACCGGGCTGCGGCCTGCGTGGCGTGCCTCAAGTGCGGTGGTGGAAACGGTTGTAACTTGAAGCTGTCGTCGGCGGCGTGTAAGATGCTGCCGCAGGTGTACATTGTGAGGCCGATGGCAACCGTAGAGGCGTGCTGAGGTGGCGTCGTCTGTATGGGGACGAGACTGTTGTAGCCTGAAGTCATTTTGATCCATTTGGCTGAATTTGTTGTAAGCACTGGCTTGGGGTGCTCATATAGAATGCGGGGCCTTAGGATAAATCGTTGTTCGTTGTCTGTTTGGTGTTACGGTTCTGATCCGTTGTGCTGTGATTGCTGTGAGACAAGACGTCGGGTTGATGAGAGCTGCTGCGCCTTGCGGTCGTTTGCAATGAAAAGGGGGTGACATGTTAATGCACAGCTCGTTGGTGTGAAGGTGCCCTCTGCGGTTAGCGAGCCTCTAGACGCGACCGTAGCTGGGCCAGGTTGTGGCTACAGGGTGACTTCGTTTTGGTGTTCTGTTCTTGAAGCGGTCGCGCAGGGGAGGATGCAGAATAATGGCCCCCGAATCCAAAGGGTGGGGAAAGCCGGTTCGTGCTGCCGGCGTCGCACACTAATCGGCAGCACGAATATGTCGCAATTCGACGCCTGTTGTAATTTGTCGTTATTTGACACAAGTCTAGTAATGCAAGATGAGCAATTTTGGCGCCGGTATTTAGCTCATTTGCGGTTTGATGGATATAGCGTTCTGCTGCTTCCCGAACGGTGCGGTTGTGTAGTCGCTGCTGGATGAGTGTTTCGGATTTGAATCTGAAATTCGAACGCCTCTACTGCCAAAAGACCGTGTCGCTGCAGGGGCTGCTCGGCCATTACTGAGTCGTGCAGCGCAGTCTGTGTCGCTGTTTTTGTCGCATTTGTTGTGTGTGTGTGCATCAGGTTGCTGGCCGTCCTTGTTGTTGCGTGTCGGAATTACAGCAACATCTGAAGGCTGTTGCGACTGCTGCTTGCGTGCGGTTGGCTACGTGGAGTTTCATAACTGTAGCGGCGGCGGCTGCTACAAGCGAGCTATCAACTTCATTTTTATGCACTGCCATGTGGGTGTCTGTGGAGAGCAAGGGGCATGACAACTTTGCGTGGCAAACAGCAAAGCGCGGAGCGTAATGCAAGAACGAAAATGATTTCCTCAATAAGGTGATGCCTAACTGGTATTTTCGGTGCCAGCCTGTGGCACCTGCATTAGTGTCACTTGTCGCGTGTTGCTTTCTTTGGCCGTCTATTTGCTTTGCGCCCAGAGTTTATTTATTGCACAGGCGTGCGCATTTTCGATGCATGGTGCGCAGAGTGATAGTCTTCGATCCAAGTTAAGGGTTGTTCGTTGTGAAGTATCACTTGTTGATTGTGAAATGGCTTTTGTTTGTTTTCTCGGGGCGGGATGTTGTTGGCGCGTTGAGGGGCGACGTCGCTGCGAGGGGAAGAGAGCGAGTGACAGCCTGAGCGTGTGCGACCGACTTCTTCGATTGCGACCTCGTCACTTTTCCGTAGGTCTGAGAAACTTACCTTTAAGCACTGGTGAGCTGCATTGGCTGTAGTCCTGTGACCCTCCAGACGTCCTTCGACTTGTAATGGAGGGATGTACACGTCTCGATTGAAGCGATCGAGCATTCTTGTAACTCTCTTTGTTGTAGCCCTATGAATCGCTCCACACCCTCCACAGCCCACTTCTGGGAGGTCTTCCGAGTGCGTCTCATCACCAGGCTCTTTGTGGAGGAGTTGGCAAACCCCATAGGCAACAATTACCTCAACTTATCCAACCGACCGTCTATTGCCCGTTACGACATACCAGGATCGGAGAACACATGCTGTCTGGATGTCTTTATTTGGTCTGCAAATACAGGTCTACCAAATAACAGCCGCTCGTTATCATTAAATCTAATACGGCTATCCATTGGTGCTCCTCACCGTTTTCGGTGCTTGGGAGATAGGAGAGGAGGGAAAAGGAGGGGGGATGGATGTGACCCATCATTGAGGGTCATCAAGGACAGTAGGGCTTTTATGACTTACAATGCGCGCCGAGCATGAATCAAACCACTAGTACTTGCAAACGTTTATTCCGCTGGGATCATGCTGGCCTGACAACTGCGAATCAAATACGAGTAGGCCCCGACATAACACAAGTTCGGGTGGGTGGGGATTCGTCGCGAATTACCCAGCTTTGGACCTGCGTGTCCGGCTCAAGTACTCGTCTCAATCTTGGAAAGGTTTTTTTATCTCTTGCCGGCTGCATTGCTGTATTTTGGCGCTAAGCGGCTCGATACAAGGTGAACGAGTGTTAGCACCCTAGCACGGGGTTTTGGCGGTATCAGTACAAGATGAGGGCATCTCCTGGTGGTAAAGGAGCACGGGTGCGGCGGCTCGCTCGCACCGGGGCTGTGTTGCCTATATAGGCCATTGCATCAGGTGCTCAGGCGTTTCAGATTGGGTTGTCGGGGACTGTGGTAAAAATTAACTAATGGCCTCATTCCCGCGAGAGGTGCCGGGCGCACCTACCGCTGGCTTTGTGACTGCGGAGTAATCAAGGATGAGCTGTATGTCTTAAATTGCCCACCCTGAGAGGGCTCTCTAGTTAGCAGGCGGGGGAGAGGGACATTGGCTTCTGGGGGCGCGTAATGCGCACCACTACGGCGAAAGTCCCCCTTAAAGCTGTGGCTACATTTCTCTCGGAGGTCTGCTGAGGAGACCAACAGGCACATCGCGCTCACGCGAGCCGAGCGGGGCAGGACGTCAAAACGTTCGCACTCGATTGGCGCCACAATAATGGCTATTGACCATCCATGGGCTTCCCCGGCTTGTACGGGTGTTCCCCCGGAATTGCGGTTAACTTGTAACTAAGGTCGGGATGCGGCATGAAGGCACGCAGATAGGCGGCGACGTGGTTCGTGCGTCCACGGCTCCTCGGCCCCGCATACTTTCGAACTTATACCGACCGAGCTACATTTCATCTACTAACGAACCTAGCACTGACAGGAAACGCATATAAAGTGAGACTGTCCCACTTGCGTGCGGTTTGAGAGGTGTCGCCCATTGAAAGGGAAAAGCTGTGGCTGGCATACCTTGGGGCCTTTCAAACTGACGTTGACTTGGGTCAGGTTTCTGAGGGCTGTTGGCGCCTTGGACCCACCATTCCTTCCTGAGCATTTCCTGCTCCTCACTTGACGGTTGCGTTACAGACTTATTGATGCTCGTCATGTGGCGGCCACCCGTACACGAATGAGGGGCAGGTGCGGTGAAACCTTTCAAGGAGAATGGCAGCTTATGAGTTCTCACGCTGTTTGCTGATCGCGTCATAAGCAACATGAAGGACTACAGGCACGCTTGCCACCGAGTGAATGCCATGAAGGTCTGAACACAGGCTCGTTGTGCACATCGCGACGTGCACTCCCTTCAGGGTTTACACGCAATCTCCCCTTGTATTATACACGGATCGGACGCATAACGTTTGGCCGCAGCGCAACACAGCCACATATACATCATCCTCTCCATCCCCGCATCCAGCATACGGTCCTATCCGTCGTTTTCCGCTTGCAGCACCTTCCCCTTTTCTCCGGTAGCACTTGCAGTAACACAGCAGTAGCAGCAGCATCGTACCCAGCACCAGCAGCATGCACACGTGCACGCCAGAGGTAGCCACAGAAAAGACAAGCCCCATGTCATCGGGGTCTCCAACAGCTCTGCCCTGCTGGCTGAAGTCCCTCTTCACCCATATTCGTGCTGGTCCCGTATTACAACCGGGCCTGGAGCGCCCTCCGAGCTCTGTCGCTGCTTCCCCCCCCCTAGGCCGCCCCAGGCGCACGGGTGAGTCGCCAGCTACCAAGGCCACGAACCCGAACACCGGCAGCAGCAATGGCAATTCGAGTGACGCGGAGGCCAGGGGTGAGGGCAGCAGCAGCGTCAACAGCTTTAGCAGTACCTACGGCAGCGCAAGCAGCGTGAGCCTCAGTGGGGCGGGGTCAGCGGATTTGGAGAACTGCTTGCGAACGAGGGGTGAGTTGGCGTGGGTAGTTATGGTGGTGGTGGGTGCTGGTGGGTGAGGAGATTCCATCCCCATGCATTCGTGGCATTTCCCGCGAGTACGCTTTGTCGGTCTGCTGGTGTAATAATTGATTATGGCAGCGGTGATGAAAACGAAATGATGTTGATGGTGGTAATGATTACAACGACGGGGATAAGCTAGCGGGTGCGGATTGTGGTACGGGGCCGGACGCGGCCGGGCCCCGCGGTGGTGTGGCGCGTGTGCGGTTTGAGATGCTATGTTGGAGCTGTGTTTGGGTTTAGGATTGAACTGCAACAGCGTCACCGGTATAAGCCTACTAGATTACTAGCCCGGCGATGATCAGCTGCGACACCATCATCATGGTTGTTGTCACGAGGAACAACTCGGGTGGTTCCACCTTACCCACCCGTATGGACCCCTCGGCGGGCCTAAACAGGCTTCATTCATCTTCGACGCTGCACTTTTAACCACTAAAATATCTATTGATTAAATTGTTCTCTCGTGCACTCACACTCCCTAAGGCGAAGTTAGCGGGCGAGAAGCTGCCCCCCGGGCCGTCCTCTCCCAAGAAGAACCCGAGTAAGTTTGTGAACAGGCCTCCCGCCCTGCTGTAAAATGCTGGATGGCATCTGCGGGTTGTTGGGTGGCTTTAAGGGGAGTGCTGAATTGTCGCATGCGCGGGTGTGTTATGCAGAATTGTGTACGCGTGAGGTGGGTGGGATGACTGAGCATGAATTTGTGACTGACTCTCAGGTTGCTGCTGTGGCGGCGAGTAGGCCTGGTGCAGTATTTTCCTGCCCTGCCGCACCTGCTGCGACTCCTGCTGGGCTGGAGGAGCTTTTATGTGGTCGCCAGGCCCAGCAATGCGCCGTCGCTGGGGTTGGAGGTGCGTGGAGGGTGTGAAAGGCGTAAAGAGCAAATAGGCAAGGCAACGTATTCTGTTCAATGTGTAACTGTGTGTATTGTGTGTGTATTATGTGTTTATTGTGTATGTAGAAAAGGGAAGAGCGCCAAGGGCGTTGAACGTGAGACTGACTATCCGCCGTACCATTGCTGTCTTGTCGAATTGCGCTTTCATATGGTGCGCTCATCGACATGATTTCTGTAGCCCAGCATTATTGCAAACCCAGGCAGGAGATCAGACTCTTCCAATCCGCCCGCCAGAGGGGAACCGGTCTGCATGATGATATTGTTTGCTCTTGTGTACGGAACGGTACGGCACCAGGGCTGGCGTAGCGGCGTGCTGCGGCGGTGGCGTCTGGTCCTCCCGCTCCTGATCGTGTTCGACTCGCCGGGGCAGGCGAAGCCCACGGAAGGCTTTGACGAAAGGCCGCTGTTCGAAATCTTCAAAGTCAGTCCGGAACATCATAAAAGCTAGGGGGCCCCCCACCTCTCACATTTCTGGAGGGGTTGGGTTGCTCGTCAGGTCGTCTTGTTGGTAGAAGAATCCTTTTTCCAAGCAGTTCCCAATGTGCGCGCGTGCGACCTCGTGCTTTTCCTCTCCCTCTGGGTGTTGTCGTCTCACACAGGAAAATGGGAAACCTCTGTTACGTTGTTACCCCTGTTACCCTGGATGGGGCGCCCACCTCCTGGGTACGGGTTCGCCTTCGGCTCCTCTTTGTTAACCTCGCGACCCCTGACAGAGCATGTTGGTTCCAAACTTTCCAGCTGCTGCCCATCTTTATGATAGTGGTGGTCCTGCGCCCCCTCCCGGACCGGTCCTCTCCCGACCGCCCACAGACCGACCTCCGAGGGCTGTCCAGCTGGCATGACTACCTGGCATCACTCCGTCGACGGGCGGACCGATGGAACATCAAGACACGGACGAAGGCACGCACCACTTTTTACAAATAAGGAAAAGATGACGTGCGTGCCTGTGTTATTTGTTAGAGCCTGGCGAAACCTGTCGAGGGTGATACTTTTTCTGTATCTTTACCGGAACATGTGGTCAAGGGAAGTGTCTGCGCGCGTGTGTATGCGTGCGACATGCCATGCTCTGTCGCGGCGGTGTACCATCCTACCCCCTTCACCCCCGCCCTCACTTGCATTGTCGCGAACGTTCGCACCTCAGGTGTTCCATTCCTTCGAGGCGGAGGGCAAGCTGATGTGCCAGGTAGTGCGGTTGGGACCGCAAGCCTTCGCTCAGCGGCCTCAGCAGACGTCAAGCGGGGGCTGGGCTAGCTGCTTTCACCTGTGGTCTAGGTCAGCAGCCTCAACATCGACGGCATCGGCGCTGTCGCATGAACCTTCAATGACAAATGGGCGAATCGTCAAGGAATTGACCCAGCCGTGTCCTTGTCAGGACAATGACCTGGAGTTAGAGCTGTCGCGGAGCCCTACACCAACAGCTTCATCGCCAACGCCGGCCCGACAGCAGCAGCAGCAGCAGCAGCAGCAGCAGCAAACCCCCAAGCCGCTGAAGCACGGCAAGAAGCGATCCGCCAGCAACCCGGACGATTGCGCTCCTCCACAGCTGAGGTTTGTGACCCTTGGGTCTGTCGCTGAGGCGGAGGCGCTATTGGACCAGCTGTGGCGCCTGTACGAACAGACAGGCGCGCGCAACGGCTTCACCGAGTGCCGCCGGGAGCAGTTCGAGCGACTGGTGCGGGAGGCGCCTAATATACATGTGAGATAACGGAGTTGTTTGTTGGTACGGTAAGAGGATGAGTACGACACAATGAGGGTAAAGTGCATCCCTGATCCCTGCGACTTCCTTATCAGTGCGCCAATGGATCCGCAAATCATGACTTGTAACGTGAAATCTCATTGAACTGGGTTGACTGGTGCAAGATTGCGCTATAAATGGAGTTTGCCGTTCCGGTGAAAGTTCTCGCTACTTGTACGGCATTTGGTACGTTACAACTACGCAGGCGGTGGTGGTCCGCGAGGGCAGCTCAAACTGCGGCCCCATCCTGGCTATGGGGCTGCTGTTGCCGCAGCGGGAGAGCTTGCAGATACTGTACACGGGCATGCAGTACGACAGCCCACTTGTACGGCAATCTTGTTGCTTGTTCCAGGTGCGTGGTTACTGCCGGCCTACGATGCAGCGCTGAGGGTGAGTTTTTTGTCCGTACATATGGGACGAGCAGATGCGGCTGACCTGACGACGTTGTCCTCGTCAGCAAATGAAGCGTGTTTTAGTTCGATTGTTGCCTTTCCCTTCGACCGCTGTCCTGGTCGTAGCAGTGATACATATATGTATAATAACGCCTGCTACCGAGTCTACTGGGGCTGGTGCCTCTTTCTCAATCCGCTTTTCCCCTCCTCTCCGTACGATGAGCTCCTGCCCTGAGTTGTCCTAGAGGTGTAATGCTAGGTTACGATGTTCACCTGCTCTTTTTGTATAGATCTGTTCATGCACCGCGATGCTGCCACGAATAGCTGGGGGGCATTTTGTTTTCAGATTTGGGTGTCTCGCCCTGTGGTCACCGGGCCGGCGCCCTCGCGGGCTGTCCAGGTGCTGTCTGTCGGACTGCAAGCAGCGATTGCTCACAACGAGGCCGTCCGGCAGAGGAGGAACGTAAAGGCGGTCACTGCCACCGCCGCATCGACTGGTGCTTGGACGCCGCCTGGCTCGGCCCCTCTGCTGCCGCCTCCACCGCCTCTACTGCTGGGAGCTAACGTGGGTCTTCTCGACTGGCTGGACCTGGGCCCGGGAAGAAGGTGTGTTGCGTGCGTGCGATTTGTTTTTGAGCTTCAGCGGGGTGGGCTTGGATGATGGTGGGCTATCGACGGCTGCGCAGGGCACCAAGGATTCCAACAGCAGGGTCCACTAGGCCGTGTTGGGAGCGCAGGGCAGGGCACAGGGGCAGGCAGTTTCAATCTATAACTTGGTTTGTAAGCCGTGTTGCGGCTTGCTTTGGGGCCAGGATGGTGTTAGGGAAAGGGGGCAGGGGTAACAGGAGGGGCAGGGTCGCGATTGTGAGTATCGTCCCCACCATGTTGTGCGGCCACATGGCACAGGGATGGCCGTTGCAGGGACAGGAAAACCCGCTCAGGACCGCCGTGACCCTTTCAGGGAACAATCATGCATAAATATGTTGTAGCAAAGGCCTCCCCGCCTACCTGATTGATCTGACGGACCTTGGACGGTCTTCCCTGGACCACACAAACACACACACACACACACACATACATGCTCCAATCCTACAACCCCGAACAAATCCCGTCCCAATCTGCATTCACAATGACCCCCCGCCCGCTATATGCGCCTGGCTGCTCATTGCATCTGATGAGCTCCGGTTAGTACTTGTTCCCGTCGTACTTGCCTGTCGTACTTACCTGTCGTACTTACCCGTGCGTGCCGATATGTCTCTTCAGGTTTGTGAAGGAGCACTTGGGGGCTGTGGGTTATCCCGTCAGTTTGTACACACGCTGCCTGACGCCCTTTTCCTGGGTCCTCGCACATTTCCTGCTCAACCATTACTTCGACCCCAAGTCCATTGTGAACGATCCTTGACTTCAAGGACAGGCCGACGACCACTTGTTGGGAAACTGCATCACAGCTCGAGGCAGTAGCCGCGTGCAGCGCCACCCGCATTGCAAACCATGGTAATTTTTGTCGTACATAGCGAGAGATGAATTGTGGGTGCACTGCTGAAGGAAGCATCATGGAGAGGGCCCAAGAGCGTTTAGGGAGCTGTACGGGTAGTACAATGTGTGTGTACAAAAATATTTGTTCCAAATTTTCAACGACCTCGGATTTGCTGTTTCGGCACCCGCAGCATTATTCGTTTTGCATTGAGAGCCCTAAGTAGTGACGTGACAAGTAACATGGATGACGTATGTCGAGGATATTTGTTTTATTACGGGGGTTAGGGGGCAGCCCATGCGGTAACGCGGTGCAGTAACGGCGGGGGCGAATGAGGAAAAGATGCGGAACGAGGAGAAGTAATCGGCTGGTGTACTTTGCGGTACAAGGATTGGAGCTTACTCACCAGCTTTCAGGACGCCATTCTTGTTTTTGGATGTTGCTCTCACTCGTGGGTGCTCTAGTAGTAGTAACGCCAGATCGGCACAGGCGGCGCCGCAAGTTACGGTGGCTGCAGTGGCGTGCGGGCGGTGGAGTCCGCAACACGACCGATAATGCCTCCGGCCCGGGCTGCGGGCCTTGCAGTATTAGCGCATATGGAGCTTTCTTTCCAGGTGTTGTTTATCTGACGGAAGATATGTTGGCATGATGAACTGGTGTAAGAGGGACTGTGCAGCATCCGTATATGCCGTCTGGTGGTTAGCGCAATCCAGCAGCCGCAGGAGAGGTGACGTGAAGCGGTCAAGGATGGATTGCATCGTTGATCTGTGCGTTGGTTGTTGCTGTTGTTGTCATGGCAATGGTAGTTTATCAGTAATGCTGTAAAGTTGATTTCTTGAATTCCATATGTGCGTGTGTATGTCTGCATGCATACGTGTGCGCCACTGCCAACTTACCACTACATAAAAACACCCGCACTTCTCCCCCCGAAATTTCAAGAAGACATGGCACTAGCGGTCGGCAGCAGGCAACAGCAGTGCACTGCGGCATGCAAAGACTCGAAAGCGCAAAAGACAGAAAACGGGGAAATGTCTGAATTGTTGTAGAACAGGGAAATACATATAAAAGGTATGGCAGAGGTAAATAACAGGAGATCCCCGTGTGTGTCGTTCCGGTATGTAATTGTTTTGGGGGTGTTGGATCTCCTGTTATATCTCTGCCATACCTTTTATGTAGGGTCTTTTGTGCAACGTTCCCGCCACCGTACATCCACTAAACAGATAAGGACGTACACAGTGTTTTTAAAACTTTTCCACCGTGGTAAATGTTTCGTGACCAAGTGGTTACTGTGGGGGTTTTCCCAGCGAGTATGCTGGACAGGAGACATTAGAACCTTGCATCCGAAGGTCCAACTTCACAACGCTTATTCACGGCTTTGAACAGCCAAGACGACGCTTATATTTTGGTTGTTTATTTACAGGGATATGATGGTCACTGCGGGGGTCTGTGGCCCCCAATTTCCCGGCGACCACCTGGTTATGTATAACACTGGCAGGTGACTCGAAACATTTCCTAGTGACCGACCACCTTCTGGAAGGGAATTATTTTCTCAGTAACCACTTGGTCACTAGTAACCACTTTTAAAAAACACTGGACGTACATACGTTCGTACATCCTAGCTGCTCACTCCGGGGGTATATACCCCTCCGTCCATCTCCCCCACTAGAGAGGAAGCAAAGCTCTGATAGCCTAGTATACTGCAAACTGTTTCATGCCGGAACACCCAGAGCAGTCGATTCCGAATCCCACATTCCCCTCCCCTTCTACATAACCTGCGCGGCTTCATCTGCATGCCGACAGCCGAGACAGCCGGAAAGCGATACGCCCTAGTGACCGACCCCTGCCCGACCCGTGGGTCCTAGACCTAGTCGCCATGCATTCAGGAACCTTTATTCAGGAGCCTCACAGCCAGTCATCCTCGCCGCCGGCCCTGGTTGCCGCCGCCTTGGCCTGCCGCCTCGCCTTCTTGTTCCGGAGGGCCAGGTCCCGGACCTCCGAGGAGGCCGCCGCCGCGAGCTCGGAGCGGGCGCCCTTCTCGTACGTGACTTTGCGCCTGCGGGTACACAGCGACAGACAGACGACAGACAGACGACAGACAGACAAACCGCAGCAGTTAACGGCAAGCATCAAGACAGAAGCGATGTAACCATCAACTCTACGAAAAGCGCGACACAATGCATATGCCGTACATGAGAGTTGCAGCTCCCACCGAGTAATACGACTACCGGTAGAGGCAGCGGGCAAAGTCATTCAACGGTCGAGACGGGGCCCCTTTAAATTAATGTTGACGTCGATGATGATGATGACGATGATGATGATGATGATGATGATGATGATGATGTTGATGATGATGATGGTGATGGGACCTTGATGAGCACCCCCCCGCCTGCTGCCCAAGCGTCTGCTTCAAGTCCTGCCGCTGCCGCCTCCGCTGTTACAGCACCGGCACCACCAGCACCCTCCCATTAGCCACTCGATCCCCCCAGCCCCCAGCCAGCAGCCCCCTCGCCCCCGTTCGACACCGCCTCCCACATACACATCGTCACTCCTTTCTCTTCTCCCTCCCCCCCCGCAAACAGAGCCCCCGGTGCCCTCCGTCCCGTACCTCCTCTCCTTGAACGGCTGCGGCCTCCTGGGCTCCAGCAGGCCCCGCTGCTGCAGGCTCTTGAAGCGGTCCGCAGCCAACATGGCGCAGGGAACCACCCGCCGCAAACTGCCAGTCTTCTCATCACTGGTTAGGACCTGGACCGAAGAATACGAGAAGAGAAGCAAAACGGATCACAAACGCCGGTGCCGGAAGGGGGCACGCGTATGCTCAAGGCCGTAAAAACACCGACGCTATAATAGCAACAACACAGACATAGCAGCAATGACAACAACAACTGATACTCGCACGCACGCACACACACACACACACACGCACTACCCACCTGCACCGACGGCGGCTCGAACTTGAGTTTACCCAGCCGAGGGGGCTGCACCGCCGCACGCTCCTGGAGCATGACCGCCCTCCGGAGCCGCCGGACCTCCTGCAGGGGGGCGCGGGCGTGTGTGTGTGTGTGTGTGTGTGTGTGTGTGTGTGTGTGTGTGTGTGTGTGTGTGCGTGTGTGTGTGTGTGTTTTGGTTGGGGGTAGGATAGCCGTGGGTTCATGGACCTGTTATCAACGGGAACGTTGGTCCCGGGTCTCCGTATGCTGCTGCGGTTACCGGTTAAGGGCCCCTCTCTCCCCCGGACTTAGGGGGGAGGAGGTGGATACACACCACCGCCATGAGCTTGAGATCTGTGAGCTGCGAGTGAGATGTCCAGACGCCACCCACCCTGCCCAAACCCCGCCACAACACCCTAGGACCCCCCTGACACATACACACATACATACATACACACCTTGTCCTGCCGCTCCTCCTCCAGCTCGGCCTCCACCTCCTGCAGCGACTGCAGCTGCCGCCGCTGAGCCTTCAGCCTCCGCCGCTCCTCAGCCTCGGCCTCGGCGGCTTTACGACGAGCCTGACGGGCAGCAGCAGCGGAAACAGCAGTAGTAGTAGGGGTACTTGTGTGTGCTCAAGTTGCACGATTGACCAACGAATTGCATGGAGCAGGAGGCGGCGGAGGGGGAGAATCAGTCCTGCGTTAAAGTCCCAAGTCCCCGGCGCGTGTGCGCGTGCGTGTGCGTGTGCGTGCGTGCGTGTGTGCGTGCGTGTGTGTGTGTGTGTGTTGAGGGGGGAGGGAGAGAGGGGGGCAGCCGCAATCGCCGCAAAACACAGAGGGGAAAATCGCAGGTAAGCAAGCGCTACAACTGGGGAGGGATTACGCCGTACTTTCAACCTCACCCCTCACCCTCAACCCCCCCATCGACATCAGTCCACCCCCCCCTCCTCCTCCCCCCTTTGGAGGGGCAGTACCGTCAGGTGGGGTCCAGAAGAAGGCCCTGGAGGGAAGTGATGTGCTCCAGACAGTCCAGGCTGCATCGCTAAGTCAGGTGTAGAATACGACAACCCGGGTGTGTGTACGGTAAGCTCGTACGGTAATACCGTACAGGTGTCCTGCGGTCCCCGTCTGGCGGTGTCAGGACCTCTATTTTCGCGCCTTTTCCCACAGGTGGCAAAACCACGGGAACGAGAACGAACTCGTCCTGAAAGAAGAAAGGCCCTCTTCTCCTCCCCTTCCTTCCCCCTCCCTTTCCTACCCCTTCCCTTCCTTCCCCCTCCCTTTCCTCCCCTCCCCTCACCTCCTTGTTTCGGTCCTTGCGGCTTTTCTTCTCGGACTTCCTGCTCCGCTTCCCGAGCACACCCGCACCGCCAGCGCCGCCATTCTCCGCACCTCCCCCGCCCTCGCCTCCGTCCTCGCCTCCGCCGTCGCTCTCCCCCTCAGCCGCCAGCGCGATCGCATTCGGGTCCGCAGCCGCTGCTGCCAGCACGGCCTTCCCCGCCTTCGTCTTCGCCGCCTCCTCCTCCTCCTCCTCCTCGTCGCCGCTAGAAGCAGCCTCCACCTGCGGCAACACAGAAAATTGCACCAAACAGTTTTACGATACCTGCAGTCTAAGTAGCAAACTTACATCCATAATCTGATGTCCTGCGGAAACAGGTCTTAGGGTTCTCCTTTTTAACATCCTCTTTTGTTTAAAAAAAACTGCGCCGTCATGGTCGTGTGTAGCTCAAAGAACTGAAGCTTTGCCCAAAAAAGAGTTGATCACGCTCAAAAAGCGGGGGGGGGAGGAGAAGGCGGGAAACGCCTTGCATATATGGCCATAAGGCATAACAGCTCCGAAACCAAACCTCCCCCCCACGAGAGTCAACCAGAGTCAACTTCCAAGGACAGGGAGACCTTCGCGACAGAAGAAAAACGGAAACAAAAAGCCTTCACAACTCCATGTTGGTGCGCGTATCGATTGAACCAATAATCGAGACGACATCCCTCTCTCCCTCCACACCCACACCTGCACCCTTCTTCGACCTGATCTAAACAAAATCCCTGTAACTTACAACCCTAACCCCCGCTTGTGACCCCGCTTGTGACCCCGCTTGTACACGTTAGCTGGGTGCCGCATGATGTCGTGTGACGTCACTTCAGAAAATATACTGAGCGATCTGTCAGATAGATGTATCTTCCATCCAAAGTGCAACCCCCCCCCTTTGGGGCCCCCTTTGAAAGTCCGAAGTTAACTCTTTGTCCGTTGCATCACCCCCACCCCCACCGCCACCACCACCACACTCGCCCCCACCTGATCCCGCCCCGCCCCGGACCCACCTGCAGCGCCTCCAGCTCCGTAAGCGGTCGGCCCTCTCCCCCGTCCGCCTCCACCTCCTCCGGCGGGGCACTCGGCAGCAGCTCCCTCCGCAGCTGCTTCCGCATCTCCGAGGCCACCAGCACCGCCAGCGCGTCCTTCGATGGGGGAGGGGGACGCGGAGGGAAAGGGGGGGGGGCGGGAGGGGGGAATGTGTGTGTGTGTGTGTGGTATTGCGTGAGGCTGGTCCCAGGTACTACACGGACACGGCGGCTGGGGGGTATTGACAACCAGAGCTGCGTTGTCGACACGCGCAAAGGGGAGGGAAAGCGGAGGGGCCCCCCGAGGAGGTCCGGAGGCACTGGAGACAGCGGCTCCGGAGCTGCCAGGACGGTCTGGATGCAGATCAAGGTCCAAGATCAGGTTCAGGTACGAGTCCTACGATAACCTACAAATAATAATAATAATAATAATAATAATAATAATAATAATAATAATAATAATAATAATAATAATAATAATAATAATAATAGTTAAATAAAAAAAAGTCAGATGCACGTGATGATAAACCACGTCGGTCAGCTGCTTCTCCCCCTCACCCCGGAGAGCCTCCGGGCACACCGAAACACACCGTCTACCCCTTTGCCCCGTGTACGGCAGCCTGCCAGCGGGACGCCTAACAAGGCAACCCTCCGTGGACACGGGCACGGCCCCACTGCACCCGCTGCTACCGGCTACCTGGTGCTGTTCCCCGTCGGGGTTGAAGGAGCAACCCGGAATGTCCACCGCTACGGCCGCCACCCGTGGCGGCGGCGGCGATGACGCCGCCTTCCGCAGCGCCTTCACCGAGGGACCCATGGCGCGCACTGCCGCCGCCGCCGCCGCTGCCGCTGCCTCCGATTCCGCCGCCGCCGCCTTCCGCTCCTTCTTCCCGACCTTCTTCCTCATCTCCACCTTCTCTTCTTGTTGTTGCGGTTGCTGCTGTTGCTTCGCCGCCGCACCCGCCGTCAAGCCCGTGTCCTCATCTCCCCAGATGTCCAGTGCGTGTAGACCAACGGACCCCCTGCCGGTGCCGGTGTGAGTTTTGCCGTTAGTGACGGCGGTCTTGACCGAGGTGCGGTTGGTAGTGGCAGCACCCGCAGCGGTCGCCGCCTTGCGTGGTGGCGGCGCCAACGCCAGGGGTTTAGCCTTGTGCGCCTCCGCTATGATTTGCTGCGCGCGGAGGGGCTTGGCGGCGGCTTCTTCGCGCCGCCGCTTTGCCGGACGCCTGCCGTCGGCCACTGCAGCTGCGCCGTCGGCATCAGCGGTCTGCCAGTTTCGGAGCGGCGGCGGACATTTTTTGAACGTATGGACACGTACTGGTTTTAATGGATATGTTTAGGTGGGTGGACGAATTTATGGGTGGTGAATGAACGTGTGTGGTCAGGTAACTGGAGAGATGTCGGGGGATCCCGCCCAATGCCAGCGGACGCGACTCGATGAATGCGAAATGTAACTAAGATAAATTTATTAGACGTGTGAGAGTTTCGGTGCGGCTGGGCTAAGTTGCGGCTATACCATTAGGAGCGGTATCTGCTCTGGATTCTCATAGGGGTTTCTTAAGGCAAACGTTGCAGTAATCACTATCATCATCACTATCATCATCATCACCATCATCCAAGCCCCCTTACATTAGCCCAGCTGTCGCCTCTTGTCGCTGCAAGTAAAACCTTTGCCGCAAGCCGCACGACTAAGCTCCCCTTCCCTCTCCCCTTTCGGACTCCACGCGAACCCCCGACTCCGCACCCCGCTCCCATGCTCTCACCGTATCCAGAAAGAAGAGCTGATCATCTTTAAGCTCCTTGGCCGCGGGGCCACGGCGCTCCTGGTACGTCTGCTCCTCGAGGAACGCCTCAACCTGCACGAGACAAAGACCACCGCGTCAATAGGGGAAACGAGATCGCGCAAGGAGGCGACTTCAGCGACCCGAGTCCAAAGGGGTAACTGCAACTCTGTAGCCATCGGCCTCTCATGCAAGAACAATTTCATGACTTTTGCACATGGCGAAAGTGTTGTTCGGGTGTATATGTGTGAACCACTGTGTCATTTTTACGTATGAGCAGTGGGATGGAGTGAAAGCCTCTGCCATCGAAATCGACACCAAGTAGCGCCGCCAGCATGCGACGCAACAAGGGCTGATAACCATTTCCAAACCAATTCAAGCACGTCACCCACCTCGCTGGCATCAATATTCTTTCTCCATGCTTTTTTTCCTTTCCGGGACTTGGCTGGTGGAGCCATGATATGGCCCTGACCAAGGTAAAAACTGGAACTATATAGTTATCGCCTGAAAATCGATCGTTAAGAATGTCAAAATCTTGAACGATGTTTGCAGCCGCAATAACAATGGTACAGTAGCACGACCGATGTCAAATGTTGGGCCATATCGACGTATTTTACACCGCTGATAACAAATCTCAGAAGTTTGTACTGCATTGAAGCGACTACGGAGGGTCATAGCTACAGGTTGCAAGTTACAATATTGCAGGCCCACGGGACGGACACGGAGTCTTCCTCCTGTATCCCTTTACCATTCCGCAACCCAGCGCCACATCATTATACTATACTTTCGACATCCACAAGAAAGAATTCTTCTTGTGACGTTTCCAGCGCATCTTTATCCAAGCGTTTCCTGAGCGTCATTCGAGCCCTATCCAGGCGCGCACCGACTGCCACTCTACGCCGCCATTTCTTGCAGCATCTGAAAAGTTATTTTATTTACGGCACCAGTTCGTTAGACCGACTGGCTTATCATTCCCAGCGTTGCGGTGCCATGGAGATTAATGCCCCAGACCCGCAGCAGTCCCAATCCGCCGCAGCTGTCGGACGCCCCGATTGCAGCGCTACCAGTGCCAATGCGCTCCCCTTCTGGTCCCACACTCACCCACCGCGACTGGTCCTGGTGTCCGACTTGGTGCGTGTAGGACTGCGTGTAGGGCCCTAGGGCGCAACAGACGCACTGCGTTGCGTTTCCCTGTGAATAGGCCTGAGTTGAAGTGTTGGCTGATCTCAGTGAGTGAGGTGGTTGAAACATCCAGTTGGGAAGGAAGGTAGGTAGGTAGGTAGGTAGGTAGATAGGTAGGTAGGTAGGTAGGGAACGTACAATCGATGGAAAAGGAGGGACGAAACACCATCTAGAGGGCAGACTTAAGCACCAAACCGCTGGAATAGATACTGACGAGAGGACGTCGCACCCTTGCATGCAGTCCATCTCACCGGGAAGTGGGTGCGGCGGCGTGGGGATGGGAGTGGGGTTGGGGCGCGAGTTCGTTATCCCACTTACCCTAATCGTGCGGATCCCCCTCCCTCACCTCCCTCACCTACATGGCACATCGCCATGACACACGTCATCATCCCCGACACCGTCCACTCCGTAACCGACCGCCGGCTGCCAATGGACTGCCGCGGAATTACTCCACAACTACTTTTGCAACGGCCAACGCATCACCAACGGCCAACATCCTGTAAACGGTGGAAACCGCCTTTAACCGACAACCCACTAACGGCGCCTGTCCCGATCATGGCATACACTACGTACCGCCGGGATGCCCTACCGCCGCCCCGGGGGAAACAAACCCTTGCCTGATCAGGACCACACCATGGTCAGTCGTCGCAGAACGAATGTGGTTCCTTCTTGACCGATCGTGGCTTTCATTCCGTCCCGCTGTCCGCGACTAGAGGGCTTGAGTCCACCTCCTGCCGCCCCACCTGGCTATTGTAATCTCCGGGGAGGGGGAATAAAGAGGGGCGTCTCGCTGTAAGAGTCTCTCAATTCTCACACAGAAAGACAACGGGGTGTTTACATAACTACCATTTAGAGGAAACGGATTTGAAATGAAGTAATACATAATTTGTATACATTATGTTATATATACAAATTGTATACATATAGATTATCTTTTCATGTTGAAATTTAGTGCCAGGCAAAGGTCGAAAGAAAGAAAGGCAGAAAAAAGACCTGCGTTTGGAGCGGCTCCTAAGAACCTGTGTCCCTCGGTGCACGACCTGCCGCAGGTCCAAAACGAGGACCCGACCCACCATCGCCTGCTGACCTTCAACGCGTTATGGCACACGGCTCTGAACGCTTCCTCCGACAGCCTGCTCGTCTACTCCACCGGGCGGTCCCCAACATTGTACCGCCAGCTATGGGTACGTCTGGCTGTCTGGCATGGTACAGTGGGGGCATGTACGGCAGGGATGCGTACTTCGAGCGTTGTACGACGACATGGTTGTGTGCGCTGGATCATTTGTGCATGAAAGGCCCTGAGCTTGTTTTGGCGGTGCAATGTGTACGGCATGCGGCGGTGTGTGGTGTTCATGCCACGGGGTTGCGTTACGTGTTGATGTTGGTGGTTCTGAAAGACGTGGGAGCAACAACCTGAGGGCACTGGTGCGTCTGTGGTTGTTGTTGTACCCCTCCCCCCTCCGTTCCCCCTCTCCCCTCCCCCACCATTCTTCCCTCCCCCACCTCACCTCCTCTGCGGTTTGCCGCAGGAGGAGGCGCCGCTCCTCACGCCCGCCGTACTCATTTGCTCCGTTGGTACGGAAATCTTTTACCTGGTCGCGGAGCCCGACGGCTGCGGCGGCGTCCCCGACGGCGGACGCCGCGGCCCAGACGCCGACGCCGACGCCGCTGCAGTCCCCCAACGCCGCCGCCCCCTGCGGTACAAGTACGAGCCCGACGCCGAATGGGAGGCCCTTTTGGATCAGGGCTGGGACAGGCAGCGCGTACTGCAGGTTGCAGCCGGGTTCCCAGAGCTCCGGAAGCAGGTGCGTGCGTGAGACGAGGAGGAACTTGCCCTGCACTTGTACGATACACGGCATACATACGACGTACCGTATGACATAGCAACACAAGCCGTACAGACTACCCTGTTACCTGCATGCTACGATTGTATGCCCCGCTCTCCGCGGCCAGGTGGACAGTGAGCAGCGACGTCACAAGCTCAGCTTTTGCCTAGGAAACCCCGGGGAGGAGGATTCGGCGGCGGCAGCGGCGGCGGCGATAAAAGGCACGACAGCAGCTGCGGCTGCTGCTGCTGCGCCGGCGGTGGCGCAGTCCGGCAGGGCACCGGCAGTTGCAGCGCCGGCGACGCCGGAGGACGCCACAGCGTTGGAGGCGGCTGCGACAACGGCGGCGGCCGTCTCTCCCCCCCGGCACCGGCAACCCCTGGAGGTGCTCCGACTGCTCCAGGTGGGGCTCATATCATACGACCCATGCCGAGCGAGTGGGCTTTACCGTACGGTACGGCAGTACAGCCGAAGCAGTTTGCTGATCCTCCCCATTTAATTGCTTCCAAAGCTCGGTCGCCCTTGCACAACGAAGAAGCGGCCAAGCCACCCATCCGAGGTGCACCCATATCTGTATTCCTGAACACCACCCGCCCGCCTTCTCGCCCTCCCTCCCGCCCTCCCCCCTCTGCACGGGTCTGCTGCGGGGGGTCGGACCTCCGTCGGCAGGAGGACCTCCGCAAGGCGGGGCTACGTGTCAAAGTGAGCGCCAGGAGGGTCACGGGGGCGGTGAGGACGAGGGGGGCAAACGCACCACGTCCCGTCACCGAGTAAGCTCCAGTGGGGGCTCAGGCTGTAAATCTCCCTATGGGGGAAGACCTCCCGCACCCTCACCTGCCCCCGGGGGTTCGCCCGTCCCCCTCATCCTCTTTATCGCTGGAGAGGGCGGAACCACCCCTCTTGTCGTATTCTTTGCTCGTCTTTGCGTACGACTCCCTCCCCACACAACCCCGCACAACCCCTACTCCCGCACCGCCCACGTCACCGCCGTACCCCTAGGTGGTGTACAGTGGCGGTCGCGATGTTGACCTCCTAGCGGAAGGCGCGGGCAAGGGAGCGGCGCTGCGCTTCCTGCTGTCGAGGATGCGGCGGGCGATGGGCCGCGGGCCCCGGGAGGGGGTCCTTGTGAGTGCGGTGGTGCGGCGGGTGGTGCGGTGCCTGGGGTGGGGAGTGGGAGAGTGCGGATTGCTTTAATGGACTGAGTGCACATTCGCTGCAAGAAGGCAGTGCTGGAGTGATGATACATGGAGGGAGCGGCTCTCGGCTCTGCGGTGTTGGAAAGTGTAGTATCCTGGGTATCATGGGATTTAGCATCCGCCAATCGGTTCTTTTCTGCAAAAAGACGTGATACAACAGAGAGTACGTATTCGGCGGAGGGCTGGGTGGTAAGGGTGGTAGGGGTGGTGGTGGTGGTGGGGTTGGGGGGAAAGTGGGGGGGAGAAGGGAGTGCGGATTACCATTCTTTTGTCCGCGCCTTTAGGGCCCCCCTGCCTTTACCTGAGAGAGTTGCGATCTCTTTCCCGCGCCCGCGTTCGTCACTGGCTGTGGCACCCACACCGCCACCCACACCGCCACCGTCACCCAGGTTTGTGGCGACAGCGGTAATGATGTCGAGCTATTCCAGGTGGCCGGTGTGCAGTGGGGCTGCGTGGTCGCCAACGCCTTCCCAGAACTGAAGGACTTCGCAACAAGACAGCAACAGCAGCAACAAGAGCAAGATAAACATGACGCGCGACAGCTCCAGCAAAACGAAAAAGAAAAAGAAGAAGAAGAAGAAGCCGCGCGGCAGCAGCAGGCGGTCCCGGGAGCTCTCGGCTGCTTGATCTACCAGGTGAGATTGAGAACCTACATGGGCGGGGGGTGAAAGGTGGACGGACCCGTGGGTCAGTCCATTGCTGGGTATTTCTTGGTCGCTTTTGTTGTTGTTTCTGGTGTTGGTGTTGGTGGTGTTGGTGTTGGTGGTGATGGCGATGGTGGTGGTGGTGGCGATGGTGGCGATGGTGGTGTTGGTGTTGTTGGTGGTGGCGATGGTGGTGGTGGTGGCGGTGGTGGTTTGTTACTCCAGGGAGTGAGTGAGAGCCCGGAGGCTTTGGGCCCTCAACACCCCCCCACCCCAACTTGGTATCTGCTTGCTTCACTCGCAAGTGGTTCGTCTACCCCCCCTCGGGGGGCACTACACGGGGTGGGCTGTTGGCTTCCCCACGTTTGTCCCGAAATGTCGGGCCACTGCAAACGGAAACCGGATAGTTGAGCGACACCTTTGCCCCCCGGTGGTTTCCCCGGGTGTGTGGAGGTGACATTCATGGCCTACGTGCATTATTGTATGCAAGTACGTATTTCTGTATCCATGTTTGTATGTATATATGTATGTGTATACTCGCGCGTTGTGAAACAGCCTTACTTCGTGGTTACCAGAACCAACTGACTGATTGAACCAGCGGTGGAACCAGCATGCCGTTTCATGGTGGGTGGGTGGTTACTGCCCAACCGAAACCGTTGCAGCCGGGGGAATGGAGTTCAGTGCTCCGGGGTTACCCCTCGTGTGTATTGATGTGCTGAAGCCCTTGTGGGGCCGGCTGCTATGACTATTGCCACTGCCACTGCTACTCCAGAACTTGGTGATGTGGGTCACGCTGATAGGGTCTCCTACGTTGCCCATCTTGTACTTCAGACGCCCGCTTGGCGCCGCCACCCTTCCCTCCCTTTTAGGCTTCGGAGCCGTGCGCAGGGGGCATTCTGCAGGCGTTACGGCACTTCAACCTCATACCGCCGGCGCCACTGCCACAGCAGTCTCCGCTGCCGTACGGTGGCGACGATGGTCCGTCGAGGATGCGAGCGGTGGCCGCGGCGCACAGCGCGATGTGGTCGTACTGGGAACGTGTGGCAGCGGCTGCTACTCCTTCCGTTGCTTCTGCCTCCTCTGCCTCTGCTACTGACGTGGCCGCCGCCGCTGCGGGAGCACCAAAGGACGTCTCCCGGGGATGCCCCAGTGGTGGCAGCGGGATGGCGGTGGTGGTGGAGGTGGCGGAGGCGGCTGCCGCCGCCGCCGCCGCTGGCGTCTGGATGGACGAGGTGGAGGTTTCAGCGCCGACGGAGGCCGCCGTTGCGGCGTTGTTCGCACCTGCGAGATCTGAGGCCACATGCAAGATCGACTGGCTCGTCAGCTTTAAGGTAAGGCAGCGACAATTCCCTTTCCCCCTCCTGTGTTCTGTTTCCTTGGCAGCAGCTTCACTTGTTCGTGGTTCGCCTTTCCCTCTCCCGTGTCGACAAAACCCGCATAATAGGACCCCCCTTCCCCCCGCAACCCCGGTGCACCGCATGGAGTTCACCCGCGGGTGGAGTGGCCCAAGCTTGCTGAGAGTAGTGTGGACGTCGTTGATTACGTTGGTCCTGTCTTGTGTCGCGTTCACGTGCGCGTCTTATCCGGCTCGTGGTGTGTGCCACTTGGGACCCATCACATCCACATCCACATCCACACAGCGGGGGCCATCACATCCAGAGGGGGCGGAATGGGTCCCGGAAGAGCAACTGGAGAATTGCTCGGTGCGCGCAGCGTAGTGATGCACATGCAAGCAGCACCACACACTGCCCGCATGTCCCTTCCCGACAGCACAGTCAGCGGCGCCGGGACCGGGTGCGCAGTTGGACACCTCGAAGAGCAGCGGAGCGGTATTGCTTCCGTGCGGTCCATCTGCATCCACAGGCCCATGCCATACAGTGCTAGCATGTGAAGCAAGCCGACATCCTGCTCCTCTCTTTTCCCGTCCCCTGTCTCCGCATCCCGACAGACATACAGACTACTGCCTAGCGGCCGACGAGATGTCCAGCGAATGTCCCACCTAGTGCTGGCATACTGCTGTAGCGGCAGCGGCGGCGGCGGTGGAGTTGGTAGCGGTGCCGACGACGGCGGTGACGGCGCCGTCAGTCATCATGATGGCGGCCGTGATGTACGGGACCTGGTCGCTGTGCTGCCGTCGCCGCTGCAGCTGCCCGAGGAGGATCGAGCTCTTAGTGCCAACGAGGTGGTCTTCCTCCTCTCCGCGGAGGATGAGGTGCAGAGCAGCAGCTTGGTTGCCGTGCCACTGCCGCCGGTCATGTGAATGGCTGGTGTGCCCAGGCAGCATCAGCCATCTGGTGATGGCATCCTAACCCATCCTAGGACCAGACGCGGGCGCGGGCGCAGCTCTCTTCTTGCCTGGCTTTTGTGGTGCCCCTTGTGCTTCGAAACTGTTGTGATGTGTGTAGTACAGGTACATCATATTCGGCCGCGGCATTATATCTTTTGGACCGTGCTTAGCTGCGCCGGATAGGGGCCCCGGTAGGGAGCTTTGGCGTCATCGCAACTTCGCAGGAAGTCTGTGGTGTGATGTGATGTGTGTGTGTTGTGAGGAGGAGGAGGGGGAGGAGGAGAAGAAGAGGATCTTATTACATCCGATGCGAAAGGACCTCTGGGGTGTATGTGTGTGCGTGTGTATGTGTGTGTACATTTCGCTCTATTGCAAGTAGCAAGGAGACACTGCCATGTCCGGCTTACGACGGCTTACGAAAGAGGGACCCCGCAGGATTAAAGGTCACCAAAGGAGAGGTAAAACCAGTCATCATGCGCTGCACTCTTAGCCAGCGGCCACTCAGGAAACACGGTAACCCTGCGGAACTAGGCCAAAGGTTTTGCAGGGTACCTATGTGTCGTACATCCCTCGCGTTCCAAGTCGCAGCTGTGGATAATATTAAACTTTTGTGTTGGAGCGTTACTTGAGGAGTCGCAAGAATCCATGTGCAGGTGGATAAATGACGGTGGCTGCGGTAGACGAGCGCGCGTGTGTGCGTATGTATGTACGTATGCATGTGCATGTGCGTCTAATGAAATGCTGTGCCGCGCATGAGTCGTGGCGGCCTTCGCCTGCATCACCCTTCCACCTACCGTGCGTTCATACATGAACCTATCTTGGAGGAGTATGTCGGCATAAACGCAGGCCGCGTTGCATGAACAAAAGGGAACATCGCACGCATGGAAAACCAAATTGTAACCCATTTCAAGGTTCATGAAACATGGACATCGTTTGAGTGTGACGCTCGGTCCCGGGGTTATGAAAAGCAGCCGCATATGCGCTTCGAATAGTCTCTCTATCAATCCTGCCCTTCGAGAAACGTTAAGAAGTTCCC